TCATTCTTCGAGGGGCGTTTGTGGAATTATAGCGGGGAGAGATTTGGTTATGGAAACGATTCAGATAATCGCTTCGAAAGGAGGTGGAGTTGGCGAGGATGGCCTTTTGAGCGGTTCTGGCTCGCAGTCGTCCATCTATTTCGCAGGCTGTATTGATCCAGTCCTGAATAGTATCCTTTGGCTGAACTTCCTTGTCATATATTTTGTCCATGACGCGCGGGTCTAACCCGCGTTGGAAGTAAGGGACCTGCTCTTTATCGGAGATGTCGGCATCGGCGGCGATGAGAATGAATTGGTTGGAGTATTCATCAACCGTCATTCGTCCTTGGGAGAAGGCCATGAGTGCGCTTCGCGCTTTGTCGGTTTTGCCCGTCTCCCTGAACTGTAATTTGAACTTGGCTAAAAAGTCCTTCCAGGTGCCTAGATCGGTAGGTGGGTCTGCTCCTACTGATTTGAGGAGGAAGTTCTCCGCCCAAGCTCCCGCCGTGCCGTATCTCATGCATGAGAGCACAAGGGATATCTTGTCTTGATCGGTCTTGTACCGATCGGATTCTGCTGCGAAAAGAAGGAGGCATTGGAGCATGAATTTCTGGGATTCAATGCGGTTGCCTGTGTAATTGTCTGGGAGTTTGACTTTTCCTCTTCCGGGTTGTACTGTCGCGGAAGGGGTGTTTGTAGAAGTCGAAGCTTGTCCCGACATTTCGGCGAGTGGTTCGTTTCGGGTGTTGATCGGTGTTTGGTCTGGTGAGTCGGAGTCTGATTCCGAGGTTGTTTCCTCTTGCTCCGAGTCTTCGGGGATTACCGGCGCCGGTTCCCTGTATTGTGGGGCTAGTTCCCACTGAGCTTCTGTTTCGTTCCAAATATCCTCTTCTACTGTTCCGTCTTCAAGTGTGAAGTAATAACGCCCGTTTCGGTATGAGCAGTTATCGTAATTCGGAGGGGCAGTTCCGTTGTTGTCTTCGTAGACCCAGAAGTCCCCTTCGCGCCGGATAGGGCGATTGTTGTGACGGAGTTGGTTATTGATAAGTCTAGTGCCGGGTGGGTATTCCTGGCCTAGGTCTTGCTCCAGAGTGTGTGCAGTAACGCTCTCTCAATGGGGGTCTATATCCCCACTGAGCAAGGTTATGAGAGAGAGTGTGGCAGCAAGCTAGTGCGAGCAAGGTAGGGGCAGAAGAGTCTATTCTAGTGTTACGACTGCTCGTCGGTAACCCCAAGAGTAGGAGGTTCTTCCCTAGGTCACTCGTGGAGGATGTGTGGAACGGTGGTCTCGACTGTACGTGTAGCACAGGAGCCTGGAGTGTATTGCAGAGTAGCAATAGAAAGTACTGTAGGAAGACAGTACTGAACGAAGGTTCCTGTATGTGGAGATACAGGGGAACGAAGTACTGTGGTAGGAAGACCACAGTGAACGAAGAGAATAGACTGAAGATCGTCAGCCTATTCTATGGGCCTTTTATACTACTTTAGGAAGTAGGGCGTGAGAATACCGAATATGTATCTGTAGGTATTCTCTAAGTCGTCTCTCTCAATAACGACTACTCTTGTGCTTCTCCGTTGGTCTCCTTCCGGCCAGGAGAGACTAGGAGGTTCATGCCCTGCGTGTGAGTAATTTATAAGGCGGCGTTCCATGCCCGCTAATACAATAGGCCCGTGATACTCGACCAACGATAAGGTGATCCGTTGGGAGTGGATGACCAAGGTTATTATCTGTACCTTGTCTGTACGCCTCAACCTGTGAGGCCGCGTGATATTTGTGATGATCGTATCGGTATAGACCGCCGTGTAGGCCCGATAGAACGTGATCATAACATGAGCGAGATCCTCGTGCGAAGTTGAGCTCTAAACAGAGGGGTGTTCGAAACTGGTGTATTGCAGTGTCGTAGGCAGGTATTTATAGTAAGTCAAAGTGAGTATAGTAAACGCGAACTCGTAAGGTAAAGTAAATTGATATCGCGCCAAGACCGTAACATAGAAAGATAAAGAGAAGACCACGTGCAGAGGTGCTCGCAGACCGCGAGGTTCTGTCGTGCCACGGTCGCAAGACAAAGCGATATTTAGTAAAGAGGTGTAGCGGTGAGACGAGGTAAACTCTAGGAAGGTGGAGGGGCAATGGATCACGGGACCTGTACTACCCAATAAGCGCACGCGATAAAGCTCTCTGCGATATCGCGTCGCGGAGCTGCTCGCGGTGCGGTCTGTGCGGTCGATGCTTGCGAGGCGTATGGTGAGAGCTTGGCGAGGTCTTTGCGGGTGCAGCAGGCTCGAGGTCATCGTGCGATACGCGTGGGGGCTGAGTGAGATGATGCGAGGCGATGACTGGGGGGGGTGTGAGACAAGACCGCGTCGGCCCGATACCGTAATGCTGAGGTCGTAGTGGGCATCGGAGGGAATCACTCTGGGCGGCGGGGCCACCCGGCGGTCTCTGGGGTATCTCCTGAGGTCAGCATGCTAGTGCTCGTAGAACTGCGAAAAACGGGGTCCCGGCGCTTAGAGAGGTGGCGCGCTCATTATCTCCTCCCTACTGAAATCCTGACTGTCCTCAGTCAGTCCCGTGCCGTGTGACCTAGTGGCTGAGATGCACGTGTGCTGCAGAAGTCGGCTGTGCTCGGTGGAGTCAAGGTGTGGTGTGGGATTGACGTGGTGGCGTGGGGATGGTCGGTAAATGATGGTGAGACTGGCCTGAACGGGATGTCGCGGGTCGTGGGAGCGGAGGCGTGACTCGGTGGCGGATGCAGTAAGCGATGTCGGACAGACGCCAGTGGCGTGGAAAAACACGCTGTGGCTGTCGAGGTAGCCGGTCGGCGCGGGGCCCGAGTTGCTGATGTGGCTGGGACTCGTTCCTGTTTGGTCAGGGTACGCGTCACCCAAGTTCAACACACCATCTGCTCCCGTCTTCCTAGCGTCCCTTGCTCCCTCCCAATCCGGCCTTTCTCGATCGTACTCTGCTTCCGCGACAAGTCTCTCCCGATGCCATTGTCCCTCGTCGATCTCCTCGTCTCCGCCCTGTCCGACCTTATCGACGTGTCCCCCGAGCATCCCGCCGAGTTGGAGGACTTCATGACCTGGGGTCAAAACTTTGCCCGTACCCTGGTGCGTCCTCTCTTTCCTCTCTTTTCTCGTGCTGACCCCTCTCTCCTAGGCCAGCCTGGAGGCGATTCCCTCGTTTGCGCCTTCCCCGCAGCTCGCGCTCTGGCTCGATAGCGCCGAAGACACTCTCAAGACCTACGCGACCGATGACTGGTTAGCGTGGGGGGCACGCATCCTGCGGACGCGTGCAACGCGTCGTGACGAGCGCATCCAGGCTGAGGTCGCCGCCGTCGCTACTGCTCAGGCCGAGGTTGCTCGTGTCGCCGAGGCGGAAGCTCGCCGGTTGGCCGATGAAGAGCGCGCTGCGCGCGGAGTCGCTGAAGAGGCGCATCGGAGGGCTCATGATCGGGAGATCATGGGCTTGTACGTGCGTGGTTCCATCTCGCGAGAGGAGAGTGAGCGTCGTCTGGCCGAGCCGCTGGAGACGGAGTCGGGACCTAGCGTGGTGAGTGCCAAGGATCGGGTAGTGGGGCATGATGGCGACGTCGAGATGGCGGCGCCCGTTTTACGGACGGGCGACGCCATCGACTCCTTGCGGGCGTCGACCGCTGTGCTGTCCGTGCGAGGGGAGGGTCTTGTGCCTTCCGGGACTGGGCTCTTCCTTCCCGATGGCGAGGAGGAGGTCGTGGAAGTGGATCGGAAAGGGAAGCGGCGCGAGGTCGTGGATGAAGAGCGGAAGGGCAAGCGTCGCGCCCCACCTGCGTGGATGTCTGTGAAGTCCCCGGCGCAGCAGAAGGCCGAAGCTGATAGAGAAGCAGAGGAGCATGCTGTGAAACGTCAGCGAAAGATGGATGGGCGTCCTATCGTCCCTGGTCAGTTGCCTCCCGGCATGCAGCAGGTGAGCTCCTTTCCCTCTCCTTTCCTCTCCTCCTGTTCCTCAGATTTTCCTAGGCCGAACCTCCCTGCACCTATTGTTCCCACTTCGTCACCCCCTTCGTCTGTTTCCGCGTCCCGGGCGATGCGACGCACTGCCTCAAGTGTCGTCGTGATCGCAAGTCGTGCGACAGGCCCCGTCGATGGACAAAGCTCCTTTCGACCCCTTCGGACACCGCCCCTCTTCCTCTCCCTTCCTCTCCTCCTCCGCCCGTCGCTTCTTCCTCTTCCGCCCGCTTCCTTCCCGACGACCTTCGTCGGCCTGCTCGTCGCTTGGCGCGCACGGCGCGCGGTGAACTCCGGACTCGTCGGACGGTGGACCGCGACATCGAAATCCTTCGTTGGCGGATGGCTCGGACCGAGAGCGAGGTCCACTATTTGTTGTCCGAGCACGAGGCGTGCGGAACTGGGCTCGCCGAGCTGGAGCGCGTTCGCGCGTCGTTGCCGGAGGGGTCGGAGGACGAGGACGAGGATGGCGAGGGTAGCGTGGAGTTGGTGCTCGACTAGCATCTCGGACGCTTTTAGATGTAATATATAAGTTTCGATGAAAAATGTAAAAGTACTTCTTTCTTGGTTTTAGCAATATTTGTGATAAAATCGGGAAGAAACACTTGAGTAAAGTCTCGCTAGATTCTAAAGGTTGTTTGGTGAGCAAGAAATGTCGGAGATAGATTAAGACGTATCGCGTGCGGGGTTGAAGTCGTCGTATAATAGGGATCTGTTGTAGAGGTCTCGATGGTAAGCGATAACGTTCTAACTGGAATTTGAGAAAATATAGAATTTAGGGAAAGCCTCAGTAGATCATCACAGGCGTAAAACCCTTCAGTTTTGCGCAAATCCGATAAGGTTCGTTAATGCGACTTTGAAATGAAGAGGAAATGCCGGGTGCGAGAAACGTCGAAGTAACTGTGCGATATTCGCTAGTCCGAGTCTGAAGTGTAAAATAGTCGTAAGCTTTGCTGCGAGAAAGATCGGGATGCGAAAAATAGGGTATCATAGCTGGTCCTTCTCCTCCCTACTGAAATGTGGGCTGTCCTCAGTCACATCGCCCCGCGCGAGAAGGGAGGGTGGGTGGGCTCGTCGGTATTGGACACTGTGTCAATATCCTGCTGCGAAGCTTCATCCTCGGAGTCGTCCATCTTGTCGTCGCGGAGGTCCTCCTCTTCTGGATCCTCGTCCACAGTGGCCTTCATCTCACGCAGTCGTTGTGCAGAGATGTCGAGGAGTGCGTCGAGGTCGGGTATGTCGAGCTTCTTGCGAGCAAAGTAGGGGATGACGCGAAAGGCCGCAATTGGTCAGTCAAGTACCGAGCCATCTAATTCTGCGAGAATGTAAGCACCGCCGCGATTCTGAGATATAACGAGAAGGGGTCCCAAGTAGCGAGGTCGCATTTTGCAGTTTAGGGCCTTCTCGATGGCGGTGTTGCGGATGAGGACGAGGTCTCCGAGATCGAAATTGAATGCTCGAATTGTCGCCTGGTGGTCGGTCTCAAATCGGATGGCGGCTTTAACTCATGCTGCGATGACTGCGGTGCGGAGGCGAGCGAGGTCAGAGCGACGCTTTTGGAGTGCGATTGCTCGGCGGGCGATGAGGTCGGTGGTCGACATTGTCTCGGATGGTGGTGGCAGGAGGTACGTTGCTTCCGCTATATCGAGGGGCAGGAGGGGATGAGTTCCTGTCGCTGCAAAGTATGGTGAGCAACCCATGCGACGCCGGACAGTGATGCGATCGGCCCAGAAAACAAACAGTGCTGCTCTATTCCACTTCGACTGATCCCCATCGACCGCCTTGAAGAGAGCTTGTCGGACGTCGAAATGCGGCCTTTCGACAATGCCGTTGGCGCGAGAATTATACCCCGATATTCGAATGTGCGAAATGTGATACTTCTTGGCGAGATGGGTGAGAGCTTTGACGAAGGCTGGCCCGTTATCGGAAACGATCTCGACGAGGGTGCCCCAGCGACAGAGAATATCCTCGAAGATCCAGTTGGCGAGGGCGGCGCTGGTCTCGTTGCGGAACTCGGGATAGTGCGATATCGAGCATCGACCTTGAACAAGGTATCGGAAGCCTCCTGCCGTCGGCATGTGCATCGTGTCCATATACATTTTGGCGAAGAGAGGCGCCGGCGATGTGACGACTGGAGGGATCAAGACATTGCGTGTTTGTCGAATCTGGCAGAGATGACATGAGCGAATGAACCAAGCGATGTCTTGCCTCATAAGCGGCCACCAGAATCTTTCCGCGATGAGGACGCGAGTGGCGAAGAAGCCTTTGTGCGCGACGTCGTCGTGGGCCGAGGCGAGAATGGAAACGCGGTGGTCGGGCAGCGCGACAAGCTTGTGTCGGCCTTGAGCATCTTTCTTCCATAGCTTGTCCGATGATGAGCATGCACCCGCGCTAGGGTCCGAGGGAGGGATTCGGGAAGCTTTGGGGAGATACCGAACAGTGCTAGACAAGTACCGAAGACGCCGACTTTTACCGAACACGGTCGGTCCCTACCCGACCGACGACAAGCCACCGAAGGACGATTCGGCAGCACTTGGGTCAGTTCGCCCACACTTCACGTACTTACCATGACCGCACAGGAGGGTTACGATAGGTGTGTACGAGATCGGAGCCAGTATTCCGTATCGGCCGATGTCCTCCGTGAGTCGGTCGGTCCTTATCGCTTATCGTCCCGACTTCCGCATGGTCGGTCAAACGCAATCTTACACCATTGCTTGGCCACCCTGGTCGTACGATACCTCTTCTTTATTTTTCATTGGTTCTCCAACGCCTGTTCCTGCTACCTACACTCGGGCGACGGATCCCGAACGTTCGGGATTTCGACATCACTGATTACCTTTTACCTTATCACCTTCGGAACCCATATGGACATCTCACCTACCTCCTTATCTTCTCTGATCGCTAAGGCTTGGCGCCCATTCGACATCTACTCTCATTTCTTGTTTAATATTTTACTTAGGGGCTCAGTTTACTATAAAAACCTACATACAACTCTGGAATAAACCAGCTTTCGCACCCCACAGTTCAGAGCTCATTCGCACTCGTCTCAACCATCGAAATCGTCTTCATCGACTCCCGAAAACTTGTCATCCTCGTCGTTCGGCCTCATTCGCGTTCGTACTCATCTCTTCGCTCGTACCCCCATCCTCCCTCGTCTATTGTCAGAGTCCCGTGTGGCTCTTGAAGCACGTAGTTGTCGGTCGCGACACTACCTTCTCGTTACCGACCGAATCCCCGACACGACCGACCGAACGTTCGGTCGGTGTTCGGCGCAGTCCCGAAACCGTTCGGGCGCTATAATCTCATACTCCCCGTTGCTTCTCAGTACGCCATCGATTTCTAAAGTCATCACTAACAATTCCTTGTGTATTAGATACTAGCTCCAGCACCCCCTGCATTAGAGGTTGTTTTGGTGTTGTGCCCGGCACTTAGAGCCACCTCTAGCGTATCACCGAGGCAAGGAAGAATTCAGCGCAGTATCGGAGGAATGTTGTGTACTCAGCGTCGGATAGACCGCTCGGGCGTGTGAGGTCGGAATGCCATTTCCTAACTGCTACGATCTGGTCGTCCGCAGATATCGCTGTGCTGGTGCGAGGAATGTCGGAGTAGTTGAGAGGTGGAGGGATGTTATTATCGATGTCGGTGATGGTGTTCGCGAGAATGGTGAGGCACTGGCGCGCTGATGGCGGTGGTTGAGGGTTGTTTATTTGGTGCATAAAGCTGTAGAGGTTGTTGATCCAGTCTTCGAAGTCGTCGTCAGCCTCGGGACGGTCGCCTGGCTGCGGCGGTCGACGGGAGAGACCATCGGGTCCATGTGAGGCGCCGGGAACGTGGACGAGGGTAAAATGGAATGTGAGGATGGCGATGATCCAGCGATTAATGCTCGCGCTTGGTTCGAGATCTGGATTCGTTAGCATTCCTTTTATATATCTCGCGTCCACCTCGATGACCAAGTTACGGATCCCGATGAGGTACATCTTGAGAGCTCGGAGAGCACGAAACAGGCCGTAGAGCTCTAGTTTTGGCTGCGAGAATCTTGACTCGCGGTCGTTCAGGGTGATGGAGCCGAATCTGGTGTAGTACCGGATTCGCGGATTGTCGAGGTCGCACTGGCAGAGGTGGAATCTGACCGCGAGGTGCGAGGTGTCGACTGCGAGGATGACATTGGCCGGTGAGGAATAGTCGATCGGGCGGAGGGCGGGCGAGGAAAAGAGTGCTGATTTGAGATCGTCTTGTGCCGCGATCTGTTCAGGGCCGAAGATAAAAGGGAAGTCTTTTCGAGTGAGCATTGTTAAAGGGTGTGCTCGATGGGCAAAGTTACGAATGAAGATGCGGACGACGCCGATCGTTCCAAGGAATGCTCGTACTTCCGAGAGATCGCGGCAAGGTCCCCAGTTGACTATCTTCTCAACTCGAGATTCCTCGGGAAGTCGGCCCTCGTAAGTGCAGCAGTGCCCGACGACGATGATCTCGGGCGCGCATAGCGTCGCCTTATGACCCGAAAATGTCCCGCCGCAGTATTTCATGCGCTGGATGACTCGATTGACGCCTTGAAAGTGTTCCCAAACAAATCGCCTGATGCCAGGATTGTCGGGGTGCGTCTCGTAACCGCCGTCAGGTGTCTCGTATCACGTGGCTGGACCTCGGAGGGGAACATCGTCGATGAAGGGTATTGTTGTGTCGGGAATCTCGGGCTGCAAGATGTGAGTAACATCATCATGGAAAATAGGCACCGAGTTTGTCCATCCCATCGGAAGGGTGATGAGGCGATGTGCTCCGAACAGGGTCTGGAATGTCGTGTAATTGCGTGATTTCTCGTCGAGACCTCGTTCGTCGTACCCGACGTAGAGATCGAGAATCCCTCCGCAAGCGCGACCTGCAAACTGCTCAGCAATTTGATCGGTATACGGAGGCACACCTGAGTGCTGTATGGTGACCGTTGATACGCTAGAGGTGGCTCTAAGTGCCGAGCACAACACTAAAACAACCTCTAATGTAGGGGTGCTGGAGCTAGTATCTAATACACAAGGAATTGTTAGTGATGACTTTAGAAATTGAAGGCGTACTGAGAAGCAATCGGGGAGGGTGAGATTATAGCGCCCGAACGGTTTCGGGACTGCGCCGAACACCGACCGAATGTTCGGTCGGTCGTGTCGGCGATGTGGTCAGTAACGAGAAGGTAGTGTCGCGACCGACGACTACGTGCTTCAAGAGCCACACGGGACTCTGACAATATACGAGGGAGGACGGGGTACGAGCGAAGGGACGAGTACGAACGCGAATGAGGCCGAACGACGAGGATGACAAGTTTTCGGAGGTTGACGAAGACGATTTCGATGGTTGAGACGAATGCGAATGAGCTCTGAACTGTGGGGTGCGAAAGCTGGTTTATTCCAGAGTTGTATGTAGGTTTTTATAGTAAACAGCGCCCCTAAGTAAAATATCGAACCCGAAATGAGAGTAGATGTCGAATGGGCGCCAAGTCCCAGCGATCAGAGAAGATAAGAAGGTAGGTGAGATGTCCATATGGGTTCCGAAGGTGATAAGGTAAAAGGTAATCAGTGATGTCGAAATCCCGAACGTTCGGGATCCGTCGCCCGAGCGTAGGTAGCAGGAACAGGCGTTGGAGAGCCAATGAAAAATAAAGAAGAGGTATCGTACGACTGGGGTGGCCAAGCAATGGTGCAAGATCGCGTTTGACCGACCATGCGGAAGTCAGGAAGATAAGCGATAAGGACCGACCGACTCACGGAGGACATCGGCCGATACGGAATACTGGCTCCGATCTCGTAAACACTTATCGTAACACTCCTATGCGGTCATGGTAAGTACGTGAAGTGTGGGCAAACTGACCCAAGTGCTGCCGAACGTCCTTCGGTGGCTTGTCGTCGGTCGGGTAGGGACCGACCGTGTTCGGTAAAAGTCGGCGTCTTCGGTACTTGTCTAGCGCTGTTCGGTATCTCCCCAAAGCTTCCCGAATACCTCCCTCGGACCCTAGCGCGGGTGCATGCTCATCACCGTGTTGAGCGGTTCGAGGCTGTGGACGATACGGAGTTTGGTCCCGGTCGCGGTGCTGTTGGTCTTTTTCACAACCGTGAACCAGCGAGATCGGTACGAGGAGTTCGAGGGCTCGTAAACGCCGGCCGCGATCTTGGTTTTGATTAACTGGCAGACCTTATCGTAGATTCCTGGCGGGATTGGCATATTGCGCTGGACCCACGGTTTGTGCTCGATAACAGGCATGCTAACTGGGGGAAAGAAATCCTCGCGGAAACGTCCGCATTCTGAGTCGTCCCAGGCAAACCCGAGATGTTGAAGACACATGAAGTGGTGCATAAGTTCGCGCTCTGCCGGCCAGAGGAAGTCGGAGGAGTGTACTTGGTTGATCAGGTCGTGTCGTTCGGAGGTATATCGTCCAGTCGGTTTGAATGGAGGGGGGTTGGGCGTGAGTGTTGGTAGGTCTGCAAGGGGGTCACCTCGAATGTTGCGGACGATGCGAAATTTGTCGGGAAGGTCGGCTAGTACCGGGCGGACTTTTAACGCTACAGGCTTGTATTTTCTTTTGGCCGCAAAAATCGCGACTGGGCTAGAGAGATTCAGTGGTGACGTCGAGTGAGGCAAAATGGGAACCGAGCGGCGAGAAGCAATACGAGATAGAGATGTAGACGGGGGCGGGAGAGAAGTGGGGGACGAAATAGAACCAGGAGACGTAGCGCGGAGAGACTTATAGAGGAGAGATGGAGAGATGTTTTTGAGGGCTTCGTGCCGCAGATTGCAGGCTGAGAGATAGGCGAGACTAATATCGAGGAGACGAGGTGAGCGCGAGAATGGAGAAATGGCTTCGATATGAAAGGAGTTCTGGGTATATGGGTCTTCAGCAATAACCAACGTGGCCTCTCCTTGATCGTCGATCAATTCCTCGAGTCCCGAAAACCCGAGTTGTCGCGGTAGAGAATTCTCGGTGGGCCTCATCGAACCGTTGGGATCATTGCCTTCCGTCCGGTGTTCGGGTCACTTATTGTGATCGTCTGATCTTCATTGGCAAAATTCTTGACGATGCTCTCAGTGAGAATGTCGAAAGGTCGACCGAGGAGCACATCGTAGGCGGGGTTGCGAATGATGTGTACCTGGAGGTAAAAAGTGATATTGCCTATTAAGAAGGGGACGTTACGCGCGAGACCGAGGGATTTGTCGATCTCTCCGTTAGCCGACTGCATATTGAGGACGACCTCTGGATCGTAGATGAGGGCAAGCTCGTTGCAGATACCATCCGACATTGCTATGACTTGTGAGCCTGGGTCGATGACGCACTCGACAAGTTGCTGGTGGTCGACGAGGGGTATGATTGATCTTGAAGCAGAAGATTCTTTAGCGACGACGAGCGGTTGGGGAATCTGACCGGGTGAGAGCGAGCTGAGATATTGTTCGTAACAATCGGGCACCACGAGAGATCCCGGCGGAGGTGTCTCTAGTTAGTGGATTATGTGCGCGAAGGAGGAGACTGTCGAGGTCGGTGGGTCGAGGTCGTCGATCGCGTAGGGGAGTTCCGCGTCTTGGTATAACGTCCTGACTTGATTCGGGTCTTTGGGAGGTGTCCTTCTTGCCGATGTTGCCTCGCGAACTTGAGATCGTACTTCCGGGGCGAGCGAGAGGAGTTCGCGCTGAGTAAGCGTCACTTGTGTCGACATTGCCCGGTTATAGACCTCGGAGGCGATTTTCTCATCATAGATGGGTGCCGTCATCTTGTATGCCGGACCGTCTTTCTTGACTACGGAACCGTTGGGTAGTACCCCGATGTTGCGATCGCGAGGCGGCGCGTAGGTGGCGTCGGGGGCGTTGGCGAATGGGTGTACTGGAGGTTCTGCCAGCGCCGGTGCGCGAGGTCTTGTCGAGGCTGTGGCTTGGTGGGCTGGCGCTTCTCGAGGTACCACCGGGGTAGGAGACATCGAGTGGCGGTTGTCGACCTCGGGCGTATCTTCCCAACTGTCGCGGTCGACCTGGGCCTGGGCTCGCGTCCTGACGCCTCCTCGGGTGCGTAGCGCGAAAAGCTCGCGTTCAAGGCTTTGAATCCTCTCGACGTCCATTAACTGGTACATGGCAGTTGCGTCGAGGAGCGAGGGAGAATCGTGTCGGGAGGTGATGCTGACCGATGGTGCTGGAGGGGAGTTAACGGTGAACATCATCGAGCCGGTGGCGATCTGGCCAGGGTTGCGACGGTGCCATTCATCGACGCGATCCTTGAGGTTGTTACCCGGGATTTCTCGCGGTATGAATGCGCCTGTTGATAATACGATCCTTCCTTCCGTGTTCTTCTTGCACTTCCCAACCCTGATATATTCAGCAACCTCACCGCATTCACGTACGAAATGATCGGGTCCTCCACAAAACATGCAGCGGTCCGAGCCACTGGGATCACGACGCGCGCGTGGTGGCTGTGACATTGTCGAGACTTGTGCGGGCTGGTTTGCGAGTGCTTTGACGAAGGTTTCCGCGATGCGTTCGAACATGGTGGCGAGGTCCTCGGTTTTTATCGATGGTTCGGTCTTTGTTCCGCGAGTCGCGCGAGAACTGTCGGAGGAGGCAAGTTGAAATGTCGACGAGGTGCCATGTAAGATAAATCTCGCGGCGTTGTGAATGTCTTGTAACTGGTACGGGTCGTCGGGAAAGTGATCTGGGAACTTGAGCTGGAGGCGTTGCGAGATGCGGCCCCATAATTCGGGCTGAAATCCGCGGGTAAAGGCGCGACCTTGTTCGGCGGTGGAGATGCGATCCTTGCTGAGGAGGAAAGAGGTGATCGCGAGGAACTGGCGGTAGTACTCGCCTAGATCGCTGAGTGATAAAATTCCTATTCTGCTACTTTCTCCGACCAACTTGTCCATATCTGCCACTGACCATTTCCTCTCTTCTTCTGATCCTGGGTAGAGGCGATAAACTGCCTTGCAAAAATCTTCGTAGGATGTTGCGGCGTTGGTGTACTCGGCCAGGGTTTCCCAGAGCTCGCAGGTGTCAACATTGAGGAATCGGCAGGCGTGTTTTATGCGTTCTGTAGTGTCGACGACCGTAGATCTATTGAAGTGGAATTCGAGGTCCGAGAAGTATCGTCAGAGTTCCCGAGGTTGGCGAGGGTCGAAAGTGGGGGCGGTTCTATCGCCGCGGGCTGGCATGGAAGGGGTAGTCATAGCGCTAATGTGAGGCGGGTGTGAAGGGGTTACGAGTGGACGCGATATTGAGAGTAGAGTGGGCGCGGGAAAAGTCGGGGTGGAGTTCTCGGGAGTGTGACTAAGCGATGAAGATATCGAGTGATGGTGGGATAAGATCGGGGATGGCGGAGTGGATTCTAGCTGGGCCAGATCGAGCGATGGGGAGATGGGTGTAAGTTGAGTCCAATTTGGGGATGGAGGAGGTGTTAGGAAGAATGAAGTTTCGAGTGGGGGTGAAGGCGATAAAGGAGTCGGCGAGTTATCTGAGTCAAGAAGATGATGGTGGGAGAGGTGGTAAGGCACGATGTCAGCGTCCGTTGATGAGCATGCACCCGCGCTAGGGTCAGAGGGAGGTATTCGGGAAGCTTTGGGGAGATACCAAACAGCGCTCGACAAGTACCAAAGACGCCGACTTTACCAAACACGGTCGGCCCCTACCCGACCAACGACAAGCCACCGAAGGACGTTCGGCAGCACTGGGGTCAGTTCGCCCACACTTCACGTACTTACCATGACCACATAGGAGTGTTACGATAAGTGTTTACGAGATCAAAGCCAGTAGTCCGAATCGGCCGATGTCCTCCGTGAGTCGGTCGGTCCTTATCGCTTATCTTCCCGACTTCCACATGGTCGGTCAAACGCGATCTTGCACCATTACTTGGCCACCCTGGTCGTACGATACCTCTTCTTTATTTTTCATTGGTTCTCCAACGCCTGTTCCGTCTACCTACGCTCGGGCGATGGATCCTGAATGTTCGGGACTTCGCCATCGCTGATTAACTTTTACCTTGTCACCTTCGGAGCCCATATGGACATCTCACCTACCTTCTTATCTTCTCTGATCGCTAAGACTTGGCGCCCATTCGACATCTACTCTCATTTCTTGTTTAATATTTTACTTAGAGGCTCTGTCTACTATAAAAACCTACATACACCTCTGGAATAAACCAGCTTTCGCACCCCACAGTTCAGAGCTCATTCGCACTAGTCTCAACCATCGAAATCGTCTTCGTCGACTTCCGAAAACTTGTCATCCTCGTCGTTCGGCCCTGTTCGCGTTCGTACTCGTCTCTTCGCTCGTACCCCTCGTCCTCCCTCGTATATTGTCAGAGTCCCGTGTGGCTCTTGAAGCACATAGTTGTCGGTCGCGACACTACCTTCGCGTTACCAACCGAATCCCCGATACTACCGACCGAACGTTCGGTCGGTGTTCGGCGCAGTCCCGAAACCGTTCGGGCGCTATGATCTCACACTCCTCGCTACTTCTCAGTGCGCCATCGATTTCTAAAGTCATCACTTACAATTCCTTGTGTATCAGATACTAGCTCCAGCACCCCCTGCATTAGAGGTTGTTTTGGTGTTGTGCTCGGCACTTAGAGCCACCTCTAGCGTATCACCGTAAATAGGCTGAGATCGGCGTCGAGTCCGAGGTTACTGAAGCTGGCGATAAGTTCTTGGATCTCGTTGCGTTTGGCGGTGGGTCGGGAAGATCGTCGGAGGTCCCTCGGTGGAATTTTGAAAGTCAACCCCTCACGGTGGGCTCCAAAATGATGTGCTTGCAATGGCTCTGCGTGCGAAAACACAACACAAAACACACCACTAAACACAGGGTAGGCGGGGAGCTGACTTCACTACAAATATCGAGGGACCCTTTGTAAGTTGCGAGACGGGGCGTGATATACGTACTACGAGATATCGAGTTTATCTGGAGAGGTGATGCAAGGTCACGCGACAATACTCTCGTGTGAGATGGGGGACCGTGGGTTAAGGCGCGAGTGACCGAGTCAACTTGTGGGCAGCGACGAAGGCCCTGACAATAGCGGCGATGAAGGCAACGAGTGCCAAATTGAGCGAGTACGATGTTGGTGCGATGCGATATGAGCGAGATCCTCGTGCGAAGTTGAGCTCTAAACAGAGGGGTGTTCGAAACTGGTGTATTGCAGTGTCGTAGGCAGGTATTTATAGTAAGTCAAAGTGAGTATAGTAAACGCGAACTCGTAAGGTAAAGTAAATTGATATCGCGCCAAGACCGTAACATAGAAAGATAAAGAGAAGACCACGTGCAGAGGTGCTCGCAGACCGCGAGGTTCTGTCGTGCCACGGTCGCAAGACAAAGCGATATTTAGTAAAGAGGTGTAGCGGTGAGACGAGGTAAACTCTAGGAAGGTGGAGGGGCAATGGATCACGGGACCTGTACTACCCAATAAGCGCACGCGATAAAGCTCTCTGCGATATCGCGTCGCGGAGCTGCTCGCGGTGCGGTCTGTGCGGTCGATGCTTGCGAGGCGTATGGTGAGAGCTTGGCGAGGTCTTTGCGGGTGCAGCAGGCTCGAGGTCATCGTGCGATACGCGTGGGGGCTGAGTGAGATGATGCGAGGCGATGACTGGGGGGGGTGTGAGACAAGACCGCGTCGGCCCGATACCGTAATGCTGAGGTCGTAGTGGGCATCGGAGGGAATCACTCTGGGCGGCGGGGCCACCCGGCGGTCTCTGGGGTATCTCCTGAGGTCAGCATGCTAGTGCTCGTAGAACTGCGAAAAACGGGGTCCCGGCGCTTAGAGAGGTGGCGCGCTCATCACCGCGGTCGAGGGGTCTATAGGTTCACATGTCCTTCCCCTCGTTTTCAGGCTGTACCCCTGACTTTTGGACTTCGCCACCTGGCCTCTCGCACCCGACCCCCTCTTATCAAATACTACTCTAGCAACTTTGACGCACTCCCTCTTGTCAACCACCGTCGCACCCTCTGAAGTGGTACAGAAACATTGTCCTGTATGACGTAAAACTGCAGGGGCCGACGACGGTTTGACTCCGTTGGGCCGGTAACCACTGCCACAATGAGACAAGGGACTCGGCTCTAGAATGCAGTCCCCACGTGGTTTGTAACAAGGTGGTGTATTATGACATCCGTACTCAAGGGCTATCGTGTCATGACTCGACAATAGGCAGTGAGAATTTGTGCCTTACGTATTACTTTCCCATGCGCTCTATAACCCGGACTATACGCATTGCTTATGTTTTTCTTGAACTCTTACTTACCGTCTCTGGCACTGATGGCCTAGAGGGGGGGTAATGTTACGAAATGTCTTGCTTATGCCTACTTACTTTTTCCCACCGTCTCGACAAGGACACATAGGACCTTTCTCCCGACTCTACCTCGCGTCCCCGCTCCACCAATACTTGGTCCATGCTCTCGCTTGTACATATTTATAGATACTGAGGCACAGTGTGGAAGCCTTAGGCTATCCACTTCTGTCCAATCTAAGAACTGCTGTTCACACAGTCTTCTCTGATTCCAAGACACCAGTCTGATCAGCCCCGATCATCCTCTCAAACCTCCTTGTATTGTTTGTGGCCTAGGATCTCCTCGTCTCAAACAGCCGTTCGTGACAATAGTAGCCACAGGAAGTAAGCAAGCATCAAGCTCTTCAATGAGGGTGGCACATATAGAGGGTACTGTCATAAGGGCATGTGGATATGTTATAATGGGCGAATACAAAAGGTCAATTCCTGAGTTTTTGGAAATATATGAGTCAAGCTTATAGTCAATCATAATTCAGTTGTGGGTCAAGAAAGGCCCACCCAAGATTATTGGCATATAAAGAGAGTTGGAGGCTATTAGAGTGCATACCATATATAAAACAAAAGGAGAATCAAGAGAGGCAAAGGATAATTTAACCCAATAGAAGGTAGAGAAAGGCAAGCTAGTTATTTTGACACCAGGCACTGTGGAAACAATAGAAGGTGGGAACAAAAGTGAAACCAAGTGACTAGTGGAAACAGATAGAGCAGTAGCAGATATAGCTGCTAATAGAAGCAAAAAGAGAGCCAAGCAAGTAGTAGAGGCAGATAGAACAGTAAAATTGGGAATAGATGGGATAGATTAGACAAAAGCAGAAATAAAAGTGAAGTGAAGCATAGTAAGGACTGTAGAGCTCTCTCTCCTTTCTAATGCCAGACTCAAAGGAATTGATTATAGAAGAGGTCAACAATGGAGTCTAGCCAATGTTATGAGAGAATCTCAGATTAATACAAACTGAAAACTATCATCAATAAGAGCTTGTGTGGGCATTGGCTGATTGAGGGCAGGGCCATCAAGCAGGCAATACTATACAAGGCTGGGTGTTTGAAAAGATATAAGAGGTGTGGCATATAAAATGTTACTGCCTAATTCATCATCTTCTAAGAGGATACTGGACAGCAGCAGATTAGGCAAAGGCATAATAGCTGTAACACAGCCTCATATAGTAGCCTTGACCAGCTTTGTTGTACCTATAATAAGGCTGCAGTATAGAGGTATTAGGAAAACTGTTTGGACAAGCACTGGCAAGGTGACTAGCATGTAAACAATAGTATTTGAAGCAATCTTTATTTGCTGACAGATCCTTATGCTCAGAATTGGTAAGTTTTGCCAGATATGCCATTATGGGGGTAGAGACAGTTCCATGTAGATTTGTTGGTGGCACACAGGGGTTGTAGGGTGGAACAGACTGTATAGTCATATAGAGGTGGGAGTGCTTAGTGTGGATGCACTCAATTTGGCAAATTCAAGCATTGTTGAGGTATTTCACAACTATCAGCCAGTTATTTAGAGACAAGGAGGATGTAAACTTAGCAAAAATAATTTTAGCATAGAGTTCAACATTTATCAAGGTAGTAAGCTGTCATTGAAAAGCATCATTCAGCAGCCAGTTCATGGTTTGGAAAAGCTGAGAGTTTAGAGTGTACAGTCTATTAGACTAGTCCTAGAAAGGGTTGTTACCTTGCTAAGAGATTAGGATATAGGAGCTTAGTCAGTTTTGCCAGTCAGATTCAAGCCATGCTTTATAGAATTCAGCTATAAAGTCACCAAACAAGAGTATATAGAAGTGAGCATTGTCAATGGTGAACCACATTTGTATGCTCAGGTCCTATATACCTCACTGTATCTTTTTTACCTAGTCAATGTCTAGGACAGACTTCTCCTCAAAATAAGTGATTACATATTGCTCCTAGTTAGCTAGTATATTAGAAGTTATAGACCTAGTAGTAAGGATAGGTACTTTAGAAATAGAACTCTGTTTGACTAAGATATAATTAGAAGGCATATGGGGTAATTAGTGGGATAGAGAGAATGACAATAACAATAATAATGATGATAAGGATAATAAGGATAAGGATAATAATAAGGATATCAACAATAAATTAGAGAATGGTGAGGATTAGGGGTTTATAGGAACTAGTAGTTAAGCATCACTTATAGATAGTAGTAGTGCTGATACTAGAAGTATGAAAAAGTCTTTTTCAAATGGTGTAAACGGTAAGGAAGAGAGTTCAGAAAAGTTGGAGGCAGCTAAGGATGGCAAGGATATGTTCATAATTAGAGTGGTGGTATTGTGGGAACATAAGGAACAAGTGATGACAGTACAAGGACACGCAAAGGAGGAACAGGAATGAAGAAGAGGTAGATTAGGCAAATGAGATATTGAGTTAATATTTAAAAAAAGTGGAAGAGTGCAGAATAGTACACAATACTCAGAGGGTTTAGACAGGGAATAGGAATAATAGGACAATGTTGTGATGTTATGAGTCTAAGGGAAAGATGGACAAAAGAATAAGAAGTAGCAAAGAGAGGGGAGTTTGGAACTGCTATAAGTAGGTAAGGTGGTTGAGTACTTATGGTGAACCAGTAGATATGTGATAGCTAATAATAATCTAGATATTGAGGGTAAGTGTCAAAGTGAGTATAGAAATAGAGTGGTAAGTATGTACAAGAGCATGGCTATAAGTAAGAGATATATGACATTTCCAGAAAAGGATAAGAAGATATGTGGATGGTATTAAGGTGTTATGTAGTAAGCCTCAGGTTTACAAATGGTCATCAATAATTATCTATGACTATAGTTGGTGTTATGATCATGACTTATCGGGCCTTTACGGCAGTCTATTCCGGTACAATCATCACAACTGCTAGGCGACCTCATACCCTGAGGCATACATAAAGGTACAGATATCATCTTTGGTCATTTACTCCTAGCAGATCATCCATCGCTGGTCGAGTATCACAAGCCTTGTTGCAGTGGGCATCCTTTCCCGCCTTACAAACTACTCACACATGGGCATGGAGCTCCTTGTCCTCTTAGTCAGAAAGAGACAAGCAGAGAAGCAAAAGTAGTCATTCTGAGAGAGAAACGACTTAGAGAATACCTACAGATACATATATGGTATTCTCACGCCCTTTCCTAGAGTAGTATAAAAGGCCCATAGAATAGGCTAAGGATCTTTAGTCTATTCTCTTCATTCTACTGTGGTCTTCAAACCACAGTCTTTGTTCTTTCTGTATTCTCACATACAGAACTTCGTTCTTATTGCCGTCGCTGCAATATACATTTGGCTCCTGTGCTACGCGTACAGTCGAGACCATCATTCCACTCTTCCTCCACAAGCAACCTAGGAAAGAACCTCCTACTCTTGGGGTTACCGAACAAGCAGTTCGTAATACTAGAATAGACTCTTCTGCCCCTACCTTGCTCGCACTCTATCTTGCTGCCACACCCTCTCTCACAACCTTACTTAGTGGGGATATAGACCCCCATTAAGCAAGTGTTACTGCACACACCCTGGAGAAAGACCTAGGCCAAAACTACCCCCCTGACACTAGATATATAAATAACCAGTTCTGTTATAACAATTGCCCTATTCGGCAATAAGGAGGCCGTTGGTTCTATAAAGACACCAACAGAGACACTCCACCCAACCATGATAACTGCTCATACCAAAATGGGTGTTATTACTTCACATTTGACGATAGAACAGAGGAAGAGTTCATTTGAAACAAAATAGAGAACCGTTGGGATCCTGCACCCCAGTTGAGAGATCTGGAACCAGAAATCCCCAATGAATCGGAGCAAGAGGAATCAGCCTCTCAATCAGACTCCAACCCATCACCAGACCAAACACCAATCAATACCCAAAACCAACCACTCGTCAACATGTCGGGACAAGCATCGACTTCTACAAACATCCCTTCCATGACTGTACAACCCAGAAGAGGAAAAGTCAAACTCCCAGACAATTACATAGGTGACCGCATTGAATCCCAGAAATTCATGCTCCAATGCCTCCTTCTTTTTGCAGCAGAGTCTGACCAGTACAAGACCGATCAGGACAAAATATTCCTTGTGCTCTCATGCATGAGATACAGCATGGCAGGAGCTTGGGCAGAGAACTTTCTCCTCAAAACAGTGGGAGCGGATCCTCCCACTGACCTAGGCACCTGGGTGAACTTTTGAGCAAAATTCAAACTACAGTTTAGGGAGACAGGTAAGACCGACAAAGCGCAAAGCATGCTCATGGCCTTCTCCCAAGAAAAGATGATGGTTGACAAGTACTCTGACCAATTCATCCTCATTGCTGCCAATGCTGACATCTCCAAAAAGGAGCAAGTCCCCTACTTCCAATGTGAGCTAGACCCGCGTGTCATGGACAAAATCTATGACAAGGAAGTCCAACCAAAGGACAAAATCCAAGACTGGATTAATATGGCCTGTGAAATAGATGGATGGCTTAGAGCCAGAAGTGCTCAAAAGGCCATCCTCGCCAACTCTACCTCCTTTCGAAGCAGATTCCTGAATCACTTTCATATCCAACCTGCTTCATCTGGAAAAACACCCCCTTGTATTAGCTCTGGATTATATCTAATAGTGTCTAAAAGTATCTAAAAGTATTAATAGCATCTAAAAGTATCTAATTTCTTAATTGGGAGCAACACATTGTGAGCATTGGATTGGTTTCTAATTTCATGATATTAGTACTAATTCTATACTAAGAAGTCTCTAATTATTAGTAGGAAATAGTAAATACTACTGCTCTATCAGTAAGAAGGTAAAGATGTGGCACATTCTATACTATTTCAGCATATTACTCTCCTTTATATATGCCTATACCATTATCTTGTAGCTCTTTTGCTGACTTTCCAGCTGCTTTTATAAGGGATATAGAAAGAGAGAAATGTGCATTGATGCCCCCAGCCACTTTGTTGGCAGCTTGGAAGCTGCCACAAAAGGCTATGAAGATCTAGGTACCTTGTCCTTGCACACAAGATCATTAAAGTTGTCATTGTTGGCCAATGCCTGCTACTGGTCATTATAGGACATAACATGTGGGTTGGACTTAGGGATATGCTATATGCAGCCTTATAGACCTTGTCTATTAGTACAGTGATTAATACTGTCTTGTGCAGCACACAATCATCATCACTATTGATATTACAATTTTTAGCACTATTTATATTGTTTATTGCCTTGTTATACAGAAGATGCTCAAACTTGGTGTTTTCCTCTAGCTATTAGGCTATGGAAAAGACAGTCATATTGGTATGTGGTGCCAGAATGATATATTTGCCTGCCATATAGGAAATATATGCATTAAGCATATTAAGATCACCTCCAACAATCTTGTGCTTATTTATATATAGGCATGCCATACATATACTCTTGTCCCCACCCTCTACCTCACTGGTGGCTATTTGGAAAACCCCTCTCTCTTATTGGATCTTGATTATTCATAATCATGTTTTTGATCAAATTTGCAAATTCAGGTAGCATTGTCTATACTAGTAGAGTCCCATTAAATATTACACTCAATCATAGTTTTACACATTCTCAGTCTAAATTGTATAAGTGCCATAATTTATTTTTATCCTATATAAAGTGTATTATTTATTTTCCATTGGTTTATTATCTTCTTAGCTGGTGTTTAAACTAAATCCTGAAAGACCTGACTTTTTAGGTATTTATTAACCTATTTATTTATAAGATAGAGGAAAGATAAATGTTAAATAAAATCAGAGATGTTGAGGTTGCCTATATTATGTCTACTTATGTAGATTACCAAGTTTATATCTTAGACCTTGTGGCTTAGTGGCTTAGAGCATCTGTCCTAGGTGCTTGCATACATAAGGTTATTGGTTCAACTTTGGCAGAAGGCAAGTTTGTTATAAGATATATTCTGTGTTTAGGTATTGAACTAGTGCTCTAATAGACATGACTCTATAAGAAGGCTATGAGAACTGTGATGATTTTTCCAAAATTTCAAGTTATAATCAATCCTAATAATTCCTAATTTAGGAAAATTATGTCTAATTTGAACAGGTTTAGAGGGGGGGTAAGCTAAAAATGTCTAATCCTAATTGTTCTTAATTATGCATAAATAGAACTAATTAGAGCTTAATACAAAGGGGTGGTTTTCCAAATGAGGCCAAGGTACTGAGGTCTTTATAGTCTCTTGTGGCAGCTGCTAAGCTGCCAACAAAGTGGCTGGGGGCATCAATGCATATTTCTCTCTTTCTATGTCCCTTGTAAAGGCAGCTAGAAAGTCAGCAAAAGAGCTACAAGATAATGGTGCAGGCATATATGAAGAAGAGTAATGTGATGAAATAGTATAGAATGTGCCACATCTTTACCTTCTCGCTGATAAAGCAGTAGTACTTACTATTTTCTACTGCTAATTAAAGACTTCTTGGTATGGAATTAGTGCTAATATTATAAAATTATAAACCAATCCAATGCTCATAATATGTTGCTCCCAATTAGGAAATTAGATACTTTTAGATGCTATTAACACTCTTAGATACTTTTAGACACTATTAGATATAATCCGGAGCTAATACAAGGGGGTGGTTTTCCAGATGTTTCCACAGGGATTGTATCAATGTCATTTTTGATGAAAATGACGATGATAAATGTCTGAAATGACAGTAAAATACCTTCATCCTCGGAAGGCCAAGTCTATTGTGACTCAAGGGACACAGTCAGACAATAGCAGTCACCTACCTCATGGCATTAAATTGAGTGGTCTTATAATCTTGAGGCATTACAAGTTATCCGGTTTGATATAGTATAAACTGTTCCCATCATGCCTCAGTGGAATCTGGGAAGGCAAAGTCTGGTCTATGGCCCTATGCACATAACCGATGAATAGTCCAGCATGTAGAAACATCTTCCCTTACAGATCTTCCATGTTGATGATAAAGAAGGTCTGAAATGACCTTGAAATATAAACTATCGGGCAGCGCAGGGCACCTTAATGGGTTCGCAATTGACCTTAAACTACAAGCATCCACCATGACGTTAAACTAGCAAATGTCCAGAATGATGTTTAAACTACCATTGTGGATATATCTTGCAGACTCAACAAATACATCAGCTGTGGTCTTGATGTCTATTTGTGTATGTGAATGGGCAGTCTTGGAGAAGGAGTCAGACTCCTCCTGTCTCCTTACTGCGCCCTTCTAGTCTGATTCTCTTCACATCCTTGCCTCGAACCCAACACTACATGTAGTATTCCCCACCATAGGCCCATGTTTGTGACAAACAAACTCTGGTAGCCAATACTACCTCACTGGAGATGAGCTCACCATATGAGAGCAATACTGCTTGGGATTGGCTAGGACCTCAACCAGAGATAAGCTCACTGTATGAGAACAATCCTGCTTGGGACGACATGCTGGTAGTCTGGAGAAGTAGGCCTAAGCCTTTGTAAAGTGATCAACCTACTTGTCCGTGGACACCACTTGTCGTCAAGAGGAAACAACAATCACAGGGATAAACGACTATCCTGGAAACACTGAGGTTTAGCCCTTGGAGAAGGAAAAAGAAGAAATTGATGACATGAATTAGAACCCACATGCTTGAGTTTTTACTCATCCATCTACCACTCGCATTCATATGCCTTTCTTGATGTCGTTCTAGGGCGAACTGGAGTAAGACCATTAGGCAGGGACCCATGGCAAAACAAATTGACGGGTGAAGGAAGAACATCCTATGGGTAAGGGGTTTGGAACATCCTAACAGACGACAAACAAATAGCTCAACAGAGATGGAAAACTCCTAGAGGATCAAATGATGTAAGTCAGTCTTCCTCCCAGAAAATGCAGTCATATCCCAGAAGACGCATCCAGTCGATACAATGTTGATTTAAGAAAGCAAATCATATATGGAGTGGCGATGAAACGCAAGGTGTTGTCTTACTAGGTAAATAGGATGTAGAAAGGGGGTATTGTTATGATCACAACTTATCGGGCCTTTACAGCGGTCTATTCTGATACAATTATCACAACTACCAGGCGGCCTCATACCCTGGAGCATACATAAAGGTACAGATATCATCTTTGGTCATTTACTCCCAGCAGATCATCCATCACTGGTCGAGTATCACAAGCCTGTTGCAGCGGGCATCCTTTCCCGCCTTACAAACTACTCACACATGGGCATGGAGCTTCTTGTCCTCTTGGTCAGAAAGAGACAAGCAGAAAAGCAAGAGTAGTCATTCTGAGAGAGAAACGACTTAGAGAATACCTATGGATACATATATGGTATTCTCACACCCTTTCCTAAAGTAGTATAAAAGGCCCATAAAATAGGCTAAGGATCTTTAGTCTATTCTCTTTGTTCTACTGTGGTTTTCAAACCACAGTCTTTGTTCTTTCTGTATCCTCACATACAGATGTTTGTTCTTATTGCCGTCGCTGCAATATATATTTGGCTGCTGTGCTACACGTAAAGTCGAGACCATCATTCCACTCTTCCTCCACAAGCAACCTAGGGAAGAACCTCCTACTCTTGGGGTTACCAAACAAGCAGTTCGTAACAGTTGGGCACTTTTGCTAATATTATAGTTATAAGCATAACATTCCAATGGCATAGTATAAGGGACCATACCAGACAAAAATCAATTCAAACCCCCTATTCTAATAGTAAATCATTACTTCTTGAACAATTATCAGAAACTACTAGATATTACTAGGAATTGTTGTTATAAGTTAACAAATTCTAGCTTACACTAATGTTTCTCACTATGTATTTCCCTCAAACTATTGGCAATTGTTGGTATTTCTGAGCTAATGCTGTATTTTCTCTGCTCTAATTTTACTTGTTCAAAGCTTATTTGTTTATGATTGCCAGCATTCATGATCAATTGATGCTTGGATAAGGTTAGCAAATATCAGCAAGTGCCAATAATTTGATTTTCATCCAAGAAAATCCTTTAAACTTCATAACACAGCCACACAAAGCACCTTACCAAGAACATTTCTTTTTAAGAAAAACTAATCTTATAAAAAAAAAAATACAAATCAAATTAACCAATGTGCACTTTTAGACTACTCTTTTTTCTCTTAACTTGGCAATATCTTTCTGACTATAACCAAGCTCTACAAGAACCTGTTCAAATATAAACCTAGGAGCTATGGTTATAATGTAACACAAAACTGACCTCACTAGTATGCTGTGAAAGCCATGGAGGAGGCCTTTGTACAGGCATTCTTTTACCATTATACATTACCGCCGGTGCTACCAAGCTGATTTTACCGGCCCGTGGATGCTACAATTGTCACACTGTTATTTCATCTTTTGTGGTGAAGAATGGCTGACTGAAGCTCACTTCTATTTCCACTACCACATTGCGGGCCTTACCTTGGGGATGCTCAAATGTCTGCTTGATATTATTGATAGGACCAAAAGGTATCCTGCCGACCCTGTCAATATACGGTTAAATCGGTAAGATCAAGGTAATATGCATACCCAAGCCCGATAAACTTCGTTAACCAGTGTTCTCTTGTCTCTTTCATGAGATTGTCCGTAATGATAGCGACGAGAGCATCACGATTAGCAACTCGCGCAGCATTGTTAACAAACCGAGGGTCAGTGCTCAATTCTGGCTGGTTGAAGACCCTGTCGGCGAGCTTTCCAAACTAGAAACGATTGGTCAAACCATGTAAAATTCGATGATATGGCAGTAGAAAACACACCTGGCGGTCATTTCCAGCACCTATCATGATGTATCCGTCCTTGCAGGAAAATACTTGGTAGGGCACGATGGATGGATGAGATGTCCCATGCCTTCCGGCCTCTTGGCCGGCAACAAGGTAATTCGATGCAATGTTTGCCAATCCGGCAACCTTGAATCACTGTGAGCCTGAACATATACGTGAAGTTCAGTCACGTTTCCTCGGATGCTTACCTGTGAATCGAACAGGCTACAATCGATCCAGACGCCACGACCCGTCTGCTGGCGAGAAAGCAGCGCAGCCATGATAGCCCCGTGCGCATAGAGGCCCGTCGCAATATCAGTCACTGCAACGCCAACCTTGGAAGGCGCACGATCAGGTTCGCCGGTGCTGTTCACATAGCAAACGCCGTAAGAACATTCCGCTGATGCATATCGAAGGACGTACATGTGCATAAGACCCGCCTCTCCTTCGATGACCACGTCGTACCCAGCAGCCTCTCTATATGGACCAGTCTGGCCGTATCCTTCGATCCCGGGAGAGCGGGGTTCAGAGGCGACGAATCGGATAATACATATACAAACGCACCAGTGATCGAGGTATAAATGAGTCTCTCATTTATCTTCTTGCAATCCTCGTATCCAAGCCCCATGGAAGACAGTTTTCCTGGGATGTAGTTTTCAACAAGTACATCCGACTGCGCGATAAGTTTGCGTATAATGTCGAGGCCTTCCGGAGCCTTAAAGTTGACAGTGATGGAACGCTTGTTCCTGTTAGCGGCGAGGAAATAAGCAGACTCTGGCGGTAAATGAGAAGACTCGGTCGGGGCGTCTGGAGAAAGAGGAGCAGATGGTGGGTTCCACGACCCTAGAATAGTCGTGCATTTGGCAAGTCATGAGTGAGCACCAATGCATGTCAGAGAGCTCGAAACTCAACGGGTATCATCGCCACGAGTGACTTCCTCGACCTTGATGACGTCTGCTCCAAGATCGGCGAGTAGCATGGTCGCAGTGGGCCCGGCAAGGACCCTTGTGAGATCAAGGACGCGTGTACCGCGTAGTGGGGGCGGCATACCCTGTTCGACATCGCGATGAACAAGGCGTCTCGAATGAACTGCCGTCCGAGTGAGGAGAGCGCGATATGTTAGGATGGAGAGCATGGGTAAGTATGCTTGAAGACGGAGAAAGACACGGGGGAGTGTCTTGAATATGGGGTATCATAATAACGTTACCGAGCAACCGTGGGGCTCCGTGGGGTTGCTCAGCTGAGCGAAGCCCTATCATGTCCGGGTTTCACCGCTTGTATCTTCCAGGCCTCGCAAGATTCTCGCAAGGCGTCGACGACGTCCGTCCTCTCAGTCTCGCACTGATCGTCTTTTTCTTCTGCAACAGTAACGACACGACATGAACAGCACAGTAACGCTCACAGACCTCCTTCCTTCGACGGCATATATCCTCGCCTACACCCTTCCCCTACTTTTTCTCTCTTTCCTCCTCACCTTCGCAGGTGCTTTCCTCACACTCGATCGCACACGATCGTTTGCACCTCGCAACGATGTTCTTCAGATGCCTGCGTCTGTCAACGTCAAACAGAAAAAGGTTTCGCACTTTTACCTTGAAGGGGGCATCGGTGGTCTCGCGATAGGATATGTCTTCGGCCGTATGTCCTATTCACATATCCCCGTATGGACTTTCACTCCAACGATTCACAGTTCACCTTTCAACCTTTCTCTCTTTGCTCATTCCAAACGACACCTCGTCGCCGTCCCTTACGTCCAAGTCTTTCCTCGCGGTTTGGCTCCTTTCCTCCCTTCCTATCGCCATCTTCGGAGGCCGATTCAGCATCCTTTCTCTTGCCCTGGGAGGAATCACTGGGGGGTATGTTGTTTAGCTCTCAGTTCAGATTTCCATTAACTCTCTTAATTGTAGTACATCCCTCGCACTTGCCTTAAGCATCACGCTCCACCCGTCCCTTCTTACTCGTCGCATTTTATTCGCGCTTCTTCTACCTGTCTTATTTGTACTCACGATCCTTCCCTTCGATCGCACACGACATGCTTCTCTCCGTCTTGCTGCGAGTGCCTCCGGTGCATTCGGTATCATCATGTCTATCGCCCTTCTCGCGCAGGTTCCTGCCTGGGGAAACACCTGGGAACGCCTCTGGATTAGTGATGGCAATAGTTGGGGCACAAGCGCAGAGCATGGGCTGAGCGCTGGATTCTGGCTGATACTGACCTTAGGCTGCCTGGCTGATTGGACATTGAGGCGAATCTATGGAGCAAACCCGGACCAGGTACATGCCCCTTTCCCACAGTTTATATGATGAGAACTCACATATTATCTCTATCAAGAAATGGGACGCGTACCTAGCGGACTATACCACTGCTCTCCCAAACGCCTCTGATCGCTCTGGGACCTTCCAACCGCTCTCCTCCTTCTGGGACCGTCTTTTCAGACCCTCCCATCGCTCGTCCCCATCGTCTTCGCTGCTCTTCTCCACTCCAGGTGATGACTCCAAGCACTTTCAACCGTCGTTGCCAAATTCTCGCGTGCCCACCATGGTTCATCAACGTGGTTTCGCCCTCGAGAAAGCCTCAGTCGAATCTTCTTTAACGTATAGCCAGCGACCTGGTGTTCTGAGAAAGCACTCTCATTGGCCTCTCGCGCGCATCATGGCGCCTGCAAACACAGAGAGTACTACACAACGCAAGCGTGAAGCAGTAAAATTCCGTCCTATCACCAGGACCACGTCAGACTTGGATTCAGATTCCGACAACGACGCTAGCACGAAAATCGACGACGCTCTCTCTGCCTCCCCTCCAAAACGTCGCCTATCCACTCATTCGAGCATGTCCAAAACGCTCACCGATGCTTCAACATCCCATACATTTGACAGACACGAAGACAAGGCTCTTTCGTCAGAGGACGTTGCATCGCCGAGCTACATCAAGAACAATGGTAGGCTTGATTATTTCGATGACGAGGAAGACGTGACTGTGTCTGCCGCGAAGCGTTCGCGCGACACTCCAGGCTGGAGCCCGCCATTCCTCATGCGCGCCGGTTCCACGAAGGGACAAGATACACCACCCGGAGCAGTCCCAATGACACCTTCGCTTATACATGCTCTTGATCGCATTGCAGTAGCTCAACAGAATGTGTTCAAGCCTCAAGGCATGCCGATTTCAAGCTCTAGGGTTTCTCCGACTCGCGCAAAGGAAACGGCAATAGTACAAGACAACCAGTGGGATTCTTTTTGGCAAGATGTGAGGCAGAAGGCAGGTGACAGCATGCAGCATAAATAGGTGACGGGGGCTTAGGCTGTCGATCATCGAGATCTCGAGGTTCCGTGCTTTGTACGACCTTTCATGTTATAACGACCTTACACGACTTTCACGAGCGTTGCGTATTTGGGGGAGCTGTTTATTTATCTGCTTTTTATAACTATTAGTATGGTATGCATCAGTCAGTCGGTATTAGCTGTGAACATGTGAAGTCCCATCCTGAATAAGTATTTCTCTGGGACACTAGAGGGAAGTGATTCAGCCCTGAAAGATCTGAAACCTTTGGACCATCATCATCGTCTTGGCAGGTGATGTTAACACGCAATCAGTCCGCATCGCATCAGATTTGTCCTGTTTCACTGTGATAACTGTAAGCCGGTCCACTCACTAGCATCAATATGGCCGCATTCCATGAAGCATTGAGTATCCCCTTGACCATATGTGCTTCGAGATACAGCGTCTAAGGAAAACGTACCAGACACAAACTCTTGCTTGTATGTGCCGTTTCATAAAATGCTACGACGAAGGAATACGACCGCTTGAGGATGGTCAGAGATATTCGGAAGGGAAAGCGTACGTTAACAAATGTGAAGCATATCCATCCTTAGGCTCTATCCAGCTGCAGCATGCACGTCATTTGCATGTGTCTATCCGTTGGCACTGTCACAATACAATGAAATCGCAGAAACGTACATTGATCCCTGAACGAGCGTTGTGGTATCCTTCAGCTCGTCCACCGTCTTCCGCACGGCAGCAATGCGCAACCGGCCCTCACAGGTTGAATCATTCCCGGTAGGACTTCGCACCTCGGTGAAAGGCACATAGGCTGGCATAAGACGCCATGAGAGCTCCCTATCAATTTCGACCTGAACGCTCTCTGTGCTTATCCCTATCGCCGCGATACTCCTCGTGTCTCCCGTTCCTACGTTGATCCTTCTGGTAGACGTCGCGCTCGTGTTGCTCACTTCTTCTTTCGCTTCCACGATCCCGCTCCCGCTCGCGTTTCCGGTCCCCAGGACGGTCACGATCCTGCTCGTAGTCGCTCTCTTTTCGACTTCTCCGACTGGGCGACTGTGACCGAGACGACCGATGCGAGTTCGTGCCAGAAGGGGGCTGTGACCGAGATGACGAGGCTCTCCCCTCGTCCCTCCCCTGTCTGACAACAGGCACGTACCTCTTATCCGGCCGACCCTTCGCCTTCCGCATGCTTCCATCGTCCAAAGCCTCACGCTCCTTAGCACCGATACCCAACAGCGCTGGTCGAGCCTGCGGGAGCCATGGTTCGACGGGCCCTTTCTTCTTCTTGCTCGCTGCCGTTCCTTCCTTCCAACCCATCCCACGCAACAGCGCTGCGCCGAACTGCTCAACGGGGACGCGCTCGTAATCATCTAGCGTTGCTTCATCGGGCAGGGCGTCAACGTCCTGCTTGAACGCGTCGTCTTCGGTTGGCCTACGTCCCCACTCGTTTCCTCCTGCAGGAATGATGTCGATGTGAGGTCCACCCTCGCGAGTTTCGCCTCGAGCGCTTGCAAGCACCGCGCGAATGGCACGTTCTTCATCTGTCTCTCCCTCCTTTACTTCTGCGGCATCTTTCGCTCCTGCCACACCCTCCTGTAGCAGATGATCTTTAGATCCTGCGTCGTTTTCATCTGACTCTGTCTTTGGCCGTTTGCGAGGCGCCTGCAGTCCTTCTAACTGCACACCGGAATTGATGGTGTCTCTGGTGCCTAAACCTCCAACGCTTCCATCCTTTCCAACTCCCACCTGGCCACTTGGTGGAACATAAGATAAACCAGCTCGGCGTTTCCGAGCCATCTCGCGCCAATCACGGTTTTGGAGCGCGGGAATGACGAGCGGCCCTTGAGGCTCATCCTCGTCGCTCGAGTCTATAATTGCCACGTTCGAGTCTATAATTTCCTCGCTTGAGTGTCTGATTATCGAGCGAGGTGGAGGTGCTGGACGACGAATGGTGAAGGATACCTTGGACATCGTCGTCGTCGTAGAAAGGACGATTACATAACATCCACCTGCATCTAAGTTATGGCACGGGAAAGTGCCGGCTGCACTAGCGCAGACCAGCGCAGACCTTGTTGGCAGAATATCAAACCTGTTGTCCATTATCGCATAAGACTTTCTTTCCCATGGGGCTAGTTTTTCTAACATGTTTATCCTTGATTGCTCAATTTTTCAACCACCCAGTGTCGCGATCGACATCAACGTACATCAAAAGAGGAAACAGAGTACCTGAGGATCCTGAGAATGCACTAAGAATCGAGTGTGCTAGGATCAAAAATCGTCGGCATGGAGGGGCCACAAATAAGCAGGTAACAGAAAGCCAGGTCAACGGACAAGCTACGAACGGCTAAAAGTGATCATGTCTTCCTTCGCTTCCTACTCCCTCCCTCCTCCCTCTCTGTTTCTCGTTTACTCTTGATCCCCGCGATCCGCATGTGTTCTTTCCTTTCCTCTCTCTTCTTCTCGCTCTTCCTCGCCTCGTCCTTCTCAAGCTTCTTCCGCCTGTCCTCTTTCCTCACGTTCTGCTTCTCTCTCCTCCGCGCCACTTGATCCTTGCGAATCGCTCGGATCTGCTGCATCACCGCGATCGCTTTCTTCTCTTCGGGCTCGAGCACGACTGCGCGCTTCTGGAGGTACGTCTCTTTCCGCTGAGGTTTCATGAGCTTCGGCTTTGAAGCATACGGAAGGGACGCCTGGAGTTTGCGAGGAACCTTGAGTGTGTTGAAACGCCGCCCTGGTCGTGTGATTGACTTATATGTAGAATTTACTGGCTGCGGAGCATTGAGGCCCTGCTCCCGCCGTACCTGGCCAGTCAGACGCATGCCAGCCCAGCCTGAGTCGTTCGATAAGAGCAACGACGTGACAGGATTATAGAACTTGCGTGGTTGAATTGAATACCAAGCACGAAGGAAGATTAGATCTGAGCGAAAGATATCAGGCTAACCACTCAAACTTCAGTGCATCGAAGACAGACATACCACTCATTAGGACCTTATCCTCGAACGTCGCTCGGAATGCCCCATCAGGTTTCGGTAGGGCTTTCTTAACTTGTCCGCGAATGCCCGACACAGTTCTAATATTTGCACCCTCGAACTTGGCGACCTCGAGAGCGGAGGTGAACATGTCCTTCACGAACGCGGTGTTCTTGAAGATCTTGTATGGTGCACCAGTAAGTTTGAGTTTCTTTACTATCTTCGTCGAGCGGTCAATATCCAAAACGACTCCTGTGGCAGAAATCCGGAATACAGCCGAGTCTGGGCCCAGGGAGTTGAATGCACAGAAGCCGGTGTTAGGGAGCGCAACGGGGCCATAAAATGTGGCATAGCAATGCATGTGCTCTGGTGTGTACTTGAGCATGCGCATCCGGATAGAATGGTCGTCCAAGGAATATATAGGGATTGACTGGAACCGGCGCCATCCCAGGCTGAAGATGAGCGGATCATTGGTCTTGAGCGTGCGCGCATACCATCGATGACGCTTGATGCGAACCTGGATGAACCCAAAACGCTCCTCAGCAGGGAGTAGCCCACCGATGATGAGCGGCCTCCGAGGATCAAAGTGCTCGACCATCTCGCACGGGACATTCGCCATTTCGATTCGGACGTACGACCCAGGACGGTAACCCTCGACAAGGGCACGCGTTTCCGCGTCAACGTCTTGGAACTCTTCCCGATTGAGCGTTTGTTGACGAGCAATTTCATCCTTCTTCTCATCGTAGAAGTCCTGCTTCGACGTCTCTGGATCGTCGTATTGCTCGTCGAACTTCCGTTTGAGAGCCTCCTTCTTGGCAGCTAAAGAAGCTGCGCGAGCTGACTCTGAGTCCAGAGGCATCTCTCCATCAACTCTATCGCCCTCCTCTTCGCTGCCATCTTCCGCATCATCGTGCTCTTCTCCGCCCTCAGGTCCATCTTTCTCGCCTTGATCGTGGCTTGTGATAAATAGATGTCGTATCGAATCCAACATCTCGATGTTCTCCCATTCCTTGAGCTCCTCGGGATCAGTCGGGTCCTTGGTCATATCGAATACCTCCTCCACTGTATCCGTGCTCTTCTTCACCTGAAAGAAGTCGTCCTCGTCTCCACCCTCACCATCCTCTATTGATGTGTGTGAGCCCTCATGTAATATTTGTGTGGGCGTCAAGGCGCTCGAGTAGATCAGTTTTGTCCAGTCCTCACGCTTCTTCCGCCGCGATGTTAGCTCGAAAGACGTTGCCGCGCGCTCCGTTAGGTTCTGCTTCCACTTCGGGATGTCTTCGTCCTCGTCCATCTCTACATCGGCCTCATCTTCTTCCTCGCTTGGAATATCAGCGTCCGCTGGATCTTCAGCAAACCGAACTCGGCTCCCACCAGCACCCTCGTCATCTTCTTCTTCACCTAAGTCCGAATCGCTGTCGGCGTACGCAACGTCGCCACGATCACGCTCCCGGATACCCATCAGCCTCTCGGTCGACCGATGCACCGTTCGGCGTATTGAGCGTCCATGATCATCTGTATGCGGGCCCTCTTCATCTTCTCTCACTTCCCACTCATCCATCTCTCCCTCCGACCCATGCTCAGTCCCTGCTGCATCCTCGCCCTCGCTCTCATCTTCACTCTCACCGCCGTCGGGGCCGTCGTCGTCGTCGTCGTCGTCGTCATCGTCATCGTCATCGTCATCGTCATCGTCGACTTCTTCCACAGAACGACTCGATGAAGGATCTACAATCAAATTCCGGGAAGAGGAACCAAGAAGCCGAATATGGCTCCGAGCAACAACGTCTTCGAGCGTCTCATCTACATCTTGAAGGTCCATTACCATCTGCTCCCCCTCCCCCTGTGGAACTGGGTGCTCGATGAGTTCAGTCACTTCGAACCTAGTCTCAAAGTCAGCACTCACCATCAGTATTTCCTCTCGTGAAACTGCCAGGTACGTTTACCCAAACCGCATCCTTATCGTACATGACCCCGCCCACATCGCTCATTGGCGCATGAACCAATAGCTTCTTCTTCTCGCTCAGCTTCCTCCTCTTCTCCGAATCTGCGTCTGGGAGCGGGCACGGATCCCCCAGCATTGTCACTCCCTTCATATCAAGATCACCAACACCTGGAATATGCACCTTCGTCCCTGCGCGCAAGTTTGTGCCCCTCAAATACCCGTACATCGTGACAGTGCGATCGCATTTTCCCTTGGAGAGTCGGACATCCTCGCGAGGAGTAAGATCTTCGAAGCGGTCGGCGAGGAGATATGGGTGGGCATTTCGGAAGACGAGAGGGCGGAACTTCATGACGCTCACGAAACGGGAGAGATTGAGGATTTCGGTGTCTGGATATCGGCCGTTTAGCACGCCGGATAGATAGAATAATTTAGCGCCCTGGTAGATTTCCGTCCAGAAGCGTTTTTTTAAGGCCTTTTTGGTGTCTCGGAGAGTCGCTGCTTTTTTTATGAGGTCTAGATGGGTGAGAACGCCGATAACTTTGGGGAAGCCGTGGGCTTGGAGAACGTTGAGGAATTCGAAGGTTTCCTGGAAAATACTCAACACATTGCAAATCTGAATGGTAAGGTCAGGCATACCATCTCAAACCCAAATGACCCGTCGATCATGAGGAGGACAAGGTCAGCAATCTTACCGATGTCGATCATAGAGTTGAGGTCGTTGTTGCACTCTATGAAGGTGAGACGTCTCTTTTTACCGCTGACAACTGTGACAGGTCCTCGTATTTCAGACAGTGTTTGCTTGGTGTACCGGCGAACTAGGCTCTTGACCAAGGTGCTTTTGCCGACACCAGGCGGGCCTACGATGGCCACGATGACGGGGGGCGGCAGGTCGTCGGGGGTGCGGTCGACAAGGGGAACATGGAGACGGGTTTGATCTTTTTCGGCTGTCCTCCGTCCTTGACGTTCTGCTCTGCGACCGGACCTGGGTGCAAATGCCTAGAGGGGGTCGTGAGCTAGGAGCGCAGCGGGGGTCAGGGTGAACGGACCTTCTCATTGAAGCCATGCTGCTTTTCCTTGCCCTTTCCCTTCTTGTCCGCCTTTTGACCAGACTGAGGGGGCCGGTGCGTTTTATGCGGTCTGTCTTCCATGCTGAAGCAAGATGGCTAAGATGTACTAGTAAGACAAAATGAAGAGAGAAAAGGTGCGCGGCCACGTGACCGGCGCGTCTTCTGTGGCGCTTATTCAGGGATTTGAACTCTGACGGTCTTGCCGCACTCTCCCGCACGCCCGCCCACCCCCAAGCGATACACACAATGAGGGGAACCCCTCGCCTCGACTTCAGCATTGCCGGCGACGAGCAGGAGCAACATCGCATCCAGCTCGAACATAACCTCCAGCACACAGATCTCTCCCTCCACCTCTCCTCCGCCCATGACGATTACTCCATTGAATACCCCCGGCACCATCCTGGCCCAACTGCACAATTCTCTGGCTTTGCCTCCTTTGATCACTCTCGGGAAGATTTCGATCCAGAGGAAGGCCTCAGCCATATGCACGCATGGTCTTATCGTACCGGTGACGACGAAGAGGGCATCAACCCGTACGGCGGGGAAACAATGTCTACCGCTGCTCACCATGCTAGCGCACTTACGATCAGCGCCGGTCTCGGTGGCAGGGGAATACGCCGTGACATTAGCCTCAGTGGGGCAGAATACGATCCTGATCGCCCCCTCCAGGACCTCGTCGCCAACATTGATAGCAAGTTCAGTCTCATGGAAAATGATACCGCCCGGTCTCGCCAAATCGTAAGCTCTCCTGGCTCGTATGTATCTGGCTCCAAGTGCTAAAGCACTATCTGCAGGCGCCGTATAACCAACTCATCGCTGATAGCCCCGCTGACCTCGATCGCGTTCTCGCCTCACAACAAGCTCGTGCCACAGCCGCTCGATTTCGCTCCCCGCGCTCTCCACACTCTTCTGCAACCTCTAACTCTGAGCCCGATACGCCCGACCCGAATACCTCCTTCCGCCCCAAGCTTTCGGACGCTCTGTCGCATTTGTCGTTCTCACCCAAACGTCCGCGCTCTCCCCAACTCTCTTTCCGCTCCTCGTCTCCTGCCCCGTCCCACACGCGTTCGCACCGCTCACGGGGCTCGAACGTCCATGTCGTAGAGGAACACCAATTGCCACCACCCTCCCAACCGTCGCTGTCTTTCCGAGGGAAAGACTACCAGAATGAACCCACACCTAAACCGAAAAAGACGCGCCTTCTCCCTGCTCGTGCTTCCGGTCCTGAAATCACCGTCCGGCCACCAACGCCCTCTTCTAACAACTCGAGATTCACTAAGCTTGCTCGGGGCCTAGCTCGCGAGCTTGAAACAGAGCAAAGCCGGTGGCAGTACCCAGAACCAAGTCAGGAAGATGGTGCGCCCCCGCAGGGCACTGTGAATGCGAGAGTCAAGCCACCCGCAGGTTCGTTCTCATCATAATTACTTTCTCTTTATCAGCTCACAGTCAATTAATTCGTTTTGTGGTCAGGTTCTTCCCGACCCCCCTTCGTCAGTGCCAAACGGACTAATAAGTCCGGGATCGTCCAATTACCCGACGTCACCGGCTTGACGAATGCAGTCGAGAGTCCGGTGAAGGCTGGCTTGCAGTACTATGGCTACCCAGATGATGATGACATCAATGGGGACAAGGGTAGGCTGATCCCGACCAAACCAACAAGAATATAATCTCACTCCGCCTTTCATAGCCCATCTACTTACAGCGCTAAATCAAGTACAACACAAGCTCGCTCACTTGGAAGCGGAGAACAACACGTCAAGAAAGCGCATGCGCGAATTTGAACGTGAACTCGACACTTGCAGGCAAGAAGTTGCTCGGGAACGAGAACGTGTTCAACGACGCGAGGACGTCATTGCCCGCCAGCAGCGCGAGACAGAGGTCTTCAAGAAGGGCAAGGGACGAATGATCGACGATGGAGAGGAAGATCACAAGAGATACAAAGAAGCAGTCGAAGAGAAAAAAGGTACCCTAGATCCTCCACTGAACTGTCATCTCAGCAACTCACTCCGATTTCCAGCTCTGGAATCTCTCATCTCAACACTGCGCTCACACATGTCGCGGCTCACCAACGAACTTGCCTCCCACCAAAGTCTGCTGGATGAACTGCGATCGCTCCGCGCGGCAGACTCGTACACTCTCCATGAGAAGGTCCGTGAGGTCGACCGCCTGCGTACTGAGGTTGAAAAGGTTGCCGGCGAGGTCGAGGTATTGAAGGGGGTCGTGGAAGAAGGCCTTCGCGAACGAAGAAACCGACAGGAACGTACCAAGGCCTCAATTATGGATTCGGAACCCCACCGTCAGATGCAGACACCATACGAGACACAAGAGGCGGACCCGCAAACTGAGGGTGGAGGGGCAGACGATTCCGAGCAGGAACAGGAGACGCGTGAGGAGGCAGGGGAAGATACTGCTGAATCATCGCGGCTTTCTGTTTCGCCTTCTCCTCGTACTGCTCTCCCCGATAGAACCATACGAACCGATCAGGCCACAGCAGGCACCTCTCAGCTCATTGGCACCAGCACTCGACGCTACGTCAACTCTGATGAGCTCGAGCGCATTTCTATGGAAGTGGAGGAACGCCGCTCTGAACGTTCACTGCGATCGGCATCCCGCCTCTCTAACTCTTATTCCCGCTCTCGCTCTGCCGCCAACTCGCCAGTTCCTTCGCGGTCCCCTTCCGTGGCTGGCTCCGTGTCCGGATCCGAACGCAGCGCAGCGCGGAGTAGGCATTTCTCGACGTCTAATGAAGACAAAGGGACTGGGCCCCAGCAAGCTCGAGCAGCCTCACCGACGACCAGCCATACGTCTCAGCGTCTTCGTCGACCCTTCTCCAGCCCCCCTCAGATACCAGCCGAGTCCCGTCCTCCCGCACCCACGCCTGCCCACGCAGTCGGCATTTACGCAAATGCCACATTGGATGCCGACCAGTCACACATACCTGCACCGACCAAGGATGAACACAGGCGACGCGGTCGGAATATTCCTCCTCCTTCATCCTCCGACGCGCCTGCGTCCACGCCGTTTCCCGAGATTCGAGGTGCTCGCCTTGAGCGTATGTTCTTCTCCGCACCTGCTCATAACGAGAAAACGTGCAGGATGTGTCGGCAGCGACAGCGCCCTCATTCTCCGCTGGATGGCAATGGCGCCCAGAAGCCATTATGGTATCCTGCGAGTCGAGGACGTGATGTGAGAGCACGCGTTGACGATGAGGAGGAGGGGGGGGGGAATGACAGCAATGGTCGGGTGGAAGGAGCTGAGCCAAACGTGGGACGCGATAAAGGCAAGGCATCAGACACCGATGCCTACAACTTAGAATTCCTCAAACGGAGTACGCCTCGAGACCGACTGCCTCCACAGACGGTTTTGGTTCGGGTCCTCCGAGAACTGGAAGATGACTTTACGCATTATAAAGGGTACGTCATGGTCTGATAAGCACCCTTTCGTAATTTTGAAAATCATGCGAATTTACAGGATCTATACCGAGCTCGCTGACCAGTATAAGCTTATGGACCCTGCGTCGAACGTGGTTAAACGGAACGTTCTAGCAGAGCATCTGCGCGAAGTCATTGACATTCTTGAACAGAAGGTTTGTTGTTTCTCCTCGCCTCGTCTCCAATTTCTACGATAGCTCATCGTGTTCTTCAGGGAGACCAAATCGCATCCCTTTACGACCTGCTGACGTTTGAAGACAAGCCGGTAGCCGACTCTGTCATCCCCGAAAAGGTGCTTCAGCGCCAGCCCCACGCCGGACCATCCGGCATAGGGCGGAGTAAAAAACATACAGCATTTGTTTAAGTATCTCCTTTGATACCCGTGATTTTCAACATTGGTTCGAATTTAATTTGCGTGGACTTTTTTTCCTCATTCTTGTTTTTATCGATAGTATCTCCTCGTACTTTTCTTACATCTGGCGGGCCTCTTCTCTTTGCATCTAATTTTCGTTGTGACATCGTTCTAGTGTGTGGCGTAGGTGTTGATGAATTCAATGATGGGTCAGAAGCAATTTTTCATTTTATATCACGCCAAGATCTCAGGCTCAGCGCAGCCCTGTCCTTAGTGGAGTGAACATTATCGCCTACTCGTACAATCGGCTCTTATGTCGAGAATGAGTAACCTACTTCATCCGGACTCCGATGCGCCCTTGCGCTTTGGAAAAGTTGAGGGCGTTCAATAACGGTCTTTGCCCTGAACAACGCCGTATGCCGGCCCACCACGCGCGTACATCTTGCGCAGGTCACCCACTAGTTCATTCGGCCTCTCATATGCGGGGAAATGGCCGCCTTCAGAATGCGAGGCCACAAAGACGTGTTCCCGATGATGCGTAGCCATCTGTTCACAAGGACGGTGTGGGGTTTAATCAGACGAAATTCCGAGGGAGAAAGGACGACTGACGTTCGGGGCACGGGACAAATCTCCTTTGGAAAATAAGAAACACCCATAGGGATCGCAAGACGTGGCGGGGCGAGGAATCCTCCGGCTGTACCGACCTCATGATAAATACAGATAGCCGCAGTTGGTCCAGCATGGGAGAACCAGTAGATTGAGACCCATGTGAGCACTGGCCAAACACATCATTGCTTGCACACTTTGGAGCAAGCGCTATACGCTCACCTTCGTCATCCCCCCACTGGTAATCATCTGTCCAAGTCACGAGTTTCTCGTATATCCAGGCTAGGAGGCCAATGGGAGAGGGAATATCCCAGCGTTTGCGGCTGCGTCGACTGCTGGTGCATGTATCCCCGTCCATCTAATATAAACCATGCCGTACGTCGGAGGGCTGAGCTCTCCTGTGGCGTGTAGCGAGAAAATAGATGCGATAGGAAGGCACGAGGATTAGAGAACAGACGTGGTGGTGACATTACCCTGAGGACGTAGAGTGTGTAGACGATCAAGCGAGCGGGTGCTGCAGTGAAGTCGACGACTCACGCAGGGCAATTGGTATGCCAAGCTTTGACGCTCTTAGGCCCATAGGTAAACGCCATAATCTGAGTAATCTGAGCTGGTTGGTTAGGACTGAATTGATGTGGAAAGGTATTGAAAGCCAACTCACAATGTGCCCCCAATCCCCGCCTTGAGTAACATACTCTTCGTATCCGATGGCAAGCATCAACTTATGTCCGAGCTACGCAATCATCAATTAGCCGCAAGCAAATTAACGAACTGGAACAAACCTCTGCATACTAAGGGCCCGAGAATCCTTTTTTCCGTGGTGCATCTGAAAAAGCGTAGCCTGGTAAGCTAAGGGCGACTACATGAAAGCTCGGGTGATCAGGCGACGACGCTGTCAAAAGCGGGAAGGATCTTTCGAACTTTCAATTAAGTTCCCAGGCCCTAAATTGATACACGTCAACCACAGGGTTATTAGGACAGCTGATACGGTCACGCACACTCGTGAACGAAGAGGAGTGGTATGGCGCCGTCGACCATACTTTGTTAGTGCACATAGTGGATGTTCAAAGAGCCATGATCGTCCACGACGATATCCCTTGTGAACATAGGGAGCATATTCAGCTCCGCCTCATACTTCCTCCAGTCATAGCCCTCCCTCCACCTGGCTGCTAGCCGTTTAACGTCTGTCAAGGGAGCGCCATAGTCCCAGCCTGCCTGTTCGAGTTTGTCCGGAAACCGAGATAACTCCAGCTTTCGCTTGAGCAATGCAAGGTCCTCGTCAGTAACAGCGATCTTGTAGGCTTTGGCCATGGACATGAAATGGCGGACGGACGCTTGAGCCTTGAGTCGTCCTAAAGCCACCGTTGGGATCAGACATTCATATATCCCTCATTAAACCCGTCTCATGCTGAAAAAAGCAGCTCAATGGAAGGAAGAGAAGCTACATCACACGGGGTGAGCGAATTACGATGTTCGATCAGCACTTCGCCGGCTGGGAGTTGTAGGCAGATATAGGCTGTAGGAACGAACAAGGGTAGAAGAATAACGTCGGTGTGAACGGAATGTGTTCATGCGTTGGCAGCTGACACCACTGTATTGCTCATTTGCAACGCAAGACGAGTGCACGACGAGCTATTGTAGAAAGAATTGGCAACACATGAAAACACGCTTCATTGCGTCCCTCGTCGCGAGCTTGCAAGCAACGGGACGTCAGAGATGAAGGACTTGGGCACTGCAGAAACTCCGCGAGCATATATGTGCGTTGTGTACACCTGTATACATCGGTCAGGAACTGCTCATCGATTTCTGGCTGGGCGCACACACTCACCAGTTCGTCGTAAAAAATGGCCGCGGACTTTTTATCTGCGAGCGAGGACCCTGGGTGTATCTTGATGATCTGCTTATAAGGTTTAGACTCGGTGCCTATCGAAAGGGTGATTCAGCCGTGAACGCACCGATGGCCCCATCGCTTGCTTGTATGACCCGTCAGGTTGCAAGAGTGCGGCGTTCTGCACCAGTCCGCGCACTAGACTCCTTAAGATAGGCCACTCCTCGCCGTTACATCGCAGATTCCAGTCCATGCCATTCCTCTTGCACACGTCTTTGAGCTGATTTCTGATGTCCACAGCTTCTCGAAGCGCTCGTTCGTTGACAAAATTACGCTTGCACCATTCGCGCCGATCGCCCTTCTCCAGTCCGTCATAGGCTAACATCACATTAAGCATGGTGAGATGATCGCCCATCGCGTGACGAAACTTCATTCTAGCAGAGGCGGCGGAGTCTCGTTGCGACGAAGAGTCGGGAAAGAGAGGAGCGGAGGCGGAGAGGAGCGAAAGTATGGAGATGACTTCCGATGTGCTGTGCTGCTCGACGGACGCAAGTAGAATTGCAGCGTATTGAGGCTCCAGGGGAAACGCTGCCATGGAACGCCCAAAATTCGTGAGCCTCTTTGATGGATCTATCGCGCCCAACAACCATAGGGTTCTCAATGCGGCACCGACTGATATAAAACATAGACGGTCAGCTTCAAATCGTCGAAAATGCGTGGATAGACGGACTAGACTCGGGATCAGGTTTATCCATAAACTCGAGCGTTTCTAGATCTTGACCGACGCACTTGAGCTGCAGAACCGCAGAGGTAAGACTGCTTCTGCGAATCTCCGGTTCCGACGATAACGCCATACTATTGAACGCATCCTCAGTATAAAGGCGAAAACAATACCCTTTTCCTTCTCGGCCAGCGCGGCCAGCACGTTGCATGGCAGAAGATTTTGTTATATCAGCAGTGAGAAGGGTGTCAAAGCCTGTGAGGGGAGGCAATGAGTGGTGGTAAAGGAAGAGGTGTATGCCGTACTTACCACCCCCGGAATCCCGCGCTATGTGCCTCTTTTCCTTTTGCTTGCCTGTGTCGATAACATACTTGACGCCAGGGATCGTGATCGACGTCTCCGCTATATTCGTCGCCAGGATACATTTACGTGTCCCTGGGGGCGGACGAGCAAAGACTCTTGATTGCTGCGCATTTGGAAGTGACGCGTACAAGGGACAGAGCGTCACGCCGGGCACATTCTGAGGCAGTTGGTTAGCGTAAGTAGTTATGGACGATTCCAGGCTCTCTATATCTTCTTGTCCTGAGAATCACATGAGCGGGTGTAGATTGACATGCACAGCAAGAGAAGCGAACCTGGCAAGAATATAAGAACATCGCCTGGTGGCTGGTCGGTATGAATCTGGAAGAATGTTCGCAGGGCCGCATCCAGGTAGTCGTTTTGGCTCGTCGCGGTGTGGTAGATCGTCACAGGATGCATACGCCCCCTGACGTACAGCACATTGGCACTATGTACCCATGCCTCGTGAATTCTCGGTCCAGTTCGGGATAACGAAAAGCAACGCACTTGTCGAAAAACTTACTGAATTTTTCGGCGTCGAGGGTGGCCGACATCACCACCACCTTCAGCGGGTTTGCCTTGGCCTTGGCTTTTCCCTTGCCGTCTACCCCCTCGTTCCGTTCCCTTAGGATTTTCTTCAAGCTCGCCAGGACCAAATCGGTCCTCAGCGTTCTTTCGTGGGCCTCGTCCACGATGACCACCCCGTATTTCCTCAAGAGAGGGTCAATCATCATCTCGCGAACGAGCATGCCGTCCGTAAGGTATTTGACGCGCGTTTTTGGGCTCGAGCACTCGTCGAAACGCACCGCGTATCCGATCAAAGTCCCGAGCGGCCGGGCTTGTTCCATCGATACGCGGGCAGCGAGCGAGGTTGCGGCGACGCGACGGGGCTGCGTGATGGCGATCTGTCCAGAAATGCGCTGCGATTCCAGGAGGTATTGGGGTATTTCTGCGAGGACATGGTGAGATGGGCAGAAGCGCGAACGGGTGAGATCGCTTACGGGTTGTTTTGCCGGATCCCGTTTCACCGAGGACGATGGTCACATCGTTGTTCTCGATCGCGTGGACTATCGCGCTCCTGCCTATCCAGAGCGTTAACGGCGGGGGATGCGACGGCGAGCAGGCGCGCAGAGGCTCTCACCCTGTGCGATGGGCAATTGCGCGCGCACTTCCTGTATTGTTGGGCCCTTCGCATGCCCATTCGACTGGGGATTGTGCAGCGCCTTGATTTTTTGGCGTTTTTTACCGCGTCCGGAGGGTGACGATACAGGGAAGCCATTGAGAGGCTGGTGGTGTTCATCGTCGTCTAGATAGGCTATCGTCCTCTTCTTCAATGGTACTGGTGTGCCGAGGGGTTTGAGGAGCTGCTTTTTGCGCAGCGGGGTTGCTTGTGTGGGTTGCACGGTTGGAGAAAGAACGGAGGGCATGACAGGAAAGGGAGCGAGCGGTGGTCGACATCAGAACTGAGGGACTCGCCGAGACGGAGAAAACTGGTGTAGGAATCGAGCGCGTGACCTGGAGACAATGTCACCTGATCTCACTCGCGTGTCCGAGTCGTGCATCGGGTGGCGTCGCCCTGTGGCTACAGTGCCGGACACGCAAACACGGTAAATTTAGATGGTCATTTCTTACGGCTACCTGAGGTATTGGAATAGATGCAGATACACCTATAGAGTAATTTGAATGTGCTCCGGAGAAAATTGCACGAGCGGTTTCCTCAAAAAAATGCCTATTAAGGGAAAAAAAGTACCCAAAATATTGGCCACCCCTTATTTCTCGTGGGAAATTCACCAAAAAAGCGCCAATCGACTCCTTTTGAGCTGCTGAGGCTGATGGTAGCATTGGTTTGTCAAAAATGAATGTGTGTTGGGCAGAAAAAAATAAACAATCTATTGCACGTGATACTCTAAACATCATGTCTGACCCTCGCCGCCGCGGTCGCCCTCCCGGTAAAGAAAAGAAAAAGGAATATAGATGGCCTCCGAAATCAGGAGCCTAATGCAGAGTCAGCCATTGGGAATCCTTCCAATACTGAAGATGAAGGGGATGATCTTAATAGCTGGGATCCACACGTAGCGTATTAATATTTCTGTAGTACTGGGGTTGGTGTAAATACAGGTATCGGGAAGTCTACAAGGTAAAGTTTGACACTGCGAAGCAAGTTGCCCGCGAGTCTCGATAGCTGCCCGGTTGAGGTCATTCGTCGGCTCTTCAATCGCTCGTGGCGATTTATGGATGCATACCGTATGGGATTGACCGGGAAAGCTGCTGAATGGGCCGTGCGCAAGCAGAAGTCGCACAGGAGGGCCGGACCGCGCACAATAATGTCTGTAGATGCAATGTTGCATCAGCATAACACCAATGCCTCAGAAATCTAGATGATCTCAATTTTTTTCGGTCGTGCGCCGTTCCCGCCCGGCGCCGCGTAAAATATTGGCCACCCCCCATTTCTCGTGGGAAAAACCCCGGAAGGATGTTTTTGGATGTATTTTGACTCCCTCAGTCTGATTCTGAAGTCGGTTTGGCATTAAAAAACCCCCATTCGGGCGCTAGCTAGTTTACCGTGTTTAGGTGTCCGGCACTGTAAACCAAAGTCGTCCCCACGGTACTTACCCGGGCACACTCAGCCTTGAGCTCGAGGGTGTCACGACTTGCTATAAAAGCAGGAATCTCACAGCGACCAACCCTCAGTTCATGCAGTGCTGTGATAGTACAAATTGTATTGTTCGGAGCTGTTCCCCCAATGCGAACAAATATGGAGATGGGTGGGAACATATGTCTAAAAATATAGCACTGTAAGCTACAACGCCCGATCTAATTCCACCAGGAAAAACGAAGAGAGTTCCATGGAAGAGATATGCGATATGATGAGAGATGAGGTGATATAAGAGGATGAGATGATATGATGAGATGAAATGATGAGAGATGAGAAAAGATGAGAGGGCAGAGGCCCATAGATGATGAAGAGTGTATGCATAGTCCCCAAGCTTGGTCAATAGTAAACGACAACGGGGCAGAAAAGAAAGGAAAATAAATACGGATAACGTAGCAAGTCCCCGATCCGAGTCTCCCAGATGCCGACGACGGCGAGAAAGGTCGATGTTCACCACAAGAATGTGCCATTCGGCCCATAGGCAGTCATGCCTTCCAGGTGGCGTCTGAGCGTGACGCTAGGAGAGCCCAGCGAGTCGTCCGAATAGCAAGACGGAGCCGGAGACGAAGACGCGAACCCGAGTGACTGCGGTACGACAGTACCATCGAGCGCGGTCGGGGGCCGCACGACAACGTCGCCCGACAAGAACGAGGAAGTCTGCGCTTGCCAATCAGAGGGAGAGGGCGCGGAGTATGGCTGAGGCGGGGTAAAAGACACGGCCAGAGCAGGGACGCCGAGCTCCATGCCTCCCAAGCCACCGGCCGGTGCGTGCGCAGGATCAAAGGCAAGCGCGCCGTAGGCGATCATTTCCTCCACGGAGAGGCCCTCGATATCGTAGAGCAAGGGCGAGTCAGAGAAGTCCTCGCAGATCGGCCACCCTTGCTGTACGTCTGCGTCAGTGTTCGAGTAGAACATGGGCGGCTCAGCAGAGTGCGGAGTGGAGAAGTCCCTGTGTGAGCGCGCTGGTGCAAACGTCGATGTCGAGGCCGATGAAGAGGGCTGACTGTACCCAACAGACGGAGCCATCCAGAAAGCGTTGCCATGAGCGCCTGATTGGCCAGTGAGACCAGAGCCATACGCGTTGAGCCCATGAGATGCGGCATCAAAGGCGGACGAGTAGACGGCGGAACACGAGCGAGACACCTGTTGTTCGGGGCAGAGCGAATCCGAGTCCGAGTCCGAGCTCCCAGCGGCCCACACTGGCGAGAAACCTAGAGGCGGCGACTGTGACTCGCGCTTGAGAATCGCCCAGGGGCCGGGTTCACTGTGGTCGTACGCGACGGGATCGCGCACTTGCCTGGACGAAGAGGAGGGGGCCGAAGTGGAATAGGGAGCCGCGCGCCGCGACTTCCTTTTAGACTGGGTGCGACGAGCCCCTTCATCGCCCTCGATGGCGGGGAGGTTCCTAGCTGCGCGATACTCCGCCGTGTGATGCGGAACGTGCCCGTGCTTCAACTTGCGATGCTTGCTGAGCGAGCTGCGATCGCTGAACGTCTTGTCGCAATTCGCTTCGGGGCACGGTAGCTTCTCTCCAGTGCTGAAATGAAAGACGCGACTGAGCGACAGTGGCATCGCAGAGAAGGAGCGTCAACGTACTGCTTCATGATATGCGTCTCCAGGTTCGACTTTTGGTGCCCTGCGTAATCGCAGTTGGGGTAAGGACACTTGAACCGTCTGTGCACGACGTCAGACCGACGAAACATGCTTCGAAGACGGCACTCACTTGGGCTCCGTAGAATGCCTCAGGAGGTGACGGCCCATGTCGGTTTTGCGTGTGCTTTTGAAACAACAATGCGGGCATGTACCGCGCTGGAATGAAGGTGAGTACACCCGCCGGCCGTGGCATCTCGACGCGTCACGTACCGGGACAACGCGAAGGGTGGGCTGCTCTTCGGCCTGTGGCATGAGTGTCGCGTCAAAGTCGACGAATTGCGCGGACTGAGCAGATTGCATCGTAGAGTTATGAGAGGATAAGTGGAGTGTGTGAGGGGGCAGTGTGTGTATGTGTGCGTAGAAAGTGTGTCAGGCGAGCGGATCAGCAGAAGACGCGTCTGAGGGGACGGAGGGCTGGAAGGAGGTATCGCGAGCGGGGGGCGGAATTGAACTGAGTAGCTACCCATGCAAAGAGACGCGTTTTATGCGATCCCAAAGCCCTGCCACGAGTGTGACAGCAACCGTGTGACAAAAAGCGTCACCGCGCGCCCACAGAGCGCACACCTACCCTCTATAGCAAGTCCACGCGCGCGCCCACCCAGCCAAACACGCCCAAACGCACACACCTGCCCAAAAGGGCAGGTGGCTGTTGGTAACTCGGTGGTCGCCACTGTCCGAAAAGGGAAGGCCAGAGTTGCCCAGTTAGGAAGGTCAAGTGCAAAGCGCGGTGGCGCGCCGTGGCGCGCGACCACGTTCCGGCCCGATAAGGAAGGCGCCCCCCAAAGAGCGGGTTTTGAGGCGAAACCCACCCGTCCAAGCGTGCGCGGTGCCCCGGGTGGCATGACGCGACCACACGGCTGTGCAGGATGTGCCGCCAGAAAGCCACGATCGACGGCGTAGGGCGCCACCACGCACCGGAGGAACAACGAAGGGTCACCGATACGTAGCGGCACACAGGTAACTCGTGCCGCCTTCGCAGGGTGGACAACTGCCCAGGCCCAGGCCGTGCTCTAGTGGGGGTGTGGCGACACGTCAGCTCCACGAACAAACAAGCACTCACAGAATCTTTCGAGCCCGTCGTCCGCCAGCGCTGCCGCTGCGCGCGCGGCGATGTTGCCAGCTCAGAGAAACGAGTAGACCGCAAACTGCCGACGGCGTCGAGGCAGCTGGTAAGCAAACGCACGTGATACATCGACGCGTCTGTGGCGCGCAATACTCGCCCGACGCCAACGCGTCCCAGAGCCGCAGAGAGGGACGGGCAGCGCGAGAACAACCGCATACGGGCAACTAAGACAGCGTTCCAGAAATACACAATCTTTTGCATAGTACACACAGCGTGTCGAAGCCTCTACAACGACTCTGCGACGACACATCCCTACAGAAAGCGCGAGGGCGCATATTTTTAGGATACTCGGACAACAACACACATCTACTCGGCACCTAACAAGCCACGCCGATACTCCACACACGCGCATCACCGCCGCTCCAGCGTGTCCGCCGTGCGCGTGCCCGCGCCCGCGCCCGCGACGGCCATGAGGAACCGCTCGACGACCGACTGCCCCCGGCGCAGATTCGTCAATGATATCCGCTCGTTCGGCAGATGGGCTTGGTCCTGTCGCGCGGGCAGCCCAACTCAGCATTTACCCAGTAGTAAACTTTTTTTTAAAAAAAAAAACCCCCGCCGTGGCGACTCACCGAGCTCTGGCCCATCGGGAGATGCAGCGCGGGGCAGTTCAGCTCCTTCTCGAGGAACGGCACCGACGGGATCGACTACAAGCGAAAACGAAACAAACCGCGGTGAGCCAGTCGCTCGCGGCGGACGCAGGCGCGCTCACTCACCCCTCCCTCGCGGATGCGCAGCGGCTCCGTGCCCCACTCGTCGCGGATCGCGCCCTCCAGCGCGCGGAACCACGGGTGCGCGAGGTCGCCCAGCCACCAGTCCGCCGTGTGGTCCACCGCGACCTGTCACCGCACGCACGCACACACGCAACGCACAAACTCGTCAGCACGCCCTACTCGCGGTCACACACAGAGAGCCCGCCCGCCGCGCGCACCTTGAGACTGTTCGGACTCGCGAGCGCCGCAAACGACGCGCGCACGTGCGCGCACAGCGCGCGCGCGATCGTGTCCAGATCCTGGTCCGGCACGATGCGCAGCGACACCTGCGCCCGCACGGTCCCCGGGATCACCGTCGGGTCTGCGATGCACAAAACGCCACGTCAGCGCCGCACCCGCGCGCGCGCAGAGAGACTCACTGCGCGGGCCGGACCCCTCGACGTTATGGATCGTGAGCGACGGCTCGCGCCAGCGCGCCGCGAGCGCGGCCGCCGGCGTCTGCGTGACCGCCTCGAGGCGCTTGAACAGCTCCCTCTCTTCCGCGTCCTGCGGGCGCACGCGGTCGTCTGGCCGCGTCAGCCGCGCGCGACGCAAACGAAAGTCAGTTCGGCATGGAGGCGCGGCGGGTCCGTGAGACACGCACAGAAGCCCGGGACGAGCACCGTCCTGTCCCGCCCCATCAGCGTCGAGAGCAGCTGGACCCTACGAGCGCGCGCGCGCGCGTCAGCCACCGAGCGCAACTCGTCCCTAGGCCACCAAGGAAAAGAAACGCACATGTCTTGCATCGGCTCGTCGATCCCGCCGCCCTCGACGCCGGAATGCAGATCCTTCTGGTGCGACGCGATCTGTGCGCGCGCCTCGATGAGCGGTCCACCAGGACGTCGGTCGTCGCCACGCACCTCGATGCTGCAGTGCACCACGCCGCGCAGGCCGTACGTGATGCACGGCGTGTCGCACCCGATCCACGTCGAGTTGCTGCATCGCATTCGTCAAACCCACGTCTGCACCCACACAAAACCCACGTCTGCACCCACACACAACGCACGCACGCACCTAACGAGGATCGCGTCGATCGGCCCGATCAAGTCCTGCGCACGAAATCCACCAACTCAGGATCACGACCCGCCGCTTCGGACGAAGGAAAACGGAAGCGCACGCACCCTGTGCCGCCGCACGGCCTCCCTGAACCCGACGCTGCCCGTCTCCTCCTCGCCCTCGACGAGACACACGAGGTCGACGCCGAGCTTGCGCGCCTTGCGCAGCGCCGCGGCGGCGCACGCGACCGCGAGCGTCGGGCCCTTGTCGTCCGTCGCGCCGCGCCCGTACAGGTACCCGTTGCGCGCGCTCAGCCGGAACGGGTCCGAGTCCCACCCGTCGCGCGGTGCGGCGATCACGTCGTAGTGCCTGCCCCCGGCGGCGGCGGCGGCGGCGGCGGCGTGAGCGCGAAATGTCTCTCTCGACCGAGCTCGCGACGCACCCGTAGTACAAGATCCGCGGCTTTTTCCTGCCCGCCTGCGTCCCCGTCCCCTCGAACGTCGCAAACACGACGGGATTGTGCTCCTCGTCCGTCGACAGCTGCGATTCAAAGCGTCCTCAGCGCACGACAACGCACGCAAAGGGCGCAGGCGACGCACCGTGCGCGTGTCCGCGCCGAGCTGGTGCAGGCACTTGACGAGCCAGGTCGCCGCCTGCCTGCAGTCCTCGCGGTGCGCGTCGGCGCTGGCGCTCACGCTCGCGAGCGCGACGAAGCTCGACAGCGCGTACACGAGCACGTCGCTCACGCCCGTGCAGTCGTCCGGCGCGGCGCGCGGCACGTGCGGCGGGGCGATGTCCCACACCTATCGCGGGGTCAGGACGCTGGCATCGCGCGCCGATCGGCCTGCACGCACCTTGACGGTGTCGTCGTTTCCGCCAGACAGGAGCACGTAGCCCGCGTCGCCCACCGCACCCGGCGCGCGGGAGACGATCGACGAGAGCGCGATGCCGTCGTGCGCGCGCCACGAGGCCGTGCAGTCGTACGTGTCCGAGTAGCGCTGCCCGGGCGCGAGTCAGTCGTCCAAGGACGGTGCTCGGAGTGGAGGCGCGCGCGCCACGCACCTTGACCTGGCCGTTGGCGGAGAAGGTGTACACGTCCGACTGGAGCAAGGACAGCGACAGCACGTCCACGCCCTGCGGCGGCGCGGATCGCATCGATCAACAGGACAGGACGCGGACGCGGGGACGCACCTCCTGGACGATGATGGTGCGCACGAGGGCGCGGGTGAGGGTGTCCCAGACCTTGACGTAACCGTCCTGGCAGCCGGCGTACACGCTCTCCTCGCGGGCGGCGAGGGAGAGGACGGCGCCGTGGCAGCAGTCAAAGGTGTGCACGAGCTGCGGATCGGGGGTGCACTCCCATAGCTAGGGAACAGAAGAGCTCACGTCAACGGGAGATCGACGGGGGCGCGCGGCGCGCACCTTGATGGTCTCGTCGCCGCTGCCGGTGACGAGCTGGAGTGGGTGTTGATTGGAGCTGGGCAAGAGGGCCATGCAGTAGACGTAGCCGAAATGGGCCGAGTCGATGACGTTTGGGCGGGGGACGTCGAGCTGGGAGACCTGGCCCCAGCGGGCGCGGGCGACGACGTCGGGGTCGTCGGGGTCGTCGTTCGCGTTGTTGCCGTGGGAGGAGGAGGAGGTGTAGGAGGCGGCGGCGGAGAGTGAGGCGATGCGCTGGTAGCGCGGGAGGCTGTCGAAGAACTTGTGGGCTTTCTTTGCGGTCGGGGTGGAGGTGCCGGATTCCGCGGGGGTGGTGCTTCCGAAGGAAGAGGGCAGGGACGAGGAGAGGAGGGAGGTGGCGGCAGGGGGGGAGGTGGACTCTGATCCGGAGGAGGAGGAAGGGGGGGAGTCAGCGGCAGAGGAGTCGGGAAAGGTATACCACTGGAGGGAGGTGTTTTGGCAGCCGATGTAGAGGGTGGAGAGGGACGGGGACCAGGCGAGGGAGAAGAGGTCGCCGGCGTCTGTGTCGTTGTAGGGGTTGACGATGTAGAGCGGGGCGAGGGTGCGGGTGCACCAGACCTAGAGAGCGGACGATCAGAGGGGATATCGCGCAGGAGGGGGACAGGACGGCGCACGCGGACGGTGCTGTCACCTAAGCAAGCGGGAGGGGTCAGCAGATGGAGGGGGCGGGCGGGGAGGGCGGGACGGACCGGATGCGCTGAAGAGCCAGCGCCTGTCCTTGGCGTACTCGAGGGCGAGGATGCTGCCGGTGTGGCCGCGGAGGGTGGCCTCGAGGGTGAAGGTGGTGCTGGACCATACCTGGGGACAAGCGATGAGCGGTCAGGGTGCGGGGCACGGGGTACGGGCGACGGACCGCGATGTGCTGGCTCTGGCTGCCGGAGTATATGCGCGCGCCGTCCGTGGAGATGCTGAGGACGGAAGTGCGGGGCTGTGCGAGGGTGTGGACGAGGTGCGGGACGGGTGCGGGGACGTCTCTGCTGAGGGACGCTGCACGCGGACGCGCGAAGGAGGCGGGGATGATGAGCGGGGGTGCGGGGTGCATGGCTGCGGGCACTGCGGGTGTGCACTTACGATGTGTGACGGGGCTCTGCATTATACCGGGTTGCTTATGGACGACGGCGGCTGTGGCAGTGGCGGGGCTGCTCGTCCGCATTCGGGCGTGGGTGCGCTGTCCTGTGCACGGCCACCACCATGGCGCCATCCCCCGCCGCGCTCGCGAAAGAAAAGGTGATCCTTCCCCCGTCCTTTCCTGCGCACGGGCCCCGCCTCACCCCCGCCCCTGCGCTCCCAGGGCAACGCCGCCTTCTCCGCCGCAGACTACCCCGCCGCCGTCGGCCACTACACCGCCGCCATCCTCGCAGACCCCTCCGACCCCACCTTCCCCCTCAACCGCGCAGCCGCCTACCTCAAGCTCGACAAGTCTGAGCCCCTCCCCCTCCTCCTCCTCCGCTGCCCCGCTCGCTCACGCGCGCGCACGCAGACACCAAGACGCAGAGCGCGACTGCACTCGCGTCCTCGCCCTCAGCCCCAACAACGTAAAAGCCCTCTTCCGCCGCGCCCAGGCCCGCGCTGCCCTCTCCCTCCTCGACCCCGCCCGCCAAGGTCCGTCCGTTCTGCCCCCTCGCCCCCGTCCGATCTCGCCTCACGCCTGCCCGCCCGCCCAATCTGCCCACAGACCTTCAAAATGCCCTCGCCCTCCAGCCCCAAAACGACGCCGTGGCCGCAGAGCTCAGACGCGTGGACGCCCTCGCAGCGAAGGAACGCGCAAAAGCAAAAACAAAAACTGTGCGTGGGCCCCTTTCTCCCCTCCCCGTTCGAATAAACACTTTCGATCAGCAGCCAAAAGACATCTCGCCCTCGACCTCGACCTCCGCTCCTCCCCAGCCTCCAAATCCCAAACGCCGGCGCATCCCAATCACCATCGTCGAGCCCGAGCCCGCCCCCACGCCCGCCCCCAAACCCACCTCCTTCAAAGACGCAAAGCGCGCCCGCGACAGCACCAAACCCAGCGTCGTAGCCGCCCCCGCCACGCCACCCGCGTCCGCGCCCACCGCCCACGCCCGCCCAAACCCACCCGCAGAGTCCTCGCCCTCGCCGACGCAGACGCCCCGCGCGCGCGGCGGCGTCTTCCGCGCCTCGGGCGCGCACACGCTCTTCCCTGCCTCTCTGCCCGCCGCCGCCGCCGCCGCCGCCTCTCCACCCTCTCTAGCCTTGCCCGCACACACGACAACGTCGCCTCCGCCGACGACGACGCAGGCCAAGCCCCCGATGACGCTGTTCGCGTTCACGCGCGCGTGGGACCGCGAACCCGACGTCGCCGCCCGCTGGGCGCTCCTATGCGTGCGTGCGCCCCTCTCCCTCTCTTTCCCCCTCCCACTCTCTCTTCGCCCGCGATCCGCCCCCTCGCGGGCCCCGCTCACGACTCTGACTCCCTTCCGTCCAACCTCGATCTCGAACCCACGCTGACTCCGCTCCGTCCGCTTCGCCCCCGCCGCCCCTCCCACAGCAAATCCCGCCTCCCGCCCTCCCCGCCCTCTTCCAAACCTCCCTCGAACCCGCCCTCCTCACCTCCCTCCTATCCACCTTCCTCGCCCTCATCTCCCCTCCCCCCTCGCCCTCGCCCTCCGCTAACGACGACGACCACCACCACCACCACGCAGCTGCAGCCCCCGCGCTCACGCGCCACATCCGCGCGTACATGGCCGGCCTCGCGCGCACCCCGCGCTTCGCGACCGTCGTCCTCCTCATGAGCCGCGCCGAGCGCGCGCGCGTCGCAGAGCTGTGGACCGCCCTGCGCGCCGGCGACGACCAAGCCTTAGGCGATGGAGCGCTGTTGGAAGAGGAGGCGCGGCGGTGGGGAGTGTAGGTTTGGCCCTCGAGCGCGGCGAGCGCGGTAATATACTTCGTGCGTGCAATATGCGACGACTCTCTGTGACTGCGTGCGTGTGTGCGCGTGTGTGCCGACTCGTCGCCGTCGCCGAAGGGATCGCGATACCTGCTCCTCGCCCGGCGTGTGTCTCAGTATTCGAGTGCTGATGGGGCGATGTGCCTGCCGTCCGCTCCGCTCTCTTATGTTCTATTCCGCGCTGTTCTATTTTTTTTGTCGTCGCAATTGAGTACGTTTGTCCACGCAGGGTGAGTTGAGACTACATCGGACGGACGCCTGAGTACCGAGTGTCGTCGCGTCTCGCGCAGCACTGCCCAGCCCCGACGACACACCATGCACCGTCCGCAGCTCTCTCAGTCCCAGACCGTCCCATGTTAGTCGGCGGCCCGCGTATATGAGGCAAGGCAGGGCAGGGCAGCACTCGCTCTCCCGCCGTAGACGCGAATAAACGAGCAACCACGCATCGCGATCTCGCAGACACCGGCGGCGGCCTCGCAGCTCTTCACAAACGCCTTGCTGCGCTGCTGCCCCCACCGTCGAGCGTGCGCTCCGCCCGCACCGCAGCTGCGGCCCTTGAGCTGGACCTCCTGCAGCGGTGCGCTCCCGCCGTCTCCATTCGTGCCTCCCACCGCGACGCGACGAGCGGACGTTCACATATTGGGATAGCAGCCACTGCAGGATCCCATTCATCGCCGACCACACCGCAAGCGTCGAATCCGCCCGACGCCGTCACCAACTTGTACCGTACACGGCCCATACGTACACACATACACACACACACGTACCGCCCTTCGCGCGACCTCACGGCTCCAACAAATACCCCCGCGCGTCCCAAAACGCGTCCCCAATAACGTCGCAATGCACAAGCACCACGCGCGTCCGCCGCGCCTTCCCCTTCTCCCCCCTGTCCTTCTTCTGCGCGCCCGACGCCGCCCCCTTGGCCTGCGCGCGCGCGAGCCGCTTCTGCGCCTTTTTGCTGCCCTTGTTGTCCGCGCCCTGGGGCAACATGGGTGGCGCGTCCTGGTCGACGAGCGGATGAGGACACGGGTCACATCTAGGTCGGTGGGACGGCACGTACGGGTTGTGAGGACTCGAGCACGTCGGGATCGCTCGGGGATCGCTCGGCGAGCGTGTCTGGCTGGGTCGCACTCGTCGCATGTCCTTCGGGGCCGATATTTTCGCTGGTGGATTGCGTGCCCGACGACGATTCGCCGACGGGATCTGCCGCGGATACCGAGCCCATAGGAACTCCCACGAGCTCCTCGTCCGGGATCTGTCGGCCCACCCGCTGAGAACGGCGGGCGCAGAGGCGCAGAGGCACGACGGAGCGGACGCACCTCCTCGCGCACCATGACGCTGCCCTTGCGGAACCGCGCCGGCAGCGCGTTGTAGTTCACATTAAACCGCGAAAACAAGATCTCGTGCTTTTGGCCCGACACCGTCCCCTGTCCGACGAGGCAACGACGCCGTCAGAATAGCCCCGAGACGAGTCAGCGCAGAAAAAGTACCTACCCGCAGCGACTCGTGCGCCTCCTTTGTCGAGAGCCCGCCCTGTTGTACGAGCGCCCAGAACGTCGTGTTGTACAGGTTGTTGATGTGCGCTTCGAGCGCGGGCGACGCGCGATCAGTCTCAGATGCAGACCGAGAGCGCGGGCGGAGAGGCGTGGACGACGATCGGACTCACTGTCTGCCTGCCTCCACGCGAAATAGTCCCGCACCGCTCGCGCGGACGGGTACAGCACGATGCGCGCGTCGAACGCGGGCGCGTAGCGCAGCGGCTCGTCCGGGAAGTGCGCGGGCCAGTGCATCACGTATGCGGCGGTGAAGAGCGACGTGAGCGTCGAGAGGATCTTGGCGTGGCGCCTGTTATACAGGGCCGCGGATTTGCGCAGGAGGAAGCTGCGCGGGCGAAGGCGCGGATGGGAGCGATGAGCCGGGTTGGGCGTGAGGAGGCGCGGCGGGTGCGGCGGGTGCACATCGGGGAGAGGACAGGCAGAGGCGGGAGGTGACTCACCTGTACTCGTCCGACTCTCCAAATGCGAGCACCACGTCCGGGTACTCGTCCATGACGGCCCTCGCCGCGCGATCCATCAGGCGCAGCGCGCGCTCGTCGTTCGGCTTTTCGAAGTTATGCTCTGCAGAGAACCTAGAACAGCAGATCCCCGCGTCGGCATGAACTCGTGCTCATCTCGACAAGGGATGGACAGGGGCGGTGGATGGTCTGGGGCTGGGGCGTGCAGGGATGGATGGATGGATGGATGTGGGGGCGGACCTGTGAAAGGAGTGCCCGTCGACTCGCATGAGCATGTATGTGTCCGGCAGGAGCGGGTCGGGGAGCTCGAAGCCCTTCACGTATTCGAACCGCGATTCCGCCATGGATCGAACCCAGAGCTCGTTCACCGCGCAAACACAGAAAATCGACGCGTGAAGTTGACCCTAGCAGGATCCAACGAAGCCCTGATTCCGGGTTAGGACTCTGGCGCATAGGCGCCCTTCCCGAGTCACGGATACGATTAGACGGAGACGACCGTCTCCACTGGAACATCCACACACCGCTGCTCGACCGATTTGCTTGGGCACGTAGGAGACACCCATGACCACAAGACCCCCGAAGCTCGTCGCCTTCGATCTCGAGTGAGTGGCTGAAACGGCATCTTCACCGAAACGCTGATTAGCAGTGGCTTGTCCTGACGAATGAAGCTACACCTAGCTATACCCTTTGGCCTCTCTGGATAGATACCCACGTTACCCGTACGCGCATGACATTTGTCTATTATACCAAGGATCCAACTCACCACGTGTCGCCCTCTCAGCACCTCTGAGGCGCGAAGGAGACGAGCTCAACGCAGTCCACGATCGGTGCATACCCTATACGTCCCGTTTTCAAGCGTCCCAATCTAAAACATACCGCGCCCCTGCCGCATAACGTCAGGTACGACAACAAGATCAGCTTCTACCACGACGTCCCGCAGATCCTGCACCGTCTCCAATCAGCCGGCGTCATCGTCGCAGCCTGCTCGCGCACGAGCGCACCAGAGCTGTAAGTCAGATCGACGACGCGCGGCTGCCTTCGCGCCCGCTTTCTCGATGCACGATCGATCGCTCACCTCTCGAATCACACCGCACCCGCCTTTGATCAAGCGCGCGCAAGGCGCTCTCCCTCCTCCTCGTCCCCCCGCGCGCGGGCGACAAACACGGCCCGGTGAAGCCCGCAATCGAGTTCTTCGACCAGATGGAGATCTACCCCGGCAAGTCTGAGCACTGGCGCTGGCCTCTGCCCGCCCTGCAAAAGACGAAAGAATTCACTAACGCCCCGTTCGCTCCAGGCTCGAAGCTGACGCACTTCAGGAAGCTGCAGCAGAAGACCGGGATCCCTTATTCCGAGATGGTCAGTGTGCGCGCCTGCGCCTTCCATATCCGCGCTTACCCCCAGCTCCCGCGGCGCGCCCCAGCTGTTCTTCGACGACGAACACCGCAACAAGGAAGTCCAAGCGCTGGGCAAGCACGTTCCTCGACGCCTCACAGCGCCCAGCCCACTGACCGAGCCCCGTGCAGGCGTCACGTTCGCGCTCGTGCGAAACGACTTCACCGAGCGCACATTCGAAGAAGGCCTCGCCGCATGGCGGCAGCTGCATCCTGTAGAAGTGACAGAAGATGCCGGCGGCGACGACGTCAAGGGCATCTAACCCGCACCGCACCCACTCCACGTACATCCTGTCATTCCATTCCGTGCCAGTGCGCTATACATAGAAATATTTACAGCATGCAGCAGCGGGCCGCAGCAGCCCGCAGTTCCGTCTCCATCCCGTGTGCGTTGCGGAGCACGTCCCCCGCACTCGTTCCACGCATGACCCGGTGCACTCCCAACCTCGTCCGATTTGATCGATACGGTTGACCCAACACGGAGAAAGTGACCGGCCTCCCGTGTGCACCGCGCCCTTGACACTCTGGTCTTTGGGACACACGCAAAGGTAAGGGGAGACAGAAGCTCCCAAAGCCCGCAGATGGAAGCCAGCTGCTCAGCAAAGGCAGGGCAAGGCCCTCTGACTCCCCGGTGCGCACTGTGTCGTGTGCAGGGTGCCGTGAAGACTGGGTTGGCTGTCGTCATCTGGAAAAGATTTGTTTATTGCCTATGTCGGAGACCCCTTGAAACTGCTCCTCCACCATCGATTCGCTCCCGGACCACAGTAGGTCGGTGCAGCCGATTGCACGGAAGCACGCGCATCGCACATTGCGCGACACAGTGACACGCGAGACCATCTCCACATGCTTATCTGACGCGCAGTGCGCGAATCACAGTAAAAGCCTCAATCTGCCTGCGCGATTTGCGCCGTGCGTTCGAAGCCCGCGTCCACCGTCTGGGCAGGCTTCCGCAGGCTGGCTGACAGCGCGCGCGGATGACGAAGGGGGCGAACGACGGACACGATCGATTACCAGATGTGACACAACCACTCGAGCTTCAAGATCTCAGGATGGCGTCGATTGACGCGGCGCATGGAACGCCGCACGAAATGCGGCACGAGCGCACGGAGGGATCCGCACGCCCGCGTGTCTCCACAAGTACAGCAAGGCGACTTACCTGCGTGCATCTGGACGCGCGCGCGGGTGTGGAGTCGACCTGCGGCGGCCGCGAAATACGCGGTCATCTGCAGTCATCATTTTGGCTGCTGACCCATGAGGGCACGATCATCGTCGCGCGTTCTGTGACTGCGAAGGAGGGTCTGCAGCGATTGTCCATAAAGGGACGCGAGCCTGTTGCGGTGGCGCAGGACGATGCGCTGAGCGCGTGCTCCTCGGTGCAGCGACTCCCATGGCCAAGTTCCATGAGATCTGATGGCTGCGCCACGAAGGGCATTTCACCCTCTGCAGAACACTCCCTTGAAGTCTTACTCGGGCGTTGAAGTATGTATCTAACGCCCAAAAGAGAACATCAAAGTTTATAATCGCCTGAAACAGCCAGCCAGTCGTATCGTCCTTCGTCAACGCCCCACTGATCAAGTCCGCGGGGAGCGCCGTTTCAAGCGCAAGCGTCAAAGGCGTGAGGTTCTATTGAGCGCCCGAGCTGGTCCGAACGGTCGACGTCCGATGCCGGTGGGGGGTTTCGAGGGCCAAGGGACTCGAAGGGGATGTGCAGAGCGCGGGACGCTGGGTGCTGAGTGGGGAGGTGTGGGGCAGGCTTCGGGCCTTCGACGACCAGGCTCAGCTGCTGCGGGCCGGGAGCTTCGACGTCTCAACCTTCGGGGGATTCGAGGACGCGTCTTTTTTACTCGCCGACGGTTCCCTGCTGCCAGGGCCTTCTCGATGGTTTCGAAGATGGCGCCGGGTTGCGGATCGGTGTGCGCGTCTGAGCGCGAGAGCGAGTGGAGTGTGAGGCTACGAAGCAATGAGGCGCGGGTGCAGAGATAGAACTTTTGCGGCCCAAGGCACAAGGGGGCCTCTGAGGAGTGTATTGAAAAAAAGAAAAAAGACTCCACTTTCCGATTGTGCTTGGCTTCGTCGTGGCACCCACCGTGTCGTGTATTCTGTGACGTGTTGTCGTCATGAGGAAAGGACGAGAGGACTGAATGGATCAAAGTGGAGGGATCCGAGGAACGCATCCGCGTGCGCGAACTCATTCGTGAGCTCGTTCTCGCGACTTGGGGTTGACGACCATCGGAAGTCCAGCGGGAAGGGGAATGTTCGGACGAAGGAGGCGGCCGAGAGACGTTCGGCCGCGCGAGCGGATCGCTGCAATCAATCGCGTGAGTTGTGCAAAAGCCGCAAGAGAGAAAGCAGAGGAAACCGAGATAGAGAGAGATTCGCTATCATCGCGACATGGAGGCCTAGGAGCGGGTGAAGCCGGAGGGGGCGGCGGAGGCAGATAAGGCACTGGCGGGGGGGCGGGCCGGGGAGCCAAGAGCGGGGCCGTGAGCGGGGAGGGCGTCGGGGAGCCCCGCGGCGGCGCGCCGTTACGGGCGGGGGCTGGCGGTCTTGCCTGATCGGGGCTGGCTGGCTGGATGAGGATCCGACCGACACGCCACGCCTCGACCGCCCTTCGCTCGCCCGCCCGCTCTTAGGATGGCTCCCGCTCCCCGCTCCCTCTTCCCCCGTCGTCCTTCCCTCCCTCCCAGGCCCTTCCCGAGCAACGCTCACCTGACCTCTCCCCCGCGCACACAAAACCCGGCGCTGCCCCCTCCACACACACGCACACACACACACACGCTGTCACCCACGCTCCCACCGACCCGCCAGCAGCCCCCAGTCACGTGTAGCACAGCGCCTGCCTCTCTTCTTTTTATCGAAGCGCTCTGAAGCGCTCTGAAGCGCTCTTGGACCCACAGTGCCTTGTCGTAGGTGCTCGGTCCCCCACGCCCGCTCTCACTCTCTGCTCACTGCCCGCCTTTAGCGCCCCCGCCACCCAGCAAGCGCCCGCGCCCCTCCCCTGCGGCCCCTTACACCGCCCCCATCGCCGCCTACGATCCGAAAAAAGACGTGATCATTTTTCTGCGCGCCCACCCCTTCCCTCCTTTCCCTCTCCTTGTCTCTCCTCCTTCAGCTCTCGCCCTGTCTCGTCTCCCCGTCTTCTCCACACTTTTGAGCCTCGCGCGGAGACTGATACACGCCGCATAAGCCCCGCACTTGCCCTCTCTTTTAGAGACCACGCGCGCACACTAAAAAAGCGACCGCGGCTGCCAGGATCCAGGTCTTAGCGCCATCCGCATCCGCATCCATCTCTCCATTCCAACCTCTTCCTTTGCTCGCTCAATCGCGCAACGGGCCCTGTCATACCTGTCTATCTTCATCTCGTTCAGCCCAGCCACCCGTAAGTCTCTTTTTCCTTCTCTTTCTTTCCTCTCCATCATTCTTCCTTCTTGACGTGCGTGCCCCGTTGGTGGCATCTCCCGGTGGCTGGCTGGCTCTCACGGCATGCCTGACGTGTAGTTGACCCTCTTGTCCGATAATATTAAAGTCCACCCAGTGTCCAATTCAGGCATTGCAAAAGTCCTCTTGAGACCGTTGGGAGGTGCTAGAAGCGATGCCCGCGGGCGACCGACGCGTCGCCATCTTATTGCCCTCGCCTGTCCATTATTCCCTGCCACGTCGGGAAACTGTTCATCACACCGACCCAACCCTTGACTTTTTTCCTTCTTGTTGGGGGTCGATGACGTCTCCCAATTCGGGCAGTGCATCCATGATGCCATCCACAGCATGCCCGCTTCGTCCGCTTCCGTTGCTTCGTCCATGCCTGCAGGGTCTGCGTGCATGTCGACTGCCTCATGCGCACCTCTGGGTCCTATAGCGGCCCACATGCCACATGAATCGCGACTCCTATATTGAGCGCGCTGAAACGCTATCCCTTGACCGTGATGCCCGCTGCAGGACATCACATTCTCTGTTTTCTTCCCCGTTGATCCTTCAATTATTTTCCTCTTGTCTGCTCGCCGAAGGTGTCAATTTCTTTCCAATAACGCCGCATTTCGGGCAGTCGCGGGCACGGGTCCTGTACGATCGTAATTCTGTGACCTTCTTGCCTCGCTTCGACAGGTGCAGGGTCCCCGTGCACGTTCGTGTCTCTGTGCATGAAACGCGATCATGTGTTTGAGACGCGCGTCCTTTGCGGCGTCTCCGATCCTTTTTCGACTCCTTCCGCCACTCTTCGCTTTCGTCTGTTGAGCACTGACCGATCCTTTCGCTCTGCCAGATCCTCGACCCGGATCCTGCCATCTCGATCTGAGCCCGCGCACGCCATCGAAAAATGGAAGTCCTCGCCTCCCCGACTTTTGCGCTCCCCGGTGCTCCCCGACGCCCGCACCCACAGCGCCTCGGCCCTCCTAGCTCCCACGCAGCCCCCGCCTCCACTCGGAGCATCAGCAGCCCGTACCCGGCACCCAAAAACCCGACCCGCACCCGCCCCACCCTCGCCACCCTCCCACGCGCCACCTCGCTGTCCATCCCGATCCCGCCCCCGCGTGCCTTCCCGATGCCCGTCCCGCGCGCGTCCCCCGTGCACCCGTACGATCCCGCAGATCTTCTCTTTGACATGTCTCCCCCCGCGTACCCCAGCTCCCACTCGCCCGCGAGCCCGGACGACCTCGACGTCGGTGCAGGCGGAGGATACTTCTCCTTTGGGATGGGCGCCGCTCTCGCGAAAAATGCCGTTGCGGCCGCGGGCGTCGCGGGCGCGAGCCGATTTGGGCTCGTTGGGGGCAAAGAGGCCAGCAAGGACGCGACGCGAAAGCAGAGCGAGCCGTTCCTCTACGCGTTCCCGATGCCCTCCTCCCGCGCGCCGTCTCCCCCCACTCCTGTCCCATCCGCCACCGCCGCCCTGAAGACCTCGCGCACCCACGCACGGCGCGCCCTGGACCACGAGTCGATAGGTCTCTCGTCCGGCCGGCTCGCGCACTCGAGCCGCGCACCCACGCCCTCACCGCCCTTTGGCGAGCTATCTCTCGCTCCTTTGACTCTCTCCTCTCCCCACGCAGACGAGGCCGCACGGCAGTCCTTGCCGTCGCCTTCTCCGTCGTGCTCGCCGTCGCCGTCGCCCGCCGCAGATCTCCTCACGCGCGCGTTCCGCCATCCGGCATCGGGCGCGTCCACGTCCACGTCTCTCTCACCCTCACCCTCACCCTCGCCTTCGCCCTCACATGGGTCCTGCGTGGCAGGGCGCAAGGCGATGTGGGGTGCCACGCGACTCGAGCCCGCCGCTGCACCTGCTCCAGTGCGCGTCGCCGATGTGCGCGGTGGCGGCGGCAGCGGCAGGGAACTGGCGATGGAGGCCGAGACCGAGGCCGATTGGGAGCGGGCGGAGGTGTTGCGGGGCCGCAGACGGCAGCCGCGCAACCTTGCACATGGCCTCGCGCACGGGAGATAAGGCGCTCCGCGCTTGCACTCGTGTCCCGCACAGGACGAAAACACCGCGAGGAGGGCAATCCCTTCGCGTTCGACCGCCCTCCCCGCCGGCCAGCTTTGGTTTTGACTCCAATAGTTTCTCGCACCGTTCACGGACTCGTCTTTCCCCTCTGTGTCTCGTCTTCTTTCCCCCTCGCATTTGTCGACTCGTCTAACTTAGCATAGTTCAACTCATGAACGGCCAGCACGCTCAACAACAACAACCCAATGTAGTCATCTCGTCTCTCCGTTTTCATCTTTTGGACTTTAGCATTTTCCCACATCACACCACCAGCACCCAGCATGCCCTGCCTCTCCTCGTCCAAGGCCGCCGGACCGCGTTTCCGTGCTCGTTTCTCTTCCTTTCGTTCTTCCGTCTTCAACAGCATAGCATAAAGAAAGCATTCCCACCCCTCCCCAGTCCTGAGCTCGCTCAGCCACCCCATAGATTTACCCTACGGATCTCCCGCCGCCTGCGCGCGCGCGTAATACTCCCCTTCGTTCGTTTGTACACGACTCACGCCCATACCTCCCTCGGCGGACCGTCAACCCCCGCTCGCTTCGTTCGCCACGTCCATCATGTGGCTCGCACCCACGCCGTACTCACTTCCCGTCGCACGTCTCACTGCAGCTCTCTTTCACACAAACACCACGTTCAACACGATGTAATATCCACAGCCGTCACATCTCCTTGTTTCTTGCTGCAGTCCATCGCTATCCTGATCAGCTGCGTCATCGTCGGCCCGTCACCGTCACCGTCCCCGTCCTCGTCTTTGTTCCTGAGGTCGGGCACTCCTCTGGTGCACGATGACGTTGCGCACACTGCATGGTTCCGTCCTCGTACCACATACATACGTACATACGCACGCACGCACGCACGCACGCACGCATAGACACGACCGAAATATATTCACACACACACACACATACACAAATCAAGTATGTACCCCCCATCGCAAGTGCACCGCTGAGCCGAGCTGTCATGCAACACCTTGGCCGGCGGTCGACAGGTGTGATCCACCCGAGCGTGCTCGCCCGACCCTTGTGGGTCGCGTCAACCGGCGATGCCGCTCACCAAACACCGCGCAGTCGCCTGTGAGGCCTATGAGGCCTATGAGGATCCGCTCCGGTTGGGAGGGGGTAAAACTCCGTGTCCATCACGGCGTGCGGTTGGGCGCATCGTGATCTCCCTCGGGCCCTCGTCGAATCCACGCCTTGCACGGCGCATACAGCGGGCGCAGAGCCTGCGCGCGCGCGCTGATGCGTGGGAGACGTGACGGTTGTCTCTGGCGCTCGCGACAAAGTACACACCCCAATTGAGACGGGGCCAAGAGCTTTCCCAGCAGCGAGCGAGCCGCCGCCGCCCTCCGCACCTCCGATGGGCTTATGTACGCCGGAAGCTGAGCTTCCCCGCGCCTTCAAGCACGTACTTGATTCACTTTATGACTTTACGGTATCGCGCGTGTCCGCGAGCGAGCCACAAAGCCAGCCAGCCAGCCAGCCAGGAGCGAGCATGCCCGTGCCTAGTGAACCAATCGCACGCGACCTTTCTTACATGTAAAAACCGCGAGTGCGAAAAGCTGCGGCGTCAATGCGCGCATGATACCGCTTCCGGCGGGCATGCAGCTCAGCGGGCACGCGTCAGGATCCATGGTCGCCGGATCGCGAGCGCGATGGACGAGGGCGCCTCTTGCGGCCGCAGCTGCAAGAATGCACACCCACCCACCCACGCAGAAAGAGAGAGTTGGGCCCCGCGCGCGCTCACAGCCAGCACGATCACGACGCCGGACGCGACTCGCTCCGGAGAGGCCGCTGGCCCGGTGGGTGGGGTGCATCACGCCCGGTGCGGTGCCTCGCGGCCTACCTTTTTGACAGAGCTTGTTGGCTTGTTGGCCCTGCTTCCGGATCTGCTGAGCGAATGTGTCAGGGTCGTCGGAACTGGACCGGGATGTTGATTCGCGGGGAGGGATTCGCGTGTTTGAGCTGCAGAATGGAGACGGAAGCAAGCCTTTTTTTCGATTCAGAAAAAAACAGGTGGGGGCTAGACTTCTTGCCCGAGTCTGTGACAGACGGGGCGGAGAGAGCTGGGGAGAGCTTATTGTGGTAAGAATGCGGGAAGGGTTGCGGGGAGCTGGGTTGCCATACACGCTTCCAAGACTGCATAACGATCCGGCGACTCGCACCTGCGCAGTAGGTATGCCACACACCGAGCGCGCAGTGACGGAAAGGAAAAGGAAATGCACAAACGGCATCAAGGACGGCGCCCACGTTTGGATATTGTACGACTCGTTTGTCTCACTCACTCACGTAGCCTTGATCGGAATATCCTGACCAGGCGATTCATTTGCGCCTGCAAATTGCAGGACGGCCCTATATGCATCATGTGAAATTGCTACAAGAGGAGGTCGGCTCGCCTGAAGAGGCTAGTTCCTAGACTTCCCTATAGCTGTAAAGAAAACTCCTTAATGATTGAGCTAAACAAATGCAGCGGCGCTATGGAACGTGCTTGCGTGGTGAAACACTTAGCATGCGTGGGCGCACGAGAAGCAAGTAAGTGGATTGCCTTGACCCACCTTAATTCGCAGACTCGCTCGAGACCAACCATCGATCCAGCGCAGTCCAGCGCGCCATCAAGGGGGATCGGCCGTCCGATGGATGCCGGCGATTGATTGAGAAATGGCGCCTTTATCACGGGGACATCTTTGCCTCACGCGAGCCGAGGGACCGGCGGGAGATGGTACCTGTCCAATCGCATATCTTAATTAAAGAAGATTCGACTTTTCGGGCGCCCGAGGAGATCTGTTAGCCTTTGCCGAAGATGGATGATCTGCGACGTGTGAAACAGAGTGACGATGGCGCTGCATGTCCATGTCCATGTCCATGTCGGTTTTCACGCCCAACACGCTTCAGAGTGCGACGACATGGTTTGAGTTCAGCGCGTTTGAACAAATTAAAGGTATAAATAAACGGGGCTGTAGCAGATACAACCTCGCAACCACCAAGTTAGTGTTCTGTCATGGCCGCGCAAACGTGCTGCATACTTGGTGTAGAAGACCACGCTTAGCTCATACCCGGTGAATATGCCACAGCATCCGATTTGACTGTGCCAGCGGAGACACAATCCATCCTCTTGCGGGCGTCGTAGCGTAAATATTGCGGATACTGGGCGCGGTGTGATGCCATCGAAGCCTTAAGCATGGAGCGGTCGACAGGATCAGCAAGCAAAGCTCTGGGAAGCAGCTCTGATAGACCTTAGAAATATACTTAGTAACACATCGCACGATGCTGTAACTCCTCAAAGAGGCCCACCTTCAGCATCAGATGTCTGGCACACTGATCGTTGTGACGTTAACGCTTGTTCGATGAGCAAATGTGATCTTCTCACTACACTGATCAATACCCAGCGACATTGGATATCAGGACAGACACCTGTCAAGCAAGATCGCCGCCGGGAGGGATCAATCACGACCTCGGACACTGCGAGCAGGAATATCAGAATATCTGTCATCGTCGATGCCTCGATGCAAGAAGATGGGATCTCTCAACTTACCAAAATATGCAACTGCAGGCGCGAAGCGCCGTTGATTTACCCACCCTCAGTCCACAGAAGTGATGTATGTCGGACCGTCCTCTGATCTTCCGACACCAGGCAGCGATTGTTCCTGCAAACATCATCAAGGGACCGCCATCTGCCCTCAAACAGATAGTCCTGCATAGACCAGAAATAGACATACTAAGACACTGTTACCCACGACCGGCTCGGAGGAGGACGAGGAGCGAAAGGCATAGAAGTTTATTCTTATACTGAAATCACATGAGCAGGCATCGAAGCAGCAGTGTTATTCTCAAATCGCACCAGCTACAAGTCGAGGTTGGATCAGGCTAAGTGGTGTTAGCAGAGGTTCGATTCAGATGGTGCCATCGACACTGAATCAACATCGAGATTTGATCACCAAAACACTTGAGAACACACCTCTTGAAAAAGACTAAGGGGCATCAGTCTGAAGGATGGCCGGATTCTGTTCGAGCCTGCTCCAGCCGTCTCAGAGGACAACATTGGATCGATGGAGAAACGTGGATCCCTTGGCATTCATTTGGGCAGGTGGTCTTGAGAAGATTTGGAATTGGATGGTATGTTAGGGTATGTTGCTTCGCCTTGACTACTAATTCAAAATATCGGCCATCGGGGATCGCTATAGATTAGAGATAAAGGGGTGATGTGGGGAAGTCTGATGCCCCTCCAGGTAAGTGTAATGGTTTTTCGTAATCTTTGCGTGTCGAATCTTCAAGAAAGGTTATAGTAACAGAGTCAGCAGGTAGGTGATTGACAGACCATCGCCTTTCGCACGTAAAGCGAACACAGGGTGCGATACGTATGCCTCTCCGAGTCGGATGCCGCGGTGTCAAGTGAGAATAGGAAATTCCGTCTATGCATGAAAAATGTATCGTCGCCATAAGTATGCAGGGTGGGCGACCGTAAATGGCCATGTCTCAGCAGAGTGGATGAAGCTATGTCTTTATTTACGTGCTGTTTGGAACGGAGGCTCCTGCCACACAGGTGCAAATAGTTCTCTGCGACTGCAACTCCAACGCGCGATCACGTGGCAACCTCGGATTCGCCACAACCTATCCGCTCTCTGAATCTACGCTGGCCTCTGGCCTAAACCACCATCATTTCATGCTCTAAAAAATGACCACTCAAACATCCGACAATCGCCCCGCATGGCAAACTGATGATCTCGACGAAGAATGGCCAGATGAGAGCGACATTACGACATCTTCTCATGAAGGCACCCGTTCAGTCTCGCTCACAGACCCTGTGGGTTCTGTTCGTGTTCGGGGAGATAATGATGAGTACAAACCACTAGAAAATACATCGCTGAAAACCACTGGAGTGGTCGGCACGTTCTTGGTACGACAGGATATATCCGCTACACCGATGCTCCCCAAGGCTCTGGGGCTGAAGCAGAACGTCATGAAGAACATATTTAGCCCAATGGCTCTCGAGCGCATGTTTGAGCCCCCTTCCCCCCCGAAGCCGTCCTCGCTCAAGCCCAATGCCCCCGCTGTCCCATCACGACTTTCCCAAGTACACGCCGCGTCGTCCTTTTCGCATGACAGCCAGGCGGAAGAAGTGACGGAACAGCGGAATCAGAGTGATGAGATCCTGGAGACCGACTTGCCGGACATGGCTGGATTTGAAGGACGGAAGCCGAGCATGAACTGTCAGTTCACTTTCGCTGTAGCTAGGCAAACCCCTCGTCTGTCTATCTCTCCGACTGGGTTCCCTCAGGCTCTGAGCACTCCAGGACCATCGCGTACCACGATTGCGAGCGCGCCCTTAACAGATCCACGCCTTCGACTCTTCCAATTTCAGTACGACACCTTCACGCGCGACCATCTCTCCGCTATGGTCGATTCGATCGCCGTCAACTCCCCATCCGGAAGTAATACCGGCCCCATCACCCCAGATGTGTCTTCTCCGTTTGGTCTCTCGCGAGTCTCTGAAACTACTGGTGCCAATGACACCTCGCACCTACGGAGTGCCAAGCGCGTCAAGCTCAGTCCAGTCACGGATTATTATGGAGAAGGAGATGGTGCAGGTGCCGTCATACAACGTCCGAAGTCCGTAAAGGACTGGGTAGGGGACTCAAAGACCCTCATGGAGCAGATCAAGAAGCAGGCAAGGGATCTCTCCACCACTTCAACGGTGGCATCCGCCCAAAGTCCTGGCCAATCCCCCACGGCTTCTGCGCTAGGACGTTCGCGGGGAAATGATAGGTCTCAGCACTCCATCGAAGGTGAGCACGCCGTGCCCTTTTACTTCGCCGCTTACATGATTCGTCCGATTCGATAGTGCGGCCAACGCACTTGACCGTCCCTTCATCATTTTCTAGCAAAGATTTATCGACGGCAGGGTCTTCTAAAAATTCCGCTCATTCTTCACTGGCGTTGAAACAGAAGGCTGCCGATTTTATGGACCAACTTCGGAAGGATATGCGAGGCAACAAACGTGTGTTCTCCACAGACACCGAAGCTTCTCGCTTGAGCCGCTCTGGCGCCTCGTTCGTAGAGAGATCGTTCGCGCCATCTGATGCAGGGCCGCCGGGGCCAAACGACGAACGTCGCCAATCCCAAGATACTACGCGACTATTTCCTGTATCTCCTGCGAGGCCGAACCGGGCTCCTCACGCGGTAAGAGCGAAGCAGAAAGCTAGCCCTCGGAAGCTACTCCGCAGACTGAGCGCCGCTGACGAAGTTGATCGGGAACTGGCACAGGACACAAGCAATACTTCGCTCGATACTTCCCTTCTTTATGCACAATTCCCTGCACCACCCGTCATGGTCGCACAACCGGCCTCGCCAGAACGCGCGGTTTCGCCACGATCGAGTACAAGGGCCCACACAAACCCTAACCTTAATCCCGCACTTCTGTCTGCGCCGGGCGGCCTCGCGCCAGCGTATCCTTCGTCTTCCATTCGTGAACGGAATAACGACGACCTGAACCGGTTTGTGTCTTCAAGCACCGCTTCAGGGACCACTTTGACCGTGGGCTCAACGGGATCTTTTGTAAAGCACCCGGGACCCGCGCAGATTACGCGCATCGCACCTGAGGATGTTCCCGTTCTCCCCGAAAGGGTTGGAAGGATGGTTTTTGACAAGGTTATGATGCGATGGGTCAAGTCTACAGCGAATGTGGTACAAAGAGAAGATAATGGAAACGACTATTATGCCACGAGCATTGAAGGCGACGCGGATAGCGAAGATCCATTCCGGGACATCGAGAGTTTGCGGGAAGATGAATCAGAAAGACGAGAGATTAGCGGCGTGCGGGAGCAGGATATGTCAGAGGACCCTGCGACCGTGGACATGAGCCGAATGGACGAAATGGAGGATGATGAGGTGATCGAGGATGATGAGTTGGAACTCACTTCTTTTTCTTTCGATGGGCCGTCGCAAGGGGCCATCGACGTCAACGAAAGCATGGCTGTTGCGGAAGACGATGAGACCACAGATTCTGACAACGACGATGACCAGATCACACGACTCACCGAGATGTCAGCCTCCATGTCCATCGATGGGCGCCATCAGCAGGAGGACAGTCTGATTTCGGACCGTGATGACCTGGATGATACTGTCACCACACATCCACCGCCCCCTGTCAACATAATTCCCTCCACCCCCGGAAGACCTTTCGACGGACCGCCCCTTCAGCACACAGCGTCCTCTGTTCCCACACCCATCCGCTCTGCCCTCAAAAGTGCTAGTGTGACGCCGGTATCTGCACTCAAGGATAACGTGCGTGACAATTATGAAACGCCAGCGAACAAGGGACATCGACGATCGGTCAGCTTCTCTGACGGGAAGCGAGACGGTCAGATTCGAGGGCTCACCCGCAAGCCAGTAGACTCTGACGCAAGCGGCGAGCTGGAGCATGAGGGCGATGAGCAGTTCGGTGCCGCATCGAGCTTCATTCCCTCCGCTCGATCGAAACGAATAGCAGATATGATGGATGGTCTGGAGGACTCGATGACAAGTGAGTTGCCGTAAATGTGTGTAAGTTATCGGCTTTGACATTGTCCGCGCAGGCATCGATGATGATTCGCCGTCCAAGACCACCAGCTCCGGACGGCCTACCGAGGAGTTGCAGCCTCTGTCGGCGCGATGGCCCGGCACGGGCTTCAGTCTCAGCGGTAACACTGCTCGCCGAGTCTTCTCACAGTCACAACCAAGGCATTCGACACCAGTGGCCGGCGACGAGAACGGGAAGCCAAATGCCACATTCCTGACGGAGGCGTCGTTTGGCGTAGCGCACGACAAGCTGGTCGAGGTCATCACCGATGTGCAGCCCTTTGAGCCCTATTGGGAGGAGCTGACGTCTATCGACTTGTCACACAAGAACGTGGAGAGCGTGGCTCGGCTAAAAGAATTTTTGCCGAAGCTGCATTCGCTGTCCTTGTAAGTCTGACAGCTATATATGGCGCTAACAGAGGGGCTTCTCGGACTGAACACGTCGGGTCGTCAATAGGAATAACAACCAGCTGTCGTGGCTAAGCGGGGTTCCGAAGACAGTGCGGACATTGTCTATCACCTCTAACGTGTACGTGCTATTTGTGACAGTATATGTCGCGTCGTGTTGTCCAAACCTGACTGGCTGGTTCTTCTCTCGCCCTATATCCTTTTGGCTGTGCGCAATAGCTTGACGAGAAACACCTCGTTCGGTCACCTCCTCGACCTCGAGAGCTTGGATATCAGCCGTAACAATATCGATTCGCTGACTCGTAAGCCCCTATCTATTTAGCCCGTTCGACTGTGCGCCCCATTGACTGTTCATTTTACAGAATTGGGGTGCCTTCGGCATCTTCACGAACTCCGTGCCGATGGTAATAAGATCACGAGCCTCGATGGCCTCCAGCACATGAATACCCTAGTCAAGCTTAGCTTGCAAGGCAACAGCATTGATAATGTTGATTTTACACAATGCTCGTGGTGCGCCCCCTCCTCGAAACATGTCTTCCTCTTCGGGCTATTCTGATATTTCCCCAATCAAATGCCGTTCGACTCACACATATGTCATCTCCATGATCGTGATCATCTTTTGCGTGGCGCATCTCTTTTCGCTTCCCCCCTATGGCGGTCTATTTTCTCCCGTCGTCGGCTTCACAGGCCCCTGCTCGAGATGGTCAACTTGAGCCAGAACAGGATATGCGGCGCCTCCGGTCTCAGTTCGCTGTCTTCTCTGATCGTATTGAACCTGGGTGAGTGGGAAAGTTACGACCTCAACGGAAGGATGCCAGTTATCGCATGAAGGGCCCCCGCGAAGGGCCCCCGCAGCAGGCTGTGTTGTCACTTGCCGGATCCACCGTGCTGCATCAATGATATCTCTTGTCACGGGGATCGCCTCGTGCTTGTCTCAAGTCCATTTTACTGTCTCCATCATTACCTTTGCTGATTGCTCGCCCCCGCTACCGTAGATAACAATATGATCAGCAGTCTAGAGGCTGATAACACGATGCCTCGATTGCGGATCCTTCGCATCAGTTCCAACAAGCTCAAAGTGCTCGATGCCGCGTCATTCCCAAACCTCAGGACGCTGTACGCAGACAACAACTACTTGGGCGAGATAACGAAGGCCAATCGGCTAAGCAAGCTCGAGAACATGAGTTTGCGAAACCAGGGCGGCAAGGGGTTGTAAGTACTTTTTTTTTCTTCTCCCGGGGTCTTATTTGCCTCCTGGACATCAGAGTTGACCATATTTAATGACGCAGGACATTTTCCGTTCGGGACGTCAGGGACGTTAAACGACTGTACCTTTCGGGTCCGTGGAACGGCCGCTATCCGCGATCTAACTTTGTTGAACGACTAGGAACGCTGATACGCTCTCTGTTTGGTGTTTGCAGGCAACCCCTTGACCGCTCAATTCCTGAGCGAGCCTTGCTACAATCTCATCTATCTCGAGATTGCAGCGTGTCGGCTCACCGCGCTGCCGCCGAACATAGCCACGCTGGTCCCGAACCTGCGCGTGCTCAACCTTAATTACAACTTTCTGGAGGACGTCAAGCCGCTGGAGGGACTCCGGCGATTGAACAAGCTGACGATAATCGGGTCGAGACTCAAAGGCACAAAGGGGATCATCAAAGTGCTGAGGGGCTGTCCCGATGTGGAGATGGTTGATTTCAGGTACGTTATCTCATTCTGCGCTTCCGGGGTCTCCGTGCGCTTCGCCCTTTATTATTACCAAGGTTTCTCCATTGGTTTGTGGATCCTCGATCAGACCAATCCTTGTGTATGCTTGTGTATGCCGCGGGACCAGCTGCCCAGCCCGCGCGCAATCACGTATGAGGGGGTTCCCATACCGTAAATCACAATGATTCCTTTTCTTCGTATGATTCGGTTCAGATTCTCGTCCGCTTGCTCACACAATCTGTTTTTTTTTTCGCACTGACATGCAGGATGAACCCCTGCACGCTCGGCTGGTACCTGCCCCTGCTGGTCAAGGACGTGCCTGGAGCACTGCAACCTTCGGAGCCTAGGATCCGCTCCGGCAACGGCGCACACATATTGCACCCGACGCGCGCCCCGCGAACCTCTGGGGGCGCCGGATCGGTCCCGTCGAACGCCACGCGCGAGCAGGGGCTGCAAGCGCAGCAGCAGCAGCAGACACGAGACGGTCGCACGCGGGGTTGGAGCAGCGACGGCACGGCCGGGCGAGAGAAACAGCGCGGGGCCGGGGCGGACGGATCGTGGCAGGAGCTGGACGCCAAGTTCCGGCGCGACCTTCCGGACGACGCATATGTGGGCAGGTTGGCGTATCGCGGGCTGGTCATGCGTGCGTGCGCGCGGGTACGGATGCTGGACGGCGTGCTGGTTAGTCGGAAGGAGAGGGACAAAGCGGAGCGACTGCTGGACGGCGTGGGGCGGGCGAAGGGATGATGTATTAGCAAGGCCGGGCGCTGGGCGCTGGGCGAGAATGTACTACTGCCACGGGTACGGAGGCAGAGCGGAGGGGACGAGTTCCGTGAGCGAGGATGCCGGTCCGACGACAGCGGAGGAGGGCGCGTCTCTTTTTTCTTTTTTCTTTCTTTTTGAGTGGACTTTGTGCACGTCTGATTTAGCGTCGGCTGTGGAGGTTCTGAGGATTTGCGCTGGTTCTGGCATGGCAGCATATATGGACGTGCTCTAGATCGATAGGCTCACATGCGCTGCATGATCACAATGTTGAGTGCTTCGTGACACGAATGGACATGCATCGAATGGAAAAGGTTAGATACGCTTTTTGGAGGTGTAGCGAGGGGCACGGCATTATCTAAGGAGAGTGGAGGCGAGAGCAGATCAGAAGATGCCCGAGGGATCGCGTGCGGGCGAGCTGGGGGGCAAAGACGCTATGCATGCGCGGCCGTAGAGAGGCCCCCGTGCACAGCCCGGCGGCGATGCGAGCTGGGCAGCAGCGAGAGGGGATGGCAGATGCTCTGATTCTGGTCATCGGTCGCAATACGTAGTGGCAATAAAACAGAAACCCGTCAGCGCGGGCGTGGCAATGGCAGGCCAGCGCTGTCTTCAGGGCCCTGGCAAGCGTCGGGCACAGCGTGCAAGCGAGCGGCTGCCTCTGGACCGTGGGAGCAGGTGAGAAAAGTCCGCGAGCATTTCGGCAAGCGCGTGCCTGGGCTCAATCAAGACGGAACCCGACGTCCTCGATTCGGAAATTATGGAACCGGAAGCCCCGTCCTCCATCCCTCCCAGGCGCCTCCCACCTCTGTCAATTTAGCCTTTTCGGGGGGCCCGTCGTCTCCCAAAGGGAGTCGGTCTCCCGAGTGTGTCCAGGCGTCGCAAGCGCGCACGGCGCTGGGGCCGCGAATCGCGACCGACACGGTCATCTTCGGTCGCCCCGCTCGACGCGACACCAAGTCGGCCAAGAGGCTGCTAAACTATCGTCGAAGGCGGTGGGCTCCCTTGCTCTTATGTATCGCATAAATGAATGACGGCGATCTGGGTTCCGTGCGGGTGGCGCCCGCCGGTGATTGGCCCAGCCCACCCTCGAGCGTTTGAAAACGAAACGGGCGGAGATGGGACACGCGTGCAGGGGATTGGACTGAGGGAGATTTCAAGATTGAGGTACGCAGCGTTATTGTGATGGCGACTCGAGCGTTGATTGGGACACGCAGCAATGGTCATATCAATGGACGGAGGGGGCGGTCGGGTCGGGTCGAGTCGAGTCACGTCATCGGCCTCCAGCGAACAAGGTGCAGGTGGCTCGGCTGGCTGGCTAGCTGGCGCGCGGGCGGTGGGGCGCTCGGAGAGGAGCCGGAGGAGACCGGTGGGGACGAGGAGGGGGGACGGTCGCCCAACAGTCGGTGGATCTGGACTAGCGCGCGGGACCTCTGGGATCTGGGGGGGATCATCGAGCGTCGCAGAGGGATGGGAACCTACCGGAAAAGGATTGTGGATACCGAGGTGTTGGTGCGCCGTTTTCAGGCCGGTTTTTATTGGGCCGCACCCTTGCCTCATCCGTCCCCGCTCGTTTTTAGATATATAGGACGACCGTCCCTTCTCGCCGCTTCCCTCCAGTCTTGCGCGTCCCAGCCGCCGCCGCCGCCCCGATACGAGCCTCGGTACTCGATGATTGAGATCAAGTCGGAGAGCCAAGTCGCGCTTGTTGACCTCTACAATAACGTTGGGCCCGTCCAGTTTGACACATTCGAGTGAGTAGCGTCTTCCGGTCTGGAATCGAGCTGTCACCCGGGCCATGAGCGGAGTGACACGGGACGTGGCTTGGACTCGCGTCGCGGTCCATGTAGGCTGTCACCGCCGCCGTGGGCGTGCCCCCTCCTCTTCCCCGCCTGTGCCGTGAGCGAGCGAGGGATCTCCGGTTGCAGTCGCATCCTGACTGGCTCCGTCACGGCACCCCCGATCAACGACGCCCCCCTGCTGTGTGATTGCGTTGACGCGTGCGCATCCAGATCACTGACGTGACTTTTATAGCAAGCGTCTTGGTCTCCCCGCCGCAGGCGAGCACTCGACCGTCCCTCTGTCATTCTCTGTCACCCCCCTCTCCACCGACTTGTCCTCTGGCTCGGCATCTCCGGCCATCACATCCACGTCCGTACCCCTCTCGCCGCTCTCGTGGCCATCTTTTTTCTTATCAACCTTGCACAGCAGCGCGACCGACCCAGACCCGTGCTACTATAACTTCTACCACCAGCGGCGCATGTCCAGCTCTGCCACTTCCGCCGACTCGGACATCTCCTCTGTGCTCTCCAGGGCCGAAAAGCGCGCGCCCTCTCCCTCCCACTCGCCCCACCCCAAACGCCAGCGCGCCAGCGTCGCCGTCGATCAACAGGTCTGGGACGCGGATCCGCACCAGGCTACTACCCAGTCCGACGCCGTCGACGGCTCGTCCTCGCCCAAAATACAGCTGCCGTCCATCTTCTCCGCGTTCGAGGATCCATTCCGCCAAGAAGCCCGCCGCGCTTCCCTGCCCGCCCTCTCTTCAGAAGCGCCCCGTGGCAGGCTCCCTGCATACCAGACTTCTTCGCGTGCCCAGCCCTCTGCCACCCACCCCCACGTCCCGTCAGCCTTAGCCTCGTACCAGTTCCCGCCCACCCAGCCCCAGCCCCAGCCTCAGTCCCAGCCCCAGTCCCAGCCTTACGCAGACGACGAGAAGGCGTACCGGCCCAGACTCAGCGCCGACACCCAGCTCGGCCTGTCCTTCTCCGACCCGTCCTCGTCGCTGCCCAGCGCAACGACCGCGCTCTCTGGCCCCGCCAACGCCTCCTCCAACTACAGCTCGCCCCTCTCCCCCGATTACACACTGCCCCGCTCCCAGGGCCTTCCACCCCTCCAGTTTTCCGAATCCGATCACTGGTCCACCCATCCCTCATCGGTGTCCCTTCCCGGCATCGTCCGTCCCAGCTCTACCCCCGGACACACCCCCGCTCTCGGCCTTAAGTACGAGGACTCGATCCGCCACACCTCTCTCGCCGGACCCTACAACATGTCCCAAAACAACAACTCCCAGTCCGCTTCCATGTATGGCGGCGCCGCGCGCATATCGGGCCAGGATCGCAGGACCTCCTACGCCCAGTCCTCCTCCACAGAGGGCACAAAAGACGACTGGAGTTTCCCCTCCCCCGACTTCCTCCTCCCGTCCACCAACATCTCGTACGCGACCTCCGCCTCCACCAACAGCGCAGGCGCCAGTCCCTCGCCTTCCCGCTCTCCAGGCACCGCCTCCGTCCCCCCGCCCCCGCCCCAGCTCGAACGCCCCACCAAGAAGCGTGGAAAGCTCCCCAAGGCCACCACCGACTTCTTGAAGGACTGGTTGCACCGTCACTCAGACCATCCTTATCCCTCCGAGGAGGAGAAGAAGCAGCTCTGCGCCGCCACCGGCCTGAGCATGAGTCAGGTCTCCAACTGGATGATCAACGTACGTGCTCTCTCTGCCGTTACGCGCAGGGTCGCTGATGGCACGATTGACTATATATAGGCACGCCGTCGCATCCTGGCTCCCGTTCGCCCTGCCTCTGGCCCGTCCACGACTCACCCATTGCCCTCCCAGCGCGGCTCCGTCTCCCACCCGCCTGTCTCCAATGCCTCGCTGCTCGCCGCCAACCGCCGTGCATCCCTCCCGGGCGAGGGCATGCAGCTCTACCACCCTCTCTCCTTGCAGTCTATCCCCGCCTCGTCGCATGCGTCCCTTGGCAGCGATCCTTACTACAACACGTCTCAACGCAGCATGCTAGGCGTGGGCGGCAGCTACGGCCGCGGTTACAGCGGCTACACGCAGCAGCAGAGCAGCCTCTCCTCTTCTGCATACACGTTTCCCACTCCCGCCGCTGTCGCGTCTCAGCAGCAGCAGCAGCAACAGCAACAGCAGTCGTCTTACATGCCCTCAGGCATGCCGATGAGCGCTCAACAAAGTCAGCCACAGTATCTGTCGTCGCAGCACGGCCACGGTCATTCCCTTGGCGGTCTCTCGCATCATGTGCCGTCCAGCGGGCATGGGATGTACACGCAGCATCAGCAACAGCAACAGCAATATATGCAGGATAGGGAGGGACATCATACTCCCACCGGCTCAGGGTCTGGCTATCACACGCCACAGTGATTTTTAGAGAAGTGCGCCCCTAGGCGGCAGGAGGTGTACCCAACGGGGATATCCCTCATGCATGTAATACGTTTGGCGGCATCGGACGCTCCGTACGTACCATCGTCTGTTTGACTTTTATATAAGCCCAACCCCGTCTTCCTACTTACCCTCTCACTCGAGCGGATATTCTTTTCGACCCTCTTGAACTCCACTCGTCGTTTCTACCTCTGCTGTCTCGTCGTGCATCGTTTCCATATCGGCCATTTTTCTTGTCGCCTGTGTTTGGTCTCCCTGCATTGTCTGCCCTTCACGGACCTGAGTTTCGTCCATGCTGCATCCCTCTGCCCGTATCATTTACCCTAGAGCCACTTTTTAAATCCCCCCCCCCCCCCTCCAAGCACCTCGGCCGTTTCCATCGCAATCGCGTCTCGTATTCTTTCGCCGTAATATACTACATACCCTTCCGGTTCACGCATCTTGTTGTATTCATTAAAACCGCCCAAGCGTCGTCGGACGAGCGTCGGGGCGAACGGTCTTCTTTCTTGTTTGTCGGTAGCTATACTATTATATTACATAAATACACAGCGAGTGTTCCAACGCTAGACGTACACAAAGTCATCGTCGACGAATCCAAAACGGTCGGACGACGATCAGCGCATGTGCTATGCCGGAGGCAATAAAGGGAAATGCTCGTCGCATTCTTCTGCTCCTCGGCCGCTAGCAAGCCAGCTCCCAACTCGAGAAGCGAGGCGATCGATGACGCGTGCATGCCAGGCCAGTTAAGATTAGACACAGGCGCGGCTAGCATGGGTGTGCTTTCCATGCATCATGCCCATCCTGGAATAGGACGGCTGAGGCCATCCCCTCTGGCGCTTGGCCAGCCGCCGCGCCCGATCTCCCTTGTCCATCAAGCCGTCTGCCGTCTGACAAGCACCCCCACCGGCTCCAGGTTCGCTGAGTTGGCCCGTGCAGACGCAGTGCGATTGCGATTCGCCGTGCGCGCCAGCCGCTAGATCCAGCGCGACATGCCGAACTTTACGGTCGTCTGGCGCGCGCCGCGCACTGTGCTTGCTTAGCGCGCAGTTGAAGCGTCCCCCATCGAATTTCGAATTTCGAATTTCCGAAGCTAGTAGTAGCCCGCGTCGCAGAAGCGTCGGAAGCACCCTCCTCGAGCCCAGAGTCGACTCGTCTCTTCGCCTTCGGACAATCGAGCAGCTCTCTGCACCCCCGCTTCTCGCCCTCTAGTCTCCCTCGGGGGCCTTCGTTCATTATGTCCCACCTCCGAGTCGCCTCTCCGCCCCGACCCATTAGTCAGTCGGAGGATGGAGCTCGAAGCTGGGGGCGCTCGCGAAAGGCATTAGTACGCCTCTCGATCTGTTCCGAAGAGCCGCTGCGGCTGCTGAAAGCTTCCGAGACGACGTTCATTTTCTGTTGTTGTGTTTCTCTTTTTCCATGCCTGTGTACTATTTTTTTTTATCGTGCTTCGCAGGGACCAGCGTATCGCCGGCACGGAGAGTCAGGCCAGGAAGCTCACGCCCTTCCGCCTCGGAGCTCTGCGCCCGATTTATTATCTCAGTAGGTGACTACTCCTACTTGCTGTGCACCTGTGATTGGGGCCCAGGGACGCGGGAATCGGGAATCGGCAAGTGTCCTTCTCATCTTGAATTTTGCTTGCGAATGCGAATCCGGCCAGACGTCGAGCCAGCTGGCCGTGGAGGTAACGTACTCGCACAGTGCTTGGCAAGCATATTTTCCATGGAAGAGAAACGATTCCGCTTGGAGCGTGCATGTATCTGGGAAACCTGAGCGAGTCGTGGTTCGAAAACACGAACGGCACATGAAACGCATCAACGTCTTAGCTTCCATTCTGATTGCAGACGACTACTCCAGCGTAGATTGCGCGCTAGCAAGCTAGCAAGCAAGCACTGGCCTGGTCAGCGGCAGGGCGTCACTCAGTCGAGCCTATGATCTCGGACAGCGAAAGAAAGGCGACCGCTGGGTGATCTGGAACATGCGTGAACCATGAGGCCAGGCCGACGCGTTCCGAGGCCCAGGCAATACGCAGACCCGAATTGCTTACCCCTTCCACATCGCGAAATCGACCTCATCTGACCAGCCCCCGTTGCGCATGGGACGCGGTCCATTCTGGGGTCCATTGGACCGAAGCGGGGTTTATTGGTGACAGAACCTGTTCCACCAGTGTTCCACCCCGTTCCGCTTGCGTTCAACTGAAAACGGATCGTGCTGATCGACGAATTCCAGGGCTTTTTCTTTCGGTCCGAAATGCGCGCAGGGGGAGCCCTGGGGAGCCCCGATAACTCCTCCGAGATCCCCGAGGCGGGCCCAATAATTCGGAAGGAATTCAAATAAACCTGAAAAGTCTTGCGCGGTCTTGTGTGTGCTTGGATTCATCTCGGCGCCTGTGATCGCTAGCGCACCTTGAAGAGGCAAAAGTAAGACTTTGTTAGCAAGGACGCTCAGGCAAGCGTCCGATGCAGCATACAACGGCACGATCTGATGCAACGGCGGTACAGTGAACTTTTTTGGAGTATTCAGGGACTTTGTAATGAACAAAAACAGACAAAGTTGCGGCGCGTGCGTCAAACTGGGCATCGATGTGGTCGCCGCTGTTATCATGAGCATCTGTAAGCTCTTCTCCCGCAAAACTATAATAAGACATGACGCTTGAACACTCCACTACGCGTGGTGAGACAGTTTGGCCCTGATCGTTTTGTGGGCCACAGTGATACCACAGTCTGCCACGCTGTGGTGTAATCGGTCGGACTCTGTACAATCGAGTGCAAGTCGATGGGTATTCTTGCACCGCATTGCAGCGAGGGACGACGGGAAAAAGATGCGGCTTCTCCTAAATGAAAACGTACCAGAGCATGGGCACGCACTGCATTCAGGTGTGGTTATTAGTTATCTCTCACCGGGGCTCCCGCTTGGGTGCTGTTGCGCCTTCGATGACGAACCACATCTTCTAGGTGACTGGAAAGATCTAGCATCCGGAGCTTGGTCTATCCTACTCGTCGCATGATAGGATCAGATCCGATGGTAACACAACACGAACAAGGAGTGACTTCTGATAGTGTTCATTGGGCGATATAAGCCTGGGAGCGACCCCGGAACCTCGCGCGTAATGACCTCACGTGCGCGAGCAACGCACTCATGTGATGGGAAAGTATGTGCTTGTCGCGTTCCTTCCCGCGACAGCTGCCAGGACCCGACCATCTCAAGCTCTTCTGTCTTTGCTCAAGCGCAATCGAAAACCAAGTGCACGATCGATGTCTTGGGATATTGGGTGAGAATAAAGGACTATATGGGTGCATTTCTCGGCAGGTGACGGTCCACCTGACGTACGATCATCGTGAGTAATGCGAACCCGCCCTTGCGCCCAGCTCGCCTCACTAACAATATAAGATAGAAATCAAGAGAGCTATCTTTTCCCCTCGAGACACTCTTTACTAGCATCCGACCACGACGAAAATGCGCGCGGTTGTTTATGATGAACCGTTCAAGGTTTCGGTGCAGCAAGTGGAGAAACCCGTCCTGCAACATCCTAACGATGTCATTGTAAAAAGTGAGCAGGGCTTCCTTTACTCTTCTTTTGACTGATTGTAGTCTCTAGTTACTACGTCTTGCATCTGCGGGAGGTAAAGTCACGAAACCGTGGGCGTTCTTATCATAATCACTCACGCTTTTCTCAGCGACTTGCACATGTACGAAGGTCGTACCGGTGCTCAGCCAGGCATTGTTTTCGGTCACGAGAAGTCGGTAGTCATCCTGTTTTGATATTGCGCCTTGCTGAGCACTGAATAGCATGGGCATTGTGGACGAAGTCGGCGCAGGCGTATCGGTGAGAGTTTCGAACGATTCCGCAGCACTCGCTTCTCACGTTCCTTGAGAGATAGGTTCTGAAGAAGGGAGACCGCGTGGTCATGCCATTCAACGTTGCTTGTGGGCATTGCCTCAACTGTGAAGAAGGCCGATCGGCTTTCTGCACGGAAGTGAACCCGGGTTTTGTGAGTCTACCGTCTTCTGCACCCTTCGGCATCGCCGACTCTTCTCCCCTCAGGCCGGAGGGTAAGTTTCTGTATACTCCGCTCTACTCTATAGTCTAACTATGGTATGTGTGAAGCGCGTATGGGTGAGCATCTTTTTTACCTTGCGTCGTGGGCACAATTCTCAATTGCGCTCGAAGCTATGTCTCTATGGGGCCCTACCAGGGCGGTCAAGCCGTACGTCTACGCCATACACGAACGTCAGGACAAGGTTCAATTTTGCATAGGAATACGTCCGGGTACCCTTCGCGGACTTCAACGCCCTCAAGCTCCCGCCTGGCAAGGAGCACGAGAATGATTTTGCTCTTCTTGCCGACATTTTCCCTACTGTAGGTTACATTACTTCGACCATTGGGTATGTCGAATGATACGAGTACGATCACATAGGGTTGGCATGGTGTCGAGCTCTCGGTGAGATGCTATTTTTTTTTTCACTCGCGATATAGCTGAATTATCCGCCCTCTCGACGTCGGAACAATGCCATTTACTCCATTCAGGGCTTCCATCCTGGGGAATCCGTTGCGGTGTTTGGCGCTGGACCTGTGGGCCTGATGGCAGCATATTCTGCCCTACTCCGAGGTGCCTCGGACGTCTACGTCGTCGATCGCATTCCAGAGCGGCTTGAAAAGGCCAAAAATATCGGCTGCATCACGGTCGATCTGACCAAGGGCGACCCTGCAGAACAGATCAAAGCTCTGAGGGGCGGGTGAGCCAGTCTCCTGAGCGTCGTTATCGGTTTCTGATCATCTCTGCAATAGGAGAGAAGTAGATCGGGGCGTCGATGGTGCGTCGCATCACGATGGCACCGTAACCGTATGGGGAGCATATCACTGAACTTTGTTCTGCAGCGGTCGGATACCAGGCCGTCTCTTCGGACGGCAAGACGGAGCAACCAAACGCTGTCCTGGAAGCCCTGATTGCTGTTGTCCGCCCCACCGGAGGCCTTGGCATTCCTGGCTTGTACGTCCCCAAAGACCCGGGCGCGCCGGACTCAAACTCTGCCAAGTGAGCGCTTCCCCGCTCGTGTCTCTGCACACAATCTCATCCTTAATTCGCAGAGGATACATCACTTTCCCATTCGGTAAAGTTTTGAATACTCCCGTCCCGAATTCGGCGCTGAAAACAGTCTTCGGCAGGCAAACTCTTTGAGAAGGGTCTTACCGTAGGCACGGGACAATGCAATGTCAAGGTATGTGTCTCCGCCCGAAGGCCGAGACTGCATTGTACTTATCACCTCTCCCGTCGCAGAAATATAATCGATCTCTCAGGGATCTGATAATTTCTGGTCGGGCCAAGCCATCCTTCGTCGTCTCACACAATCTATCCCTCGACGAGGCACCCGCCGCGTACGACAAGTTCGATAAGCGGATTGATGGGTATACAAAGGTTCTGTTACACCCGTGAAGGTTCTTCGGGGGAGTTCGACCAGCGCGGCGTTTTTATAAGGTTCTTGAGGTTTGTGGTATATACGAATAAACGATGTGAGCGGTTGTTGAACCTTACTATCATGCGCGGCTTATTGTATGATACTTGCATTGTATGATATACTGATCATGATCCTAGTAAGGAGAAGTCAACAAAAAGCGGACATGATGACTCACAGAATATCGAGTCCATGTAACTCAAATGGGCTCAAGTGACGAAATTGCACCAGCGCGTAAACTCATGGTCTCATGGAATTATGCCCGTTAGATCGATAAGGAGGTGTTGAGAGATGGAGCTATGAGACTTCTTCAGCTCCGTTTCATCGTATGATTCTGAAAGGTGGGAAGACGAGGTCCTTGATTGACCTACATTCGGTTAGTATTAGAATTTTCTGGCGGGTAACTGCAGATAATGAGTAAGAGCTTGCTGGCTGCTGCAAGGAGCTATCATAGAAAAAGTTCCAAGATGTGTATGCGAGGTCAGATGATGAGATGATGATTGCATGTGACGAACATGTCAACGCGACAAGATGTTGGTCCACGTCGATTGCCTGTTGCAGTTCATGCACATTATTACCTCTGCGGTCAAGTGGGCGTAGAACTAGCTCACTTATGTCTCAATATGACTTCGAGAACGTTCCCTTCGAAATATTCGAACCTGATGGCACGGACGCTTTGGTCACGAGTCAGCTCGCATGAATAAAGTTGCCCGAAGCCTGCGCCAACAAGTTCAACGAGTCATACCACCACGTCCTCGTTCTTCGACCCCACCCTACTATGTCGACTGCGACTCCCTTCAAGATCGCCATTCCAGACAGCGACATTGCCGCTTTGAAGCAAAAGCTCGATCTCGTCCGCTTCCCTGATGAACTCGACGACGCGGGCCGGGAGTATGGTGTGCCTCTCGCAGATTTGAAGCGGCTTGTCGCGCGGTGGAAGGATGAATATGACTGGAGGAAGCATGAAGCCGAGCTCAACGAGTTGCCGATGTTTACGAGGGGCATCGAGGTTGATGGCTTCGGAACGCTGGATATCCATTATGTACACCAGGAGAGTGACGTGGAGGGCGCAATATCGCTCTTGTTCGTTCATGGATGTGAGTTCTAACTCATCACTTTATCACGTTATGCAGGAGGTCATACTGCTACGTTTGAAAGGGCCTGGGAGCTTCATTGAGGTGCAAAAGATCCTTCCCCTGCTCACTGCATCGTCGGCGGAGCATCCTAGTTTTCACGTCGTTGGACTCGGACTCCCCGGGTACGGATTCTCAGAGGCACCGAAGAAGAAGGGGTTCGCAGCGAAGCAGTTCGCCGAGGTAATTAGCTCAAGACCGTCTCGGTGTGTCCTGACAAGCGGCTAACTTGACTGCTTGCAGGTGGGTCATAAACTCATGCTAGCGCTTGGATATGATGAGTATGTGACTCAAGGTGGAGACTGGGGAAGTTTGGTGGGTTCCGTCGACTGCGAGTCATTTGGTGGGTGAAAACATGGTACTCACACATCGTGTGGCTGTCGTGATAGATAACACGCGTGATGTCCAACCTTTACGGACCCAAGCATGTCAAAGCCTGGCACACAAACATGCCCACGTACGTCTTCGCCAGCTTGACGTGTCTTTCTAGATATCTGACACGGCTGGTCGACGCCCAGCTCGTTCCCACCGCGTCTGTTCTCCCACCCTCTCCAATACATCAAGCACCTGGTGCTTCCGTACACTGCCGAGGAACGCAGGCGACTCACACGCGCGAGCTGGTTCGCTCAACAGGGGCGCGGGTATTTTGAGGAGCATGCGACGCAACCGCAGACGATCGGGTACGCGCTCGCGGATTCGCCTACCGCGCTCTTAGCGTGGATATACGAGAAACTCGTGAACTGGACAGACAAGTATGAATGGGATGACGACGAAGGTGCGCAGCAAGCTGAGAGGCGACGATTTCCTTCCTTTTATCGCATCGACATGACGCTCGGATCACAGTGCTCACCTGGATATCGATCTATTGGTTCTCGCGTGCGGGTCCGGCGGCATCTGTCCGCATCTATTACGAGACCCGCAAATCAGGAGAGCGCCTGAATCCCCCACGCACAAAGGTCCCACTGGGCATATCATACTTCCCACAGGAGCTTGCCTTGGGACCCAATACGTAAGTTCTTCGTGTTGTTTGAAGGTGCTACGAGGGCCTCATGCCTGTGATTCAAATTAGATGGATCAAGACGATCGGAAATCTCGTGTATGAGTCTGCCATCCATGAGAAAGGCGGCCATTTTGCTGCGCACGAACGGCCAGAGGATCTCGCTGGTGATTTGAGAAAGATGTTTGGGAGGGGAGGGCCTGCTTATGGGCTAGTGAAGGGCAAGAATGGGTTCTGAAAAACTTAGGGTCATGCTTCAATGCCGTTGAGCAGCTTCACAACGGCAAGTATGTTCAATTGGATTGACAACGCCCCGTTTGTAAAATACCAATAGCGTGATGAAGAGATTTGGAGAAAAACAAGGCCGATGCTGGTGAGGGAATGGAGGAAAGAATGAGAGTTGGCGTTGCGCCTGCTTCAGCCACTGTACCTTCCTAATTAAGTAACTCCGGGATTCCCCGCCACACAAACCTTACACATCTCCTCCGCCAATATTCCCCCAAGCAACAGTCGAGGCCGGCACACTTCAAGGTGAGCAGAATCCTTCCCTTATGCTGGTCTGATACGCGGTGGGAGGTGCGGTGCATGCGAAAATGGATATTTGAATGGATTCGAGCCGTTGGAATAGAATGGATTGGGACAGAATGAGGTGGATGGAGTTGGTGGCTGGCCGATGACAGTTTTAGCGGGATGTTTGGACAGTGGCAGCTCAGAGGACGGGTGGAGTGATTGGGTAGGCCATTTGAGCATGGAGATTAGAAGGCAGTTGATTCTGGTCGCTAATGTCCAAGGTCAACCTTGCACCTTCCAGCCCGCGTCCGTATCGCTGCACCAATCCTCCTGTCGACTACGTGGCTGCCTTTGAAACCGCACTTCTCCCATATAACAATTGTGATGCTAACATACTGTCTTTCAGAAGACGCACTAAAATGGCCGCAACAAAGAGCACGAAGGGTAAGACTGCCCCAAAAAGTGGGTCGACTCGTTCATTCTAATCTTCCGCCAATCGACTCATATTTCCATTTTGCAGCCACGAAAACCGCCGCCTCGAAGGACGCGAAGGCCAAGTCGGCCAAGAAGGCGGCTCTCCAGGGCGTTCACGGCCACCATTCGCGCAAAGTGCGCCACACTGTGTCCTTCCACCGACCGAAGACCCTTCGCCTTCCCCGTGACCCCAAATACCAGCGCAAATCGGTGCACCATGCGCCACGCATGGATGAGTTCCGGACGATTGTTTCGTGCGTGTTCCCGTCTTCGCTACCCGCGATACCACCGTCTTTGTGTGCTGACCTTGGATTGGGTAATGGTGTGATTTTAGGCCTTTGAACACAGAGTCCGCCATGAAGAAGATCGAGGAGCACAACACCCTCGTCTTCATCGTCGACATCAAGTCGAACAAGCGTCAGATTAAAGACGCGGTGAAGAAGTTGTGGGATGTCCAGGCCGCGAAGATCAACACGCTCATCCGGTACGTGGATGTTGAGCTTGTATGATCGTGATGCTGATCCCTTTCACGCATGCAGGCCCGATGGCAAGAAAAAGGCCTACGTGCGGTTGACCGCGGACCATGACGCACTGGATGTTGCTAACAAGGCAAGCAGACTTTTACGCGACGGTGTTGAGTTGACATTTCTGACTGCTCGCATGTGTTTTGAACCTGTAGATTGGCTTCATCTAATGTGTTCTCTCGTGTCTTCCGGGTTTTTCTCTGTCGTATTCTTTACCTCGCATTTCCCCCTGTATGCGTACTGCCATGCACATGCTGCCTATGAGGCTCCAAGCCAACCATTCTCCTGAATTTGTTGAACACAGCGGTGGAACCTATAACAATGGGCTGGAAGTAGCATTAGGCATAAATATGTTCAGCCATTCAAGAAGAACAGTCCTAAAGGCTCAGTGGATGCCCGTGCCGAGTAAGCTTGACCTTGAGATCTTGAGAGGAACGAAGGCTATCAAGGTAGAATGCAAACCATCATGACATGGTGACCTCCGACACTCCTCCGACCTGTTGAAAGCCTCATACACGCTGCTTATTCCGAGCCAAAAATTCCTCCTCATTTCAAGAAGGCTCACTTAAAAATCCCTCACAAGGGAAAGTCACGATTCAATTGACTATACTCTGAATCTCTAATTTCACAGCACTTTTCTCTCTCGAAATACTCACCAACACCTGAAACTCGCTCGTCGTGTCGGCGCACCGTGATGTCCTCAAAGCGCTGCTAAGACCCGCCGCCCGCATCCCCAAGAAATGTGGAGCGCCTGGACAAGCATGTATATCTCCATAGCCTGCTACGAGACGCAGTATCATGTCCTACTTTAGAACGCCAAATTAGGGCGTTTCGTCATGACAGCGCTGTTCATTCGGTCTAGGAATATGAAGACAATCGTGTTTCCCGAGTCCGTCGAGGCCGAAAGGCTTCGCTTCGATTTTTATATCAAGGACGGCCCACGGACGTGAATGTCGACCGTGCGTCGCGTTGATTGCGAATCTCGGAGCACAGGAGCCATGACGAGGATCGCGGAAAACCTCAAAATGTACCAGTCATGAAATGCTCAACCGTTTCAAGCCTCGTCCAGTAAGGCTCTGCCAAGCACCCATCCGTGTTATACACCTTCGCGATCTCTGAGTATAGATTTGACTTTTGTGGATGTTTTTTCCGAAAAGCGTGCGAATAGCTGCCGTGTCGGATCATTCTTTTTTTGGACGAGCATCCCAGGCAATGGGTCGAAGCGACCGAAGCCCTTTCTGGAATACGCACGCACTTTATACGTTGTTGCACCAGACAAGGCTATCTCGCAGCCAAGCCGTCTCGTCCTCGCTAAGCAGGAGAAACGGAAGGGAAGGCCCGAGCGGGAGGAACAGGTCGCACAGGAGGACGTCGAGCAAGAGGATTTCGGCGACGGTGGCGGTCTCGGACATGGTGACGCCGAAATCAGCGAAGAAGCATCAGACAATGAAAGCATAGTGTCGGACAATTGAGGGTCTAAGATTGAAAGTCGGAGCGTGCGGTACTCGTCCGCGCTGCAGCTGTCCTCCTTGCAAGATTTGCCACACTTGATGCATATGAGCATACGCTAATTTGCGTAAAATTGTTTGTACCGAGGATCACTCTACACAGAAAGAAAATCAGTTGATCGCGGACCGCGATGCACTGGACGTTGCTAACGAGGCAAACAGACTGTCTCGCGACGGTGTTGAAAGTGACGTTTCTCCATCTTCTTATATTTTCCGGATTTTCCTTCGACATGTTCTCTACCTCGTATTTTCCGGTGTATGCTGCCAAGCACTGATCAGGCCTCAACTCAATCATACACTTTGACACTTTGATTCGCTAAACGCATCGGCAGAGCCGATAGCTGAAAATAGCATGCGGCCAAAAAAAAAAGGGAATGATGGGACGGGTGTAATCAGAAGGCTGATGATGATGCGGATCTGGAGGATTCGTGCTGCGGGCCTAGACGGGGACCCCTCGTTACGAGAACAGAAAATACAAAGCGCGGCGATGTGAACGAGTGGCGCAAAGAACACAAAGCTGGGAGACGACGCAAGGAGCGGAGAGGACGCGCAGGGGGTCGCATATGAGGGAAGATGAAGCGAAGACAATATATTTCAGGGGAGATGGTGATGGCGAGGGAGGCGAGCCAGCTAGGGAGGCGGTGTGTCGGCGCATATAACGAGCGCTGTTGGTCGACCGTGGCCCTTCTTCCCGCTCCTGCTCCGCTACTGCGCCCCTCGTCGCTGTCCCTCCTCGACAGTCCCCACACTCCTTTCTCTCTGGCTGACCTCTCCTTCCTGTGTCGCGCCGTCCTTGCTCTTCAGCAGCATCCATCCCTGGGCCAAGCACCCTCCCCACTATAGCTATTATTTCAAATCTTCTGCATGTACTTCTCTCGCACTCTCTCCCCCCTCGCCCTCGTTGTCCTCGCCCTCGTCCTTGCCGTCGACGTCGATGCTGCTCACGAAAACCTCTCGACGCCTGCCCATCACCGCAGGTCCCTCGCCTTCAGGAAAAAGCCACTGAAACCCCTCGAGGCCCCTCGCAGGTTCGGCGAGAGGCAGCTCCTTGGTAACGTCGTTGGCGACGCTCTCGGTGCGTCCCCCTCCTCTTTCTATCCCTTAGAATTCAGGCCAGGTTTCTAAATGTACAAATTCATTGTCTTGCGACGGAATGGGTGTGATTCAACGCAGGCGGCGTGGGGGACATTGGCGACCTACTTGGTTCCGTACTCAATATCACCCCCACTGCAACGGCGACGGCGACGGACACATCCTCCATCGCTAGCTCCACCGACTCATCATCATCATCATCTTCGGGCACGTTCACATCTGATGCATCTTTGACAACCGCTACGTCGAGCGCCTCCACCTCAGCCACCGCATCTGATGCATCGAGTTTGACCGCGTCGTCTGCGGGTCAAACTACGACGACCGTGCCAACCTCGGCCTCGGAGGCTTCTTCGAGTGTACAAGCGACTTCGTCCCTAAACTGTGGTTTAATTGGGAATCTCCTCGACCCGGCGTGCCAAACGAGCGCTGCCGCTTCGTCGACTACCCCTGCGCCCTCCGTCACGTCCACTGTCCCGAGCGATGTGTCAACGCCCTCCGCGAGCGCGTCCTCCTCATCCGTTAATTGTGGTCTCCTTGGAAGTCTCCTGGACCCCGCATGCCAGTCGAGCGCGGCCGCTTCTTCCACCGCTGCAGCCTCTGCGACGTCTGTCCCGGCAGCCTCTGCTACACCCGTACCGTCAGTTTCCGGGACCGATTCGGCCACATCTTCAGCAGTTGCATCGTCCTCGTCCGTCGATTGTGGTCTCATTGGCAATCTTCTCGATCCAGCATGTCAGACGAGCGCAGCCGCTTCATCAACTCCTGCAGCCTCGGCAACGTCTGCTTCGGCCACGCCTGCGCCCTCCGTCACGTCCACTGTCCCGAGCGATGTGTCGACGCAGTCTGCGAGCGCGTCCTCCTCGTCCGTCAATTGTGGTCTCCTTGGAAATATCTTGGATCCCGCATGTCAGACGAGCGCGGCCGCTTCTTCGACTGTTGCAGCCTCTGCGACCGCTGCTCCGTCGGTTTCCGTCACGCCTGCTCCGTCGGCCTCGGGAACTGACTCTGCAACGCCTTCCGCGACTGCATCGTCCTCGTCCGTCAATTGTGGTCTTCTTGGAAACCTCCTCGATCCAGCATGCCAGACGAGCGCAGCGGCTTCGTCCAGTGCTGCAGCCTCGGCTACGTCTGCCCAAGCGCCTTCCACCACGCCCGCCCCGTCAGCCTCCGCAACCGATTCCGCGACTCCATCCGCCAGCGCGTCGTCTTCTATCGACTGTGGCCTCCTTGGAAATCTCCTCAATCCCGCGTGTCAGACGAGCGCGTCAGCTTCGTCTAGTGCTGCAACATCTGCGACTTCCGTTCCCGCGGCTTCTACCACGTCCGCCACGTTGGCGTCTGGAACCGATTCGGCAACGCCTTCTCCCAGTGCATCGTCTTCGTCGATCGACTGTGGCCTGATTGGAAGTCTTCTCAACCCGGCTTGCCAATCGAGCGGATCCGTTTCGGCCACGGCGTCTGCGTCAACGACATCCGCTAGTGGAATCATTCCTAGTTTGACCAGTATCCTTTCCATCACTGACACCTCGTCCTTACCTATTTCCACCTCATTTTCGCTTTCGGTCACAGGAACAAGCACGGTCTCTGATCCAATCACCACTTCCCTCACTGGATCCTCTACGTCTTTCACGACGAGTGATGTCATTAGTACTATCAATGGTACTTTTACAACAACGTGAGTTCGTAACATAGGATGAAGCGAACGCGGATGCCTAACTTTTATATAGGAACTCTGTCAGCGCAACGGGTTCGACATCTGCATCTGTTACTGGCTCTGCCAATATCACTGCCTCTGGTACAATCACTGCTTCTAGTTCCATTACGACCAGTGCAAACAGCAGCTCTGTCATCATCTCGTTCCCTACAGGCCTCAACAGTTCCAGCATCACGGAGACATTCAGTTCGCTCTCGACCTTGTCCTCTGCTACGACCACGTTCACTCCTCCGCCACAGCAGTCGCAGTTCTCTTACCTGACGGACTCGACGCTCCTTTACACGTCTGTGCCCACGACTACGGCATCTACCACGATGACAGATCCCGATGCGGCTCCTACAACTCTCTCTGTTGCACCGTCGGCATCAGCCTCTGCTCCTGTCACGGTGCCTGCATTGCCTGCCAACCTTCCGTCACGCATATACCCAGCAGAGACGATTGCACAACCCGAGGCAGGCTATACCCTTATCAGCCTTCTCTTTGACGGGAATCTGCCCTGGTATTTCGTTGCAAACCAGGCGGATTCGCAGGGGCAGATATTCTCGTGGCTGCCTGTCGTCCTCTGGAATGCACTCGGTATCACATCGGATGAGGTCAAGACGTTCGCGCTCCAAGTGTACATCCCAAGCACGTATCAGAGCACGGCAGATGTTGGCCAGCTGCGTACGATGTGGCTTGCATACATCCCGTCGAGCAACGTGTCTTCGCTTGCGAGCCTAGTCTCGACGCAAAAGTCGAAGTTCTACACCGGTGTCCCTGACCCGTACGCCACTCTGGCATCGCACATTGATCCCGCATTTTCCGTGGACACGGTCTCTGTCACTGCTGGCACAGGCAGCTCGAGTGGCAGTGGCTCTTCGGCAGCGAGCACCACCGGCGGGTCTTCTAACAACTCTCGGCAGGACGCGATCATCGGTGTCGTCAGCGCGCTTGGCGGATTGACCTTGATTATACTCGCGGTGCTTGTCTACCGCGCGGTCAAGAAGCGCCGCGAACTCGCCCATCGCCGCCTGTCGGACCCGAACATCCCGAATGACCCGTACCCCGACCGCGCTGGGCGTGACTTTGACCAGGACAGCATTGGGGGACCGCGCAGGCGGAGCTTCTATTTCGCGGAGGACAGTTTGCGGGGGACGTCGGTCCAACCGTCGGGAGTGCAGACGCAGCACCCTGCGATGGGCGAGGTCGAGTACAGCTACAGGCACAGCCCGGAGAATATGAGAGAGAGGAGGCCGGTTATGCCTGGCGCGATCTCGGCTCCTATTTTGCAGCAGAGTAGCATGAATTGGTGAGAACTTGGTGAGTGTCTCAGCATCATATATACCCACAAGCTCTCACTCATACGCCCGTGCGTCCAAGGTGGGCGGTAGCGGCGAAGAAGAAAGGGTGAGAAAAGCTCTGAAAACCCCTATATCATGGCAAAAGATACCATCTTTGTGTCCCCCTTCTCGACCTCCCCCTTTGCTCTGTTATTTATTTCGAACGCTCGCTGCGTGTTCAGGATTTTGGCGAGGACCCGTCGACTTTTGCTCTGTCGCTGCGCTTTTTTCGGGTCTCGTGTTCTTCGTATGCCTGTGTACTCTCTGAGCTCTATGATACACATGCTTTGTTTTGCAGATCGTCGTGCTGGGCCAGCGGCCTCCTTGTCTGCATCCGTGCGCCGGGCTTGACCACGAATTATTCACCGTCGGACAGCACGGTCGCTGATACCTTCTCTAGTCGACACTTCTCGTTTTCCGACACAACACGCTTACTTATCGGTTATGTAAGTAGAGTGCCTTTCTTCTCCCTGCCCGCGCGGTGGACGTTCTTGTCTGTGCAGTGTTGCTCCCTTCCCTTGTCCATATCCTATCCCAATCGGTACCCACATTGATGATCGCTATTTAACTTCTCGTACTTCGGTTTCGTTGCACTCGCAATATAATGGGCTCGGTGTTGTGTTTACACGATGTATCGGTTTCTGTTTTGACCTTCCCTTCACTTTTTTTTCTTCTCTCGCGGACGTACACTTACTTACTTTGCGCCTGGTCGCCACCGGATGGCGCGTACTTTTCGGAGTGATTTCACGCTGGGCTACATGATCGGGCTATCGGGACTGTGGGAAGTAGATGTACGGACATGGACTGCGCTCTGATTTCATTCCTTTTATTCCGTCTTTCCTTTCCGTCCTCCTGTACATATTTCTGACGTTTTCTACTGAGTGGGGAACTACGGGAGTTACCAAAACGAGCGAAGTCACAGCGTGACTGTGGCCAAGTGGCCGGGCTGCGGCATGGTTCGCGTCTCGTGAATGAGCGCGCCTCTTTCGCTTTGAGCCTCAAATCACTGGTTGTCCTCTCCACTCTCTCTCTACTTTTCAAATGGACAGCAATGGCTGGTATCCCTCGAGCAGCAGCGAATATCAACAGCCATACTCTTCCCCCAACACCCCAGCGGCCAACAGGACGTATGCTGCTGGCGAATCTGTGCAGGACGCTCACAATCTGTTGGCGGTGTACCCGCTTGCGTCCGCTACGCCGACAGCCCACGGTCAGCTTACGATTTAGCGTGATTATGGACGCGGATGGGCTGACATGGCGTCGTGTTGTCGGACAGTGGCAAGGCAGCTAAGCAACTTGACCGTGAGCGGGACGGCGCCATCCTACGTGCAGCCGCACTATTACAGCCTCAGCAGCGCGATGTACCCTTCTTCTAATCCCCAGCCATACTCAGAATACGCGTCCCAGATTAGCCACCTTCAGGCGTCGCAGCCGCCCGCTGGTAACAACATGGGCTACTGGGAGAACACGCGGAACGATGCAGTGAGATACCTTGGGGAGAACGGAAATCAGTGTGTCTACCTCTCTCTCCGGGGCGTGATGGCTGACTATATGCGTTGTTCCGGGACAGCTCGTACCCGAACTACCAGCCGCAGACGCAGTATTGGTCCGCGCCATCCTACCCCACGTACCAGACAAACGCCTTCGCTCAGTCGATATTCCAGCATACGATGCCGTCCATCTCTTATCCAACTCCGCCACCCCCCGGCATCCTTTCGACCTCATCCTCTCTCGCGCACGCGCTCGGCGATCCACCACCGCGTCCCCAGCCCAAGATCTTCCACCCGGAGGAGTCCACCATGTTTTTCAACAACTTCCTCGACAAGTCGAGTCGCGAGCTGGAGAAAGCGCAGGCCGCGAAGTACGCTAACTACAACCAGAACCATAATTATCACAACGCCAGCACGCCCAGCAGACGGGAGAAGCTGGAGGCGTTCTCGAGCCCCGATCCTCTAGCCATCGGCCCCGGCACCGCATTCACGCCACAGAAACGGAAACCTGTCGAGCAGATCCAGTCTCCCTCCACCAAGCGCGTGCAGGGCCTGCAACGGACAGTTTCTTCCTCGTCTCTTTCTGCTATGTCCTCCACGCCGCCCTCGTCACAAAGCTCAACCCTGTCACGTAGCACGTCTTCTTCCCATTTGACGCCAAAGCCGAAGAAGAGGATGCAGGCTTACGTCGAAATGCCGGCTCTCTCGAGATCGCGGGCCACGCCGTCATCTTTGCATTCCCAGAAGAGTCATGTGTTCAAGACCCCTGTAGCCAAGGGTAAGTTGAAGAGGGTTTTCGACGAGGAGGATGAGCCCGACCTGGGTGGCTATGGCTCGCCAGAAGAGGACTTTAAGCCGAGGAAGACCAGCATGAGCGATGCCATGAAATCGTCGCCTGTGAAGAGGACCGGCGATCGCGATGAAAGGGGTAAGTCACTCTGAATGCGTGGTGGTTTCGTTGCTGAAGGTGTCTTGTACAGGACCTCTGGAGAAACTCACATCTTTGCTTGAGGATATCTTCGAAGCTGAGGACACCTTGCCCGCTGATGCGGACCTCGAATCTCTATCCACCGAGTTCTTTTCTCTGCTCACCGTGGAGCCCGCTCGACCACAGCTACATCACAACATAATCCGCAAACTCACAAAATACATTGGCCAGGTGACGCGTCCGATGAAGCGGCTACGCGGGCATGGCGGTTCCGTTAACACGCCTCGCGCGCGTGGCCCTGGCAGTATAGCTGACATTGAAACATCGACGCTTTCGCGCATATTGAAGATGCTCGAGCGCAGCGTACGCCTCGGCGAGGACCTCGATCCTTTCCGTAGCAGCGAGGTCGAGGCTCCGCGCGGTGTGAGCATGTCGCCGAGCAAGAGGAAGAACGCAAAGGCAAAAAAAGCGCTTTCGCAGACCGAGCGGCGCTCAAAGTCGCATACTCCAGTGGGTGGTGAGGATGAGCAGGAAGAGACCATGAAGGATGCCGACCCGCCGGTGCATGAAATAACCGAAGCCGATCTGGACAGCCTTGCTCGGGCACTGGATGTTGCACGGGACAGTATTCTCGCCGCAGACTGCTGCATCGCGTTGCTCGGAAGCGATCGATTGACGAAGCAGGTTTATTCGGAGGAGCTGATCACTGTGTGTCTCTCCGCGATCAAAAACCAACTAAGCAAGATCATCTATCCGTTCGTTGAGGCTTTTACAGACGGGAATTTATCTGGCCTCCTCCACTATGTCGTCAAAGCCGGTTCTCACGATGCCAAGGGCTATCGACGGCAGCTTGCGGAGGTATTCCAAGCGATTTCGTCTGTGCTGCCTAGGATCAACAATCTCGTGTGTGCGGATACAGTGGTCATGTCCGACTCGATCATCATCCAGGCGGTATATATCGCCATCGGTCCGTTCTTTGTCGTCGAGTCAGAAAGTGAGGGAAAGGGGAGAAAGGACAATGTCGTCGTGAGCACGTTGGGTCAGAGCGCGATGCGAGGACTGAGGCTAGATGCGTTGTCGCTCATTCGAAGTGTGAGTCTCGTGGGATCGACTGGACACATTGTATTGACCGATTTTTCTTCGAGTAGATCTTTGCCAACCATGAAGATCAGCGCTCGTGGATTATCGAGGAGATCTTAGGGTCTTTAATCAGACTCTCAGATACGAAACAGAAGGCAGGGCAATTTCGGTAAGTCTTCCTCATTACGCACCTAATCACGGGTTTGAGAGACTTCGCTCTCCAAGGTTGCGAGATGGTCGTTCAATACGTACCGTCTCTGCACTATTACTGCAGTTGGTTCAGACTTCGGCGCATGGTGTCCGGATAGAGGCACGTAGGTTTGGCAAGGCACGTCAACAGACGCTTGCTCTCCGTCGTCAAGACAGCATGGTCGAAAAGGCAGAAGAACCGTTCTTGGACGACAAGGACATGGGGGTAAGTTGAACTGATTGCACTCTCAAAAGTTTACAGGCCTCATTAATTGCAGGAAATTCAACTATACATCTCTGGCCTGGAGTCGGCAATGAAGGCAGCAAAGACGATTGTGATTTTCTTGACGCAACGGTAGGCTCATTAAAGCCGTGTTGATCGTACTGAGATGTCTTATGAATTGAGTGCGTTCAGGTCGGGCAAGGGCAAGGCTACCAAAAACTCGAACGAGTCCGAATACCGTGCCATCTTTGATAATTTAGTTTCGGATCTTCTAGTAGTCCTCTTTTGGCCAGAATGGCCAGCTGCAAGTTTAGTGTTGAGCATCGTCTGCAGATTCATGGTGGGTGGCTTCTCTTATCATCTTTGTGTGGGAACCTCACGCATCACTGTCTAGGTCTCATCTTTGGACGACGTGAAATCTACAAATCAAGCCGATAACAACGCTGCCAAGACGATCGCACTTGATCACCTCGGCGTCATCGCTGCTCGGCTACGCTCCAGTTCTCTCAAGTTCAAGCAAATAGAAAATGGTTCTGATTCTCCGGCCTTGAGGCCCTTGGACGAGGTAAGAAGAAGTCCGCCTGAAACATCACATGTTCGACTCATCTCGTCCCAGGTTCTGTCAAATGCGAACATGAAACAACTGGAGCGACTTATTGCAGCTCACCAGGAAGTGGTGACACATCTCTCAAAACGATCCTCCGAGGATCAAGCATACGAGGCAAGTATTCATCGCCATTTCAAATCAACAACCACCTAATTATACAGCTGTTTGAATATTTCAGAGTGCCAGGGAGCTCACGGCCGTCACTTGGGGTCAAGAATTGGCTTTTGCTCTCAAACAATTCAATGCAAACCTGGCAGATGATGGCGATGACCTCGATCTCATCAAGTCTAGTCAACCCAAGGCACTCCGTATTGGCAATAAGATCAAGGCTGCATTGAGAGACATGTGGAAGGACGCCGCTACTGATGTATTCGACATAAGGTATATCTCCTCTACACGGGGCGAGACCATACCTAACTTCTATGTCAGCTCTCAGGACGATGTGACGCATGTGGATCGTCTGGCTGAAGAAATAGGAATTATTCAGGATTTGAAGAACTCATACCATCCAATCTTGAATGTCATCCTGCTCGCTCTGGATGCACCGCCAGTTTTCATGCGTACAAAAGCCTTGAGAGCGCTCGGTCAAATCGTTACGAGTGATCCTACAATTCTATCGACTGTGAGTATTCAAATTACATCCATGATCGCTTTTTCTCACCTTCTGCGTAGCCCAATGTCCGCCGTGGAATTGAGAGCCATCTGCTTGACAGCTCCCCAGCTGTGCGCGATGCTGCTGTCGAGCTCATTGGAAAGTACATGATCGACTCGCCCGAAGTAGCGGGCAACTACTTCCAGAAGATCGCAGATCGTATCGCAGTACGTATCGACCCCCTTTTGGTGACAAATCACTGACAGCCCTTATAGGACACCGGACTGGGAGTTCGCAAGCGCGTCATAAAATTACTCAAATCTTATTACGGCGTCATCGACGACAGCGAACATCGTACAGATATCTGCACCAGACTGGTGATGCGGATGTTCGACGAGGATGATACCGTCAAGGATCTGGCAGTTAAGACGATCGAAGAACTTTGGTTCCAAAGCCCTGTTTCCGCTATGTCATTGCAACGATCGCAAGCTGCTGCTGCTCCCATCAATTCGGCTGACAAAACTCAGCTACTGGCGAAGGTTTCGATCATCATGGGTGTATCAGGACATTTCAAAGATCGACAGTCGCCTCTAGAAGATGTGTTGCACAAGATCATGGCCGATAAAGAAGGCGCGGAGGCGAATGCCCTTCATGTACGTTATGCTGAAATCTGTGAGGCATTAATCGACGGCCTTGTGGATGCGTCAGAACTTCCAGGCTTTGTACGTGTCGATTGCCTCCCTTGGCCCTATTTTTCGTTGATCGCCTTCCTTTCTAGACCGTGATCAATTGTATCAGGACTATCTATCTCTTTGCGACGGCGTACCCGACTGTGCTCTCGGGGTCCCATGCGTCAACATTGTTGCCGTACTTAAAAAACTCTTCAACGGTGCGTCCTTTACTTTCCGAACTTCTTTGAGCCTGAATTTGATGAATTATATTTCAGCCTGAAGAGCAGGTGACATCAGACTACCTGCTTAAGATCTTCCGTGTCTCTATTCCGAACATGCCGAAAACAGCCGCCAAATTCGGACAGGAACTTCAGCTGGCATTGCAGCCAATGATTTTGAGGCCTTCGACGACGGGCGGGGTTCAGGTCAGTGCTTCAAAAGAAAATGTGCGCTTGATGATGAAACCTCTGTTACAGGCATTGCAAGAGACTGTGGCCTGCATGTGTGCCGTAGTCCAAAACCTGACTCATGATTTCACCCGTCTGGTGGCTTTGTTGAAATCATGCAACCGTGCGTTCATCGACCATGTTGGTTGGCAAAATCTGACTGTGAGCCATTGTCATTCGTTTAGTTCGCCTGCAACAAGCGATTGCACGTTCCTCGACCCAATCTATGGCACCTACCGACGCGCGAGCCCTCTCGATTCTCATTTTCATCGTGTCCCTTTTAGCGGAGCACTGTGACTTCGACCACTTAAGAAGCGGAAATCAAGGTCCGTCACGTCGTTGATGACTCCGCATATTTGGGCTCAATTTTCAAGCTACAGAACTGGCTCCTGACTTGGACGCTATATCAAAGGTCAGAAATTTCGAAACTAGCACGAATTTGTCATTGACTAGCGTCAAGGGGTCCATCATCGTCCACATCTATCACAGTCTACTGAAGCTGTATCACAAGCATAGTGAGGCAGGTCTGCGAGGACGCATTCTTCAATGCCTTGGTCAGTAGAAGATAAACAAGAGACGAACCATTTCTGACGCTTCGACTGTAGGCTTCCTCTTCAGGTCTCAGCCCACCTTGATGACTCTGGATTCGTCTGCTGTGATCATGGACGCCATTTTCGCATCGCCAGAAGATGAGAGTCGTGGACGGTTACTCAAGATACTGCAAGATTTCTTGGTATCTGAGGCGTCAAAGCATGCTGCAAAGGAAAAGAGTAAGCGGTAGTGATCTCGCTGGCTGTCCAACTTCTCATTCTGGTTCTCAGAGAGCGCAAGACCAAAGTCGGCTGCCACCGATGTCAATATGGAGGAACTAGTCGGGAATACCGATGGTTTTGCTGACTCAGGGTGAGAGCTATTCTCGATTGGCCAAATGCTGTCCGATTGATTGCAATCCAGGGTGAGCTCCGCGGTGGTTCAAAGATATCTTGATCCCATATTGCAAGCTGCACTATCAACACACGCACAGACCCAAGCCGCCGCCGTGGATATCTTGAGCTTCACTATCAAACAAGGTCTTGCACATCCTCTACAGGTGATTATCAACATATTTCGACACCTATCTCGAACAGCGCTGACATCATGCAGTCCTTCCCTGTGATTATAGCTCTGGAGACCAGTCCAAATGCTGCATTGAGTGGAAGAGCCAGCGCTTTGCATGCCATATTGCATAGCAAACATGCATCACTCCTCAATTCTCGATACACTATAAGTGCTCGATCTTCTTTTGATTACCAGAAGACACTCATGCAAGGTCATGTCCAAGGTAATCTCTTTTTTCATGTATACGCCGCTTCATACTTATCGGAATTTGCAGGATATCGCGTACAAAACGTCCCGACTGCCTTGCTTCAACGCTGGTACTCACTCGTTCGAGAGAAGCGTGCCTCGAAGCTAGATTTTCTGAAGTCACTCGTGCGAGTGTTTGACATGAACACTTCTCTATCGAGCACTCAAGATGACATCGACTTCGCTCGGTATATGGTGGAGAACTTTGCCACCTTCGACTACAAGTCTCAAGAAGAGGTGCTTATGGTCGTGAAAAATCTTATTGCCGTATTATCGACGGCTGGCATGCAATTGATGGAGTCATTATCACCGTCACATCTACTCACTCAGCTGCATGAGCCCGTACATCCGAATCCTGGAGACATAGAGATGTCTGACGCTCAGGTCCAACCGGGGGACCTGATCCCGCCAAACGGAGGTATGTGTTTCTAAAATATGAAGCCGTACGCCCTTCTAACCATTTCGCGCTTTGTTAGCCTCAAATCCTTCGTGGCAATCGCTTGACAAATTGCCACTGCTCCGTTGCTCCGTCGTTATCGCTATGATCATGCTCTTGAAGGGTCATCTCAAGACTTTATATGGTCTCTCAGAAGAGTAAGTTTAACCCATGGGCCCTTGGGGTCTCCACTTACCATTCTCTTGCAGAAAATGCTTGAAATGGGTCATCGGCAAGAAGAATGCAATGGGCGACAAGCCTGCTAACAGACGTTACAATAATCTGCTCTCGTGGGACCGTATACCTTTCGCGACAGCACCGCTGCTGACCACACAAGATATAGCTAGTCAGCGGAATACAGTATGCTGTTGATTTGTTTATATCCTTTTCTTGTTGCTGACCATCGTATCCCGCAGTTCCTCGAAATCTGGAATGAAGATGGTGTCACGGTTGACCCTGAAGATGACATGGACTAATCGTCTGCTGATCACTGCTTTTATTATCATTATATTTTCGCCTTCTCCTTGTCGCATTATTTTCCTGATTACTGCTCATCTCATGGACTATCTACCTACCTGTTGTGATGATACCACACTCAATACTCTAGAACGCAAATACATCAATCGCATTGTATTCTCCATTAACATTAGGCTGCTTCGTCGGACCACCTTTGTGGTGTCTGCTCCTTGTGGGCCTTGACATCGATCATACTTCTGAACCGCACAGTATTCGATGAATCGGCAAAAGAGAATAGTTACATGCCTCGCATCTTGTTATTTCTGCACTATGCTTCAATGAATATTCCAGTCTGTACACAATACAAACATACAAATGTTAACGATTGGACCATCACATCAAGACGCTCAAGTCAGGTTGCCAGCTTCCTCTAGACACATGGATAAATCCAAGAAGTATGACTTGATGTAGTTCCACCGCAGAAGGGTAGATTGTCTGAGGGCTGCTCAACACGTCAGAGATTACAGTCTGTTAAACAGATGATGTTGGCTGCAAGGCAAGTTACTCGTTGCTCATGAACATACATTGTGGCTTTGGTGGAATTTTTGTACCGCAATCGCGATACGGTGTGCGAGCTTTCCGAGCGTGATTGATTTTGGATCTCTCCCGTAGGTCCTCGTCCAAAACTGACTACTCCATAGATCGCACCCCTTCCACTACATGACAGGGGTAAGTTTCATACTGAAAAATTGAAAACACGAAAGAGAAAAAACGAACATTCAGTCGCAAGGTGAGCTTCCGCTGATCAAAGTCAACCAGGTGTTCCGAGTCCATGAGGACATCCCTTATATCCTGATCAAGGACATCCTGGATCACAACTCCCACAGCGCCCGATGTCCTGCTCACAAATTGAATGGGTCCTTTTGAAACCCCCACATACAAGGATCGACCGCGGACTGTGATGGGACGATAAAGTACGGTGACGGATTGACCACGAGAGTTTGCAAAGGGCGCTTCTGGTGCGTTGGGCGCAGCGGTTGTGGTGACTAAAGTTTCTATGGGCGAGTCTACTTTGGACGGCCGTGCCGCGGGGTTCATGAATGAAGGATGGAACGGATCATAATGCACGTTCATATGTTGGGCTTGTTAATAAAGTCGACCGCGGTTAGTTTCAGGTGGTCGGGTGGGAAGATAGAGATGTATACCATCTATACCCGGGCACAGCACGTTGGGGTCTACTATTCGTTTTAGGATAAAGACAGCAATAGACATTGGTACGAGGTTCGGCTCACCGTCCGCAAAATTCTGAGAAAGGTAGGAAGTTTCGAAGTAGTCGCGGGCATGTTGCTTATCCTCCTGGGCTGTAAAACAAGCCTGTCAGCGTGGGACGACACATGACAAGCGCAAAAGGCGCCTGATTACCGCTCCAAGGTACTGTCGCCATCGGTAGTTGAGAACGTGTGTCCAAGGGGGTGATAAGACTCGTGAAGAAGAGGCAGCGTTATATGCCCCACCATGCGGCACAGATGTAGGCCGCCAGACCAGACATACAGAGTGATATCAACCATAAAGGTCTCTTAGGGTCTAGGCCCTATCTAGATGCGCCTTGTACGAGTAAACCAAGAGAATGAATAATCTATGCCAGGAGAACAGGAATTCTTTCTATGCCTGTTCATTTCACGTCATTCCCAAGCAAGCTTGCTAGATATAGGCATGATTTAACGCTTCATCACTGCTGCACAACTCCAAGGTTGGCCACGAATATATGCCAAAAAAATAAATCATGCGACACCTGAGTGTAACATATATGGATCTTGAAATATACGAGAGCGCTCGGCCGGCATCTCCGTGCCCAACGCAGTAGCAAGGGGAGTCGAAGCTCGGGCGGTCTAGACTTTGATTGCTGACCATCTGTCCAATCAGCTCATCGGCCTTTGGTAGTAGGGACTAGCCTGGCTGTCAGTCCTAGAGGAAGGAAGCGTCTTCAGATGCCAGTCAATCGATAATTAAAAACCAAGACGGGGCCGTCTTCTCCTTACCTTGAAGTATGCACTGTAAAAAGACGCCTAGCGTACGCCAATTATGCATTCTTCGGAGAGATCATACTCCTCGAGCGCTGGACACGATTAAGACCTGTTGCGAAGACTGACAGGTGAAGTCAGCACCACGTTTGATAATTACCAGCAGAGTAAGCACATCTCTTTGGATGCCCGATGCTGGAGTGGCCTAGACCTGTGTGGACCTGTTGAAGGGCGATGAGATATCGACGACACATATCTGTGTTACCCAACGCAATTTTTACGTCGCGCGCAGCTAAACGTAGCTGGAATGCCTTGATGGAATTAGAATTCAGAAGGTGCGATGTTCACGATCCGGCACTATTCGTCTTCCAAAATGACGCGACCCAATCAAGACTTCAGCGCAAAGCATCACGAGTGGACTACTTAAGTACTTGAGCGCCCACCGCGATGGAGTTGTCTAGAACCTGCTCGGAGATCTGTCGCATGTGGACCCGGCAGGCTTCTAGATATTAAGAAGCTTCAAGATGTGCAGCTTGATCGTCGGACATCAGTGCTGCCACGCTACCTACATATGCGCGCGTGCTTGAGCTTCTTATAAGTCAGGAGACAAGCAAGAGTTCTAGCCCCGGAGTTAAAGCGTGCTTTTCTATGATTGATAAGGGCGTAGTGGATACTTGCGAAATGCGTTGGGGAGAACAGAGGCGAGTTCTCTGCTCATTGTTTAGCAAAATATTTGAAAACACGAAGAAATGACTTACTACGCCTGTGCCACTCACTTCTCGCCATCTCTGTACCATCTGGCAAGATCATCATCGCTGTACGAAACAGTGTTGCCCAGTCAATTTCCGGTACAACCACATCACGAATGCATTTCGGAACCTTAGGTCGAGGTGGTCTAGAACTTCCTCTGTAAACGAACACGATTCCGCGCATCAAAGATGCATGCCGAGAATGTACATACGGCAGTTGGATTCATTTTCAAGCCCTCATGCCAATTCAAACCCTTGCAAAGGCACAGTTGTATACTTAGTAATTTTTAGGGTGCACAGGAGTACCCACCTACATATCCTCCTTTAGACAGATCATCAGACTGCGGTACGTCACACCGAGGACTGGACTTTGCTCTTCAGTAAACCGTTTTCAAGCCACTCCCTCAAGTTCGCGCCAGTCAGCTCAAAAGCCCCGGCCTTAAAGGGAAAAGAACTCACCATCGACGCTCGATGAGACTCGCCCTCGCGTCCTTTGTACTCTAAATCATTCATACCCCCTGCTTCATTTGTGCGGACATATGAGGGCGGCGTCCGAGCGGTCGCGCCGAGCGTGATTATGATCGTAGAAAGAAAATCTTGTTGGAGTTACCGTCCACGATTTCACACATACATATGAGGGTCGCTCATTGCATGGAGGACTATTGCCGCCCCATCCGTAAGGCGTCTATGTTCCTGGCACTCCGGCCGGTGGAGGGCTTCCGTGACCAGTACAACGCTCAAAGCACCGCAATGAGCAACATACGAAAATTTGTTCTGCGAAGCCTTGGGGACTCTGAACCATCTGACATCATGGAGATCCCTGACGAACTTTACCTTCGGCGCCGCGTCTTCACACGAGTAAGCCTTGTCCCATGCAAACATGGCGAGTTCTAACCCTCACGTCGTAAAGGTGGCCGAGCTTGCGAAAAGCCCGCCTCTGCTCTGACTTCCGACGACGATCCTCAAGGGAAAGCCGCCTGCGTTGCAGACTCCTAGAGTTCCCGAGAAGGTCATCTTCTACATGCGTGCCGGCGAAGGTCGCGTGAAGCGTTGCTCGCCGTACGTGTTTGGTGTCGGAGACCTGGTCGACGTCAATTCGTACGTGGATGTGGCGACGTACAGGGGACTTCAAGGTTCCGCCTTCACCAAAGTCTACTTCTCATTCAACCGACTCGAACTAGTACAGCTTTGTCCTGCATCGTCAGTTAAAAAGATGAGGCGCGAGACTCCAGGCACCGGGGAGACTGTGTCCTAGGGATTGAAGGATCCATAACTACGTAGTCGGCATCGCTCAGCGACGTTCAGTACGATAGTGCTTCTGCAGTTTCCACTTCATCTTCAGACACCTGTATCTTCCATAACATCGACAAGCTTTGATTGAGTGAGATCGTGCAGGGCCTCTTCTTTCGATGTTCGTCAGGATAAGCCAGGTAAAGAGACTTCGATTTCGAAACACCGAAGTCCTGAGATGTTGCTGAGGTAATTGAACGGGCCGCATCGGCAAGCCTGTTTGCATTCTATCAGCGGGATACCCAGCGACCTACCAGCGACCAAGGTAGGACGAAGATTGTTATTGATGCTCACAAGATACTGGTAAGATGTGTTATTATGCACGTAGATGATGGTGGACAGGTTATATAACATAGAGCACGAGAAGGGACATAAGTAATTGGCATATCAAACCAAGACTCTCAGATCGGGTTGCCAGCTCCCTCGTGATACACGAATGAACCCGATGAGCACGACTCGGTGGAGTTCGGCTGCAGAGGGGTAGGTATGAGCCAGCCTGTCGGCCGAATCCTCAGCAATCTTTCAGAGCATGCGCATCGTCAGCCATAATGATCCCAGAGCGTTGTTAAATACGACGCACCTTGAAATTCTGTTTGAACTTTCGCACCGCGGCCGCGATGCGCTCGCCGAGCTTGCCAAGTGTAATTGGCTTGGGATCTTGACTGTAGGTTCTCGTCCAGAATTGATCATTCCATGGCTTGCACCCTCGCCACTTTAAGGTCATAAGATACGCTGCGAGTGATGCCTTGAGGAAAAAGGATAGGAAAACGAACGTTCAAGCGCAAGGTAAGTTTGTTTTGAACAAGACATCTGACCAAAAGTTCCGGTCCTACAAGAATGTCTGCTGTCTTCCCGTCCAGGAGATCCTGAATTGTAATCCACGCGGTGCCTGACATCTTGTTCACGAACTGAATAGGATGCATCAAATCTCTCAGATACAGAAATTGAACGCGGGCCGTGCGGGGGCGATAAAGTACAGTGACAGATTGGATGCGAGGTCGCGGTAGGTGCACTTCCGACACCCTACACGTGTTAGCGATGTTCAAAGAAGCAAATTCTGTGGGTGCTTGGACTGGCCGGCGTGCAGACTGCCATGAGTTCCGCCCAATCACGATGCGGAGTACTGCCTTACCGTCCTCATAGTTCATGCCTCGGCACAGATAGATAGCATCTGTACGTAATGATGAGACGAGAAAACAAGAGGTTCTGGCACAAAATTGCACTCACCGTGCTGGGAGCTCTGAGAGGGATAGGTAGGCTCGGGGAAGTTGGGAGGGTTGTTCATAGCCCCAATCTGTAAGTCAGACCTGTCAAAACAAAGTTAAGGGTGAGCAAGGATATCCAGCGGCCCACTATCCCAAGAAACTGTTGACATTGGTTTTTGAAAGTACAACTTAGTAGGATCTGCATGAGTCTGGTGGTGGTTGAGTCTTAGCCTGAGAGTGCAGAGCAACCCGTATTATACTTTCCGTGGGGTCCTATTGTACGGTGAACATTAGCGGTTTCGATAAGTCCGATGTAGGAACAAAGTTCATTGTTAGCGGCCGCGAGACGAAGAATATCGCAAGGGCGCAGAGGACAACGAAACGATGCACCGCAATATGGGAATTGCGGATGAGGAAGTGATGCACCGCAATGTGGGAATTGATCAGAGCCATAGGCCATAGCACTGAGCTGTCTTCCAACTGTAAGAGAACGGAACAGCTGTATTATAGGTTATCATCAGGACATGGATCTCTAGAATACAAATTTTGCGTTGTCACCCAAGGTTCCCTGACAATTCAAGGCGAAAAGCAGCGCACCAAGCGCTAATTCCTACTCTCTCCACTAGCTCTTCCCCGTTCCTTATTTTGCTCTTCCTCGCCTCCTATCCCATTTACCCCATTAACATTCCACTCCGGTAAAACCTCTGGCCTCACCGCCTGCCCATCCACAAATAGTATAGGACCTTTCGGCACGGCGTCCACCAGCTTTTTGGCGGGCTCGTCGAGCGCCGGCTCGTCCTCGAACATCCACTCGAGCTCGCCGCCGTACGCGCGCGGCAGATCCTGAGGCTCGATGATCCCCCGCAGCGTCGGGCCCGGGTTCTTTCCGAGCACGTGCACTTTATTGCGCGTGCCCTCGTCGAACCATGCCTGGTAACGCCGAATCCGCGCGCTTCAGAAACAGATAAAACAAAAGATGCAGTGCAGGAAAGGCTGACCTTGATCCACCCCCACACAGTGGGGAAAAATGATGGCGCGTTGACCACCGCAATCGTGTGTAGCGTCTCCGGATAATGTGCTGTCGCGAGCTCCGACGCCTGTTGCAGATGATGTCGGAGCGACCACATCGTCCCGAGGGATACATCCGCGAGGTCGATAATTGAAGTCACGGCCGAGATGGGGGTCTCGGGCGCGCCAGGGTGCGGGAGGGCGGAGCAGAGCGGGAGCGTGAAGCGGGTCATGAACTCCCAGAGAGCAACGCTGGGTTTTTGTGTCAGTTCGAGAGTTTGTCGATGGAGCGGTGTTATTGAGGTGAGGGAAGCGGGTGGCGAGGTTAGGAGAGGACGCACATGCGTTGATACCGTCGCTCTGTCGGAACGCTGGTCAGTTCTTTGTGCATTGGCCCCGTGAGCGACGCAAGCCGATACACATATACCGGCACACCGTGCTATCCACGCGCGACAACAGCCCACAAAAGACGACAACACGGTTAATCAACTCGAATCAGAACACCACAGATTTAGACAGATGGGCAGACGAACCTTGTCGCGCCGGCCCGTCCAGCGCGGATAGAAGTGCTTTGCGCGCTCGAACTCAACGGAATCGAACGTGGCGTACAGGCGGTCGACCTCATGTTCCATACGCCATGCCTCGGTGTCCGCAAACTGTTTCTGCGCCTTTGCCGGGTCGAAGTGGCGCGCGCGCAGAAATCGTCTAACAGAACCACGTCACACCATACGTTGAGTGATGCGGATACGCAGATTGCATGATTGAAGGTGAAGACACACACAGGAGCGTAGCCTCATCGTGCGACGCGTGTTCCGCATCCGTCGGTGGTCTGTACAGCGCGGACTTGGCAAGATTGTCCTTGAATGCATTGAAAAATTTGAGCTGTTCCTCGGAAAGATGGCCAAGATGGCCAGCGAGGAGGTCATAAGTCGACGACCGTTGGTGGTCGCTGTTCATAATGAATCTGGATTAATGGCGTCTAGGTGAATGATAAGTGTTCCTCGGCGAATAAGTTATGTGCGAAGATGCGGGATGCAATGATCGATGTGTAGATTAGGGGCTTATGTTCGTGGCAGCGAGGACTGAGAGGAGAAGATAGAAAGAAAAGGAGCGCTCAGTCTCGGACACTCATCAGACGGAGAAAGCATTGTCTCGGCAATGCTGAGTCTTCCTGTCTGACCTCATTCCATGTGCGGCAGGACCGGCCCGACCCCATTCAACGCATCCGTCGCTCGACGGTGGTCAAACTGTCAAGGGTCAAACGAAACACTCTGGCAGAGCACCCGCGAGAAGTCAATGTCATTCTTGAACAGGTTTGTCGTCTATCCCAGTCTATCCCCGCCTTGTCTCTGATTTCCATGATAACAGTACGATAGCTCATTTTGTTGACCAAATCACATCCCTTTGGGATCTGCTGATGTTGAAGACAAGCGCAGCACTCGATGCATCCAGTGATGGGCCAGAAGCGATTCTTTGTCATTTAACGATACCTCAAGATCTCAAGATCTCGAGAGCCACGCAGCCCTGTCCTTAGTGAAGTGTGTCGCCTACTCGTACAATCGATCCTCTCGTCGAGGATGAATAACCTATTTCATCCGGACTGCGCTCGGATGATCTCTTGTGCTTTTCAAAAGCAGAGAGCATTCAATAACCATCTTTGCCTTGAACAACGCCGTATGCAGGACCACCACGCGCGTACATCTTGCGCAGGTCACCTACAAGTTCACTTGGTCTCTCATATGCGGCGAAATGGCCGCCTTCAGAATGGGAAGCCACAAAGACGGGGTTCCCTACGACGCGCAACCAGCTGTTCACAACAAATTGAGGGGTTAGATCAGACGCAATCAAGAAAAGAAAAGATAGCTGACGTTCGAGGCGCTTGATATATGTCTTTGGGGAAATAAGAAACACCCATAGGAATAGCAGGACGTGGTGGGGCTAGGAATCCTCCGGTTTTGCCGACCTCATAATAAATTCGAGTCGCCGCAGTTGGTCCAGCACGAGAGAACCAGTAGATAGAGATCCATGTAAGCACTAGTCAGGTACACATCATCGCTTGCATACTTTGAAGGCAGCGCTACACGCTCACCTTCGTCATCTTCCCACTGGTAAGCGTCTGTCCAAGCCACGAGTTTCTCGTATATCCAGGCTAGAAGGCCAATCGGAGAATCAGAGAGTGAATATCCCAACGTTTGCGGCTGCGTCGACTGCTGTTCCGTATATCCTCGTCCGTTTGATATCATATGTGCAGTACGCTGGAGAGCTAAGCGCTCCTGGGGCGTGTAGCGAGAAAATATATGAGATAAGAAGGCACGAGGATCAGAGAACAGACGTGGCGGTGACATTGCCCTGAGGACGTGAAGTGTATAGATGAGCAGGCAATAGGGTACCAAAATAAATCGGCGACGTACGCTGCGAAATTAGTATGCCACGCTTTGACATTCTTAGGTCCATAGGTGTACGCCATAAACCGAGTGACCTGAGTTGGTCGGTCAGGACTAAATGCGGAAGAGCACTGAAAGCTAACTCACGAAATGCCCCCAATCCCCGCCTTGAGTGACATACTCCTCGTATCCGAGGGAAAGCATCAACTTGTGCCCGAGCTACACAATCATCGATTAGCCGCGGGCGGTCTACGCGAACCTGGACATGCCTCCGCATACTGAGGGCCCGAGAACCCTTTGTTCCGTGGTGCCTCTGAAAATGCATAGCCAGGTAAGCTAAGGGCGACTACATGAAAGCTCGGGTGATCGGGTGACGACGCTGTCAAAAGCGAGATGACCTTTCGAACTTCGATAAAGCTTCCAGGCCCTAAAATACACATCAGCAAAAATGACAGTAGGACAGTGTGGTCACGCACACCCGTGAACAAAGAGGAGAGGTATGGCATTCTCGACCATGCTTTGTTGGTGCACATAGTGAATGTTCAAAGAGCCATGGTCGTCAATAGCAATATCTCTTGTGAACATAGGGAGCACATTCAGCTCCGCCTCATACTTCCTCCAGTCATAGCCCTCCCTCCACCTGGCTGCTAGCCGCTTGATGTCTGCTAAGGGAGCGCCATAGTCCCAGCCCGCCTCTTCGAGTTCGTCCGGAAACCGAGATAACTCCAGCTTTCGCTTGAGCAACGCAAGGTCCTCGTCAGTAACAGCGATCTTGTAGGCTTTGGCCATGGACATGAATCAGACGGTCAGAGCCTCGGGCTATTCTAAATCCGCAGTTGGAATCAGCCATGTTTGAAACTGTCTCACGAGTATCTCACGCCGAAGAACCAGGTCTATGTAGTAAGAGAATCGCGACGTCGCGTCAATACGACTTCAACACGTCACTTCCCCGCTACGAACCGCAGTCTAAAATATCCAACACGCCAAACCCCGCTCTCCTTGTCCCAACACCTCCCATCCTCACGGCACAGGCTCTCCACTTCATCCACTACGCTTGCCTCCTCCTCTACACTCATACCCTCCAAAAAATTGTGCCCGCAGAACAAACGCACCCATGCTTTGATATCGTCTACGCGCGTGGGACGCGTGTTCAGCGAGACGTGCAACGGTTTGAAGCCGACAGAGGTGAGCAGCTGCGTTGTGAATCCGCTCTGATGTCAGTGGCTGCATCAGGAAATAATTTTGGAAAACTGACAGCCGTGTACTCCTCCACCGTCGGGAAAAACCACGGATCACGAGGCTGAGGATCTATCCCACGTCTCTTCAAAGCCGCATGCAACGCCTCCCGAATCCCTGTAAGCTCGAGCAAGGACGCCGTTAGCCCTCAAAGCATCGGCCAATAGAATAAGAATCAGCAAAAAAAAATGCACCGGCAACGTTCCCCGCCCCACCCATCTCGCCCACCAGCCTCCCACCTGGCTTCAGTAGCCTCCACGCGCTTTGCAGCGGTCCCTGCGGGTCGCGCGCGCACCAGTGCAGGGCCGCGCTCGTGAAAACCTTGTCGCATGCTCCTATGAAGCCTCCCGGGAACCCCTCTCGCTCGAGGAAGCCCGGGTCCTGTATGTCCGCGACAACCAAATTCGCGCGCGGCAGACCCGTGCTGTCCACAGCCTTTGCGATCTGTGCCCATGACCACATCAGCGCACGATACTTCCAAACGAACACACATGCCCGACTGAGCTACTCACCATACTCTCGCTGACATCCACCCCTACCACCAGCCCTTCCGCCGCGCTGCCCACCTTCCTCACTACCTCCAATGTCACCTCCCCGCTCCCGCACCCCAAGTCCGCAATTCGCTCCCCCCTTTGTGCGTCTAGCAGCTCCAGCACTGGCGCCGTCTGCGCCGGCGCGAACACGAACGCTGCTGCCGAGCGGTACGCGTTCGCCGACCATCCTGACGCGTCGCGGTCGTTCGGCCCATCCGCGGGCGGCGCGGTACCGGGTGAGGAGCTATGCCTTGTGCTCGCGCTCGCGCTCATAGTTGATATGGTAGAAGCTGTCGCCAAAGCTAGAGTTTACTGCGCGAATGCAGTAGGAATGACTCAACCGGTCTGATTCGATACCGACATCGCTGCTTTCGAGCGTCCTTATATATATGCAGACAATCTGGTCCTCGAGGCTGAAAGAGTCATGACTGTTGTGTTGTATACCAGGGCTCGCAAATAGGACCAACAGTGACCGCACGGACGACGCTCGGCCGATGGTGTAGCAAACGAAACCGAATGCGATTCGGCCGATTGTCCGGCCGACATTTCATCTGCAAACCCGTCACACTGACTTCCTCGACAGCATGCATGTTTCTATACTATATCAACAACTTGCATATTGCCTATTTGTTTCAACCCACTGCCCTCAAGCTTCGAGATCATAGAATATGGAACAAGTTATTTTTCGCCCTGCTACAATTCTACCCTGGGAGATAATCGTGAAGCTCATAACGCATCCGTAGACATACACTCATTTTCGACCAGTCCCAGACATTCTACAACAAATATGACAATGTTGGCCCTCATCGCATTCGTCATTTTAATTTCCACTCTCGATTTGCGCACTATCAAATCACGGTAGGAGCTTCCTCAGTCACCTTCTCACTCGCCGCAGGTGCCCCTGGGACCTCCGCGCTCCCCGACCCAGCGGCGGCAGGCGTTGATGTGGAAGGGGATGGGTTCGCTGCCTTGTGCTCCGCCGAGAGACGACGTGCCTCCTCGTGGATATCGAGTACCTGCTTCGAGGTCGTAGTATAAAACGCGCGGACGCGCTGGCCGAGAGGCGAGCTCAACGCGCGGGTGTAGTACTGTATCCCAAATACAGGTCAGCGATTTGCATTCACGCGCGAAGCGATGCATTGGCTACGCACGTCTGTCGCGCTCTTTGAGATCCCCTTCTGCTCATCTACTGCGCGCGCCTGCTGTGTCGCGTTCTGCAGCGTCGACGTCACCTTGCCCGAGATCGTCTGGTCGGGCCCGAGCGCTTTCGCGCCGAGGGACGTGTCGACGGACTGGAAGTAATTCAAGAAGCGCTTCGAGATCCCTTTCTCGTCTGCAAACAATCGCTCATCAGTATGTGCTCATTACTGCAAGTACTAATAAGATCCCTGATACGCACTGTCAATATGGATAGCACGCTGGAGGATATGGTCTGAGAGCGTATATCCTTTGGCGAGGTACTCCGCCGCGACTGTGAGCGATGATTCAATGAGCATGGGACGATGAACGTCATATAGTGAGACGTACTACCAGCCCTTGGCTTATCGCTCTGCTCGATCGGAGTGCCCTCAACATGAGGTGTCTCCTCGTCGTCCGGGTGTACGACGTCCGAAGTCACAGTCAAGTGAGCACCATCAAGCGTTCCTCCGTTCAACTGTGCGATTACAAGTCATGGTCTGTGCTCAGAGATCTGATAGCAGGAAGTAAGGCTAGACTCTCAACGCACCATTATGGCCGTCTTCGCAGCAGACGACTTCTCGAAATGCACGGTGGCAGACTTTTCGTTCTCTTTAAAGTCGACGGACTTGATTCTAGATAAGGAGAAGTCGACTGCGTCAGCCCCTTTCTGCCAAACGACGCTTACATTCGATAAAGCACAAAGAATGCACTTACTTTCCGCAGAATCTAAAGGATGAGGCATTAATCAAAGACCTGACAAAGTGTCATAAAGTATACACATACGTGAAAAAATCATGCAACTGCTTCTCGCTGGTCGTAGGTGCGATATCAGATACCTACATTCAATGACAAGGTCAACATCTCCCGGTGATCGTGCACGGAAACATGACGGACGTTGACTGAATAAGACATGTTGGTGAATTTGTGGGAAGTTGATATAATCGAGCAGGTGGGGGAAAGTGAGTGACAGGAGAATTGAGAGGAAGAACGCAGTCCAAACGCTGGTCTTTATAGTGGCAGCGATCTTGGAGGCGATGAAATCAGATGCTGCGAACATGGTGGATCGCCACCGATGACGTCGTCCAGCGTCAGCATGGCCTCGTAACTTCTTGCACGAAGCAGGCCGTCTTGAACGGTGCCTGGCAGCCTGGACGTCCATGAACATTAATGTAACATTAATGTTAGACAGGTGCATGCATACACAAGGAGTATCACAGGGCAAAGTGGGATGGTCACGAAATTATAGCACGCAATTTTACCAAAGATCGAGAGTTAAATTAACTCACAAGTCTGTTTAAGTACTTACTTACATGGTGGTTTATATTGTAGCTTATATGTAAGCACTTATATCGAAGTGACTGTAACACGTGGACGCGTTATTGCGACGCGTCGCGGTCAGTCCCCGTCAGTCCAACTTCCTTCCCTACCCCAAAGCTATCTATCGCCAGACGCGTTTCCCTGAACGATGTCAGATCTGTACACTTCTCTAGGCATATCACCGAGAAAGAAGCGTCGTCTGGTAGAGGATGAGGATGATCAGACCTTAACGCCTAAGAAATTACGAACTGCGTGGGTTATCCAACCTCTTCATTTTTTGTCCTCTCTAATGTATTATTCCACAGGCCACCTTCTCCACCCAAGACTGTCACAAGGAAACGGACAGAATCTGCCCCTACGAAACTCCCATCGCATCTGAACCGCCTCTACACAGTTCAAACAGCCTTACAGCACGCGCTTTCACATGCCTTGGCCACTTGTGCTGTGTCGCCCTCCTCAGATACCGGGATCGTGCGCAACGTGCTCAACCACCAGTCCCTACACTCTTATACGGGCCTCACGACTGCCTTCGATGTGAACGACCTGAAACGCCTCTGCTGGCTGTGGGAATGGGACGGCAAAGATATCGCATCCCCAAAAACGACCGCGAAGAATGACAGCGACGACAATCCATTCCTCGAAGAAGAAGCCCACTCGTCTCAGCATAAGGACTGGACCCGTGGCGCTATGGGTTTTGTCATCAGCCCGTCTACCCATTTCTCAAAAACGGCCAAGTCTCGCCTACCTGCATACGGAATCGGCATTGAAGTCGAAGTCGATATTGATAGAGATATGGGAAGTGGTATGGCCTCTGTTGCTCGCTGGACCGCTGCGAGCGATTCAAGGCGGAAAGAGGTGCTATCTAAACTTCAGCGATGGGTCAAGGTACTGGATCTTCTATTTCGTGCACGATGTTTCCATTTCTTAATAGTATGATAGCTTCATTCAGGGACGGACCCGATTCCAAATATACACATGGCAGATCTACCACAATTGAACATTCCTCCAAAGCCATCTACCTTGACGCGACTCCTTGCTTCATCCTCACCCAAGGCAACGTCCTCGATCGCGGTACTAGCGACTCCTTCGTCTCCCACATCTCCATCGAAGAAGCCTGCAAAGTCTCCTGTCAAGAAACCTCTCAAAAGCTTCGATGAACCTGCGATTCCCTTTCCCATACTACCAGCGCCCAAATTCAATTCAGACTCCACAAACTCGGTACCATTCCCAAAGACTCCCTCACGGCATTCTCGCGGTGATTCATTGATTGGCCTTCTGACTCCGCATACGCCTTCCACGAGCCCGTCTCGAACAATTTCTGGAGATTCGCTGCCTTCAACGCCGGTTCATCAGCGCGGACCTCATGCCGTCACAGTGCCACAAACTCCCACAAGTTCTCGTCGAGCGGCACTCTACGATCGAATTCGACAGAAGTCCGTTACATCGACACCGTCTAAACCTGTTAACAGCGCCATTCCTCAAGGAAAGCTCACTAGAGACCAGTTGCTGAAGATGAGCCAAGATGAAATGAGACGTCGTGTGCTCTTGGGACGGCTTGGCGGAGTAGCCGAGAGTGTTTGGATGTATGCGCTTTACGCTTCCTTTGCCACTAGTTGAACGCTCATGATTTCTTTCAGGCTGTTCTCTGCTCCCACAGGGACTACCATCGCGCCTGCAACTCGAAAACGTCGAGCGCTTCCCATTTCAGAGGTGATCGCTGCTATCTTGAAGTCCTCTCCCGTCCCCATCTCTGCGGCTGAGGCGCAGGAATCCCTCAACCTGCTCACGTCCATCTGTCCTTCGTTCATTAAGCCACTGGACATCGGTGGTGAGGACTGGTTAGAGATTCCTGCTCAGAATCAGACCGAGAGTGGACCCAAGCCTCCACCCAGTCCTGGCAGCAGTCGGAGCAAGGATGACATCGCCGCGGAAGTATTGACTCGCAGCCCTAGAAGGGTGAAGCGAGAAGGCGGTGTCCTCAGAGACGTGCGAGAACGGATTCGGAGAGAGCTAGAGCTCGCCGATTGAATGATCTATCAATGCTTTATATCCTTGCTGCTCTTCATTTCAACCCACTTACCTATCTTCTACCACTGCGACACCATCTATGATATGCCCCCATCTTGATTTGCGACACCTCTTCCTACTCTCACCCCCTCGTTTTGCGATACCAATCTTGTTGTGTTCCTCGCCTTCATCTCGCGATACCTCTCTTTGCCACCCTTTCACTCACGCAATCTCGACCCGAAATGAAACATATTTTTATTTGCTTTCCCTGGCCGTTGGAGGGGCATCCTTGGTCCCTTGAGAAATCAGATCTCGTTTCGGACATTCGCCGTATGACGCTTGGCCTGTGTAGTTGGCTAACCAGATTTGAGACCCAAATTTAGAGAAGCACTTCTATCCTGTAAATTTCCAGACAAAGGGTCTGGAAGAAGTGACTGTCGTCCAGCGCTACAGCCCTGGAAACACATGTACACCAGCTTTAAAACTGACTGCGTGGTATTTGTCACTTTGACCCATCTAGCGACTCATAAGGACCAGGCGATGCCTAAGAGAACTCCGAGAGGGCCGCCGCATTTTAGTCCTCAAGAAAAATATCCGACTGAACTGATCTTGCCTAGATGCGTTTTTATTTTTCCCAACCAAATGAACGCGCATTCACACATCATGACTAAGTGAGAAGTAGGTACCTGGACGACTACAAGATCCGTGCTAAATTAAAGCGGAGGGATAACGAAACATCAAAGATTCCGTAGAACATACATAGCGATAGTATCACGGACATGGGATGTAAGCTACAACATCCATACGAGAAAAGGAGACGAATAGTATAACAACAACAAAAATAAATAACCCAACCCCACCGTTCCTAAACTAGGGCGCGACTCCATCAATCATACTACAGATATAGTAAAAATAGATGAGCTGCATGGCAAAGATGAGGTCGGCAAAAGGCATACCTGGACGATGAGCGAAGTCGGGAAGGCAGTCGGCTCTCCGTTGAAGGTGATATACGTCTGCTGAGGAACACCATCCACAGTTTGTGTGTATCTATTTGTGAAGGGTATATCAACGATGAGAAGAGTATCGTGTGGAACCGACCCTACCTGTTCAGCTGACCCGACTTTCCTGGCGTGCGACAGAGATTCGGTAGCGAGAAGATCGTATGGAGAATACGAGGGACGACCTGCATGAACATGATATGAGCGTTAAGACCCCCTCAAGCATCTAGCTGCTGCTGCTTACCCGCTCAAAGACCTGGGGAGCAAGCAAGCTGAAGATTTTCCGAACAAGGAGCGTTGAGCATAATGGTCGAAATCAAAGAGATATGATGTGCTCACCCTTTGTGATCAAGCCCGAACAACCCCAAATCCGATCTGGATTCCGAATAATCGGGAGCAGAGGGCTACAGTAACATATCAGTACTCAGCATTAATTTGACAAAGTGTAAACCTGCACGCACATCTGAATCAGCTTCGATAATGCTACTCACGACACGCTGGCCCTTTACTACTCTGTTCGTGCCCAGCGTAGTAGCCACATTCGCCGTGCGAGACACGCTAGATACCTGTGCGAATACCGATCATAAGCTTCAGAATCATTCCCCACGCAGACGTGCTTACTGGAGGATCTGATCTCAGCGCCTGATATACATACTTCATGACCTCCTTGTCGCCTTCAGCCGTGTTCGCCGCCGCCGCCTGGACGATCTTGGCCCTCTGATCCCGCTTATCGTCGTCCAAGTAGTGGTTGACGACATGCACCACCGCATGCGAGAAGAGCGGGGCAGTCGGGACGACTTCGGCAAACACGCTGCCCGCCAGTTTCTCGAGCGTACGCTCGTTGTCGTGATAGTTCACGGCGGTGATCAGGGACTTGTAGAATGGATCGCTATGGTCGTTCTTCGCTACAGCATAGCGTATAACGGATTCGCTGATACCCTTGAGATTGAACTACACAATATGATCAGATAGACTAGAAGAATTGATGGGAAGGTACGCACGTTGCCGCGAGTAAGCTGGATGAGGTGCGCCTTGCTGTACTGAATCAGTCTATCAGCGACTTTGCGTCCGCGCTCCCGCAGGTGCCAGTCGCGGGTGACGTCCGTGTCGAGGTAGACATAGCTACAAATGGCTTTATCAGCACGCAGGCATACATCAGTGGAAGAGCAGAAACATACTTCGATACATTGGCGAACATAGAGTAAAGCTCCTGTTCTCTGTACACCCCATGCACATTATCGACCGACTTCATCGGGAGGCCAATCTAAGGCAGAATGAGTCTACAGAGTCAAAGAGCGCATGATCGCGGATCTTACGATCTCATTGGCGATCCAGTGAACAGGAGCCAGATTGATGATATCCTTCACGACGTCGACATATTTGCCCTTGGAACCAGAATACCCAAGAGACTTCTGCGAGATCAAGAGGGCAGTGGAATTTGCCAACGACTGGACAGTCTTGGAAACCTGAATATCGCTGAGCAGCACTTTCTCAATCTGAAACTGTGTTTAGAAGTCGCACTGGGAGGCTACAGGAGAATTACTCACTGAAACAGGATCGATTCCAACGCCCCTCGTGAGCGTAGCCAGTTGCGTCCCGACATTGCTCCCAAACGTCTTTGTGTCACGTAGAACGTCAGTGACCTCTTCGTACGTCTTAGCGACAACAATGGGGCCAACAGGTACTGGCGGCCTCGACCACGTATAATCATCCGCAATATCTAGTTTCTGTGCAAAGCCTTTCATGGTTTCAGGGACCATGAACGGGAAATGGCCATAGCCAGACCCAGCAGGATAATATGCAGGCAGATGGCGGAACAACAGCTTGGAAAGCATGCCTCCAAACGCGCCGTCCTTGTCGTCGGCTTGACAGTCCTGATAGCCCCAGTTAGTCAGGTTGAATGCTGGGTATACGTCGCGTTAATGCGTGTAAAGTTCATAGATATGCGGTACACACGAGTCATATCCGTAGTCAGGAAGCGGTCGCCGCGGGTAAGGCAAACAGCGTCGGCAAGGATGGCGCGCGAGATGGTGTAGCCAGGACAAAGGCCTGCACCCGCCATCGGCACCTTGGCCTCCTCAGCTTGCAGCCCGACGTGCAACTCAAGGTTATCGATGTCATGGTACAATGCCTCGGCAGCGGTCTGCATAGATCTTCAATCAGACAAATTAGAAGCATCGAGCTTTCGAAGATGCGCACGTAGATCTCCTTGTTGGGATTCCACTCCTCAAAGGTCGCGTATGCTAAAGAAGGTCACCATCAGCCAGTCGGTCGGTACATATTCAAGCAAGTAAGACTCACGCTTCAAACCCATGAACTTCCTAAACTCATTCAACTGACACCATACCGTATAGCGATTAATTTCTTGATCGAGAACCGAAGCCGAACAGGTGACGTACCGAACAGGTACCCCAAGCTCGAGCCTGTTCGATGCTCAATAGTTCAATGACACGTAGAACTTCTGGAGTGCCGCGGGCTTTGAACGCGCTCGACGATGCCGCCGTCGCATCTTGCAAGATCCGTGCGATGTCGGCGTCGGCGAAGCGGCCATGATCATCACGCTTGAGACTGGGATCAAATACATTTCATCAGAATGTGTATTGATGATGCAGGAACTACTTACCCATCAAAAGTCCACTGTTTGACGTCTGCAGGTGGGTTCATATATGTGCGCGCGGCCTTGATGAAATCTGGCACTGTGATCTAGAGGGTGTGATGTGATTAGAATGATGTACAAAAGTCTGAATCAATATTACTCACGGTCGCGGGATCTTTTCCTTGGAACATCCTCGAGAACTCCTCTTCAGTCCATTTGGTATCATGCTCAGAAACCGTCGCATGCCAGCGATATAACAGGTTGAACTCGATGGAAACGACGTTGCCTTCACCGCGAGGAGCAACCTCGTGGTCAAGATCACGCATGTTCTGCGAAATCGGTCGATCAGCGCCCACGCTACACATCACGAAGTGGAACATGTCAACGTACCATCAAAGGATCGAGTCTCCATGATGATCCATCACGAATAAGGCCGAGGATTGCGCCCACATAATCGCGGAGGATAATTTGCATGAAATATCCCGAGTTGACCAATCGCGCACGCTGGAAAATTTCCTCGTCTTGAGCGATACGCTTCGCGTCATCGGTTGGAGGGGGATTCGTGAACGTCCCATTCTCGTTGATGCTCAAGAGCTTGTCGGCGATATACTGTGATCCAATAAGAATGAGACCAGGCTCGCAGTCTTTGATCAGAGTTGGCTTACATTATGGTTACGGTTCAGGATCACCAACAGCGCGCACACAGACGGCGGCATGAAGAGCAATCTGCTGTCTGCGAAAACGTCGTCCCAGAGCCTACCGGTCCCGTTCTTTCTGCGAACCTTGTCCACGTCAGCCTGAGAGCTCCCGTAGAGCGGGCTCAAGTCCAGGTAGCTGCTGACGTCATTTTGCGTCCAGTCGCGAGGATTCGTGTTGAAGATGCTGTGGATGACAAGATCTGCGAAGGCGAAGAAGAGGGAGGAGATTCCTCCGGGATGGGGCACAAACTTGTCGCGCTTGAGGAGCGTGTCGAATACAAGTTCCGCTGACGGCAAGGCAGAGGGGGAAAGGCACGTCGTGGAAGGCACAGACCGCGCATAAGGCATACGAGCTTGACCGAGGGTTGGAATGAGGGTATTATAGTTGGAGCCATCTGCAGAGCGGAAGGCGTATGATACAGGTTGCGCATTAACACTGTTAATTCCAGCTGGGAGGATATGTTGAGGAATCGACAGATAACCGCTCGGGGGGTGGGGTAGGTCCTTATAAACTGGTGACATAGTCTAGGTGTGCGACATGTATGCGACGGACTATGGACACGCACGTAAGTTGATAACAAACTGCTGGATATGAGCAGAGAACTGCGAGTCCTTGGGGAGTCTCGACATGAGGGTCAGCAACTTTTCCAGCTGAAATATGTCATGGATGCGTTAGACTGCGCCAGACGAGTGCGATGGATCTGAGACATACCAAGAACTTGCGATCGTCGAGTCCGACAGTGCTCAAATTCTTTGCCGCGTCTACATAGGCAGGCTTGGCTAGGATAAGGATAAAGGCACACACCGATCTAATCGAAAGTACTCACCACGTCTGCGAGTGTGAAAGCTGGCCCATTTTTGACCTCCTGCTCGATATCATCGACAGTGCGTGTCAAGAGCGAGGGAAGAGGGCGAGGATTGCCGTCGGTGTCGACGGGGGCATTGGCGGCGCTGATGAAGCTGGCGCCGTTGTGGATAGAGTGAAGAATGGACGTCATGGCTGGGATGGATGAATGGAGAGGTCGGCGAGGGATGCGAGGTGTATTTATGGGAGGTCGGAAGACAGGGCGCGGGGGACGGCATCGCCGGATGAGATCCCAGATCATTGCATGCACAGGCGGTATGATGTTTACATATCCACCCAAGATAAGTAGACACCTGCTAAATACTCGACCAGCCTTCTCTCCCCCGGGGCATCAAATCACCGTATATGTCCATCGTCCGGGCGTGTCGCTGCGTCCTGTGAGTGGGCCCGCGCAGATCATCAAGAAATACTAACGAGTTGATGCGTCTCCACGGAATGGAAAAACAATGAGAATGCCCTTGCCACCATTGCCTGCGGCCATTCTGAGCTCCCCCATCAAGCAGAGTGTGAAGCATGCACGCGACGGCGACCACGGTGGGTTGGAAATGCGAGCGGTGGCGGTGCTTCTGGCGAAGTTTCAAGATTTGATCGACTTTGTCTTTGACGCCGACTCCCTGAATAACTAACCGCCTGTCGCACAGCACTTCGGTGGTAACTCAAACCATGGTACCTAATTAAATCGACCGTGCAGACACTCAGGTTGCCCTGGACGCAGGAACTTGCCAGTCATATTTGACAGTCAACGGGATCTCCATACCATGTTTCTCGTAAACATTCCTCGAAAAGCTTCGAATCTGGGAACGAACAAATCCATCTATCTCTCGGTGAAGGGAAAGACAGGCCACTCGAACTGCAGTATATCTCTGAGGGACCAAAAGCATTTGCCACACCTAGGTTCCATTACAATCACAGTATTGCTGTCATGGTGCCCAGAGCTACGATCCTAGCAATGCAGTCGACGAAAGACTTGAGCTCGCCCATTCAAGTCAATGTGCGCACAATACATAGCACAAGCGCGTAATGTTTAGCTGAAGTGTTACAATCAAACTAGAAGCCGATATATGTTTGTTTCTCCATTATGAATACAAGTCAAGGGAGTGGTTTCAAGGAGTAAAGTCAAGGTCTCTGCTTGTAAAAGAGTTGAGGTCAACTGCCGTCTACGGAAACGTACTTGCATTCAGTAGTTCCATTCGCGTCAACTAGCTCCAAGGTACTTTTGAAACGAACAAGCAAGCGTCAAGGCATCCAGATGCAAGCCGAGCCACTATTAAAAAGACTGACGCCGCGGGGATCTCACAGTCTCGTATGGCGTGTACGCATCCCCCGGACGTCTAAGGTGCGCCGCTACCATGCAAGCACAATCATGAGCCCGCTACGTGTGAATACGGCCCCGGAGTTCTAGGTGTCACAACGGACAAGAAAGTCATGCTCACGTCCGGTTTCGTTCATCAGCTCTGAGATTTGAGCGCTCTTGCATATCCGGCGCCCATCATGATCATCTTTCCAACTATCGCATGTGGCCGCGCGACAGAGGAACGATGACAGACTAATGGACATGATGCAAGAGCGCACAGTGAAAGTCCGTCCCCGGAGCGCTACCCACTGGCCATGACGTACTCGTATGAAGATGGTGATCATGCGAGCGCCCGCGTACGCTTGCTACGCGACATACCCCCAGTATCTCCGTGAAAAATCTACTTCATTTCTATCGTCCTAGTGGTGTGTTGGAGGCCACTGGGCGGTGACTTACCTGATTGATGAGGCGCCCTATGGAGGTAATCTGTTTGTTGCACGCGAGTCATGTCAAGCTGTCAAGGCGTGCACCGCTGTAGCGCTTTTCAGGACTAGCACCGGAATCGTATCAGGCTGTGGCGACCTCTGGCGACGGTCGACCTGCATTCATCAAAATCCTAGAACACAGGGTTCTTTGAATGATATCTCCTCCCGCTTCTATCGCCGGCGGATAGGTGCCAGTGAGTATCTGAGAAAGCCGCATTCCCAGGGAATGTCCATTCCACATGACTGGGGGAGACAAAAAGGTATAACACTGTGTCGCGCTGTGTCGAAGGTGATTGCAGCTCCAGAAAAACAGCGAAGAGAGCGTATGATGGTCCCGTGATTTGGGCTGCGTAGCACGTGGCGGCGCGCTCGACGCGATATCTGCCTGCCTAGGAGCCTGAAACCGTGGCCTGGCCTCACAACCCATGTTTAAGAATTCAATGCACAAGGGACAAAATTCTATGTGGATAATTTCTCTATAATTTCTCCATAGTTCTTGATTCTCACTCGGGTTAAGCTTGCATCCAGGGCCCAGGGTCCCCCCCCAGGAAAGGTCAAGGCACAATGATTATATAAAGGTCTCGGAACAGGAAATTGAGGCATCAAATACACTCTATAAACTACTCCTGGTAATACCAGTCCGTGTACAGAGGGATACAGAGAGGACTTGCCCTGGATGTAGATACATATCATATGGGTGAGCGATGATTGACGCCGTGAGTAGCGCTTTTGGCGATGCCGAGCCGCGGTCATATCGTGCGCATATTCTCCTCATCTGGAGTCACCGCTAGGGCGAAGTTTCTTGCACTCCCAGCGGCCTGATCGAACAACCCGACCATTTGGACATCCCACCGGGCTTTAACTTCCGTCGTGTCCTTTTGGAGACCCTCTTGAAGCCACTGAACTCTGTCCATAAGAATTAAGCTTTCGACGCATGGGCCAATAATGCATCGAAGAACATGTAGGACTTCGAGTTGACGTTCCACACCTTCAAGCTGGAAAGACTCGTGCGGTGAAGTGCCTTCAAAAGCCTGTATTCTGTCGCGAAAAGGTGAAGTCGCGAGATCAATCCCTACTCCCATCCTCTCAGAGGCACGCGAAAGGAAGTGTGAGAACGAAGCATAGGCGCTGTCCGGGAGACGACCGAGGCGTTTTTTCGGCACTTCAGTTCGCTCTTTACGTCCCGTCCCGTCTGTAGCATTTGTTGTGGGCTCATCGACGATGTCCGTGTTTCGCGTAGGCGGAAGATATGCCTCGAGCAGTGCGCGGAACGCCACCTTTCTCACCGCGAGTTTGGCAGAAGCATGAGAGGCGGGGCTGTCCAGCCAGTGAGCCGGCGTCTGGGTGGCGAGTTGGAGATGCGATGACGTGAGGGGCGGGCAGTGGCTGAATGCGCGGGAGAGGGGAAAATCGGCTGTGAGACCGTCATGAATCAGTCACATAGTCGACTTGTTCCATCAACGAGGGAATATACATTCTATAGACATCAAATTATAGCAGCACCCCACCACCACAGCCGCTCTTGGAGCCCAGATAATTGTACCCTGAATGTCGCATTTCCTATGAAGCGCGAGGAATGTACGGAATATGTCTGGGGTCAAGGTTCCGCAGGCATGGAGCGCCACGATCAGGACTGGAACGGGCTCTAGGCGTTTATCAGGCGAGCCGTTGTTCGGTTCACAGAGCCATGCGGTAACAGAGTGCTGAAGCGTTTCAGCGGTGATGAAGACGGTCTTGTGAGTAAGAGACCCAGCCTCAAGTGAATAGATATCCGTCACGGACGACGTCGGGGATGCTTCCTGTTCGCTCCACTGTCTTTTGACGCCTTTCGCTTGCTCTTTTGTCAGCCGTTGCTCGGCACCTGACGTCTGTATGACGCTGCCGTCGAGAGCAAGTACGTGAAATCCAAGGTCACGTAGAGCACGCGAGAGATACCCCTAACGGTCAAGAGCGAGAATCAATATCTCAAACTCGTCTCGAAATTACCAGTGTGATCGGAGGAAATGTGCTCACTTGACCTGCACCAACATCTACGACGTGTTTTACGCCTCCAAGCGCGGGTGACGAAGAGACAAGGTGATAGATATAGCTGCTCATTCGAGAAACCTCATGAGCCTTTTTGGGCGACATGCCAGAAGGAACGCGTTTGACATTCGCATTGTCTGATAGTGGTGACAGTCGATGGACAGACATCTGGGTCCACGCCACTTGGCGTGATGAAGGACCGGCTGATCACGTATGAGTATTTTCTACCATTCGAATCTGGCTTCCTTAAAAAATGCCTGAGCAAAACGCACTTGGATGGGACGAATGAAGAGTATCATTCGAAGCTGTCACCGAGATGGAATCTTTATTTTGCGCCGACCAGTTCACTGGAGTACGGTTTAACTGCAGATGTGTCGCAGCATTCACCAAGTCTGAGAGTGCTGATGGAATATATGCGGAGATCTTATGTTCTTCCTGACGAGGCCAGATATGAAGTTTATGGACAGATCATGCACGGGCAAGTAACTCACGTCGAGGGAGGATTCGCTGTGATCGCGCGCTACGTGCAGCAAGGAGATCCAAGGGGGCTCTCCATCAGGAGAGAGCGCAGCTGCCCAGGTCCACCAGGGCTTCCAAGTATCCGGGCACCGAAATTCTTCAGACGCAAGGATATCATTCGGATGGATGGCAAGAAGTGACTTAACGAGAGGCTGTTGGAGAAAGTCGATGAGGTCGTCTTTGGCAAGCGTGTCCGGCATCATTCGTCCGAACATCCGAGCGGACCGGCGGGCTTTTGGCGTCGCCGCTGCGGCGCTGGTCAGACGATGACGCCAGATAATGCGGACAAATCTTTCGCAACACAGCGGATAACCACTGACACAGACTAGGTAAGAGGTTTAGTTTAAGCCACACACTCACCCTCGAGAAAATGTCAGGTCAAGGCAAAGTCGCGGTCATCACCGGTTCATCGTCCGGTGAGTCCTGCATCTCCTTGATCGTATGCAACGCAGCGCTCATTCCCATGGCCCAGGAATCGGTCGTGCGACCGCCATCGCGCTCTCGCAGGAAGGCTGGTCACTCATGCTGACGGCGCGGAGGGAGGCACAGCTGCAGGAAACCCGCACTCTCTGCATCGATGCACGCAAAGCTGTTGGACTGCCATCCGAAGATGGCAAGTTCCTTGTAGCTGCAGGGGATATCACGAACGAAGATTTCGTCAAGGGCCTTTTCCAGAAGACAGTCGATAGCTTTAGTGAGTTCCCATCGAGGTCTTAAATGTTCTTGTCTCTGAACTCCCAGCAGGCCGACTCGACATGCTATTCAATGTGCGTTCCTTCTTGTTCTCGATGGCACGCTAAACAGCGTCCACGATAGAATGCTGGCATCAGTGCTCCGGCCACACCCACCGAAGAATTCTCCCTCGACCTCTTCAACGCCGTGCTCAGCACAAACGTCATCGGCCCCTTCCTCTGCACTCGCGAGGCTGTGCGCATATTCAAGCGCCAAATCCCCCAAGGAGGTGCGTATCCCCGCCACCTCCCCTCGACGCGCCCAAAGTCGACCCGCCGGCTCCAACTTTGCTTCCTTAGGCCGTATCATCAACAACGGCTCGCTTTCCGCCCACATGCCGCGCCCGCACTCGGTCGCTTACACGACCGCGAAGCACGCGATCCTGGGGCTCACCAAATGCACCGCCCTGGACGGCCGCCCGCACAACATCACCTGCACGCAGATCGACATCGGTACGTCAAACTCGGTGCACGAAAGACTCTCCCCAGCCTGCCTCGACACAGAGCGTCTCGGCGTGATGCTGGGTCGGCACAGAAAAAACACATCATAAGTTTTGACGCGTGACTCCAGGAAACGCCAATACAACTATATCCACGGCCTCCAACAACCAATTCTCGGGCGCCCCCTCGAGCACCGCTGTCATGCATCTCCAGCCGAACGGGCAGGTCACGCCTGAGGACACCATGGATCCCGCGTACGCGGCTGCACAGATCGTTTCGGTTGCCGCGCTGCCCAACACCGTCACGGTCTTATCGCTCAACATCATGTGCGTAGCCTGTATTCCGTCCGTCATCCTAGACTGTCCCATTGCCTCCTAGCATCTTGTGATCATTGCTCTGAATGCCTAATGGTCGCTGACTGTGAATGAATAGGGCGACCAATATGCCATATGTAGGCCGCGGTTGACATTGACTGCTCAAAGAATCGCTCTCGAATCCAAACATAGAGGAGAGGCGGATAGGCAGAGCATTCCCCACACCACGAGCAGCGACGGCAACAGACAGACTACAGAGTCCATGACATATCAAGCATGTCCGTGTATGCACTGGAACGACGATAACTTTGCTACCAGTACATGACGAGTGCTCAAGACACGAGAGGCATCATTACAATAGCGCAGGCTGCCATACCGAAACAGTAATACACCCTGAATGCGAAGGTGAGATGAAAAAAAGGAAAAGTAATCGACCCCGAAAAAAAGGCGATGAAGGAACTCCTGTCTGAATTGCATGCGGCTGCAAGTGCTCTTTGTCCCTGTCTCATCGGTAACTTGTTCTTTTTGATGCAACTTGATTGTTCACAATGCGCAGTAAAAATGACGAGACCTATCAAAGTGGTTTGTTGATGCGTCGCATTTCCCTCAACGAATTACTTCCCACCGCCTACAAGCGACAGCCACGCCCGGTGCAAACTGGAACTGTCGACGATGGATTGAGAAAGGCAATCAAGTGAGAAACACGTCATGTGAGAAACGCTCTATCTGACCTTTGACCTTCAGATAGTCTTCGAGCATGGTGTCCAATGATTTCATCATGATATCACTCGGGCATGAGGCTGCGGATTCGTCGCATTTTCTCATGTCAACCCGCTTCAAGTCACTGACAGCTTCAACCTGGGGCACCTGTCGGATTCGCCTCTCATTGTGCGCAAGGTGATTGCTTTCTTTAAGCATTCTGGTTCTAGTACATTGTATTGTTAACTCCATGTTCCTTCTCCAGCTTATCGAGGCTCTACTTATCAGGACACTGGAGCTGTAAATATAGCACAGCGTTATCTTCCCTTCAATGGAAGACGTATATGTGGCTCTTCAAAAGGTAATTTTTGAGACGTGTTAGTGGCCTTACAGAGTGGTTGACATATATGTATCCCAAATCGACGTGGTCCCTCAGCTCCAATAGAAACCTCATGTGGGGTAGAAGACGTACTTATATCTACGAGGGGCTCCCTTATACACCCCTCTCATCGTCGGTCATTCCTCATTGTCCACTAACTTGTGGACGTCCGACTTCGACTTTGTGTACTTCCTTCGAACCTCTCGCAGCAGCATGCTGGAGATAGTCGAGAATCCAATTCTCTTTGCAACACTCGCCTGTCTCTGCGTATACTTATACATCTTTCGCAACTCTCGCCTCTCGATCCCGCCTGGTCCGAACCCTCTGCCTCTTCTTGGAAACATCCTCTCTATTCCATCGCGTAGACCATGGGAGACATATGCTGCATGGGCTCGCGAGTACAAAAGTGAGCATGACCCCTCCCTCTGATCTAGATGTCGCGGACACCGTATCTCATCCTTGTCTATGCATAGCCGATATAGTGTCTGTCTACGTGTTCGGCCACCTGACCCTTGTCGTGAACACTATCGAAGCGGCTAAAGACATGTTTGAGCGTCGCTCGGCCGTTTACTCTGACCGCCCTCATATAACTATGATCGACATGTGCGTTCGTGATCTTTCTGCATATACATGCAATCGGACTCTTTTTTTTAGGATGGAGTGGGACTTCAATGTTGCCTTGATGCCCTACTCAGACGGATGGCGCATGAGGCGCAAGATGCTGCACCAATTTCTCAACTCTGGGGCCGCCACGCAGTATCGTCCGCTGCAGAGAAAGTGCGCAGTTAAGCTCATAAAGCTGCTTCACGCGAGCCCTGAAAGCTTCGCAGACCACTTGAAATAGTGAGCACTGCACCGCTCTTGTCAGTATGCCATGATCAACCATTAATGTCTTTGATTTGGGAACCAACTAGCTTTGCAGGGTCCATCGCGATGTCAATGACTTATGCGCACGAGACTGCGCAGTCGGACGATCGGTATGTGCACATCGCAGAGAGAGCATTCGAGATGCTGTCAGGAGCCATGTTTCCAGGCGCAGCAGTGGTCAATGCGTTTCCAATATGTGCGTGGTCATCTCTGTCGTTGATTTTTGCTTTCTTGAGGATACGAAATCACAGTGAGGCATCTGCCGAAATGGTTCCCGGGCGCCGGGTTTAAGACTTATGCAGATGAGTGTGCTATGTTGACACGGGAAATGAGACATGTTCCTTTCGAGGCTGTCAAACGGAGCATGGTGAGGCTTCATGAATACATAGTTATCTGGTTGGCACACTCATACAGGTCTTTGAAAGACTGATGGCACAGCTGACCCCTCGATGACAGCGAGCTTGTTGGAAATGCACGAGGCAAAGGGAGGCGATGAAGCTGAGGCGGTAGCTATCATGGATGCTGCAGCAATAACATACGCCAGTAAGCCGCGAATGTCATCAATGTCAGCGGCCATCCTGACAAGCCATTTACCTTTAGGCGTAACAGACACAGTTTGTCTTGTCGACATCACCACTGTAATCATCGACACTAACATCACTTTCTAGACCATGTCATCAGCCCATTTTGCAATTCTTGCACTTGTACTACACCCTGAGGTGCAACGACGTGCGCAAGCCGAGATCGACAGCGTTGTTGGTCGTGAACGTCTTCCAGATTTTGAAGACCCACTTCCATACATCGAGGCTGTATGCCTCGAAGTCTCGCGCTGGGGGGTCGTTATACCTCTAGGCGTAGTGCGTACTGCTTACAGGGATGACGTGTACAAAGGTTGGAACATTTCGAAAGGTGTGGCAGCCTAATCTCCCTATCCCTCTGTGAGCTTTCCGTGATGAGTGCGGCAATTTTCAGGGACAGAGATATTCGTCAACACATGGTGAGGCAATCATCAAGTTGTTTTCGATTCGGCATTTGACATTGTCCCTTCAGGGCTATGTTACACGATCCCGAGAAATATCCCGATCCAGAATCGTTCAAGCCGGAAAGGTTCTTCAGGGATGATGGAATTTTGAACGACGACAATGTTCAACCTGCGTTTGGATTTGGCAGACGGTTAGTATGCTATGCCACATTGCCAGTACTTTCCGTGAAGGAAGACAAATTGATGTCGCAAATCGTCAGGGTGTGCCCAGGACAACACCTCGCCAGAGCATCGATCTGGATAATGGTTGCATACATACTAGCGTTGTTCGACATTGAGCCGACGAAGGATGAAGCAGGGCACGAAATCCCGATCCGCGCTGATTGTACCGATGGGCAGATTAGGCGAGTTTTTTTGCGCTTTCATCGAATGAATGAGTCTGTTAAACCTGTCCTACCGCTGGCAAATATACTACAGTCATCCGTTGCCCTTCAAGTGTTCCATACGTCTGAGAGACAAGAAGGCCGAGGGATTAATGCAGGAGCTCTGAGTATCTCGTATTTGGGTATGATTGTATGATATCTAGTTTTCAATCGGAGCACCTCTATCTCGAGATTGTAACCTTAACTATAACACGGCCCTCCGGGCCATCTTCGGTGTCGGATATAGACGTTCAAGACGAAGATAGACAAGTGACTGGATCCGTAAAATAGTTAATACCCCATTGAGAACCATCAGGAGTGTACGAATATACAAGTCAGCCCCTCTTGCAACCTGTGCATCAAAAGAAACATCCAGAAGACAAATAATAAGTAAAGCGCGTAGGCTTCGACGAGTCGAAATGGGGAAGGGGGGGGGGGGGGGGGGGGGCCCGCGCGGCGAGTCGGCGACGCACCGATGAAACAAAGTGTGCCCGTCCCGAAACACAGACTGGGGATCGTGGTACTACAAGACACAGGAAAGTAGACGACAGCGTGCAACAATACAGAAAAAAAGTCCGATAACTTCAATGTCTGAATCTGCGGGAGGATGCATCGCGGAGCACCCAACGTGTCCAATACATTACTTTTCGTGGAAAGTCTCTCGCCCCTAGTGCACCGGTGCAGCAATGACCGCGCGCGCGCCGACGGCTCCGCTTTCGGCCTCGAGCTTCCTGCCCACGGCGGCACCCTTGTCCGCCTCCGAGCCAGCCCCTCCAGACCGCGGGAACCAGCCGCCAATCTCCCAATGCCCGACCGTGTATTCGTCGCGCTCGCGCTGCCGCGAATCCGTCACGCCGCGCAAGATCGCCCTCAGCCGCTTAAAATCGATCGGCTTCAGGATCCACCCGTCGACGCCGATGTTGGCCAGCTCGTCGCGCTGGCGCTCCAGCAGGGACGCCGAGACGGCGAACACGGGGATCCGCCCGTTGAGAATGTGGGAGACGCGCCGCTTGGGGAATGGGCTTGACTTTTCAAGGGTCCGGATGCATTCGGTGGCTTCGAAGCCGTTCAAGATGGGCATCCTGCGCACACGGGGTCAGTCATTCACGCGAAGGAGCCGACACAGACAAGACTCACTGAACGTCCATGAGGATGCAGTCAAACTCCTTGTCCGACCTGATCATGTCGACGCCCTCCTGTCCATTGGTGGTATTGACGACAGCATGCCCATCAAGGGTCAGCCGCTTGGCGAGGATCGTCCGGTTGATGGCATTGTCCTAAGTACGAAAAAATTTCAGCCTAAGCGAGACATAGATTCCACGCGTGCCACCCGAAGTACCTCGACGATCAGCACCCTCAACTTTCCGTCAAACGCAGGCGACGGCGGCTTCTCGCCCGACTTTGGCCGTCTCACCGCGTCCATCTCGTACTGGTCCACCTTGACGGGCCGCACCGGCGTCCCAGAGTCCGCGATGGGGTACGTCCCAGGCCTGCGTGCGGGCGACGCCAGCCGCGGCGCGGGGCAGCCGGGGCTGCCCAGCGCGCTCGAGAGCGCGTCGACGATGGTGTCCACCTCGAGGCTGCTCACGGAGCCGTGGCTGCTTCCCCGCTGGATCGATGACGCGCGGGTCAAGGCCGGCGAGACGCCGCGCTCCGCGTCGCTCGACACGACGGTGAACGGGATCAGGAACGAGAACCGGCTCCCAACGCCGACCTTCGAGTCGACGCGCAGCTGTCCCCCGAGCTGCTCCACGATCCGGGCCACGACGGCCAACCCGAGCCCTGCGCCGCCCACCATCTTCAGCACACACGCACGCGCAGCCACGGATCGGGAAACGCGTACGTACCGAGGCCAGGCGCGCTGCCCGTCTTCGGCAAAGCCGACTCCACCTGCTCGAACTCGCGGAAAATGCTCTCCAGCTTGCCTTCCTGGATCCCGCAGCCTGTGTCCGCGACGATGATCTCCACCGCGATCTGTCCTGGGTTCCTCAGGCCCTGCGGCTCTTCGAACGTCTGGCACGTGATGGCGATCTCGCCGGCCTGCGTGTACTTGACTGGCACCGACAGCAGTTAGCGTTAGCGACATAAAGCAGAAACGACAGCATGTCGACGCACGAGCGTTGGCAGTCAGGTTTGCCACCACCGTGCGGATCTTGCTCGAGTCGCCCATGACCCTCAACGGGCCACCCATCAGGTCCAGTCTGAACCTCAGCTTGCGGCGGGCCGCCTCCTGCTTGTACAAGCTCGTGGCCTCCTCGATCGCGGTGGGCAGGTCGAACGGCTCGTTGAACGACGTCTCCTGGCCGCTCTCGAGACGTGTCAGGTCCTAAGAAAAAGCACGTCAGGCTCGCGCTCTCTTCAAGGCTCTCAAACGAAAGCGCATACAAGGAGGTCGTTGATCGTAAACAGCAAGCTCTGCAAGGAAAACCGTCATCTCTGCCACACTTTTCTTGGCCTGCCTGTCATGGACGTACCTTCGACGCGGCGTGCGACTGGCTCAAGTTTTCCCGCGTCTCACGATCCAAAGCCCCGTTCAACGCAAGTTCAAGGCAGCTGCCGCGATCCGAGCGTCAACGCACCGCTCTTCCCGCCAATAACCCAAAACCGGCGCTTACTTGATGATATGGTTCAACGGCGTCCGCACTGGAACCCCGCAAGCCGTCAGCGAAAGACCACATGCGCAACGAAGACGGAGAAACTATACCTTCGTGGCCGGCGTTCGACAACAGCAAATTCGTCAGCTGCGTCGTCTGCAGCGCGGTCTCTTTCTGCCTCCATACCTCGATAAACTGCGCGCGCACGACCGTCAGCGCACACACGACCATCGCACATGGGACACCCTCAGACGAACCTTGCCGTACACCAGCGCGAGCACGCCAGCCGTCTCCAGGTGCTCGTCCGACCACTGCCGACACCGCCCCGCGACCGTCTCGGACCACACCTTGAACGACTTGCGCGGCTCCAACGACGTCTTTTCGTCCCCGCGGCCGTCCGCCCGCGACGGCCTCCCCGCCCACCGCACGTCCCGCGGCTGGCCCTTGCGCAAGAACGCGATAAAGTCCTTCCCGCCACTCGACAGCGGCACATATAGCAGCCCAGCGATCACCTCGAGCCCGTTCGACAGCTGCAGGTCCGGGAAGTCCTCCGTCACCGCCTGTGACACCTGGATCACGTTAAACTGCTTCAGCCGCAGGTACTCCGCCATGATGAGCACCTCCTGGCCGTGCTGGTTCGGCCCCAGGATCTTTGCCCCGCCGCCGATCACGATGACGCCAAAGTCGGCGTCAAACAGGCCAAGAAGGTCGTCGGGGTTGGAGACAATGTATCCCGCCGGGTGTTGATCCGACGACAGCGTGTTGAACTAGACGAAGCGCCCAACAACGAAAACGTTCCGCGAAATATCAGCGACTCGCCGACCCCCAACGCCCCCCAACACTCACCAATTTCCGCGTGTGCAGCCGCTGCGCATAGCTCAGCCGCTCTATATTCCGCGAGATCGAGTCGCTCAGCAGCCGCATCATCTGGCGCACGGGGAACGACACCCGCATCCCGCACGGGCCGTACGAGTGACACGCCACGAGCCCCCACAGCGACCCGAACGCCATGATCGACTGCGAGGGGGCCGCCGACGGCCGTCGTCGAACGCGTCGGTCGTTCGTGGATCGCGGTACAGAAGAGAAAGAAGTGGAAGAAAGAAGTCGACTTGAGCATGCGTGAGCAAGGCGCAGCCAGCGAGCGACGTACGACGGACATGGACGAGCGCACGCCCATATTCCCAAGATCTACATTCACACCAACGCACGCATACCAAAAAAAAAAAAGAGATCAAACGTGAGCAAACGCAAACAACATCCAAACGACCCAAAACCGATCAAACAAACGAGTGATAATCACACTTGAGATGGATCGGGCTCATCGCGCGGAGATAGCAATGCGTCATGTTCTGCCACACGCCGGCGTTAGATCAGGCGAAGAGGAAAAAGAGGAGGGGAGCGCAACGACGGACCAGAGGCGTCTCCAGGTCCTCGGGGCTCCGGACCACAATCCGCGCCGTCACCTGCTCGCGGTCGTACAGCAGGCGCATCCGATCTGTTCTCGCGTCTGTCAGCGCTGCGGCCCTATCAGATGCATACAGTGACGGCGAACAAACTCACTAAGGGTATACAAGTGTCGCGCCTTCGTCGCGCGCCCCAGAAAAAAAGGAACGAATTCAGCACACACCCCGCCGTCTCGCGATGATAACCCGCCAACGCACCTGCGCCGGAATATCCCCCGCCGGGAAATGCAACCCCCTATACAGCTCCCGCGTCTGACTCCAATCCACCAACTCCGCCACCGTCTGCCCATTCCACCGCTCGTCAAACTGATACACCAGCACGCGATGGAACTGTGTCAGGTCCTTCACGATCCCCACCACGACGCGCAAAAACGCAACCAAATCCCCCGCCGCGCCCAGCTGCTCGTTGATCTGCGCCATCACCGCGAACACGTCCATCATCCCGATCGTCCCCACGCTCCCCCCGCCCGCCGTGCCCCGCGCCCCGCGCCGCCCGCGCACACCGCCCCCAGGCCCCGCGGGCGTCGTGCGCATCTTCCGGATGCGCTCCAGCGCAGGCAGCGGCCGAGCCTGGTTCGTCGTGCTCTCGATGATGTCCTCCGCACTCGGACGCCACTCCTCCTCCTCTCCGTCTCCCGCGTTCGCGCGCCCGCCGTCCACACCGTCCCCCACACCCTCGTCGACGCTGCTCGGCCGCGTCTCGCCCGACCCCGACCCGTCGGTCGCGGACTCTGTCAGCGTCAGCGTTGACGCCGTCGCACTGTCCGGCGCAGGGCGCGTCTGGCCCGCCCGCCCGCCCAAGTCGGGACCAGCACCTGCACTGGAAACGGCACCGGAACTGGACGCGCGTACGCTCCCACCCGCGGTGGACACTAGCGTCGAGCTGCTCGCATCCGTGCTCCCGACCGTGCTGCCCCCCGCAGATACGGACCCGCCGCTCAGCGGCGACGACATCGCGGACACCGCCTCGGATGTGAGGTTGCTAGCGTTCGGGTACAGCGGGTTGAACACGTCGACCTTGAGCTCGAACTCGAGGATGATCAGGTCCGACGCCGCGTTTGCAGGCAGTGGCGGGAGTGGCGGCGACGACGACGCGCTCCCGGACCCGGGCTCTGGGGACGCGGGCGAAGGCGAGGTCGAGGTCGAGGTCGAGGAAGCGGACGCAGAATCAGAAGTCGCGGATGCGGGCGGGCTCGGCGCATAGGCGTGCCGACGCGGCCGGTGCGCCGCGCACCAGCACGACCACTCGCGCCGCCGGAACCTGTCCCTCTCAACCCCGGCCCCCGCCCCCGTGCCGCTCTCCAGCTCGCTCTGCATCATGCTCCCAGGCTCACCCCACCCACTCAACAAGAACACGTGCGGGCTCTCGTCCTCATCCTCGCCGCCGGCGTCGGGGTCCGCCAAGAACTGAATGTTGTCCCACAGCACGTCGACCTGCGAGTCGGGGAGCACGTCCGTGAAGCAGGGCAGCGAGAACAGGTACTTTGGCGAGAGCCCAAGGAGCTCGGTCGCGTTTTCAGACACCTGGCGCACGACGAGCATCTCGGAATCTGGGTCGTCTTGGAGCGCGACGAGGACGCCGAAGCCTTGGACAGCGCCGGGCGTGCGGATGGGCTGCGAGAAGCGATGTGAGAAGACTGGACACGCCCAAACGCTGGAAAGACACCGACCTCGTCCTCACACTGACGTAGCTTGCCTTCTCGGCCAATGATCACGTGATGCCCATCTACCTCCGTATGCTCGAAGCGAACCGCAACTGGGTGCTCTTCGATGGACGAGTGCCTACTCGAGTGCCTACTCGACCAAGGATTCGAGTTGGACGACGGGTTTGAGTTGGACGATCGGTTCAAGTTAGACGATGGGTTCGAGTGGGACGACAGGTTTGAATTCGACGAGACGTTCGACGAGCGCGGGGGATACTGGCTGTCGCCGCCGCCGCCAATACTGGCGGTATGACGCGTCGAAGCCGCGTCCATGCGAGGGCTCGATCTAGAAGCACGAGAGGACAATACCGCCGACGAGCCATCGCCATACCGCGAGTCGCTACCGCGCGAATAGACGCTCCCAGGGCGCGAGGCGGACGGGAGCGGCGGGAGGTGCACGATCTCGGGGTCCGTGACCGCGCACGGGGGTGACGCGGCGCGGGCGGGGGCGCAGACCTCGACGGGGTCCGCGAACGCGTCGGCGGCGAGTTCTGTGAAGCGCGGGGGCCGGCGGGGGTGGAATGCGGGCGGGCTGTCGGTGCGGCCGTCCGCGGTGAAGTGCTCGCAGGTCGGTCCGCGGAGCAGGGCACGCTCGAGGTCGATCGGCTGGGAGGCTGTGGGCTGTGGGCTGAGGATGGCGGGTGAAGAGGGAGCGGAGGAAAGGCCCTGGACGGGTCCGCGCGGGTAGTGGCGGTAGTTGGGAGAGGAGTCCCTGAGGGCGGTGCGTTTCTTCTTCTTGCGACGGAGGGAGGAAGACTTGGAAAGGGGATGGTCTGGAGTCGAACCCTCGGAAGTGTCTTTCAGGGACGTCGAGCGGATGTGTTCTGAGCTCAGGGGATGCGCCAAGTTCTGGCGAGGCGACGCCCGAGGGCGATCGGCGGAGCGACTCCGCGCGTGGGATCTGATCTGGTGAGGTCCGGATGGATGGATGGCAGTCAGAGACGAAGCGGGCTGCAAGAAAGCAGCAGAACTAGAAGAAGCGGGCGATGCCTGTGCTTGCGCGGGCTGGATATGCGTGCCAAGGAGGGATCGGACGGGGTAGACATAGGACGCGGAGGAGTGCAGCGTGTGGGAGATGTCAGCGTCGTCGTCCACGCTGTCGCCTGCGTTGGCGGGGTTGTTGTTGGCGACGGCGGGCGGCATGTGTGTGGATCGAGGGCAACATGGAGGAGTTGCGGGGCTCGCACATTATATCGGGGAGCAGGAGGGATCTGATGTGTCATCAACTGCGTCATCGCCACCCCGCTCCGCCTGCCCCGCGTCTCCAGATCGAGATCCCCGCCCACCTCTTCGACATTGCTTGGTTCCTAATTTGAACGCGAATCATGTCTTTGGTGCTCCTCTGATAGTATACACATGAATAAACCGTACTGTGATGTATAATAAACTCGTTCCATGCGATCAACGTTCGGGGGCAGACTACAGTGACATAGTGGGATGGTGGGATCAAAACGCGTTGCGCTTTGAAGGCGATCCCTGAACTTGCAGGAGTAGTCCCATCTGAACATGGTACACACATTTCAGGAGAAACATTGGATCAGTGAAAATCCATACAGGAGGAAACGGGTAACGGGAGGAAACACGGAGAGATCGGGGATCGGGAAGCAGCATGCTAGGGTTGGTGCCAACGCCGTAGATAGCATGTAGCGCCAGCGCACACCGCGATCCCATCCGCGACTAGTCCAACGTGAAATTGCAGAGGGAGATACACGAACAAGAGGAGAATCTGACCACATCAAACAGGCGGCTCTGGAAAAAACATGGTCATATGACGATCACATCATCACACGCGCGAGGTGACCCGCAGCACAAACAGCACAAGATAGCATCAAGCACAACACGACTAGATTGTCCTACCCTCACGCTGATCGGCTACAGCCCGTAGTGCGCGAACGGTACCCAGCGTGCGAAGGACCGATTATCACAGTCTGAACGCAGCTTGTTAACAGCGAGATGAAGTGCGTGAACAGCTTCTGTAGTGTCAGGGGACGAGCCTTCCTCGATTCCTTTGAAGAAGTGACCATAGAACTCATCCGCGATCTTGGGCCCATCGATGTCATATATTGACCTAGTGTACGATAAGCATCGCTGAGCTCGGGATGGGCGGAATAGGGCCTACCACATCATGGCAACCACTCCGCGGAACCCAGAGAACAACATCGTCGCTGCAATATGCATGGCTTCATCAGGAGCAGTCACGTCCCCCATCGCGGTCTGACATGCGCTGAGAAAAGCCAAGGAAGCATTTGGCAAGGACTGCGCCATAATCGTAGAGACCTTCAACTGACCATCCAGGAGAGGCGTGCTTTCTAATGGATTGAATCTATCCTGAATTCCGTGGCATGCAAAGTGGGCGATGGAAGCACGAGGGAGATGAGAGAGTACCACCTCTACTTTGGATGGCGGAGCGTCAAGAGAGCCGGACTTGATGAGAGAAGAGGCATGCACGTGTCTCTCGATCTGTCGCATTTCTTCGCGGGTTTGGGTTAATGTGACCTGGCCATCTGTCTCGGGCTGTATGGCGATCAGCATCTTGAATGGGTCTGCATTCGGCGCAGGCAGGGGAGTGAGGAGAGAATTCAGCGTAGGTGCGTAGGACGACACCATGTAATCGGATGCATTCTCGACGGCTCCCGTTTTTGTACCAGGTGCATATATGCCTGCTGCATGTATGGGGAGAAAAGCGAATGGACCGGTTGGACGCCACCACACGCGCGGAGGCGAGCCAGATTTCTACGCGAGTAAATGAATATTGAGCGTGTGGGGTGTCTCGTAAAATAGTCTTACCTCGAGTCTCAAATGACGAATCACCGGACGAACTATGATCGTCCAGAGTATTGCTAAAACAGCACGGAAGACATCATCAGCATCTCGAAGAGGCGCCTTCTGACGTCTTCCAAAGTGCCGGTCCTGTGTCGCATTGAGCACAATTTCGCGAGAGGTTTCAGCCTTTGTCACGAGGGATTCCAGAGGAGCTTGGAATTGACTCGTGAATGAAGTGACCCCATGGGTTACGGAGACTATGGAGTTGGCAAGGATTACTACATCTTGGACGGTCAAATTGGTGTCAAGTGGAACATGGTCCACAGTGGTCGATATGGCTATCAGCACATCACATGGAGACACAGTGGCAATGAGCAGAACAACGGGACCTCGAGCCGCAGCCCTCTGCAATGACGCTAGTTTCTTCGGGCGCATAAATCCTTCGAAGCCTTCCAAGGCTCGAACTCGTTCCAACGTCGTTAGCCAGTCCTCGTTCTGCCGACGATATTGCACTGCCTCGGTCTCCATCGACATCGCTGGTTCCATATTAGCGCGAGTCGTGATGGGACCCTCACGAAACGAACCCTGCTCGATAGTCCGGGCAATATCTCGCAGCTTTTGCGCAAGTTCTGGACAGGCAAGCTGAAGGTCCTCCAAGGAGGTCCGAAGCCGCAAGGCATATGACCAAAAGACGGATCTACCCTCTTCCAGCATCTCGACAGCCTTTTCAAACTCACCTAAGCGGATCGCACAAGCTGCAGCTTGGCTGGAGAGTGCACCGCTCAGCTGGTCAGCAAGTAGTCGATGACGTGACTTTACATCCGAAGCGAGCATCGTGACCTGTGGCAAGAGCTGGACAGCGGCTTGATATGCCTCCAAGGCAGACGCATGTTTGGCATCGTCTGCATTGATCGCCCATTGTTTGGCGGCCTGTCAGAGCGGAGTGTCAGAGCTTCCCGGAGGTGCAAAATGGCCTCCTCGAGGTCATCTACCTGTCCTTTTTGCTTGAATCGCGTAGCAAGTGCATTTGCGAGGTTGTTCAGCGTCATAGAACGACTGAGATGTTGGGCGGGCTGGAACGTCAGGACTTTCCGGTGATGAACAATTGCCTCCTCGAGGTCATCGACTTGACCTTTTTGCCTGAATTGCTCCAAAAGCGCGATTGCAAGATTGTGCAATATAACACAACGGTAGGGACGCGGGGCAGGACAGAGTGTGAGGGATTGCCGGCACAGCAAAATCGCCTCCTCGAGATCTTCTACCCGATTTTGCTGGTCGAACCGCGTCAAAAGCACACTTGCAAGGCTGGTCAAAGCTGCGGGATGATCGGAACGTGAGGCAGGGCAGAGTCGTAAGGCTTCCCGGCGGTACAGAGTTGCCTCCTCAAGGTCATCCACCTGCCCTATCTGCCCGGATCGTGTCGAAAACGCGCTTGCAAGGTTGCTCAACGAGTTTGGGCGGTGAGGGTGTGGGGCAGGAAAGAGTGTGAGGGCTGCACGGTGATGCAAAATTGACTCCTCGAGATCATTCATCTGACCTTTCTGCTTGAACCGCATCTCAAGCATAGTTTGAGGTTGTTTAACAAGGAAGAACGATCAGGATACGGAGCAGGGCCGCCTAGCGTCAGGGCTTCTCGGCTCAACAAAATTGAATCTTCGAGGTCACCCACCTGACCTTTCTGCTTGAATCGCTTTGAAAGCGCGGCGGCGAGGTTGTGCAATGAGAGAGAGCGATGGGGATGTGGGGCAGGGCGGAGCGTCAGAGCGTTCCGTTGACATGAAATTGCCTCCTCGATGTCATCGACTTGACCTATCGTCTCGATCCGCCTTGAAAGCGAAGTTCCGAGGTTGTTTAACGAAACGGAATGCTCGGGATGTGGGACAGGGCGGAGCGTCAGAGTTTCCCGGCGATATAAAATTGACGCCTCGAGGTCATCTACCTGACCTTTCTGCTCGAATCGCGTTGAACGTGCAGCTGCAAGGTTGTTCAGCGAATTTGAACGATCGGGGTGTGTAACAGGTATAAGCCTGTAGACCTCTTCATTCAGTGCTATACTGTCCTGGAGGTCGTGATCCCGACCAGCCCGCCGACACCGGATGCAAAGCGCATTCGCCAGATTTCCTAGTATGATGTGTCGCTTGGGATGCTCTACGTGCACCATGTCAAGGGATTCCTTCAAAAGTATGACGGCGCCATCGAGGTCGAGTACATTTCCCGACGATCGGAATTCCTCGAGGATGGCGGTACCCTGCTGAAACAAATCGAACCCTTCTTCATCCCAAATATGCTGATTTGGCCGAAATTGTTGGGCATGCAGATGAGTCGCCTCGGCCAAGTCAGCACCCCGGCCCTTCGAAATGAACTTCATGACAAGAGCAGCGCAAAGCCGTGCAAGCAGCTGCGATCGATAGAAATGGGGCAAAAGCGGAGAGTGTAGATATCCTCGCAACATTACCACCGCCTCATCCAAGTCCTCAGGCTGTCGCGTATGAAAACATCGTGGAAGAATGGTGTCAGCAAGGCGGCACACGGAAGCCCATAGTCCAATGTCTGAGGGTCTCCGCAGCCAAATAGCCTGGCGCAATAGGAATATTGCGGAATCGATACTCGAGATTGGGGCAGCCTGACAGGATTCAGCCATAGTGGTAAGAGCGAGATCCGTAATGATCAGTGGTTGGTCGTCGTCCTCGCGAGGAGTCCTGGTGCTGCGAAGATCATGAGGATGATTGCTAAACGTGGTAGCATACGTCAACGTACTTGGACATCTTTTTTGTCTGCGACGTCGCCGTCTGGCTCCTCACTAGTCTGCTTCACACCCGACGCGCCCTCCAATAACCTGGTGGCCTCGTCCAAAGCCGAAGCTTGATCCGTCCAAACGAATTTGGCCACCAGAGACAGGGCGAGGTTGTTCAAGGGGTCTTGTTGATATTGATGAGCCTTGAGACCAAGATCGCAGGCTTGATGAAGGAGATACAGGGCAGTCTCAAGGGACGATAAAGGACTTTCTTCCTTCCATTCCTTGACAATGAAGGCTGCGAGCTCGTCTATATCGTTTGCATCGAATCCTTGAATTTGACTGCCACCGTCGCCTGAAAGTCCAATATATCCTTCTACCTGTCCCCGAATAGATATCGTGAGGTTCTGAAGTTGTCAACGATGCGTGAATACGTACAGGGTTTTCTGGCGTCGGCTCTTGTTGACAATTTAGCTTCGATCGCAGAGAGGGAATATTTCGACGCACGGTTACCGTGACGTCGGATTCAGGTACGGCTGGAAGGCCGTGGCGGTGTTCACCTTTGTTCATCATTGCGAAGGCGGCGTGCACGGTGTATACAGTGGAGGAGGGAGGGGTTGAGATCGAGATCGAGATGGTGAAGTCAGACTTGTAACATGCCAGAGCAAGTCGTACAGCAAGCACAAGACAACTTGCTGAACACTTCTTATCTGCGTGCAAGGTGCAGCGTACAGCCTGCAGCGTGTTGAGTATAGAGCGCTCGATGCATTCCGTCAACCGTCCAAAAAGACGCTGGCCCAGACCGAATTGTCCAGCGACGAAAGCGATCAAGTAATCGCACTGCCAGATCCGAGCGGTTGAAATGAGAACGTACAGTACATCTTCCTGTCCGCACCACCTGTACGAGCGGAGTGAGCACAGGTCAAAGGCCGGGGTCTTCAACACGAAGGTTGATAGAAATACAAAAAGAGAACGGCGTTATCTGACGCACAGGCCAGCCCTACGTGGCAGCACCCCCGCATCCCATAAGACACCATTGACCTACGACTTCAGGCGCACCCCTTCATATCGCGTGCGAGGAGATGACTGACTGTGAAAATAACATCCGTCGCTCATATATCCTTACCACGAATGCTCACTCGAAGGGCTATTGCACAAACGTGGGATAAACGGGTCAGTACATACTTAGTCGAAGGAGCGGAAAGCAAAGCGACAACTTGCGGAGAGCACGGCATCCACGCCGAATTTCCGCGGAGGTCGCGACCGGTCATGCACTCGTGCACGACGTCGCGACACAAGTTAGATGAACCCCGCTGCCTAGATAGACAGACCAGGAAGGTTCACCGCATATCGTATCTAGCCCGCATCACCTCCTGCACGCCCCCGAGCAGCCCCACCGTATCGTGCCCGCCCCACCGCGTCTCCAGAAACACGACGTCGCTGCCCCCATGCACGAACGCCTCCATCACCCCCAGCCGCGGCACCTCCGTCCGCGTCACCAGCGCCGCCCGCGCGTCCGCGCGCGCCCGGTACACCGCCGCGTTCGCCGCCGTGGCGGCCGTGGCTGCCGCGTCGAGCGGCAGCGCAGGCAGGTGCGGCTCGAGCATCGCGGCGAAGAGCGCGGCGGAGTGCGCGTGCGGGATGTCCCAGTCGTCTTGCGCGTGCACGAGCAGCACCGGCGTGCGCAGGCCCTGTGCGGTCCAGAACGGGGGTCAGCGTCCGTGGCCGCTTGCGTGCGGGCAGGCGAAGACCGAGGGCGGCCGGCCGGATGCGGAAGCACTCACCGCGACCTTTGAGAGCGTGTCGAATCGGTGCCTCAGCAGCCGCTTGAACAGCACTGCGACGCGCGCGCCTCGGCCGGTCAGCCACGCACGCAGCAACACACGAAAATCGACCGACGCACCGGGGACGTACGGCAGGGTCTTCAGCGGCGCGAGCAGCGGGACGAGCCCGAACACCGCATACGTGTCCATCAGCGCCTCGACGCTCGCAAACGGCGCGAGCAGCACAAGGCCCCTGCTGCCCTGCGCCCCCGCGCCCTCCAGCTCGAGCTCGAGCTCGAGCTCGCGCACCAAGCCCGCCGCGACCGCCGTCCCGAGGCTGTTCCCCACCACCAGCACGTCCCCCGCGCGCGCCCCGCCGCGCCGCACGAGCCAGTCCCACGCTGCGCGCGCGTCGAGCGCGAGCCCCGCCTCGCTCGGCGCGCCGCTCGAGTCGCCGAAGCCGCGGTAGTCGAGCGCGAGCACGTTCGCGCCGAGGCGCGAGGCGTAGGTTGTGTAGTGCTGCACGCGCCGGTGGAACGCGCGCGTTGCGGCGTTGCCGTGGAAGAAGAGCACCGTCGGGTGCGCGGCGAGGGCCGCGCGGAGCGTCGCGTCGTCCGGGGGCGCGGTGGGCGCGCGGGCGGCGTAGAAGGTGTCGGCGAGCGTGAACCACGCGCCGAGGGTCTCGTTGTCGGCCGTCGGGATGTACACGTTCGCGGTTTGGAACGCTGGGCCGCGCGGCGCCACCGTCGAGGGTCGCCATCGTCATCCGAGCGAAGCAAAAAGAAGAAAAGCGAGCACGCACGCGCGAGCCCGTACTTCTCCGGCACGGCAAAGTCGGTGAAGAAGGGGAACTTGAGGGCGTGCATGTAGACGACCCTACGGGGGCGTCAGTCAGCGGGCGGCGGCAGGGCGCGCACGAGGCCTCGGGACGGACGCACTGGCGCTGCACGGGCGGGAAGGTGACGAGGACGACGAGGGCGACGTAGAGCGCGCCGAGGTAGATGAGGAATCGGTGCGCGCGCGCGAGCACGCCGCGGTTGGGGTGCGGGTGCGAGTGCGGCGCTGGAGTAGGGTGTGTGGGTGTGTCGGGCATGGTGGGAGGCGACGCCGCTGGTCGAGGTGTGGAGGTGGGACGAGGAGAGCACGTGCTATCGACGCACCGACTCGTGCGAGGACTCTGTATCGTGCTCCAACACGCTGGGGCACTGCTGGAGCGACGCTCGGTGCGTGTTCGACGTCAATAGGGGCAAAGACCCCGGGCATTCCGTCCATGGAGCATGTCTGCCATTTCGGCTGCTGGCGACGCACGTCCACTCCGCCTGGGCCTCTGACGCCGCCACTCCGCCCAGCCATGTCCCTCAAACCCCACCCCCGCCCCGCCAGCCCCGGCCCCGGCCGCGAAAAGGACCCCGCCACAACGCGCGACGCCTCCCCGACCCCGACGCTCCACACCGCGCCCTCCCCACGCCCGTCTCCTTGGCTCGCATGGATCGCCTCCGTGCGCGTGGGCTCCGGCATCGTCAGGGACGTGAAGGCCCGCGCGCCGTGGTACGTGAGCGACTGGTCCGACGCGTGGAACTACAGGGTCGTGCCCGCCACCGCCCTCATCTTCTTCGCCAAGTGAGTCTCTCTCGCATCGCTCGCCATGCCCAGCGCAGACCGCGGTCGGCCCAGCGGGCTGCACCGCACGCCCCCGTCTCGCTCACGCTCGCGTCGCATCAGCGTCCTCCCCGGCATCGCCTTTTCCCTCGACCTCATCGAGACCACCGGACAGTACGGCGTCGCAGAGGTCCTCGTCTCCTCCTTCATGGCCGCCTTCGTCTTCTCCGTCTTCGGCGCCCAGCCCCTCTGCATCGCCGGCGTCACGGGTGCGTCTGCGTCTGCGTCTCATTCTCCCCTCCCAGTGCCTCTCTTACGATACATCACATCGTGCTGCGCTCGGTGCACGCGGCACAGGCCCCATCACCGTGTTCAACCAGACCATCTACAGGATCGTCGAGCGCCAGCCCGACGCGCCCAACTACCTCCACTTCATCGGCTGGGTCTACCTCTGGGCCGCCGTCCTCCACTGGATCACCGCCGCACTCAACTGTACGTACGCCTCGTACACGATGCTCGCTCGTCTCGCTTGACATTTGCGCCCCCGCACGCGCTAGGGTGCAACTTCCTGAAATACGTCACCCTCTTCTCGTGCGACACCTTCGGGTTCTACGTCTCCTGGGTCTACCTCCAATACGGCGTCCAAGTCCTCACCCGCCAACTCCCTTCCCCTTCCCGCTCCTCCTCCCCCACCACCGCCCTCGATGGCGCCCTCGTCTCCATAATCCTCGCCCTCCTCATGCTCCTCACCGCCGCCCTCTTCCGCGCCTTCGCCCGCTCCGCCCTCGCCCACCGCCACGCGCGCCGCTTCGCAGCCGACTACGGCATGCCCCTCGCCCTCGTCGCCGCCTCCGCGCTCGCGTACTGGGGGCGCTTCGACGCCGCGCACCCCGCGACGCTCCCCGTGCGCGGCGCGTTCGAAGCGGCCGGCGGGCGCGCGTGGCTCGTGCGCTTCTGGGAGCTCGACGGCAAGTGGGTCGGCGTCGCGCTCCCATTCGGCCTCGTCCTCTGGGTGCTCTTCTTCTTCGACCACAACGTCTCCGTCCGTCCCTTCCCTTCCCTTCCCTTCCCATCCGCCGTTTCCACGACGAACGTTGATTGACGGGGTTTCGTCTCGCGCGCGCGCACAGTCGCTGATGGCGCAGGGCGCCGAGTTCCCGCTGCGCAAGCCGCCCGGGTTCCACTACGACTTCTTCCTGCTCGGCATCACCACCTTCCTCGCGGGCCTCCTCGGCGTGCCCGCGCCCAACGGGCTCATCCCGCAGGCCCCCATCCACACGCAGGCCCTCGTCGTCCTCGGGCGCCCGCGCGCGCACCGTGACGACGACGACGACGACGCGGACGTGGAGAGCGTCCGCGAGTCTGCGCGCGGCCCCGGCCCCGGCCCCGCGCCCCGCGAGGTGCCCGTCGCGGTCGTCGAGCAGCGCGTGTCGAACCTGGCGCAGGGCGCGCTGTGCCTCGTGCTCCTGACACGGCCGTTCCTGCACGTCCTCAGCCTCATCCCGCGCGGTGCGTCCGCGCCTCGCGTCGGCTCACCTCGATTCTGACCCCGACTGCGATCTACTCTGATACTCTGATCTTCGCAGGCGTCCTGGCCGGCCTCTTGTGCGTCCGCCGCCCTCCCCTCCTCCGTTCTGACGCCGCGTGCTGAGAATCCAACGCCTCCCGCCCCACGCCCCGCGCCTATGCATCGGCCGCACGCGCAGCTGGTACATGGGCTGCGACGCGCTGCTCGCGAACGGGATCACGCGCAAGCTCGCGCACCTCGCGCGCGACCGCGCCCTCGCGCCGCCCGGCGAGCCGCTGGCGCGCGTGCGCGCGAGCCGCGTCGCGTTGTTCGTCGGCGTGCAGCTCGTCGGGTTCGGCGCTGCGATGGCCATCACGCAGACGATCGGTGCGTGTCTGTCGCCCTCCATCTAACACCTGCGCGCGCGCCCACCGGTGGTGTGGGCGCATGTATGCGCCGCTCCTTCGCCCGCTCGCAAGGCCAGGCCTCGAGGCCTCGATGACGGCGCGGGTCACGCTGCCGGGGACCGCCGGCGAGCGTGGCGCCTTTTCTTCTTCCCGCGTTCGCAAGTTCGTTCGCTCGTTCATGTGCTGATGGCGCGCGTGCAGCCGCGATCGGCTTTCCTGTGGTGATCCTGCTGCTCATCCCCCTCCGGACGCTCGTGGTGCCGCGGATGCCGTTCACGGCGGAGGAGCTCGCGATCCTGGACGGGCCCACCGCGTCCCCGTTCGTGAGTGCCTTTGTCCGTCTGCGTTGGGCAGGCCGGCGCCGCTGATCGAATTTTTTAAACTCTACTCGGTCGATGTCGGTGTCGGGCAGACGATGGAGTCGGTCGGTGGGGCGCGGTGATGGGAGAGAATAAACGCGCGGGCGGGGTCGAGGCCACGTCCCTGTGTGTGTATCATCGTCGCACGACCCTTGCGGGAGCCTGCATGGGAAGATGCAGTAAAATTAGAGCTGGAGAGCATGAGGTCGCGAACCTAGACACCTTCCGCTTTCGGCTGTTCGCGCTCCTCTAATAATTCTTATCTTTTTTTTCTTTCGCCGGCGGATAAGATGGGGTATATAAGGTGTCGCCCTGGCGTGTGCCTCTCGCCGATCGTCTCTCTCGACCCCCTCGTGCCGCTCGTTTCTCCTCCACCGTCGCCGCCAGCCCTAGCCCGTGCTACCGAATCGGGTGCGTGAATCGAACGCGCCAGCGCGCGCACACACGATCTCTCATCATCTCGATGGGCGGCGATCGCTGATCACGATTATCTGATAACTCGCGCGCGCACGCGCCACAGCAGAAAGCGACGAGCCCAAAGTCACATATGTCCGGCGACGCGAACAGCACCGTGCTCGGCGTCCTCGTGCTCGCGAGGCACGGCGACCGCCAGGGATTCTACCAGGACCCGAACACGTACGCCGCCTCGGCGACCAGGATCACCCCGCTCGGCAACGTACGTGCTCGTCCCCGCGCCTGCCTTTTGCGATCGCGCTCACGCAGCTTCCCCTTTCTCCTTCATTCCTCCCACCGCCGCCATCGCTGTCGCCATCGCTGCCATCGCCATCGCCGCCATCGCTGCCACCCTCTGCGCCCCTCGCGCGCGCGCAACAGCAACAGCACGTCCAGCTCGGCGGGCTGCTGCGCGCGCTCTACCTCAACGCCTCGTCCCCATCGAACATCGCGGGCCTGAACGGCACCGCACTCTTCGACCCGACGCAGGTCGCGGTCAGCGCCGACGCGGGCGACGAGGGCGGCGTGATCTACGACTCGGCGGTGTCGCTCACGCAGGGGATGTGGCCCGCGACGAGCGCGTACAACACGACGCTCGCGAATGGGACGACCGTCGTGGGGCCCTTGTCGGGGTATCAGGTGCGTGCGGCCTCGCGGCGTGGCAGGGGTGGCGGTGGTGGGGTGGTTTTGGGAGAGGTGCTGACTGCGTGGTGATGGCTGTTTTGGCGGGGTGTGGATTCAGTACGTTCCTAGTGAGTGGTTTATTGGCTGAGTGCGTTGGGCTTGTCGTTTGATGTTGCATTGCAGTCGCGTCTGTCGAATCCAGCAACGACGTTTCGCTTGAGGGTTTCACTTCATGCGGGGTGAGCGCAGACCAGACACTGTGTAATACCCCGTCTTGGGAGTCTCATCTGGCTCGGCCTCGCAGACCTTCACGAACTACGTCAACGCATTCTACAACTCGTCCGAGTTCGCGCAAAAGACGCAGGAGAGCGCGTCGTTCCTCGGCCAGCTGAAGCCCTACCTCGACGGACGCCCGGTCGTGCTCAAAAACATGGTGCGTCCAGGCTTACTCACAATGTCGCCTCGTACTGATGACCACGTTTACTGTCTGCAGTGGAACGTGCGCCCGAACAGCTGTTGAGCTTGCCAAAAGCTTATTGACGTCGCGCGCGTTAGATCTTCGACTACATGAACGTCCAATCCATCCACAACGCCACGTTCCTCAACGACCTCCCGGGCACGTACCTCGCGCAGGCGCGCGCGCTCGCGAACTGGCACCAGTACAACTCGTTCAGCGCGCCCCAGCTGGACAGCATCGGAAACAGTGCGTCTCTCTTATCGCTCGGGCGCCTGCGCGCGCGTCTGACCCCCCGACGTCACGTTCCTCGAACGCCCCTCGTGCCACCTGTACAGTCGCCGCTCGCACGGCCCTGCCTTCGATGATCACCGGCCTGCAGCGAATCGCCAACGGCTCGGACACGTTGAAGGTTGATATCATCGCTATCTCTTACAAACCCTTCCTCTCGCTCTTTAACATGACCGGCGTCGCCGAGGCGAACCCCAGCCTTGCGGGCATCGGTAAGTCGACCCAACTCGGACCCGCTTGCGGCACGCAGTTCCGCTCATATGACCACTCCCCCCCTCCTCTCCTCCCCCAACCGATACACACGCGGGCCTCTTATGATGGCGCACAACACCGCACCTGCGAACAGTCGACTACGCCGCCGCCGTGGCGCTCGAAGTGCGCCAGGCGTCTTCTGGCGGCGAGCCCGTGCTGCGCTTCAATTTCAAGAACGGGACCGCAGACTCGTTCCACACGTACAATTTGTTCGGCTCCGATGGCGATGTCCCGCTCGCGTCCTTCGTGAGCGCCTTGGCCGTGAGCCCTTCCCTCATTTCCCCCTCCCGTGCCTGAATGTACGCATCGCCTTGCCAACCGCGCTCTCTCCTCCATACTCCTTCTCCGCATCGGCACATCCTTGCACATGACACTCGCTGACCTCCATTGCCGCCGCAGCCCGCTGCGGTGAACACGACGACAGAGTGGTGCAGCGTGTGCGCGAACACGCAGGATCGGGGCTGCGGCGCGCTCGCGCTCGCGGCGGCGCAGGCCAAGACGCACCAAAAGATCAGCCCCGTCGGCGCTGGCTTCCTCGGTGCAGGGCTGACCGTCGCGGTCCTGGCCATGGCTCTCGGGGTGCTGGCCTTCCTTGGGGTTCTCGTCTTTGGCAGGCGGTCCAGGCGGGCGGTCCAGGCGAACTCCAGCGAGAAAAAACAGCAGGTGAGCGCGTCCCGTCGCCGTTTTTTGGGTGATAGGACGCGGTGCCGACGTCGCCTTGATGGATTTTTTTTAGGGGAGCTATGACGGGAGCGCGTGATTCCGTGCCTCCGGAGCGAAGCCATGTAGCGGTAAAGTCCCGAGATGACCTTCTTCTCGATCTGTTCGGTGTATGAGGTGGATGCTGCGCTATGCTGCGTTACGGTATGTACATTGGGTCCTTGAGGACCAACAGGATTGGGCGATTTTGTCTCGCATGCATAGTGGAGTCCCGCGTGATGCGTTCTCGCCAGTCGAGACGACGGAACCAATTTGACTCGAAAGGACAGAAACATTTACTTATCGATCATGCTGTCGAAGCTGCGACCGCTGCCCAATGAAACTGCGGTAGATAGGCATCCGAGGATCGGCAGGCGTGGAAATCTGTTGATTCTTGAACGTTGGAGCAATCCGGGGACCTATGAGTCTTCGGCAACGGAGATTGCCTGCGACCAGAGCTCTTCGACTGCGTGCATGCGTCAAGGTGGGGTGGGGTTTGGCAGCGATCGTTGAAAAGACAACAAGTGGGTTGCTCCCGTTTTATGTGCTAGACCGTTGTTGACGCAATGTCAGTCGACCACATGCGCGCTCTCCCGTTATGGGTTTTTTGACAGCGAAGTCGATTGAGGTCCATATACTATTTGTCGACCTCCATTTGATTCGTCATGTGAGGGTACGTAGTGAACGCTCGAACGATTATTGGCGCTTAGCCTCGCCAAGGGTACGGGGACGGAAGGTGCCAAGCGGCCGTTCCCCCGATGCCTCGCTACACGGAAGTAAGAAATCGACGAGGGTGTAACGCCACGACTTCATCCGCGTTATTCTGCTCAGTGTGCTCTGAATCTTGCACTCAACAGGCACCGCGACTGCGCCGCGCAGGCGCTCCACGGCAGATGTTCACAGCCGTGTATGTATGTATGCGGGACCCCCTTCTTCAGATAACGGAGCACTGCTTCATCAGGTTGGCTCTATCTCGCACGCCGGTGCTTGGATGTTCAATCGGACAGGCCGCCAAACGACCCGAGCTTACGTTGGTGGTTTAAACGACCTGGCACTTATAAGCGGTCTTCGTTGTCCACCCACAATCCTCAGGCTCTTCGTCGCCCCCCTCCCTCAGATCTAGCTGCCACCCTATCATCTACCATGTTATTGAAGGCTCTCGCGCTCGGTGCCCTTGCCACTGCATTCTCTTCTTTTGCAGTCGATGCCACCTGCACCAATCCTTCAGTTCGTAGGGAGTGGAGGAAGATGAGCACCAAGGAGAAATCCGATTGGATCTCGGCCGTCAAGGCAAGTGTCTCGCCAGTGTCTCGCCGACACCGTCTATGTGATCGCTCACTCACCCGTGTCAATCCTATCAGTGTCTCTCTCACTTGCCCCACGACCCAAATCTGACGCCCTCGGTGAACGTATCTCTTTCTCAAATCCAACCCGTCAACGCGTCGGGATCTTACTATGATGGTGATCTCTTTGTTCTTTCGCGCGACCTCCCGCTCACAGAAGGGTCACAGACTTCGTCTACATGCACATGGACTTGAACGTCGTGGTCAGTGCTCTATACCTATCGTGAAACGCTGTGACTCAAGCCAAGTCTCCTTAGATCCATTTTACCGGTCTCTTCCTCCCATGGCACAGGTGGTATGTAGCCGTATACGAGTCGGCGCTCAAAGAACGATGCGGCTACACCGGGTCCTCGCCGTACTGGGACTGGAGCTTAGGTATGTTCTCCGCACTCACCGCGCAGACGCCGAGTATCTGATACTTCCTTCGTCAAGACGCCCCCGACTTCTTCAACTCCGATTTTTGGAAGGACAACGACACCGAGAGCGGCCTGGGAGGCTGGGGCGACCCCGAGAACGACTACCAGGTTCCTAAAGGCGGCTTCAGCGACCTGCACCTCTCGTACCCCATCCCGCATACCCTCCGCCGCAACTTCACGCTGCAACCCTTCCTCCACTCGACGCCGACGAGCTTCTTCGACGAGCCTACCGAGCTGGCCAACACCTCGTTCACAAAATCGGAAGTCTCGAAGCTGGTGAACGGCTTCGTCGGGGATTACAAGGGATTCCAGGCGTACTTCGAGTCGTTCGAGGTCAGTCAGCCCGCCCCGCTCATGCATGATATCTGCTGTCCACTAGGGCACCTGTGTTTCTCCGTCACTATCCATTCCGCCGTATCTAGAATAGATAGCTGACTGCGAGATTCAGGGCGCGCACAGCTCTGTCCACGAGATAATGGGAGGGTGCGTCATCCGTTCCTCCGATACGATACCTTGACTGACTGCGCACTCTCGCTCGTCGCACAGCGACTTAGGTGGCCAATGCCCCAAAAATTCGCCGGCCAACTGCACCGCAGGGCCCACCTGGTCACCCAACGGTACGTCCGGCGCGCGGGTTCCCGCGGAATTTTATGATTTTCATATTGACGCTTGTGGCATGCCTCCCATCAGAGCCGTTGTTCTGGATGCACCATGCTGTGAGCACATCCCCTTCCACGCAGACGAAGGCCATCGGCTGATGCACCCCTGATATATGTAGATGGTCGATAAAGTGTGGTATGACTGGCAGCACAAGAACCGGTCGAACTTCTGGGCTTTCGAAGGAGGCTCTGTCCAGGCGTTCGACAATCGGACATACTACGACGAGTACCCCAACGGTGCAGGGCCTGCCCTGAGCGTGCGTCTCTCCGTTGTCTGATCGTGACACAGCTCACTGAATTGCCACTGGCTAACAGCTGAACTCGACCATGCCCGCTGACGGGTTGTTTGACCAGGTCACTGTCTACGACGTGTTCGATACGACTAGCGGTATGCTGTGCTACGTCTACGATTCGTGATTAGGGTCTTAAATATTTATTTCTATAATACTCCCGAGTGTCGCGTGCAAGCACCTTATTATTTTGAGAGGGAGAGAAGTTCGTGAGTCCGTTCATGGGAAAAGGATGACATCACATTTTCCCTCGTTGCGCTCTGCAGATACTTGGCATCGTGTTTGCCATACGAAATGAGCGCATCGGACTTGCTACGAGACGGTCGCAGCGTTGTTTCGTCGTACCGTATCCATGCGTTGTGGCCTATTTTTCTGACCCTCTTCGATTTTCGTGAAGGATAGCAGTGTGGCTCAATGCGACGAGGGCTGATGGGAAGGTGCGCGAGGAGCTTGTCGTCATTGTGAAGGCTAACCGCTGCGAATATCAAGACCGTGGCTCTCGGCATATGGAAGATCTCAGGAGGAGATTGCCACTATAATTGGATAGAGGTTTGAGTTCATGGCTTGCGCCACTGAACGACGGAGTTGAGCAGTCTGTCGGTTGGCGGATACCTTGCTTGTACAGATTTGAAAAGACAATCAAGTCAAGCTTACAGCGAAGAAAGCACTCGGTTCCACAAGTTTCTAGGATTATCACTAGATCAGGCTGATATATTTGTTATGAGCGAGGCCTTCACCTTGACAGAACCACTTCACAGACGTGGCAGCAGACAAAACATGCATGCAAAACAAAATCCAAAGTCCCAGTGTACGTACGTTGCACCGCGCGGCAGAAGCGCATCACCTCCACTCGTGGTCGTCGTGGTCGTCGTCTCTCGCAAAGTCATCGTCTTCAGAGTGCTCGTGAAACTCGTCTGGTGGTTACACACAACATCAATCCGAACATTAGCAGTAATCCCACAGTTCATCGACTGATACAAGGATCAACTCACCACTAGAGCCCTCGTAGCTATCTTCCTCGGGATAGTCGTTTTTGTAATATTCCTCCGCTGTGTATCGCACCCAACATTCAGAATAAGAACAGAAACAATTCAGATATAAAAGAGAAGCGCACCGTTGGAGTCTTCGTCAGCTTCGTCCTCCTCTTCAGACTCAGAATCAGAGGAATTTGGGTCGGCGAAAGACGCAGGCAGGCCAATTCTAGATAGTGGGTTTCGATGATTGCATGAGAGAATTACGAGAACGGGTTGAGAATGGCCATAGAAAGTGCGCAGACGAAGAATGGAAAACAGGAGCTTACAGCGTTCCGATGTTGGTAACGTTCTCATTTTCGAGCAGTGCTCCAGCACGGTGATAGAACACATCATAGACGTAGTCTGGGTCGTCACTCGGCGCAGACGGTGGAGGCATCTGTACTGGCAGTGCTCGGGACGAAGCGAGGGCTGAGAGTGGCGGAGAAAATGGTGTGATGTCATGAACTGCGAGAAGGCATGAGGAACAAGGATGTCTGACAGCTACATTGAAGAGAAAGCTTACCCTGCAGGTAGTCCTGTAGCAAAGACTGGAACTTTTCCATTTCCTCATCGACCTCGGGTGCGGACGGGACAGGAGGTGCGTCCGAGGCAAGGATAGCGTCATAGAGCTTGAAATCGTCATTGATCTTTTGCTGCTTCTGGCGCTCCAGCTCCTTCGTAGACATCACCTGGGGTCTACATCGATGATCAGCAACGAGGCTGCGACTGCTCAAGCTACAGCGGCGCAGTAGACATACGGTGCGACGGGAAGTCGCGGCAGCACTTGCGGATCCTCCTGGGTGATAACGGTGTACTGTCTAGTAGAATCTGGCCGCGGTCGGGCTTCACTAGCAATTGCGGCCGGGTTGTTCATTCGTTCGCGCGCGAGCGCAGAGATGCGGTCCTACACACCGAAACCACACGTCAAAACCACACGTGAAGGTGCTTTCATTCTGCAGAATGAGAAATAAATGTTTCATTCGTAACTTACCTGCACCTCCTTTGCTCGTCTCTCGTCCCATTCACCTTCCGCTACCGTCTCTGCGAATCGAAACACATCTAGCCCCGGGCGTGACTTCTTGCGTCTGACAGATTCGACAACTGTTTAGAAGATCGAAGCGTGTCGTTGGTATATTCACACCAAGACTTGACGCGAAAGCAATTCACCTAGTGCATCCAAGGGCTCCTCGTTTCGCTTTCTCTTGATGCGTAATATCGTGTAAGGTTGCTGAAGAGTATCGGATTGCATAGAGAGACAATATAAGTCGAAATACCCTTAGATCGAAAGTGTGAATGAACAACAAGAGCTATAGGAGCTATCTAGGTGTTGGTTGGTCAACAAAACGGCCTGGAAAACATAACCTTGGACCTCTCAATGACGTAATTAGTATGCACTCACGTGGCTTTATCGAACCATGTGATAGCGACGCGTACCCTCGCGTACTCGAGTTCTGTACTTTTGGGGCCAGCCCGATGATGCTTCAAAATCCTCACGGCGCAGTGGCATATAACGTTGCTTGCTTCTCCAATTTCCCAAACGTCTTCTTGAACACGAAGAAAGTTCGTCTGAAATACAACGTGTAGGACAAAAGGGTTTGTCGATGGGTGTACACGCGATTATCGCTGGTATTATGAGGTCATGTAAAGTTACCATCAGTTAACCCTATGGAAAAGGCCAACACAGCACAAAGAGCCGAGGCAACGGAATGCACGAGGATGTCGGATGTATAAATAGACACGATGTTGCTGGCCCTCTGTTGTGTTAATATTAATAGAACCTGCATATAACATGCCTGCGACTGAGATCGGCGATATGTCCGCAGAATGCAGAAACAGACGTGGTCGTCCATGTATGCCTAGTCTGACATACCGATGGAAGATGATCTGCGATTCTACCAGGTGAGGGAGAAATGCTGGGGTGCTATGAAGCTCTGCACGGCTGGTGGTAAGCCCTAGATGTTCCTTCCCACAGCCAGGGTGGTGTGTTCTGCTCTGCAGACTGCAGGATGAGGTGGGTCGATGCTTTGCGGTTACGCGCTCCTTTTGCCGCGGAATTTGAACTCGGACTCCTTCTTGACCACTCCCAGTCCCCTCTGTTTCGGAAGGCCACTACAAGCGAGCTTGTACCAATTCGGACTTCTAGCAAAGATCAAGCAAGATCTCTAGAGGATTTGTATGGGCGTCTCATGGAAGTTTTCCGGACAGCAATCCCGAAATTGTGCGCGACCTTCGCCAGAAATGACGAGTCACGGAACAACATACCGTCGTGGCAACACGACCTCAAGACACAACTACCATGGTCCATTCGTCCGATAGAGCGAATACCCTACACATAAATATGCATGTTGTTCGAGCATCTTGGTCCCCCCATCCTTCACGGTTTTCGTTCTGTGTTCTGACTTCACGCACCCGAGCATGGCTACGACTCTCAGCATAGATGGCCCGAGTACGATCTTGCCTACAACTCCCTACACGCCTGTACCAGAGAATATCGACGTTCCCGGCCTAAAGACGGCAAAAGCAGCACTGCCGAGTCCTCTAGAGCCCGTGGTAGTTGATAAGCCCGACATAGAGCATGTGCATGTACAAGACGATCCCAGGAAATGGTCCCCATCACGCAAGGTGAGCATTTTGTACCTATATGCTCCCAAACGTGTCCTCAACTTGTTTCAGGCTGTGATCCTTTCTATAATTGCAGGCGCATCTTTGATTCAAGGCTTGGCCACGAATATCTATAATCGTGAGTTTACTGTGTCAGCCTCATCTGTATCCTCTTTTGAGTCACGTTTCTTTCAGCCGGTATCGAGCTGATAAAGGCTGAGCTCCATGCTACGAGTGGACAGATCTCCCTCAGCCTCGCGTTGTTCATCCTCATCCAAGGCACTGTGCCTCTGCTATGGAGTGTCATCAGCGAAATCAAAGGCAGAAAGGTGTGTAGACGTCTCTTTTATTCTCTTGCACACGGATCCTCATCGCCACATCGCGTCTTTAGATTGTGTATATCACGTCGATTACCATCGCAGTCGTGGGTTGTATAGTTGCAGCTTTAGCTAAGACTATACAGATCCTCATCGGAATGAGGTGTCTTCAAGCGGTCGGGTGGGTCCCGATATCTCTCACTATCTCTTCTTCCTTCATAACACACTCCACATTGCCATTGTTTTCATTTCATTTGTCTTTTCACGCCCGTCACATACTCACACACTTCGTCCATAGGTCAAGTGCAGTGATGGCAATCGGTGCTGCGACGCTAGCCGATATTTACGACCAAGCCGAGCGCGGGACCATGATGGGCATCTACTATGCCGCACCGCTCCTGGGACCCTCCCTTGGGCCTATCCTCGGCGGCGTGCTCACGCAGTTCTTATCCTGGCGTGCGACGTTCTGGTTCTTAGCCATCTTCATGGGCTGCTGCCTCGTCGCCTTTCTGTTCTTCTTCCGCGACACGTTCCGCATGGAGCGGAGCTTGTTGTATCAGACAGTACTGAAAAGCGTCAAGGAACATCAGCACGAGAAGGAGCTTATCGCATCAAGGCGGTCGAGCATGGCGACGCTGCGCTCAGGGAAGAGCATGCCTGCACCTGACCTCGAAGCTGCTGAAGAGCAAAAGGAGAAGGAAGTTGTGACCGCTCCTGCCGCACCGGCCCACGAGGTCAAGCTTTCTCTCAAAGATGTGAATCCATTCCCGCCTCTTGTCCTCATACTGCGGCGATGGAACAACCTTGCTATCCTCTCCGCGTCTGGTAAGCGCTTGATTCACCAATTGCTGCTCCACATCCTTACCGCTCTGTGTAACATCCAGGCTTCATTTCCGGGTTTAGCAACTGCATCTCGTACACCTGTGTACTGACGCTCGAAGAGAAATACAACTACGACGCCTTGAAGACCGGACTTGTCCTCCTCTCATATGGCGTCGGTGCGCAGCGGGTATCCTGAATATCTTCGACGAACCTCTGACGCGTCTACAGGCTGCATCTCCGGCAGCATCCTGGGCGGCCGCTGGTCCGACCACGTCCTCAGAAAACTCAAAGCACAGGGCTTACACACCGTCCCCGAGGTAAGCACCCCTACCCTCCCTCCCCATTCCATCTGTCACCTTAAACACACCTTGCGCACCATGCGCACCCCCGCCTTCCCGCTCTCCTCGCCCATCGCAGATGCGTCTCCAAAGCACGAAAGCTGTCATGCTGTTCCTGCCCCTCCCCGTCATCGCCTACGCCTGGCTCGCCGAAAATCACACGCACATCGCCTCGATCTGCGTCGCGCTCTTCTTCTCCGGCTTTTTCACCATGTACGCACCCTCCTTCTCCGTGCTCCCTTTCCTCCCTCCCCTCTGACCATCCCCGGCCATCCCGGCCATTCCCGTCTTCCACCTCTCCCCGCTCCCGCGCCTTCCCTTCACCCACCTGCCCGTGTGTTATCCGACAGCTGGATCTACTCGAGCACCCTCTCCTACGTCGTAGACGCCAACGTCGGCCGCTCCTCCTCCGCCGTCGCAGCCAACAGCTGCGTGCGCGGCCTCTTCGCTTTCACCTTCGCCGAAGTCGCCGTCCCTCTCCAGGTAAGCCTCCCACTCCTTTCCCCACTCCTTTCCCACTCCTTCCCCTCCCTTCCCCTTCCCTCCCGCCGCCCGCCAAAAACTGACACGCGCCTCCATCACACGCGCGCGGCGTCCACGCAGAACAAGATCGGCGACGGCGGGCTCTACAGCCTCTGGACGGGCCTCCTCATCATCTGTGAGTTGCTCATCCTCCTCGTGTTGTACAAGGGCGGGCACTGGCGCGAACAGGCCGAGGCGCGCGAGGCGAGGAACTCCTGAACCAGCAATGCTTACTTCCTTGGACACGCGCTCCGATCGAATGCCTGACTTGCCTTGTGCGCGCACCGGTGTCCCGCGCATCCTTAATCCTACATTCATATCGTCTTCTGCTTCCTTGATATCTGCATTGCCGACATTCCTAGATAGAGTATGCTGTTATGTTCGCCTGCGACAGCTCTCGCCGGATCTCACATCTATAATATTACACATGCATTGTCCTTTAAGTGCTCCCAGCCGAAAAGCGAAACTGTCACCTTATATCCAGGCTGAGCGGGAGGGACCGGAAGGGATATGCTTAAAAGAATGTGGATTATGAGACGTGTGTAAGGAGGGACAAGATACAGGTAAGCATACAAGAAGGAATTCTGCTACAATCTACTGTTACACGATGGGAGACGAGGCCGAGAGGCCGTACAACACCAATTCTTCTTCCCAAATTTTGCCGTTTACGTCAACGACCGACTTCGCCTCTTCCTCCGCCTTCCCCGTCTTGGCGCGCTCGCGCTTCTTTCATACCTCGGCACCCATGGATCACGAGGACTAGGGCGCGTTTCCAACGCGAGACCTCTCACCATCTAGATCGTACTCCTCACATGTGAATGTGTCCTAAGTCAAGCTTTGGTGTCGGAAGCTTGAGAGAGCTCAGAGTATCCAACTTCTTGTGTTCAGGTGGGGCTGGTGCCGGTGGGGGTACAGGGGTAACTGGAGCGGGAGGGGGAGGAATGGTAGGAGGAGGAGGAGCAGGCGCTACAAGTGCAGCAGGCGATGGAGGTGCAGGGAAAGGGGGTGAGATCGGAGCTGCGGGAGGAGCTGTAGGAGGAACAGCGGGTGGAGGAGGGGGCGGTGGGGCAGCCGCTTCAGCATTGACAGCGTGAGGGGGCGGAGGCGGGTGCGAGGTCGTTTCAGCGTTCACGGCAGGCTCTGGCAGCGGGAAGTGGCGCTTCTCAAGCTCTGGTAGATCGATACCTAAATCTGAATTCGGTAGCGCAAGGCCCATCTCACGACGGAAACCCACACTCCCGAAATCAATATCCGGAGATGGGAGACTAATACCAGATGTATCAATTTGTGAATCTGAAGCTGGTTCTACAGGCGCGGATGCGGCTGAAATTTCGCGAGTATCAAGCTTCGGCATCTGAGTGTCGAGCGAAGGATCAAGTATACCGACGTTTCCTCCATCGCGGCGGAAGTGAATGTGACCTGCGTTGAGCTTGGGCATAGGCAAACCAAGTATTGTAGGCGCCTTGTGCGTCGCGGAAATGCTGGGGGCTGGGGGCGATGCCGCAGCGGCGACCGGAGGAGAAGCAAGTGCAGCGGCAGTAGCTGGTGACGGCGAGGGAGGAGAAACGCTGCCCAGAAGGTTCCGGGCATCAAGCTTCGCAAATTCGACGTCAAGATCGGGATTGGGCAAAGCGATACTCCCGTCCTCGCGAGCAAAGCCAACAAACTGACGGCTGTGAATCCGTCCGCCATCGAGCTTAGGAGTAGGCAGATCAAGAGCTGATGAGCCGCCGCGACGATGTCCCCAGAAATCAGGCGGCATATCCCTAGTTTGCTTCCTACCGTCAGCAGAGTGGCCATCGTAGCCGTGGTAGTCAAAGTCCAATCCGAAAGGATTTGTGATCCCGCTAGTGACATCGTCCTCGCGTTCCTCGAGCAACGAGCGACCGAGAAGACCGGCGAGAGTAGCAACAGGGGAACCATCGGATTGTGGAGTAGAGGAGAACCTGGCAGGTGAACGGCTCCCAAGAATGTTTGTCAGGTCGCCGATAGACGGTTGGTGAGGAGCAGCCGAGAAACCGCGAGGGGAGCGGCCAAGAAGATCAGCCAGATTACCGATGGCGGGGCCCTTGGATCCTGGAGGCGCCTTGGATGGCATGCTAGATCTGAAGTCGGACTTGACAGGAAGAGCGAAGGCAAAGGTGGCAGAGAGCCATATCGCAAGGAAGTGGGCGACGTTAGGGTGAAGCGTCATGGTGTTGTAGGGTATAGAGATGTATGGGATAGAAATGAAGGTGGTGCAACAGTAGAAGGGGCAGTGGGGGGGACAGGACGATGGACGAGGGGAGTTTATATAGCCAAGGGCGAGGCTGGCGGGACGTCGGCCGTGTTTGGCATGAGCTAAATCAGACGCAACACACAACGAAGTCCGAATGTCATCTCATCTCCTTCGCTGGCGTCCGCTTCCGTCTCGCGCGACCAGCTCGTGGTCATTTCAGTCGCACCCGCCTGCACATCTCGGAAGTTCAGAGAGTCGACGATAGGAAAGCACGAAAGCACGGGCGCAGCATAGTGTCGTTGTGATATGTTGCAGGCGACCAAGTAGTATTCGTGTTGGATGAACGCAGTGCGCGCGTCGTCTCGGAAGGAAACAGGGTTTGGCTGAGATGTCCCGATGCCAAGCGCTTACAGGCTGTTGCCGAACAAGGAAACACGCTCCTCGACCTTCTCTGACCAGCCATCTCCACATCACCGGTTTCTTCACTCGGTCGCCGTCCTCCAAGCTCTACTTTGAGCATGGCCGATGCTGGGCAGACCACCCGTTGTCTGATCACAAACGATTCTGGCCCACCGGAAGCAATCTGTGCTACCCATGTATTGTCTGATTCAGAGATCGACGACCCACAGGTGTGTGCTCGTACAAGGCTGCCATTTTCATAATGCTTTTTATATGGACAACGCCTTCGTTTTGAACTGCACCTCATACACCTGAATCTGTCGCGTATCAGATCAAAACGTTTTTGGCCAAATGCGGTGCGCTCAACAGCTCTCAAAACACAATATCATGTGCGTCCATGACGTCGTCGGACGAACAGATTCGTTAGATTGTTATTGATATCTTCACTACCGTCTCAGTGAAGGTCGATTGGAAGGCCACATGGGATGCTGGAAGATGGATCATTGTTCCGACCAAGGACGACATGCTTCGCATATTAGGTGCCATGCTTAATTCAAAACAAAAAATGGGCATCACGCCTTTTGAGAATGTCAGTCATGCCTTTGAGTCTCTCATGCATGTACATAGACAAATATATGCCTTTCATCCAGATCTTCTCATCAGTACATCGACGCATGGTCACTTTCAAGCCTCTCACCCTTGGTAGCCTCGTGTTTCTCCGCTTAGAATACGGCCCCTTGAAGGCAAAGGTTCAAGCTCCACCATATGAACAATTCCCCCCACTGGAATGCAAGGCACACCCGTACTTGATCATGTACAGAGCGTTCTTGACGCTCGACAGGCTCAACGCCTCGGAACAGGGACAGGCTTTGGAGACGTATGCGCTACTCCACACTATCGTCGCGCTCTGGAAAGAGCTATCTGAATTTTCTCAAGAGGCGAGGCACTCACGTCCCGTTGAAGCCAGTCCCTCTAACAAGAGACGCTTAGATGCTTTGACTCAATCGCAGTCTAAAAGACCCAAGGGGCTTCGCGATATTATCTTTACAGTACCAGAGACCGAGTGGACGTAACGGGGTTTCATGCACATGCAATCCTTGTACGACGCTCCCATCTCTCTCCTTGTCCTCTTACCTGAGTAGAGTAGTGATCAATGTACTATAGATCTGATGAGAGGAAAATAGTTTGCTTGCTTTCAGACACGGGAAAGAGCTCTCAGAATTTCTCTAGAGGTTCAACTACCTCCCTCGACATTCAGAAATGGTAATCGCAACCTAGAACTAGTTGCCGCCTTTTGAAGGATCGAGGTCATCCAAAGAGTCGGTCGCTGCCGTCTTGTTTGGTGCACCAAACAAACTCAATTGTAGTATCCGTCAGTCTCTGGGGCATACTCGATATCATCCAGTCTCTTGTCTCCGCTACATGATCCCTATGGCAGTCAATGTGCAGCCCGTACTACGTTGTTTGATCACCAATGAGAGTGTGCCTTCAGAAGCGATTCGCACTGCACATCCACCGCCAAGAAGTGAGGTTGAAGATCCCAAGGTGCGTTCTAGTGTTGCGGGAATTCTGATTTGTCCCGAAAGTGACCGGTAATTTACAGTGCCCAGTCTGAGACCCAAACTTACCGTTTGGAACTTTCTGTAATTTGCAAAACAAAAGTAGCAGGGAATTTCAAGTAAATTACGTGATTTCTGATAATCTACTGTAATTTACCGCCACTTCCGCACCCATATCAGAGCCTTCACCGGTGTATTATCAAGTGGATCACGGAAGCTAACAGCAGTGGCCCATTGCCGTAATCGACGACATTGAGACGGCAGCACACCCAGGCAACCTGAGGCCTTTCCGCCATTGTGCGAACCCGCGAAAATCCAAAGTGACTCAAATATACACTCGGGGCCTTTGAAAATTACAAAAATTACAATAATTTACAGCTGTCAATTATGATTTGAAAATTACAACAGAATTCCCGCAACACTAACGCGCCCATCAAAGCGGTCAGTGATCCTTGTCTCCTGCAAATCTCACCTCTTCCACTCAGACCCTCTCATCTCATGGCACCTTTATCCCTCTGAGCCTTCAAGGATTAACGATCTCTCGAAGTGACAGCTCTGACACGAGCCCACGTCTCTTCCGCCTGTCGTACAGCCAATTTCCCAGTTTGAGATGCAAAGCGCACTCGTATTTTCTCATCTTCAAAGCCTTCTCAACACTCGAAATTTTCGACCAGGTTGATGACGCGGATATGCCTTCCGTGGTTCTAGAAATGTTTGCACTGCTTCACAGTATCGTTACGCTCTGGAAGGAGCTCTCATATTTTCCTATAGCTGAGGATGAGCCACCTGCTCCTACTCCCTCAACCTCTGCGATGAAAAGACCGGCAATGACATTCCCATCCCTGACATTGCCTCTTAAGAACCCGAGGACAAAACTGCGGGTGTCGAATCAAGATTCCTTGTTCTAGAGTTTGAGGGGATGGCGTTGATACTACTCACTTCTCGACCAAGGACTGCTCATCGCGATGGCTCCATATCTTTCGCCGATGTATAAATAGTCGCCTTTGCGTGGATCTTCGGAATCGTAACCGCTGTATATGGTCTCTTCATTCTAACGCTAAGCCCATTGTCTCGCAGGATTCCAGCCCACCTCCCTGCCGAGCATCAATAATGAGCATCCGTCTTTTGCGAGACAGCTTCCGTTGTATATCCCCTCGACATGCATTGAAAGCAATTGATAGCCGACTCACATCTCGTTTCTGATGGACCTGTTCTCTGTGGTTGATATCACAGTCGTCCTATGTATTGGTCAACTAGCCTACTTCCTTGTCCTCTTTCATCTTCCTGTTTCGATCCCAGCCTCTCTTCTGCATACTCAAGAGGGTATACATCCAGTGCAGGTCATAATCCAGACATTTTTGGCGTGGAATCAAGGTTATTGAAGGCAGAAACGAGATCTTTTGGAAGGTTCCCGCCTTCTAGCGCTTTTTTAAGTTTGCGATGTGTCGCATTGAAAACGCATGGCATTAGGCCTGCGCACCAACACCCGTGTTCAGCAGGAAAGCCATACATGCAATTAGAACATAGCAACGAAAACGAAGCCGAGTAGTATACATCATAATTTGCACCTCCCATATCCGATGTTTCTTTTTTGTGTTCATGCATCGATGACGCTGGAATCAGGCAACGACACTACACTCGACCTCGTTCCCAATGGCACATCCCATCCCACAGTCGAATCCTCCTCCAGCTGACCTAACTTCATCCGATCTGGCATTTTGCTCTTCCCGATCATGCTTCTCAAACTCCTCTGTGTAAGGCCCAAAGTGGGCCGAGAATGCGAGGCTCCGGATGACGCGCTTGCGTCTGTTGCGCGATTTGTTTTTTGCGGCTTGTGCAGGAGGAGGAGCTCCGGACGCGTGGTCAAAAGCAGGGTGACGTTCAATGCACCGGAAAGGCTGAAGAGTACGCTGGCAAGGAAGGAGAGAGAGGTTGGCGTGTCCTTGCCCCGTGTCTCCAGCCCGAAGTTGATCCAGCGAATGACGGATGTCGGCCCCACGATAATGGCATACACGAGTGGGTATCTGTGTGACCAATAAGCGACCCTACACGTGCGGAACGTCGTCCACTCACGCAAGCATGGCCATGGCGCGACGTTGTGAACCATCCGAGTCCTCCACTCGAACCTTTCTGTGCAACCGGAACTTCCACCATATTTTGGGGTCGACCGACAGGTTGCCCCTGCTCCACAGCGAGAGCGGTATGTAGACGAGTGCCGAAGTGACCAGAGCCAGCCACAACCAGAGATATTCCCCCGCGATGCGGTCGTCCAAAAACTTGCCACCAATCCAGCACCAGAACTACCGCGATAGCCCTTGTCAACTACGCTGGTTTGATGACGCGAAATCACGGCTCACCGGCGTCGGCGTGTCATAAAGATCGCCATTGCGCTTGTGGATGCCGACATTGATGCCGACAAAGATGATCACAAAGGCCCAGATACATCCCACGACGATGAAAGCCCAGAGACGCGAATGAGTGCCTTTTCGCCACATAACAGCAACAAATGTGTGTACTGCAATGACCTAGGCATGACCAGAACAAAAAACACCTACCATCAGACAAGATAGCTAGAGAAGTACTCTTAGCGAGACTCACGAACGTCGCAATCGCCACCCCAGTCTCGCCAATTTGCGATATGGCACCTTTTACTCGCCGTCTTCAACCGCGATGGAAGACATCTGCGACGGGGCAAACATACCTTGCGATGTACAGAAATTCCCTGTGTATAGCTTTCCTTCGTGGATCCATTTGATGGCCAAGACCAATGGCGCGGCTTGCAACAAATCAGAGCACAGCAATGATAGCTGGGCCAAGTCACATCAAAAAAAATCGAACCCCATTCAGAGCAAAGCGTACCATGAGAATATCCATCGGCTGCTTAAGCAGCCGCCAGTTTCCTGTAGGATCGTTTACTAAATGTCGACGATAGTTTCTCTGCATCAAACGGAGTTCGTCAAGCCTAGCTAAATTGATTCTCCAGTGCGGATCACAGGATGAATGCGGAGACGCACAATGATAAGCGCGAAGATCGACACCACCGCCAACATAGACACCGAGGCCGCTTCGACGATCAGCTAAGTACGGCACGTCATAAACACACAGCAAGCGTGAAGTGAGCTTATAGCCTGAAGGACAGCGCGAGGCAAAGCGGGACATGAAAAGGGACAAACCACGACGCCGAAGCTCTGCCCGCGGGTCAAACAGGTGATCGGCGGATACGGATTCTCGGCCGACTTGAGGGAGAGCGCGTATTCCTCGGCAGTGCACACTACACCAGGAGGGACCGTGACGATCGACATGACGGAGGGCGTCGTACAGTGACAATAGGAGCTTGGATAAGAGGAAGACACGAATGGTGGACCATCAACATGGAGGAGATTGCGCCCACGCGGAGCGGAGGCCCATATATATGCTTGTGGGCGCCTGAGTATGGCATAGATGTTCACTTGTCATATTCCGAGGACATCAGGACCCTTGGCGCTTGCGCATCTGTGCCATCCATCGGGTCATCGATATCTCTCGTCCTTCTGCCCTATCTTGACGTACCCTACTCCACAAGTATTCCTTTGGCGCTCTTGCATCTTTGTGTATATGACAAGCGCGGCAGCATAGTCGAACTGACATTCGGCCAACAGTCATGGGTTATTGCATCAAGCAAACCTTGAAGAAATTTACGCGCCGTAAATTACTATGATTGGGAACCCAGCACATATTCCAATCTGTACTGACCTGTACTCCCACAAAGCACTTCTGAGCAGCGATTCCCCACTCACTCACCACCAAGCCTCTTCTGAAGATCGTGATGGTGATTACCATGTTGGTTCCCTCGGTGACAGCAACAAGTTCATGGCGGAACGTGTCGTGATGCATCGTGATGCGGGTTCCCATAAGGGTTAGCGCAGGAAGGGTCAGCCCGAGAAAAAGCCCTCGCATTGAAAAGCTTGAGAGATTAATCACCGCGTGTATATGTGTAGGAAAGTTCTCACACACTGTCTATATTGTCGATGGTAATACGTACCCAGGAAGGCCTGCATTTGGCTTGCGCATACTCACGATCGAGTCATCATATGTTATGGACCTCTTCGAGAACGCGTCTCCCAGAATCGGTTGCGCAGGCGTTCCAGGGAGCTCGAAGAACGCGAGGGCTATTCGATGCTCGATCAGGTGTATGCAAAGAGCAGTACCGTCTGCCCTACATTTTCTTCATGCACCAAGTGTCCAGTAGCAAAACACGTCAACCAAAGTGGTTTCGGCCTCGAGGCGATGCTAGACTAATCCCGCGATAATGCTTAAGACGGAACGAGGACAATACCTTGGCTATCTAGATGTAATACAGATGGTGAGCAAAGCACTGATGGACGATATTTTGGCCTCACCTTGTTCATACCCGCGTGCCACAAGCAGCCTGCATCACAGATCCTCCCCACATACATTATATGGTATAGTCTCATCATTAATAACGTATGAAGTGTATCTGATATCGGGACAGGGCGTAGCATCAGTACCAAACCATGCCAGCAGAATTGGGAACCAGGCGTTGACATGCAAGCGCACAGAGGCACGCTCACGCGCATGTAGAGCGGGCATGCCAAAAACGCAAATCAAGCACGCACCTCTCGATCAATCAACATCATAGGCACCGAGGTATGATTATGCTAGCAATACGAACTCCAGCTCTTCCAGCGCGAGCCCTTCGCACTATCATCCGATCGATGAACGCCGCGCGTCGTACCCACCTACACCCGCCGTCCAACAGCTCAACACCCTCAACCCTGCTTCACATTCAGGACACCCACGAAAACTGCAACGACGATCGCGCACACTGCGAGAGCGTGGAACGCGACGGAGAGGCGCGCAGCGGGGAACAGCCCACGCATGAGAGCAGATTGGACGCGAAAGTAACGCGCCGTGCCTGAAAGTGTGGGTGCATATACGAGTTTCATTCATGGTGAGTTCGATATGCTAACTCAGCACCGGAGGAGAGAAGGTGTAGCTATTTGAGGGCATGGATGTGCGAGGACGCAAGCGGGAAGTATGAGAGGCAAAGGGTTTGATGAAACGCACCGACGATGAGGAGCACCATGCCGATAAGGATCACGGTCGCGCCCAGCGAGCGCGCAAAGCGCACCATCTTCGCCGCAGACGAGGTGGACGAGGCACTAGCGCCTGAATTCGACATCATGAGAGTGAATAGCTGCACGAGTGCTGCGCAATCCCAACACATTTTCACAACGACGAGATGCAAGCGGTAAGTTGTGATTTTTTCCTGCAGAGGATATGGACGCACCAACACCGGCGCTGGCGAATGCGAGGCTGGTCCGGACATACGCGAGGAAGGTACGTTCTGACGCGAGGTGATCCCGCGCGACGCTTCCCGTATTCTCGAGTACGAGTACGGGAGTGAAAAGCCATTCAAGGAGACGCGGGCGCGTTATGTCCTGGTGGGATGCTGTTGAGTGAGACGCTGTTGATTCTGGGGCTAGGCGAGGAAAGTGCGGTGAGGAGGACATCGAAGAGCAAATTAAAGACGCGTACTATGATTGCTGATACTCTCGCCTTGGCTTTCCCTCTTCTTGCTCCCGCTCCTTCCTGTCGACTGCCTCCGCACCGGTGGTGAAAACGTCTCGCTGTTGACCGATGTATCCTCCACCTCTCTACTTCCCCCTTGCTCGACGCTCCGATTGCCCTCTATGATGCCCATCTGTCTCATGAAACTCGGCTTCAAGCTCTCACTATCCACATCCAGCGCTACATCCAGTTCTGCCAATCTTGCCGAGTCTGCAGAGGCCCTTTCCTTCATCCGTGAAGTTCCTATGCCTGTCTGGGTCGAGGTGGGGCGACTCAATTGTGATGTGGAGGCGTGGGCTTCCGAGCGCAAACCAGAACCATGCGTGTCTGGTATCAGATTGAGAACAGAAGAGGAAGAGTCCGGAGAGCGCGACAGGATATTGCTAGAGGCAGGGCACCGTGTCATCTCTATCCGGAATCCGAATAGCGAATGTCAGCAAAATTTATGTTTTGAGCTTTTGTGGGATCGACGCTGTACCCCACAGTCCCCTGTTCCCTTGATGAGGAGAGTGGAAGGCAGCAGAAGGCAGCCTGCTACTTGCGTCGTGGAAAAGTAAAATAGAGAACGGGGGAGAGAAGCATCGAACAGCTCCCTTCATCGCTTAGCAAAATCCTATCTTGAGCGTGTTCCGACCTTGCTTACTCGACATGTGGTATCATCGAAGGCGGCATACGCATTATATATTGTGAGGTACATCAACAAGATAGGGGACGAGATAAAATACATGCGGACGGCACAGTAGCTTTATTGTAGTAGTATGAAGGGTAATTAGAGATAAAACCTGATAATACACGGCATGGGAATAACGGTGACTGGGCAAAGTGATACAACATTTTTGACACTGGTCGTGAAAAGGTGCGGACAGAATCGTGAATATGAATAGCGGCCGAACGAAAGGGGACGGGGCTTCAGATCCTCAAGTGTGTATATCCTCTGCGTGTTTGAACAAGATAGAAGGCAAGATAGAAGGGGCCGTGAATGAGGATGTCGTGTGTTGGAACATAGACGGATGTGTGGGAAAGTCGAGAATTTTTTTGTGTATGTGTGATGCGTGTCGTCAAAGTCAAGCTCAGCAATCCCCAATGACGAACTGCCTCGGGGAGTTGTCCAGTTCGCGCGACGACACCGGAGTTGCCCCCGTCTTCGTCTCAGCCTCCGTAGCTGACGCCCACATGGAGTTGCCCATGATGGGCGTCGTGCGGCCAGAAATCAGCACGGGACTGCCGACGATGTCGACGTCCTCGTCGTTCGAGTTGCTAGAGTCTGACGTCATATCCGACTGAGGATAGCTGGACACAGTTGAAACCGAGTTTTCGCTCTCGACCGTGCTGACCTGGAAGACACAGCTCCCATCAGTTCATTTGCAAATGAGGGGAAGATCGCGAAGGTCAAAAGAACAAAAGAACTCGAGAGGAGATACTCACCGTAGAGCGCCTGCGCTCCTCGCGCCGCTGTCGAGTCGATAGGGGTATCTCGGTCAGCGCGACTGCTTCCTGTTTCGGAGACGGCGGGGGTACTAGAGGGGTATTGAAAAGGACCATGATAGTGGATAATAGAGACTCGGAGAATGTGGGCATAGCCTGAGGCTTAGGGGTGTTTGTCTGGGACGCCATAATAGTCGAGATGTCGCGCGTACAGACAACTGATAGTCGAGAGAAAGAGTTATAAGAATAAAATGATCCAATACTTCACCTAACAGATGAAGGTCGAGAAGGATGCAGAGAGCGAGCAGGACAGCTCCGAGGATGAAGCAAGAGCCAGCTAGACTCCAAAATCACGCTATGACCTGCTATGACCCAGACGGTCGGATGCAACACTAGTGATGACGTCTACATTGAGTATATCTTCCGGGGGACCGCCGATCCGCGATTGGGGTCTCTTGTATGAGTTAGATTCGGACTGTTTGGTGTGCATGGAGTCATATATCATCCTGAAGGAGTGCGAGGAACCTTCCAAGTTGTTTGCGTCTTGAAGAAAGAGGCACTGTATATTTTTCGTAGTTACCTAGAGCTTATCATTTCACGAATATATGGCACGTGAACAGCATGTACCTCCAGCGTTGCTCGGCATGAGTCGCCTAACGTCAGTCGGAAACAGCCGAGGCTGGACTCCTGCCAAAGCGTCAAAATATACACAGAACAACCGTCTTCTGTGTAAAGGTTACCCACGGAGACTGTTCACTTACCATGCCAGGTTGCCGACGGCTACGCTACGACTGAAAAGTAATAAAAGACAGGATAATCATCCAAGTGGACATATCCGGAATTGAACCGGACACCTCTCGCACACGATATACATGCTAAGCGAGCGTGATAAACCAACTACACCATATGCCCTATGATTACCGGCTCGCTTGCATTGTATATGAAGCCTTGGCAAATTGCTCGATTCACCACTCTCGCGGCTTCGACGATCAGGGGAAAGACATCTGGGCTCCAACTATGTTGCGGTACAGTCGACGACGAGGCTTGGCCTACTGCAGTGCCAACCATTGTGTTGACGACGACAACGGCAAGGACACAAGACATTCGCACGAAGGAGCCTCGATTTCACATGTTTGCAGCTTACAATCTTTGGGGGGGAAATGGCAGACTAATGGTCACAATGGGACCATGAATTGTACAGTGTGTGCGTATATCCATCAGCTGGAATTTGACGAAAGAAAGGAAAATGTCACATCATAAGAGAATTGATATGAAAAGATAAGTAGAAGCGCCGTCCATCCAAAGAGCCCAGCTCTGCAACTTCACGCAATCCTACACTCGTGGATGAGTCATGTTCTTGGCATTATACAAACCTTCCGGAGGTCTACAGAAGTCAGGGTAATGCTATTAAGCGGGGATATGAAAAGGAAAGTGAATCCAACGAACCGAATGCCTAGCGGTTTTGGCTTGAACGCTGTCGACATATGTGTCGAGTTTGTCGATGAAGGCGACTGGTCGCAATCAATGGTGTGCATTGATGTGTCTCCGCATGTTGTGAAGTCCATCGTAGGCTGAGGGATCAAATTAGAAACGAGACTAAGTTCCGGTGCGAGGAATAAACATGCATGTGAGATGTGGAACTGCATGCGTCCGTGGCTCTCATCATCCATAATAACCGACTTCTCAGCAGACCCATTCGGCCTAAGTGGTCCTCGGCTGTTCAGGCTACGTTCGAAAATCGAGTTGAGCTCTTGAAGGGACACGAAGTAGTCAAGTCGAGAGCTCACGATGCAAGAAGCGAATTTGAATACACTATCAACAGCAGTGAGCAGTGTTCTCTGCGGTGAAACAGGGAGACAAACATTTAGGATAGAAAGCAGAGAGCATCAAGTAGAATACTAGACGCGGTAACCATGTTTTAGATTTACAATACCCTACCGAACGGAAACACTCACAGCTGTCTGGGAATACGAGGGACTGTAGAATGATGAATGAGTACTCCTAAGATGGTATAAAAAAGGAATGACTCACAAACGTCAACATGACTGTGGCGGCAGCACTGAAGTGATAGGGGTTACGAGAACGATGCTTGCTTTGAATGTCCCAACAAACCTTGTGATCAGACCAGTCTCTGGAAAGAAATGCGTTGCCATTGTCAATGGGGTACTCATAAAAACAATTCTCAGATCGTGCTCACCGACTGTCCACATTATAAGCCTCGAGATAAGTTTGTCGGTTCTGTTCCACCCGTCAGCATCATGCATTTAGACAATAAGTTACTCGCACCCACGTCTTCATCCCGGTCCGATACGTATGCAGATAATAGCATAGCGCACTCGTATTCACCACATCAATGAACACGTCGAGCGCCAGCGTCGTCATCGGCACCCATCTAAATCTCTCGTTGACGATAGCAGGCCCGTAGATCTGCAGCAGAACAGCTGTTGTCAATGAGCCGCAGAACTCCAGACACGAGCCAGTCCACGAGATCATGCTGATTGCTCGCCAATTCGCAAGGACCAGGACGCGATATGCATAGTATCCCTTGTCAGGAGTTGCGATGATCAGCGAGACAAGTCAAGAGACAGGAGAGTGCTTACCTGGACAAGGCCCGTGATGATGCCGTGTATGATCAAAGAGACATTGAGAGTCCAAATTCTCCGGTCCAGAGATGTGTAGTCGCCGTAATATGTTACAGTTATTTCGTATAACATGATCATGAATAAGATTGAATGGACGGTCTCGAGTAGCCTGGTAGCAGAGCCTCGAGTCTCAGGTGAATGGGACATAAAACAGTGTCAAATGGCTGACCATATGGTGAAAACCTGAGAATCGAGCATTATCAATAGCCAACTCCCGAAGACAAATTAGAAACCTCACTCACCAGCAATTTCATATATCTTGAATCCTTGAACCCAGCTCTCGAATATACGAGCACCTGACAGCATGTCACGGCGTACAAAAACGTGGATATAAGTGTGGAAACGACAAGGCCTCGGAGGGCGAGCGTGGATGGCATGAGCGGAGGGTAGGAAGAGAAGGTGGATGAAAAAGTATCGTAGAGTGTTCAGATCGGCCATGGCGGAGATCGTGGACTTACCCCGCGGGAGCTGTTTTGCTTCGGCATGACGCCACGACTGCCGATCATGGCTGCCGTTTCTTGCCGCAAGCCCTTCCGAACCCCTATATGGACGGTGGGACTGATTGTACTCCTATTCTGGCTAATTTAGCAGCGATCGTCTCTTTTCTGAGGGAGAGAAAACCTGCCTTATAAAAGGACTCACGTCGAGTCAGGCGATAGGTCGAATATGAAAATTTGAGAAAATCTCTTCAGGTGATCCTGAAGTAATACAGCACGCCATTGCCTCCTTTCGTGGCTCAATGTGAAGTTGGACGAGACTTGGTATTGGGAAAAAGGGATCGGTAAAAAAGGATATTACCGCCAAGGAACATGCCGAGCCTTAGAACAGAGTCGCTGGACAAATCTAAATCAGACCCCTGTAGAAGGTTATCACAACAGTCAGAAAACCACAATCAAAGAGTCGTTGGTGAGAAACAACGACATATACGTACAATCACCTGTACAATGTTGCATACAGTATTCAAGCCTCTCGAATCAACCTCTCGGCCTTCTGATCTCTGGGACTAAAGGAGCACCTAAATGGTAACGCATGACTGGGGTTCATCAATAAAGATATGGCTCACGTTTCATCACGAGTAAGTAAAAAACGACCTACCTGACAAGACCGTCGGTATACTCAACATGAATTGGGATGTCTAACCCTGCACCATCCTTCGCCCTCTTGATATTGTATATTGCTAACGTGTGTGCAACCATGAACCATAATGTCGCACTGGCAAGATGTTGTCCGATACAAACGCTATAATTTCAATATATAGGGAATTATTAGAAGGCGGCGTTCTGTATTCGCCTCGCGCAACATACCGTCTGTCAAATCCAAATCCAGCTTGCACATTGTCATCGTTGAGTGTATCGTCATCCGTCATAAATCGTTCTGGTTTGAATGACTCTGGATCAGGATACTTGACAGGATCATGTAGGATGGCCCTAAGAGTAGCATTTCACTATTTGCACCCCCGAATGGAGCATCGTCGCCGCTATCGGACGCACCATGTATTCATGATTATGTGAGTCCCTGGATACGCGAGGATAATAAGGCAAAAACTTCAGTCGATTTATACCTGATCGTACCTTTCGGTATACCACATCCTTTGTAAACATCGTCGTCGTAAGTTGAGTGTGCTACACCAAGTGGTGTGACTGGTTTCCACCTGGAAATTTCGCGGCAAACTGCTCCAACGTAAGGAAGTGGATCTCCAAAATCTGGAAGACGCTCGCGACCAACAACAGTGTCGATCTCGTTTTGAGCTCGATATTGCACGTCAAGGTGCAGGACGAGTGCCAGAATCGCAGTGATCAACGTTGACACTGTCTGGGAAACGCAATGGTGACATTACATGAAAAGGCTTGTAAACAAGCGAAAGAGGGCTTGAACAAACTGTATCTGCGCCAGCTATGTTGAACAGTTCAGTGCGTGTAAAGTGGTTGGGCTATCCTTGGCTTGCCGGCATATATGATCGCTCCGACGTCCACGATAGCCTCCTCGTCGGCCTCACCCGCCTCAAGCAATGTCGCCACTATCGAAGGATGGACCGCTGAGCCATCGATCTTGAATTGTAGAGTTAACGAGATTGACACAAATCCCTCACATTGACAGCTTACCATGCTACATTTTACTGCCTCAAACGGCCTTTGTCTCATCTCTCGCGTCAGGGGGGCGCACTTCTCTGCATATGCTTTGAAACCAGCTCCCGGGAGCCATCCCGGCAAGTGCCTCACTGTGTAATGTAGGCCGAATTTCGCATCGTCAAGACCAATTGATAATCACGGCACGCACAGATTGGTAGCGCGTTGACGAGCTTTGCGCCCGGGAATACTAATCCAGACAGCATACCAACTGCTTGCTCTGCGATGTCTATGTACCGATCTTCTGAGTGAGATACATCATGCGCGTAAGCCACCGACATGACAATGGATGACGCGTAACTATATGACAATCGAACCAAACGTATCAGTGACTATCTCTTGCTGGCCAAGAAGAGAGCAGAGAGCAGATAACAGAGAATAACATGCTCACTATCGCAAATGAGCTATAAAATTCTCCGGCGTCAGGCACAATAGCCTCATCAGCTCCCCTGAATATTTCTTCTGCATTGGATGGTATTGTATAGCAGCCCTAGAATGCAGAAACTGATGAAGCATCTTTCGCCTCGTACGCCACGCGCTTGAATAAGGCATCAAGCCAGTGTTGAAGTCCCACTCCATTCTATTCGATGAATCAATACCAGCGAACGGCGCAAATCAAGATGGTCGAAAAAGTAGTCATGAACGCACAAGTCAATCATGGGCATTCGTGGTGGGTCAGAGTAGATGGTTGAACGGCGCTGAAACATTTCATTTTCAGCTTCGATAGTGTTAACGACGACAGTCATCTGTCCAAACGCATGAACAGACACGATGCCACCTGGAAAAAAGAGTTATCAGCCCTCGCATAGGAAAAATTCTACAGAGGATCGTGTTCTCACTCTTATACTGGCGCGCCCACTTGGCATAGGTCTCCAATGATTTACGTGGCGAAATGAAAAGTATGTTACCGAGGAGAGGGAGAGGCCTAGGACCAGGCGGAATGGCCGGGAGACAAGGGCGGCGTGAAATGGATAGATATGCACATAAGCAAGCAATTACGAGAAAGAGAGCTGGAATCTGGACTGTCTCCAACATGCTTCTGATTGACAGCTCTGGAAAGACTACAAAAATCGAGGGAGCGAGATGGTATCAGTCTCGTTTATATATGTGGATTCCGTGTGCTATCGAATCATCATGGAATCCACACAGATTGTCCACTCTAGGTAACTTGTATATTGCTAGAAATAGGGAAAGACATATTGGGCATATGCGAGTCTTACGAGCTTTATCAAGGCAGCTGACTTCATGCCCGACAACTGTGATGGAGCTGAAAGGGGCCCTCAATTGCCTTGGAGAGATTTTGCTCGCTCGTAAGCGATCTTACGACTTGTCATAGTCTGTCATGGGCTGAGTTCCGAAGATCAATAAAGACACCCTGTCAGAAGATAACTCGAGGAACAACGGGATACCGCATTTTCCATGACATACAAAAGTGGAACGCCGTTGATGTATGAGTGTAGACAGGGCGAGTGCGTTGATGCGCGAGCAGATTGCAGGTTGTTCTGCGTTGGGTGGACTGATATACAAATTGGGAACTTACTTCGTCAAGAATGTCATCGTAGGCAAGACTCAACCCTCCATGATCCCTTCCCCCTCAGTTGTTCATTATTCGGGGCGAATGAACCTGAGAACTAGGGACCGTGGCCTAAGATTAGTACGAGCCTCGTGTCCCCGGGAGGCTCAGCGTGGGTGTTTGGGAGTTTCTTCCAGTGTAGCGGGTTCTTTCAGAAAGATAACGAATGCATAGAGCGGATTGAGCGGATGTAAGCCAGTTTCTGAGGTCGATGTGTGGGTATGGTTTATTGTGGTGCAATTCAAGGAAATCGATAAACTGTATATCTCCAGGAACTGCAGAGAAGACTTTTTTCCCACGTCTTTCCCACAGACACATGCATGTACTCGTACACGTGTACAGTATGCCTTGTAGACCGCTCTTGGACTCGAATCGCTTACTTTCAATATCGCATTGCTTTAGAGCATGGCCCTCTTGAGTATTTCAGTGTAGCACCTAGGTAAGGTCATCGGTGAATCTCACCCATGATACATCTGCTCACCGCCTAGCAGGACTGCTGAGGTTCGAGCGCCAGCTTTCAATCACCTGGTGAATATATCCTTCTCTCTATCTCCCACGAGCGATACTTCTTATAGAGCAATTAAGGCTTGAGCTAAGCTTGAGTCCCCAAGGTTCTGAGATTACAACAATGCGAGTATCTGCAGGCTGCTCCGGCAAGAGAAGGCTTCAAATTCCCATCGCGTCTTACAAACGGTCCTCTGAGTTACGCCAAGCCATCTTCCCCGGACCCTCTCTTTCACACCGCTGAACACTGGACGGCTCTACAGCTGCGATTCGCTCTGCCGCACTCATCAACTAACTCTCGCATACCCAACTTGGTTCCGAGTTCCGCGTGCTTGTTTTTGGAATTCCCGTCCGTGGCAAGTAAATGAATTCGTCGTTGACAACAGTCAGCACTCAGCTAACGGCTATTCCCACTCTCCAATTGCCGATTGGGGCCGGTCCGCCTGATTCTCTCGCAACCAAGAGCTTCGCAGCGTATGTACTTCCGAACGGATCTCGGAAGTCGTATATATAAGACTCTCGTGGAGACATCTGAAGGCATTCGAAATCCCCGGTATTGAGGACATGATGAAGCCCATTTTCGTCCTATCAGTCGTCATCGTGCAGGTCTTCGCTACCAGTCGTGGTGACACGAGTCTGAGTGCAGTGAAGGGCGCATTTGATGCTGCAAACGTATGAGACTTGGACAGTAAATATGTTTCAAGCTACACTGATCTCCACGTATGTCATAGATACCGTCGAATGCGAGCCTGACTTTCAATCCAAGTGTGCTCTTGGAAGTGACATTCCCGGAAACGAACAGTCCTGTCATCCATTTGCATGCAGGAATTCAACTGCCCCGCAACAGTAAGGAAATTCTATTCAGCCTGTCTTTTCCCGGTATTTTGAATACACTACAGAGACTGCGGGACCCCCGACGTTTGGCATTCACCCTCACGGTAGCCTCGAGATACCTACAGGTCGATTCGTCGTAGCCATGGTCGACCTAGATGCACCGACACCGCAGAACCCTACGAGTGCACAAATTCGCCACTTCCTGGGTGGCGACTTCTCGCTGGGACCTGTGGGCCTAGATGGAATTGCGCCATTGACCAACTCCACTCCGGCATTGTCGCACTTTTTGCAACCCACTCCGCCTGCTGGTTCCGATCCACACCGGTCTGTTGACACACTGAACATAATATCTTCTTCAGCTAACGGCATCGCCTTCTGGGCAGATACGTTTTCTTGCTGTTTCATCAGCCAGCGACGTTCGATCAACAAAATTTTTTGAATTCGTCGACACCTATCAGCCTCTTCAACATCAGTCTGTTCGCTGATGAAGTTGGGTTGGGACATCCGTTGGGTGGCACGTTCATGCGTGTGGGACCAGATCCATCAGCCTCCGATGTCTAAAAGAGTGCCTGCGTATCCCGGGCCTCGGTGACATGATCTTTCAGCGTTGACTCTTTTATTACAAAATCACATAGCCAGAGGCGCACGCGAAAGGGACCTCGTTGACAATTTTTAAAGACGAGTCCCCTTGCGCAAGACACAACAGCATGTATTGAATTTTGAAAGCTTGTCGTTGATGAGTGTTATGACCACTGTAACGCGTGTATATGAATTGACGGACTCAGCTAGATAGATCAAAGAGGTCATGAAAAACAGGACAACAGTCATGAGGACGTCCGTGCTGGAGTAAACAGGGGGACGTCGTACATCAAGTAGTCGACAGATTGGAACAGAGCAGTAAACAATTTACGAGAATCTTCCGCACCAAACTCACCGCCAGTCATGGCTTTAGAAAGCGACTTCAGTTTTGAATCAATTTTGGGTACCTGGTTTTTGTTACAGACTAATATGTAACAGAGGGCAGATGGAGACTCACGTCCGACAGTACGGTTTGAAACATCATGCCACATTCTCGAACATCCTCGAGAAATGGACCACTTCGTATCGATATATCTCCATTGAGTTTTTGAGCTTGCGCGAAGTTGACGCGGTGATAGCGAACGCGAAAGCGCGTGCGATCAAAATTTTGTGGCAAAGAATGGCCGATATCCATCATAAAGCCACGAGGATCGTTGTAGCCAAGGTGTGTTATCTTGTGTTTGTGAAGGAACGATAGACCCTACTTGTGGCATTAAGTGCTGCCGTTATTTGGAACATACATAGAAAATACCTCCAGAGTTTGCCGAATAAAATCAATGACATTCGCAATATTTTGAAAAGGTGGTTGGTCGTACTCTGACAAACGTTCAAAGCAAAGTATATGATTTCCGTCTCGTTCGGTCTTGTAGAGTACTCGTGGAGCGGGATTCCACGGATCCTGATGTATCTCATTGGAGGTGAGATATTGGACAATGAGGTACTCTGGGCTAGTCGTAGGGATCCTCCTCAGGGTAAGGGAGTAACTTAAATGATCAGGGTTGTTTATCGGAGAACTAATAAACGGCTGGGTACGAAGATCAAAACAATTGAGATGTATAAGATCTACGAGAGCCACTCACCAAATCCCGACCATCTTCAGTCGGACATTGCTTTATGTATTCGTCGATCACGGCCTCGAAGTCGCTATAGGAACGTCAGCGCTCTCAGCGTGAGATGAGCCTGATTAACATAACGGACACATGGTGGAAAGTCGATGTGGACGAGGAGTCGGACTGAGGGCGAGACATCTGGTGATACGCATCGTGATCGTATTCTGACGACAAATCCTCGGTCGATATATCCCAGGACTCTACGGGCACCATCCGTTGCAATGGATATCCAAATGTCGAAGAATCCTGGTCCGCGGAGGCGACGTCATCAGGCTCTGAAAACCTGTTCATGCCCTCCGAGGTATTCAGATTTGAACTTGAAGCAGTGGGAGATGTTGCGATGTCTTCTTCAAGAAATACTCTGGACATGGCTATGGGGAGGGGAAAAAGAGAGGGATTGATCTCGTCGAGAGGAGTCGCCTGAAAAATCACGACATCATGGCAGACAAATAGTTGTGCCAATTAGGTTGTCTTGTCGATCGCTCGGAAGATACGCTCCTATCATGATGCCTCTTTCAGTATAATGGTTCTGTGAAGTGTCCTACCGCGAGGTTTCAAGCACACTGGGTCTGTGAGCAGTAGAGCACTCAAGGTCGAGCCTATTATCGAACACGGAGGACAATCCTGAATGCATGTCGAAAGTTCTTGTCGGTAGACACAGGACTTGCTCGAGGCATCTGACGCAGTCATTCCAGAAGTTCTCGGCGTTACGTGACCGTGAGTGAAACATACCGTTTCGAGCGGCGCACACTGCATTTGGAGTACATTTGGCCAACATTTTCACCAGGCTGGTCAGCCAGTCGCATACCTCGCGAAATCCAACCATGTCATCATCGACAACCATAACACCAGAGACATTCAATGGATACAACGAACGTCTCCAAGCGGCGGCTTTGAAGGCTACCAAAAACGCAGCGGGCTTACCTTCGGACCTCGCTTTTCACCGTTCGATCGACAGAAGAATTGCTACTGAACTGGATGCGTGCTCTGGACGCCTTTCTTTCATCGCGAACAGGCTTCTTGCGTTGGCTTCGAAAACCGATGATGTCCAGAGCCTGAAGGGGAAGGGGAAAGCGAAACTCGAAGACCAGGACGACTATGTAGATCGGTTTGAGTCCATCATTGTGGAGGCTATGGATCAGCTTTTGGAGCATGCTGTGAGTAATGTCCATTTTTATTGCGGTGAAAGCTATTCACTCTGCGCTAGGATATCTGCCTAGACAAATTCAGTGGAAGAACGAAAGCTCCTGCCATCGCAGTCAATGGATCTTCACTGCCTTCACAGCAGAAGCCCAAAAAATCGGTACCTTCTGGGAGATTGGACCCTGTAATTCAGCACGCCTTTTATCTCCCCAAACCGCAGCTCAGGTTCAGGCGGAAAATTGAAAACACGAACGGGACGCAATGGAATTCATCACTGCGACACAAATTCAACGCGCAGGTTCCACTTGGATACAACTTCCAACCCAATGGCGACGATCTTGAAGCCTTGCAGTAAGTTGCTTCTGCACACTTTGAGCCTCTCCCATGACTTTTAATCTTTAGACTTCCACATCCATACCGCTACGAAATCACACACCTGTCCTACCCCGCGTGTATGTTCCAACCTCAACCTCCAATCTCCCCGCGGTCATTCTCTGAGACACCATTTACTTGGGTTTCATCACTGACCGACTTCACCACAATGCTTGGAAAACTCAAAAACGCGAGAGAAATTGCTATTGATCTCGAGCACCACAGCTTTCGGACATATAGTGGTTTTGTATGTTTGATGCAAATCAGTACGAGAGAGGAAGATTGGGTTGTAGATACCCTAGAGTTGAGAGAGGAGATGGAAGAGTTGAACGAAGTCTTTACAGACCCTAATATTATCAAAGTACGTGCGTGGTATACTAGACTCGCTGAGAATAAAACAGATCAATCATTCCTTAGGTTTTCCACGGAGCTGAGAGTGACATCGTTTGGCTACAACAAGATTTCAATCTGTATATCGTAAATATGTTCGATACTTTCCACGCGTCGAAGGTCCTAGATTTTCCGAGGCACGGCCTCGCTTCTCTCCTTGAGATGTATTGTGACTTCACACCTGATAAGCGATATCAGTTGGCCGACTGGCGCATCAGGTATGTATGTTTCATCTTTGTATATCAGACGACGAGCTAATGAATTCTTCGCTTAGACCTCTCCCAGAGGAGATGCTTGCATATGCTCGGTCAGACACCCATTTCCTGCTGTACATCTACGATAATCTTCGAAACGCACTCCTCGACCGTGCACTTTCACGAGAGCAATCGCGTGCTCAGTCTCCTTCGGCAGCGAACACCGTGGCATCTCGGCCTCCCTCGGTAGAGTTGACTGAGTCCCTTGTTCGCGAAGTTCTTTCACGCTCAGCTGAGACTGCTCTTCGGGTGTATGAGAAAGAATTTTATGATGAGGATGGCGGCACCGGTTCAAGTGGATGGGATACGATGGCACGTAAATGGAACAAGGTGGCTTTATCAGCGGATGGACCTAACGGAATGAGAAAAGAGGTTTACAAAGCGGTGCATGCATGGAGAGACAAGACTGCGAGGGAGGAAGACGAGAGTTGGAGGTAAGTGTCTTAGTGTTCTTACTCTTTCAATCCGCGTCTTCTCATCTATGTTGTTCGGACAGATATGTTTTGTCCAACCATTATCTATTCCAGCTTGCTGACCGACCACCTGCGGATATGGCTGCCTTGCTGGCTAGTTTCCAGTCTCTTCCTCCACTTATTCGAAAGCGATCCAAGGAGCTCCTCGATACGATCAGGGCCGCTGTCAAGCGTGGTCTCGGAGATCAGCAAACACTGGTAGCTCCTACTGGATTGCAGGATAATACATTAAATGTGTCGCCCGCGGAAGAGTCATCATCGAGCCATCTTGACACGACCCCAGCACCCAGGTTATGGGCCCAGAATACAGTACTACCACTGGCGGCAGCCACATCCACGCTCTTTGACCTTTCTCGGTCGAATGGTCCGATAGCAGCTTTCTCCAATCATTATTCAACAGCTCGAAGCTCCCTACTGGGCGACAGTGCGTCGTCAACATCAGCCATCGTGCCGTCTCGCGCCACGCGGGCGGGGTTTCAAAGCATTCTCAAGAAGATTCATACTTCATTGGTCATTGTGCCTGCTCTACCTGATGTGCGCAGATCCCCAGATATGATGTTTCCAAATTGTTCATACGCTTATGTTTTAGATCATTGGCAGTGGTGCTCGCGTTCCAACAAGCTCAGAGGCGACTCCTAAAGATATTGGCGTTACCTCATCTCCAGTGCTAGGTGACTTGCAAGGAGCCGCCGAAGAGATTGCATTTACCCCTGCCTCTCAACGGCAAGCTGTACAACCAGCAGTGGATGACTCCATCGTTGTCGTAGGCCAAAGACAGAAGAAACGCAAGCGCACAAAGAAGCTTGATACGGATGAGTCTCCTATGCCAGATAGGACGGACAAAGAAACCAAAAAGACGCAGGTAGAAGACGGAATGATAGAGGTATTCGATTATGCAACTGCGCCCAATATCCTCGACAATGAGCCAGAGGCGAAGATTGATCGGAAAATGCAGAGGAAGAAACAAAAGACCAAAGGTATGGTTCAAATATTGTCGGCCATTTCATTTGTTCACCAAGGTCATCAGGAGGCGTGCTGGAGTACGGTAACTTCCCTGCACCACCAAGGGATAGGAGTCAGGTTAAGAGCGGAAATACATCTCGCACGTTCAAATGAGCCAGCATTCCAATATCTCACATTTGTTTCTGGGACAGAATCATATATCGGTCTAATCCACACAGTCATATATCTATAGGCACCGTAGCCAGTATTAGCCTTGCAGCGTGCTCACTTCGAGGCTGAATGGGGCAACGGAAGGGCAAGGGATGGCTATCGCCGATTGGCAACGGCATCCTAGAGCGCGGTAACAGTATTGGCAAGATCACGGCAGGACAAGTAGTCGCGAATGATCTTGAAACCAGAACGTCAAAGACAGATTTCATATCTTCCGTACCGTCGTCTTTCACTCGCATGGCAGCCAATGACTCTGACGAAGCTGAACAGGCACCTTCTCAGTACAGTGAATTCGTCGTACCAAGAACTACTATCTTGGTACTCAAAAAAGGTGAACGTGAATTATCTGTCCTGATCGATGATTCGCAGTCGTATAAAAAAAGACTGCAGCAAAGGCAAGTGGGATCCTTTTGACGTGCATGACCACGACAATCACAGTGCACCAGAAGTGAGTGTCTATCTACGTCTCGAAAGCCGTCCACATCCGCAGGTGCTGATGAGGATGGAGGGCTCGATCAAACAGCCGAATGTGCCAATGCCGTCTGGCTGCAATGCGACCGGAATCCACGATCTCAAGAACAAAACCTTCTCATCTTTATGATGGGCAAAGCTTCGGACATTTTGAGCAATCGGTTTCATTATGCACTTTCAACTCGAGTGTCCGGACACACATATCTCTCAATCATGATTACACAACATACATCGCTTAGAGCCCTTGGATCAATTTCTCAGCCTTCTTGTCCCTAGGACGTATGCAACACTCGAAGGGCAATGGATGACTGAAGGATATTGTACAGCGGCGCGTCAGCTTGAACAAACTTACGGCTTCGGGAAGGCAAGACACTCACCTGATTGAACCATTGGTATAATCAACTCGGATTGGGATTTCGTGTCCTGTTGCATCCTTCGCCGGCTCGATATCGAACAACGCCAGTGTGCATGCGACCATTATCCAGATGGAGGCTCTGGCGAGGTATTGTCCCGAGTACACCCTGACGATAGGAAAGAACAGTCTGTCTGCCTTCACGTCACCACCTTGAATCGTACTTACCGTCTGCCAAATCCGAATGCGGCTTGCACATCATCGTCGTTCAAGGTTCCGTCGTCTTTAAAAAACCGTTCCGGCTTGAACGAATCCGGATCTGGATATTTCACGGGATTGTGTAACATAGCCCTGAAGTAGCAGCATCAATTCTTGCCGAAGCGGAAGCTAGGTAATCGACTCACCACGAGTTGAAGAATATCACTGTCCCTAGAATTGCCGCGGTAGATTAAGACGCATGTGAGGAGTTCAGTCTGCCATACCTTTCGGAATATTCCAGCCTCGGTATACATCATCTCTATAGGCGCAACGCACTCCGCCTAGAGGTGTAACAACGCCCCAACGCGAGGCCTCTCGACACAGAGCCTCAATGTAAGGAAGTGAATCTTCAAAATCTGGAAGACGCTCGCGACCGACGACGCTGTCGATCTCGGCTTGCGCACGACGCTGCACCTCAGGGTGCAGGACGAGTGCAAGAATTGCAAAGTTGATTGATGACACTGTCTAGAAAGCATGGGTATCAGTGTTGATATCAGTAGTGATAACTACAAGACAGACCGTGTCTGTTCCGCCTACACAGAGTAGATAGCTTGTCACAATCACCCTTGGCGTAAACGGCGTTATCGACTTACCGGCGTATGCCAGTGCTGCGGCATCCATGATAGCTACCGCCTCAGTTTCATCGCCTCCCTTTGCCTCATCTCCAACAAGCTCGCTGTCATTGAGGGGAGAGCTGTGCCATCAACCTTCAAACAGACAGTATGGGTTTATTAATCAGATAGCAATACATTCATGATACCTCACCATGCTCCGTTTCACAGCCTCGAACGGGACGTGTCTCATTTTTCGTGTCAACATAATACACTCCTCCGCATGAGTCTTGAATCCCGCGCCCGGGAACCATTTCGGAAGATGCCTCACTGCGATTTCGTATCTTCAAGAAGAGTACAATCAAGGACAGAGAGGATCACGCACATATTGGAAGCGCGTTGACCACTGCTGCGCCCGGAAACATAGCGCCGGACAATTTCTCAAATGCTCTCTCGGCGATATCGACATACCGATCTCCCGACTCAGCTATATCGTGTGCATAAGCGATTGACATTACAATGGACCCTGAGAAACTAGTCGATACCCAATCCCAAGGCATCAGCGTTTGATCACGGCATGCCCACAAAATACATTGCAATGCTCACTATTTCACATGATCCGCGAAGCTTTCAGGGCTCGTGTTTAGCAGCTTCATGAGCTTGACTGCGCTCTTTTTCTGCAGCGGACGATATTGCGTGGCGGCCCCAGAATGGAGAAATTGGTGAAGCATCTTGCGCCTCATGCGCCATCCGTCTGAGTAGGGCATTAAGGCAATGTTGAAGTCCCACTCCATTCTGAAAAAGGATATGGATGCATATATATGCAGGAAAAGGATTCTGAACGCACAAGTATACCATAGGTATCCGAGGGCGGTCAGAGTAAATTCCCGAGCGACGCTCGAACATCTCTTTAGCCGCCTCGATAGTGTTGACGACAAGGGTTAGGTGGCCGAGTGCCTGAACAGACACTATGTCGGCTATGCACACACATTAGGGGGATACGATGTCAGTGCGTCAAGTAGCAACAAAAGACATGATCAGAGGAAGAATAAGAACTCACTCTTATACTTGTGAGCCCATAAGGCATATGTTTCCCATGGTCTGTGTGTTGGTATAGAGAGGATGTTTCCGAGAAGAGGCAGGGGCTTAGGGCCAGGCGGGATCGAGAGGCGAGGATTATAGAACATGTATAAGTATAAACAGAGACAGATGAGCGGCACAAGCAGAATTGGAAAGTCGACCGTCTCCAGCATGTTTCTAACAAGGAAGATTCGCAAAGAGTACGCAAATTCAGGATCAATAAGGGACGTCAGTTGATCGATTGAGTGGAAGTCCACTGTGGGGATGTTGAGGGAAGTACTCGTATAAGTAGGCTTTTCTCCACGCGAGCGTTCTGCTGAAGCCAAAGGAATCCACGTCTATTCTTGAAAAGTATATGTCAATTACTCTGTAGGTCATCAAGATGTGTCGACATACTCCACATCTGACCACGCGCAAACCTTCCATTGAAGCCGAAACGGCACCGTACTATGTTTGCAGATCCGGAATCCTAATGTGTCGGAGAAATAGCATCGAAATGACGTACTGAAGCTAAAAGGTTTGAACATAGACCCGCAATCACCCCACGCGGCGAGGGAGGAGAACAGGTGCTCTCCAATTTGGGTCGCCATCTACTTGAAGCAGGCTGACATGAGAAAACAAGAGGACCGTGCCACCTCGCGTCGCAACGATGTCAAAAGGGTGTCGTAGACGGTGTCCCATTCTCGAAGAGTATACAGAGAACATACAGAACATACAGAACGTCGCTCATATGAGAACAAGGCACAAACGCACCTCCCTTGGTTGCCCTTTCTCGATGATCGTCAAGTCCTAGACGATGTCTATGCCCATTGAAAGTTCACTGTGAGCTTCGACATGCCCTGCGACATTGCATGCAATCGAGCGATCAAGCCCCGCTCAGCAAAGGTCAGACCAGTATCTGCGGTGGTTATATATCCTATATGAGGGAGCGGGTAAGACCAGGTAAGACCTTACGCTCCTCGTTGGGATATTGTGCGGCAGCGCCATGGGGCTTCGCCGGACACGGAGTATGGGTGTATGCCAAGGGGGAAGACCGAATCCGGTGGCCCATGTTCGAAAACTTGGCCCACGTCAGCCATTGGGCAACAAGCGCCGTCGTGCCTTCATGCAACGACATATATACATGCGGGAAAGACCAGCCTCCGTGAGGTCTCGCACAAGACAGGAATTTCCTAGATATAGACAAAGGGAGGTATCATGAGAACGAGCTGGACATACCTTTGGTGCCAGTGCCGGTGCCAGTGCCGGTCCCAAGCTGCGACAAAAAGCCGGCTTAACGAATTTCAGGCCGGTCGAGGTGAGTCCACCGGACATTGCCTCGAATATCCCCTGGGGATATCCGTGGTATATTAGGAATATACCACAAATATACCACAAATATCCCCAGACCTCCCCTTGGTACATTCGTGGTATATCCGAGGTATAGTCACAAAATCCCTTGAATATCACTAGGGGATATTTGAGGCAGGGTATATTCTCGGTATATTATTGGTTTATTAGAGCTCAATATTGGCCATTTATCCCTTTTGAAAGTGCTATATAATTATACATAAAATACATTTAAATATTAGTAAAATACAATAAAGCCATTGGAGGCTACATGAAGATCCCACAGGTGAAAGGATCCACAAAACAACCCATCCAAAAAACATCAGGCATGAATCCCTAATAAAAGTTGAATACACATAAAGATCCATGATAGTGCTCATGTGAACAGGGTGCCCCACTGCCCTTACCCCATTTTTTCCTCATCCCATAGCTCAAAACACAGTTATCTATTAGTACCAAGGGCCACAACCCAGCAAGAAAGAAGAGAACATACTGGGAAGACTGAGGAACCTTCTGTCATTGCCCCACAGACACTCAACAATCCACTCTCTATCCCATAAACTGAGTTCCACCATTACTGCATTATGTCAAATAACCCACCAATTCACAGACAGCGGGGATGCATCAGCATGGCGCTTTGGCGATAGGGAAGCCTGCCTCTTGAAAAAAGGACCTGTTCAAGACACCGCTCCCGAAAAAAGGTCAGTGAAAAGCCTATGGCTACAAGACTGATGAACTCACTGAAAATGGTACATTGGACATGATGCCCTCACCAGGGCAAGCATTGGGTGTTGCAGCAGCAACAACACCACCAACAACAACAACATCAGATGTTGCTGCTGCTTCAAATGCTGCTGCTGATGTTGCTGATGTTGCTGATGTTGCTGATGTTGCCGCAGTACCCAATCCAAGGCATGCACTGCAAAAGGTGCGCCTGATCATCAAGGATTCCAGTGCTATTGCACCAGACCTGCCTCCGTCGATGCCCACTCCCCCAATGCACATTCCTGCTCCAAACCTTCTGATTATTACACAGATGCACCCGACACCCACTTTACTTTCCATTCTTGCTGCTCACACAGCATCAACTACGCACGCACTCATTCACTCACAGCCACTTGATCTCCCTCATTCTTACCATGGGACATTGACACATGACCATGCACCCACACCAAAATCAGCATCCTTGGGGCTATCAATGATCAAACTTCGAGCTCTGACCATCTGCGAGGACGTGGAGTCATTTTCGGATGAGCGGGTCCTCATCTAAGGCAGGGGGGAGGGGGGAGTCCGATTCTAGTATACCCGGACCAGATTCTGGGGCATCATTGAAGAGTACATTGCTTGTCTCAAAAAGTAGATCCTTGTTGATGTCAAGCCAGTCTTCCAAGCTCTCTTTGTCATCAGATTCTGGAGGGGTTTCCCTAGGGCTATTGGAGACACCATCAGGATTGAAGTCATCAGCTGTGTGACCACCCAGTACAGAGCTCAAGCAAGAGAGAGTCCCAAGAGATTTGTTGTCTGAGCTGTGAGCAGCGCTGTTGTCATTGTCATTGTTGTGTTTTGACAAGGAGGTCGGGCTTCTCAAGGTCATTACTAGTATGGAAAGCAGAGCACTGGCATTCAACAAATTGTTGGATGTATACATAGTGTTTTTTTTTGGCCTCATCTTGAGAAATAACAGTCAGACATCAGAAAGGGGAACAGAAGGTTGAAGGGGACACATTTGGAGAATAAAAAAACTTACCAAGGCCTGTCCATGCATTATTTTGGTGTGAGTATTGCTCATCAAGGTCATTCCTTGTGTTCTGTTGTCTGGTATTGGCTGTTTGCCCTCAAGGTTGGGTTGCATGTGTCCTCCTCTTCATTGCCATAGAAAGGGAAGCTATCCAAATATCTGTTTGTTAGTGCTCGAGGTGTCGATGGATGGTGCAATGGTGCTGGTGGAGGTGGAGAGGTTACATGCAATAGGAAGTTGACAGAAGGAGGTCGACTTGAAAGAAATTTTGACGATACGCACACATCACATGGCCATAGAAGTGGATGAGTCATCTCCCAACGTGTTCTTGACCAAGGGATATTAGAGGTATATTCCCTGGCAGGGATATTTGTGGTATATTGCTAATATACCACAGATATCCCCTGGGGATTATTAGGGACAATGTGCGGTGGTCTGCATGACATTGTGAGCACAAGTACTATCGCTCCACCGGAGTTGCAAACAATCCCTTGTTTCCTTCGTAGCAGCCTCATTTTAGTGTTTCCACCCTCTGGATTTTGCACATACCTACCTTAACTTCTGTGGATGTAGCCTATTGTTTTTTTGTATTTTGATGTCAAGACAATGAGATGCTGAGGCACAAATAAAAAGTAGTTTCTGAAAGCAGGCAAAAACAGGGAGTTGCAAAATTTCTGACCATCAGGTCACATGCTATTACACTTCAAAATTGAACTCCGACAGCTGGAGCTTCAAGCTTTAAGATCGGCGGAGCTTCAATAATCATGACCAATCATTACGTGGCCCAAGCTTCCTGGCACTCCATCCGCCCCTAGTCATCACTTGTTGCAAATATTTTGGTATAGCTTGTGAGATCTCTCAAATACAGCTCAAAATGGCTTGAATATCATCCAAAGATCCTGGTTAATGTGAATATTTTTATTCATCAGTAGTAAAAAGCCAGGATCTGAAAGGTCTTGGGCATCTATTAGAGGATTTCCCCTCCAGACTCATATCTCAGCATTTTCACACTCTTGCACACATTTTTCTTTCTCAACAAAAATCATACACATGGGTATTTCCTAAGAGAATACCAGTGAATATTTTTGAAGCATGTGGTTGTACATTGTGCTCAACAGCCTGAATATGAACCTCCAGTCCTATTTGCAACTCTGGTGGAGTGATAGTATAGAGTCGGAGTGCTCATCTCCTCTAAAACACCTGTGATGTCTTTGTGCGACACACTGTTGGCCAATACCTATCATAATATGCAATATTCAGCAATCACAATATCAGACATTGAAGTTATTGACCTTACCTCTTCTCAACCAAAAGCCTTCCTCAATGTCCACATTCTTGTTCCCCTGGAATTTCTCAGTCTTCTCCTAGACCATCAGCTCTCAATTGCCGATTTTCTCAATATGGATCTTCCTTTGCAGTCTTCAGCACTCATTCTCAAAAAGGCCTCATTGTCATTCAGTTGATTACTGCCCAAATATCCTATTGCACACAACATCATGAACTACACTATTCCCCCTACCAAATGGCTTGCCAAGCTGGACATCTAATCAAAAAAAGAGGCTGTGAGGGGCTTATGCTCCTTTGAAAACCCCTTTTTGGATGGTTTGCTTCACCTGCTATGGATGATCATGTTCTGGAAGAGGGTAGCTGCTGTTCAGTACAGTAGAGATCTATGGCAGCAATCAGATGTGTGGCTCATGAAGTGCACTTATAACATCAACGCAAAGACCCAGAAGGAAGCGTCAATGGCCCGGACTTTGATGTCATCACTAGCATGGGGTGTCTAGCTAAGGGTATATAAAGCTTTAACCAGGATGGATACCCTGTCTACTTTGCTATTGGATAGATGGCTTAGTGATGATATTATCAATATACTTGTGTTTGACTTACACAGACGTGTACAGTCTGACCTCGTTCAGGCCAAGACTGTGATGTGTGCACTGGTGCATTTCTACATGAAGCTTGAGGTGCTGTTAGTGCTAGGAAATTACAGTCAGTCAAAGATGCTCTTTTAGTATGAGAAAGAGATCAGGGAAAACCCCTAGTGAAGATACCTTTTTTTACCTGTCTTTGTAAATGGTAACCACTGGGTCCCGGTGCGTATTGACTTTCAGAGACATTGTATCGGATATGGTGAGTAATGTGTTATGCTTGATATTACCATCAATACTGATATTGTACTTAGGGGATTCAATGATGAACCTACAGTTACTTAAGAAAGTTGTCCAGATCTTAAAGTTATGGCTCTGACATGCCTTTAAGACTTTGTTTTGTGATGCTAGGAATTTTTAGCTCATGGTATCTAGGAAGATACTCATTTCTGTGGTATCTGCATTAAGCATAACATGTTCAGCATGGAGCTGTATACTCATACTACTCATCGCATTTGGCACCTTTAGTACTTTAATTGCCTGGCAAAGGCTCATAATGATTATTTAGTAGGTGCTATAGTCGCTATGTCTTCAGTGGTGCACTGATGATGTCGACTCCTAGAATGTGCAGCCAATGAAATGCTATTTTTTGCATGATCCTGTAGATTTGTTAGATGACAACAAGACACAACTAAATATGGACTTATAAGATATGCCATTGAATAGGGTCAATATGCTTCCATCCATATCTACTGCAAAGGACCCCTCATCTAGCACCATGAACCCACCATCGATTCCTGCAGACACAATCAGCAAATAGCACAAGAGGGCCGAGTCACAGCTACTTACCCAGACAGAAACAAAGTGGATAAAGAATGTTCAAGAGATAGATCAGGGTACACCTTGCACTATCAAAGTGACATATCAGCCAACACTGACCGCGACCAAAAGGTCAGATATCAGCATATGCATTGGAATTAACCGCTTAGCAATGGCCAGCAAGAAACTCAAAGCTGCCATGCTGGAAGGGATATTTTCTGTGAATCAGAAAAAGCTAGCCAGGTTCAAATGAGGGTTCGGCTTATGACTCTATGGCCCAATTCCACATTGAGGACTTGCACTAGGAGGTCTTCCATTTACACTGTGAAAAGTGGGTGAAGATCACTGAGGCTTACCTGGCCTCCAGATTTGTGCAGCATGTTCTTTGCTGTAAGACATAGGAGACAACATAAGCAATGACACTGGATTCATGGTTTAAGCTAGTGAAGTCCACCATCAAATTCCAACCAGTGCTGTAGATTTTGTAAAACAAAGTCCACTCAAAGCCAGAGAGCACTCGTCTAGATGGAATTGTCATGCATCCTTATAATAGAATTACCATTGACATCTGGCCTGAAGTTGCTAAACTAATCAAGTGTGGCATCAAGAGTGGAGGAGGATAGAATGTCTTCAATATCTCTCAAGACTTGCTTGGTTTAGAGTTCCATGATCTCATGCCCACAGAGAAGGATGAGGTTTGGTGCCTGAAAACAATGTCCCACACCTGGAAGTGCGATCCTATCCTTAAGACCATTACCATCGTAAAATGTGAGAAAGCTCTCTCTCTCTTTTGACTTCACAGGACCCGTTATTTGCATGTAAGGCATGCAAATTGATTTGAAGAATGCCCTGCTTCATAAGGTCCCTCTCCCTAAGAATGCTAAATACTTGCATCTGGGAAATCACTCTCTTGTATTATGCTCTAATTATCCCCTCCTTATATGCATAATTAAGAATGATTAGGATTAGAGATTATTTGCTTACCCCCCCTAAACCTGTTCTAATTAGACATAATTTTCCTAAATTAGGAATTATTAGGATTGATTATAGCTTGAAATTTTGGAAAAATAATAATAAATCAAGCATCATAGTTCTCATAGCCTTTCTATAGAGCCATGTTTATTAGAACACTAGTTAAATACCTAAACACAGAATATACCTTATAATAAACTTGTCTTTTGCCAGAGTTAAACCAACAACCTCATATATACAAGCACCTGGGACAAATGCTCTAAGCCACTAAGCCACAAGGTCTAATATATAAACTTGGTAATCTAAATAAGTAGACATAATATAGGCAATCTCAACATCTCTGATTTTATTCAACATTTATCTTTCCTCTATCTTATAAATAAATAGGTCAATAAATACCTAAAAGTCAGGTCTTTCAGGATTTAGTTTAAACACCAGCTAAGAAGATCATAAACCAATGGAAAATAAATAATACACTTTATATAGGGTAAAAACAAATTATGGCACTAACATAATTTGGATTTAGAATGTGTAAAACTATAATTGAGTATAATATTCAATGGGACTCTACTAGTATAGACAATGCTACCTTAATTTGCAAATTTGATCAAAAACATGATTATGAATAATTAGCCATAATTAGCTCAAATTAGTATTATTAATAATTATCAATAATTCAGATCCAATAAGAGAGAGGGGCTTTCCAAATAGCCACTAGTGAGGTGGAGGGTGAGGACAAGGGTATATATATGGCATGCCTATATATAAATAAGCACAAGATTGTTAGAGATGATCTTAATATGCTTAGTGCACATATTTTCTATATAGCAGGCAAATATATCATTCTGGCACCATATACCAACATGACTGTCTTTTCCATAGCCCAATAGCTAAAGGAACACACCAAGTTTGAGCATCTTCTATATAATAAGGCAATAAACAATATAGATAGTGCTAAAAATTGTAATATCAATAGTGATGATGATTGTATGCTGCACAAGACAGTATTGACCACTGTAATAATAGACAAGGTCTACAAGGCTGCATGTAGCATATCCCTAAGCCCAACCCATATGTTGTGTCCTGTAATAACCAGTAGCAGGCATTGGCTAGCAATAACAACTTTAATGATCTTGTGTGCAAGGCCAAGGTACCAAGGTCTTTATAGCCTCTTGTGGCAGCTGCCAAGCTGCCAACAAAGTGGCTAGGGGTATCAATGCACATTTCTCTCTTTCTATGTCCTTTTTAAAGGCAGCTAGAAAGTCAGCAAAAGAGCTAAAAGATAATGGTGCAGGCATATATAAAGGAGAGTAATGTGCTAAAATAGTATAGAATGTGCCATATCTTTACCTTTTCACTGATAGAGTAGTAGTACTTACTATTTTCTACTGCTAATAAAGACTTCTTGGTATAGAATTAGTGCTAATATCATGAAATTAGAATCCAATCCAATGCTCACAATGTGTTGCTCCTAATTAGGAAATTAGATACTTTTAGATGCTATTAACACTTTTAGATACTTTTAGACACTATTAGATATAATCCAGAGCTAATACAAAGGAGTGGTTTTCCAGATAAAAAGGAACCCAGATGCAAAATTTTCATTATCTGCCAGTACTCGATGAGCTTGCCCATGTCACATTCACAACAAGCCCTAAGGTCTACAAGCTCCTCTGAAATCACATACCACTTCGTGCCCCTTGAAGCATCTAGTAAGTTCTAACAAAATTTCCATATCCTCGCACTGATTTGTGTGAGCCTAGGATGCAACGTGCAGCTTTGCCCTATTTTCCTATCAAGCCTGGTGATGAAACCTTCAATAGAGTGTACAATTACATTATGAAGGATCTCAATTATAGTGGGCCACTTGGCCTTAGTTGCAATAATACAAAGCTGCTTAGTATGCTGTGCATATACTTGGATGTGCAAGCTGAGTGCTTCTTCTTGGTTGGCCATACTGGTGAGCTGATCCCTATTGCTGACACTGCTGAACTTGAAGCATTGCTAAAGTCCAAAATGCTGGAAAAAGTGACCAAGGTGAGTTCGAGAAACCAAAAGGCTTGATACAATGATTGATAAATCTTTCACAGGTCCATGTCTGGTATGTTCAAATACTGATGCCCAAAGCTAGCTTGATTGTCACATATGTCACAGCCATACCAAATTCTCTCTCTGCCAAAAACCTTCAAATTTACTCAGACAGAATCATTTGTGGTCTTGTGTATTGTGGCCTCAAAATCATCACATATGCCTATGATGGTATGGAGACCAAGCACAAGATACAATGTTGCTTGATTAGAGACTCGCCTTCCCATGTTACATATACTATTACACACTCTGTCTTAGCTCTTCACCTTCAGGCAATATCTGTCATCATTGCAACAAAGGAGGGCCAGCCAATTATTATGATACAGGATTCCAAGCATGCTCTCAAAACCATGTGCAACAATAATTTCTCAGAAGTGAAGGTTCTCACATTGGGGAAGTACACTGCAAAGTACTTGGATGCACGTGATGCAGCATTTGGCCCAGAAATTCCCCCACTATACCCCCGCAATATCAAAAACCTCGACTGTTAGAATAACAACATAGCATGTTGTTTATTCTCAGCATCATCCCTTGAGTATTTGTCAACCCACTTCCCTGACCATATAGGTGAGATCATCTATCTCTTCATATTTGGAGAGCTGATAAATGCCTACCAGAATCATAGCATCAGTCATATCACTCACATCAAGATGGTCTTGTATATGAGTTATTTTGTGGACATCTGGAGCTTATTTATTGACCAGGTCAGATATGTCAAATCCAAGCATTTCATCTCCTATGAGGCCACCAATATTATCTGCATCATTATTGAGGGGCTCCTTGGCCTCATCTTTGTTTATAGAGATCACATGGGCGATGAACACTACCTTCTGCTTTCCTAGATGCATTCCAGCGAAGTCTGCAAGCATGTATTTATGGAGTGCCGGAAACTAGTCAAGGATTTTGCATTTACAGACCTGATACACATGATGCCCCATCTACATGTAAGTATCTGAGCTGCAGTCCTCTTTGATGTCATGACAGACCTAAAAGCCCATATGGCCAGCTACACTCATACTTACTTCGACTCTCATGGGATCAATCTTGGACTCCTAGCATGCTTCCCTCTGGATGGGGAGATCAAGTCAATCGCTCAAGATGCCTGGGAGGAAGCTACAAATCTGTTCAGTATCCTCAAGGTCTTACTGTCTAACTTCCTTTTGGCTTCCACTTCCCATCCAACCCTTCTAAGTATCGATTCATGGTAAGCACTAGGATTGGATCCAGTGGTGGACACCAACTTGAGCAATGTTAATGTCTCCGATGATGAAAGAGAAGAGAGTGATAGTGACATGGGTGATGCTGATAAACTGGATGAGTTGGTCAAAGCATTACCTGATTCAGGCATCTGTAGGCATGCAGTAGACAAGTGTTTGTTTAACTTAGAGTGCACTGCCGTTGCTGTGAACCTAGAAGACCTGGTTCATTTGTAAGTTATCTTAATTTGGTTTCTATTGCTCAGTATCAGTGATCTCAAGATACTCATCTTTCTATCTAGACGAGAGTATTCCCAGGAGCTTTTACTAGAAAAATATGAGGCAAACCTTGAGAAAGACCACCTTCATCTTTTAGCAGCACTCCAGATCACACAGCTCCCTCCCATTGACGTATCTTCCAAACCTTGTCATGCATTCAATTTCCATTATTCCTCAGTCGACAACCTTGATTTTACCACAATGATTGACATTCAACAAGCATATCAGACATGTTGTGTGGCTTAGAGTGTCCACAAGAATGCTGTCTTAGAGGTGCCATCCTCTGGCAGTGAGAAAGTGGCCCAAGAGACTCTACAGAGGCAGATTATCCACAAGATATAAGGCCTTCTCTCACAGCAGGAAGACAGGAAAATTGGAAGCAGTCTCAAGTGTAAGGAAAAGTGGAAGGCTTCAGCATCCAGAGGTCTCTTAAGCGGGAACTTGGCAAATGTGGCACTTGCAGCTGCTCAATGTGCAGAAGTAGTATGTAGATTCCATTTATTGCACTTTGACAATTTTCTCACAAACCCTTTAGGTCATTTCATGTTAGGGAAAGGTTTCCAGAGAGCACAGATTGCCCTCCACTCTGGTCACAATATTAAGAGGTACCATGATTGGCATAGAGACCATGGCACCTGGATGACATGTCTTGATGGCAGAGAGATTTGGTGTCATTCTTCATAAAGGCCACCTTATTATGGGCCACAGTAAGTACAATAGCTAGGCTCAAAACCACAAATGCTGATAATGTTTCTATTGGCCAGTCATTGCTCAATATACTCAGGGTGATAGGAAAGCCGGTGCCTATTCATGGCAGCAGACCTGAATCAGCATTGGAGGCATCTTGTACATATCTATGCAGGTATATGAGGCCTTGTATACCACTCTTTTTTGAGCCATCCACGGTCATGTAGCTGTCATACAGTCCTACATGTTTGCACACATCCACCTCAACCACTTTCTCTATATCCCACTGGGCAATCCAACCATCAGTCAAGACCAGCAACACGTTCACCTCGACAAAGACTTCCTTTAAATTTATCCTTATCTAATGAAACATACCATGGCTATTGTCGCAGCTGTGAAGCGACTAAAAGGATTATGTTGGCAGAGTGTGGGGGGCAAGAAGAGTGGTAGTGGCGCAGAAGAGAATGGCAATGGCTATGTTCACAAGTTGTGATTGTTTTGGGTAGTTTTTCTCATCTGCTGTGTTCTGCATGTTTACTATGCTATATACTAGTTGTATACTACTCATTCTGGCCTTCATAAGCCTTGAAAAAGGCCTGAACTTAACAATCCAGCAATTTTTGGGCACTAGAAGGCCTGATCTGGCCAGTCCAGCAAAATTTTTGACTTTTTGAGGCCTGATCTAGCAATCCGAGCATTTTTTGCAAATTTTACACATGCCTAAACTTATCCGGCAAAATTTGGCTGATTTTGGGGGTTTTGCGTCCGAGCAATTTTGCCGACTTTTGACAAATTTCCACCCGGCCTCCCAACATATTTTCGGGGGTCCTCCCTGACCCCACTCGGCGATCTTGGCGACACGTGACGAAAGCGCGTCGCGCCCTGTCACGTCCGCGCTGGTTTCCCCTTTTCGGGCTGGCGCGAACGCCCCCCGGTGAGATTGCGCGCGAGGACGCCCAGCCCCGCGCCCCGGACGCACATTTTCCTGACCTGCACGGCGCGCATCGAATCCTTCTTTCTCGGCCTTTCCCGAGCCCCTCCAGCGCCAAGCAGGAGTCAAGCAGGCCGCCGGGGGGCTTTGCTCAGTGCCTTGGCCAGTCCTTGGCCTTGTCGACCCGTCGACCAAGTGCTCAACTCTGCTCGACTGTACTTCGGACGATCAGCGCGCGCGATGTATCGGGGCGGGGAAGCCGGGGAGCCACGTGCAGGTGCCGCCGGATGGGAGCTTTTCGCTGGTGCCACGAAAGCGCATGGGTGGAGCATCAGCGCTATCAGCGCTGGGGCGGTGCACACTACGACTGCGACGGGGGTGCGCGATCAACGGCGGATCGAAGCCCTTCGATGTGCACGGCGCTCACGTGTCCGCGCAGGCGTCGTCTTCGAGACGCGGGGTGCACTCGGGTGCGGGCTCCGAGGGGCGCGAGGGAGGGGGGGGGGGCACCATCGCGTTCTGTGTTCTTGTTTGTGTGCGGTCTGCCATCGTGCGCGGGCATCGAGCGGACATCAGGCGCGTTGCGTTTGCGGTCGAGGGAAGCGCAGACGTGGCGACGCACACGGCGTCGAACCGCTCCGAAGCTCCGAAGCGTGCTCGTCGCTGCCCTTGTGTGATGCGCGTGCCGCTGCGGGGGCCGGTGACATCACGACGCATCATCTCCGGGCGGGCTCGGCGGACTTGACGACGACGACGACCAAGAAGCTTGTTGAGCTGTTGGCAGCTGTTGGCTTGTTGGCGGCAGTTGGCTTGTTGGCGGCAGTTGGCTTGTTGGCGGCAGTTGGCTTGTCGGCGCGAGAAACGGGCGTTGTTGAGATCACGTCTTGAAGAAGCCGGCCGGGGAGCGAAGAGAGGCGATGCAAAGATGGGGTAAAAGACGGGTCGCGACGGACGACGTGCAGAAAAGGGATGCAGATGCGGATGCGTGCGGATGCGGATGCAGATGCGTTTGTGGAACAGAACGACCGAGTCGGAGCGCGCGCGCTGCTGTCGAAGACGGTTTGCCGCGGATGGAGCGGCCGTGCAAGATTACTTATACACATCTATACAGCCACGCGTGCGCTCGCTCCGCCGCACGCGCCGACGCTCTGAACGACAGTGACAGCAACAGCGGCCACCGCCGCGAGCGCCGCGCTTTCTCATGGCACACATGTACGAGTACTACGTGTCCAGTGCCCTATGGGGGGCGCTGTTCCAACTGTCAATAGCCCAGACTCGAGGCGCCGTCTCGCCTAATCTGACGCTTTTCGTCAACGCGCCCGATTCCTCTGCCTCCTCTGCGCATTCGCAGTCGTGTCGAGCAGAGCCCTCGGCAGCGTAACAAAAGCGTGCCTCTGCATCACGCGCGCCCCAAGCCTAAACGGGTATCACACCTACGCACCGCGGCCACGAAACGCGAGTCAAGCCTTGAGCTTGAGCTTGAGCCTTCAGCGCAAGAAAGATCCAAGGCGCCCAGCTCGGCAGGACTCCAGAGCCCAGCGCGGCTCTCGAATGACCCCACCCGACTCGATGCGACGAGCAGATGCCGCCAGCCTGTTGTGAATCCTTGCAGTATGATGATGATGATGATGGTGATGGTGATGGTTCTCTTGGGGTGTCCGGCCATCACGCGAGGTGTCAACGCGCGCCAACAATAACGTCGTCGACTCGTCGCACACACGCGCACGGGGGATCTGGGGCGTGAGAGCAGGGCAAGTGAGGCCAAACTCGAACGTTCAAACTCAAGTCCGGACGAGTCCGTGTAAGCCCGACCGACCGACCGACCGAATCCGGAGCCGCGCGCGTGAAGGCGAGTGCGCCGGCTGACGAAGGGGCTCCTAAACAAAAAAAAATGGGGGTTCACGCGTTCACGAGGGTGAGCGTTTAACGTTTAACGTTCACGTCGAGCGCGCGCGACGAGCGTTCTTCGCGCGCGTCTGAACGTGGTCCCGTGCGCGACGCGACCGGGATGCCCGAGGGAAGCCCCGAGAGGCACGACGTGACCCGATGGCATCAGTTCGCGGGGTCGAGATAAGTGTGCAAGTCGAGTAAGGTCAAGGTACAAGATCTGGACGGTGAATCAGGGGACTGCGCACGCGCTGGGGCAGGCTGGAGCTTCGATCGGGGTCGAGCGCGCATGCCCGAGGTTTGTGCGGCCTGCGAAGGCGCGTCAAGGGAGACTTGCGCCTTGGAACGAGGATGGGGAGCGTGGAAAGGGAGGAGAGAGAGGCGAATGAGCGGGGCTCGGTGGTCGTTGATCGCCGCGTCGATAGCTGCGTGCGATGTGTGAATGCCGATAAGTAGCACCAGGCGAATCAGCGCCGTATACTTACGAGCCGGTCGAGGTGGGTGAGATCGACGCGGCGGGCAGGACGGCGTGTGGAGGGGGAGAGTTGGCCGGGAATGAGATTGACAGGAGGACGACGGGCCGATGACGACCGATGCGGATGCAGATACGCTTCGCTGCAGCCTGCCATGATGGCTGTGGCGCGCGGGCGTGGCAGGGGAGTGCCACTGCGGCGGGGAAGACGGGGGGCGATGCTGGGCGATACTTGGAGGATTTGCTGTTGCGGCGCGCGAGGCGTGCAGGAAGATCGGGCTGGAGATGTGCATAGCCAAGAGAGCCAAGAGAGCTGATCTGCATCTGCAGCTGCCAATCTGCACCCGCCCGTGGCCCTGATGGAAAGGCAAGGCGCAGGCGACACATACGGGGAAGAATGCACCCAGCGGAAGACCATCGCGAGAGCGCGCTGCGGGTGCAGATGGGGGTTCACTGTGGGCGCAAGCTGTGTAGTTGTGCAGCGGGAGCGGGGAAAGGGACGAGGGCAACGGAGGGCTACTATCGTTGCACCGGAGTTGCAAAAAAAAAAAAGATTTCTTCGTAACATCTTCAATTAAGCTTCCTTTCGCTCCAATTTTTTATCATACCTGCGGAAGCTTCTTAAAATGTGTTCTGTTATTTTTTTATATTTTAGAGTGAACTGAAAGAATTGTTGTGATATGATTGAGAAGGTGTGTCCGAAAATGAGCAAAACTTGGGAGTTGCAAATCTTTCCGACGATCGGGTCACATGTTGTCACATTCAAATTTGAACTCCGACAGCCTGTAATTGTACCGGCACACAGCTTGAAGCTCGAAGTTTTGAGACACAACATGAACAATGGATAGTTTGATACACAAATAAACACAGCAAGAGTCAAGTAAGACATTGTAATGATTTGAGAACAGGATCCTGGCTAGTAAGAACGGTCAAAAGGGGGATAGCTGTAAGGGAAGGGCACGGAATTCTGATCAGGGTACAAAACATGCGAGTGCGTAGGTGTGTAATAAGAAAAGGGCTGTAAGGCCGTCGGGAGACTGACCGGATGGCGAGAGGGCCCCGCCTCTGGTGTCGTCGAATAAGACTGCCATGGCGGAGGCACTGATTCCGGCAAAGGGATATTAGCCAATGCGGGGGGGGGATTTTGCTTGGTAGGAAACAACGGTGCATGGAATCGTCGACGTTGTGATGGACGTTCGGACTCATGTGAGACTGATGGACCGCGCGCCGTCTGGGTGTCATCAAGTGGGGGCTGCATACTCTCAAAGTCTCGCGCGGCACGTTTGCAACCTCGTGTGCGGCGTGCAAAAAGACCAGCAAAGCGGGGGTCATTGGCGAGGGAGGGCATTGCGTCAAGATGGGTTTGAATGCGTTCTATGATGACCTTGTTAGTACCTTCGACCGGCAATCCTAGCGCGCTCGCAATGTCCCCCAGTTCCTCCTTGGCCTTTGTCTTCAAGCCCCCACTGAAGACTGTCGACGTTACTGCGCGTCGGGCTTCACGGTCTCGGGCTGCATCCTTTTTCTTCTTCTCATCTTCCTGCTTTTTTGCTTCTTTTGCGGCGCGCGCAGTCTTCGCAAGCTGCCACTCTGCTTGAGCTTCAGCCGATGTGAGGACTCGTGACGTTGTGTTGAAACGACGTTCCCCCCGCGTGTGTGTCTTCAAATTGAGTTGGTGTTGGACCACACCAAAGTGCCGCTTCATGAGGGCACAGTGAGCCTCGGAAGCGTTGAGCTGTATCGCCATCTCCGACATCTCAAACTCGCGCTGCCGCAGAATATTTTGGAGGCGCTGGATTTCAAGTTGATCTCGGGTTTGTCGAGAGGAGGATTGTGATGGGTAGGGTGAGGGAGGGAGTGCGAAGGCGGTTGAAGAAGGGGTGGAGAGTGCGGACGTCATGGAACGCGTGCGCCGTCTGCTGCTGTTGCTGTGGGATGGCATTACCGAGTAGTCTTCTGTATAGATTAAAATAGAGTAGATCAGTGAGAATGCAATTAACGAAAGAAAGAAAGAGACCGAACGACGCACCAGCGCGCTCGCTATCAGATTGCGACAGGGCAGCGTACGCTCCACGCCTGCGCAAGATTTCCAGCCTGTCCAAGCCCTCATTTTGAGTCTCCTCGTTGTCGTTGTCGTTGTCGTTGTCGTTGTCGCTGTCCCTTCTGCCGCCGCCTCTGCCTTCCCTTCTGCCGCCACCTCTGCCGTCCTTTCTGCCACCAAGGCCATCGTCCCCACTATCGTCGTCCCCGCCGCTGTTGTCTCCACCGCCATCCCCGCCACTGCCGTCTCCACCGCCGTCCCCGCCGTCACCGTCTCCACCGCCGTCGCTGTCACTGCCGTCTCCACCGCCATCGCTGCCGCTGTCGTCTCCACCGCTGTTGCCACCACCATCGTCCCCACTGCGACCGGTCCCGCCACTGTCCTTCTTGTCCCTGTAATGCTTGTGGTCGTGGTCGCGCTCGTGGTCGCGCTCGTGGTCGCGCTCGTGGTTGTGGTCGCACTCGTGGTCGCGCTCGCGCTCATCTTCGCGCTCATGCTCATCTTCGCGCTCGTGGTTCTTGTTGCCATCGCCATCGTTGCCGTCATCGGAGTCCTCTAAACTTGCGCAGGAGTCTTTGCGCAAGTCCTCTCCAGCCATTCCTTCGTCACACGTGCTGCTGTTGTCCGGCTTGTTTGAAAAGTTGTCCAAATTGTCGTCAGAGCTTGTGTCAGAGTTGTCCCGTGGGATGAAGGTATCGTCAGATGAATCAGATGAAGGATCGTCACTGAAGGAAGGCATGATAGTCGGATATGATGAGGGAACATTAGCGAGGCGTGACGTCGCGTGACTGGGTGCGAAATCCTCATCCGAAAAGACTTGAGGATTGATGGGATGGATCCCGCTCTTTCGCCATGCAGACAAAATTGTATCCACCTTGAAGGCATGATTCCGTGCCACGAGATAGACGTGAACGACATCTTTCAAGGCAAGCTCCCGATTCTTGTCCTCAAGAAATGTTATGCAGCATTTCTTCCATTCCCGCTGAAGCGGTCCGAACACTCCAACATCGAGTGGCTGAAGACGGTGGGTTGTGTGAGGTGGAAGGCAAAAAAGATGGATGCCATGTTCTAAAGCAAGCTCTCGCATTCCATCTGCTTCATGTGAGCCATGGCCATCATATATTAGCAGAATAGGTTTCTTTGAGATATTTCGGGCCTTCACCTGAGGAATGAAGCCCTTCGCAAACCACTCAGTACATATGTAATCAGAGGTCCACCCATTTTCGGAGGTTGCAATGCTAGAAATAAATTAATCCTCAAAAAAAAAAATCAAAACAGAATGACGACGCACATGATTCTCTCGTCGGTCCCTTCTGACCACTCCGGGCACTGCTCCACACCGGGAAAAACAAACCCCGGTAAGATATTCCCACCGTCGGCAGAGACACATTCGATCACTGTCACGAGTTGCAAATTTGCACTCTGCAACACTGTGCGTGACCTCTGACTGCGAGAAAAAAACAATTTTTCCCTTCCAGCTTTCCTTCCACCTCCCAACTGTAATCCCTTCTCATCCATGTTGTATATATTCTCCCAGGGAATCCTGTGCTCATCAATAAAACTCTTCAGGAGCTTGAAGTGATGATCAGTGGTAGGGAAGTTGAACGCTTGCGCGCGCTTCGGATCTAGACCAGTCGGTCGACCAAGAACCAGATCAGGGTGCCGCTCCAGGAACCCCTTGAGCCAAGTTTTGGAAGGAGTTCTTCCGCACAGCGCCTCAACTTTTGGACCGATCGTGCGCTTGCTAACTGCATGGCCCGTATGACCTAAATAAACTAACCAATCAGCAAGCACCTTCTCTTGTGCATTGTTCAACAATTGTTGGACTTCATGGGCCTCAACAGGCCTCCGAGTGAGGCCTAGATATCGGTTCCGCAGCGTGTGGTAGTTAACCTCGAAAGCTTCAGCAGCAGAACTATAGGATTTATGGACATTACTTTGTAGAGATTTACATGCCTCTTGAAGGCGGTGTTCTACATCGTCCTTCTGTGTCCTAGCGCGCTTTTTTGCTGCACTTGTCATGTTTTGACAAGGTTTTACGGCGCGCGCTGTATTTGCGAGCAGTTGCAAAGTTGCGGCTTGCCGTGCGGAGATTCAAAAAGATGACCAAGCATCACGCGGCCCGAGGCTCCCTGTCACTCTGCCTGCCATCGGACACTGCCCGTCAAAAACAATTTGGTGAAGAGCATTGGAGTCTTCAAAGTCAAATAAATTTGTCTATATGTTTTCAGTAGTACCTGTTCATCTTCCTGATTTTTTCTTTTGGCAATTGAGCTCAAGGATCTGAGAGATCTTGAGCATCTTTTAGAGAACACTGTCCTGAAAACCATTATCCATTGCTTCCTCACTGCTGCACCCAATTTCTGTTCTTAAAAAAACTACGCTACTTGAAGAGTACTTACATGAACAACTATGAATTTTTTTGAAAGGTGCCGTCGAAAAATGCTGCGAGGAGCTCGATTTTGAACCTCCCATCCCGTTTGCAACTCCGGTGCAACGATAGTATGCCGAAGGGGCCATCTGTAGCCATCTGTGATGGATCGATCTGTCGGTGTTGTCGGGAACCGAGGGTGCGGCGTGGCGGGACGGGTGGGTGTAAGGGAGAGAGGGGACGGGCTGAGGCACCGTGCAGAGCTGGCCTCTTCCTCGTCATCTCAAGTGTCCCTGCTGCTCCGTCACACACAGTACATATCTCGCCCTCTCTCCAGGCCCCGGCTGGCCCTCCTCCCATGTCCCTCCCTCTCCTCCCCCTCCCCCTCGCCCTCCCCGGCCCGGCACCCGCCCTCCTCCTCGCCCTCGCCCTCCTCCTCCTCCTCTACCTCCTCCACCCATTCCTCGCCCTCCTCCTCCACGATGCCCGCTCGCCGCTCCGTCTCCTCCCAGGACCCAGGGCCCCCTCCTTCCTCCTCGGCAACCTCGCAGCCATCGCCGACCAGGAGAACACCGATGTCATCGCCCAGTGGGTCGCCCACCACGGCTCCACCTTCGTCTACCGCGGCTTCGTCGGTGGCAGGCGGCTGCTCACAACGGACCCTGCCGCCCTCGCGTGGATCCTGGGCAGGGCGTACGAGTTTCCGAAGCCCGAGTTCGTGAGGGAGAGCTTGGCCGCGATGGCCGCTGGCCAGGACGGGCTGCTGACCGTCGAGGGCGACGTGCATCGGAGACAGGTGTGTGCGCCCACGTTGCGTGTCGGGAAGGCCTTGTGCTGAGTTTGCGGTGTTGACTTGGGTCGGACACGCGCGGCTGACAGCGCAAGATTTTGGTGAGTGCACGTCCCGTTGCAGACTTCCTCGAGGGCTGAATGACGTATACACTGTACAGAACCAAGCGTTCACCGCGCCTCACGTCCGCACCCTCGTCCCTATTTTCTGGAGCAAGGCCTCGCAGGTGCGCCCCCGTCCCGACCATTCCTCCAAAATGCCGTATTTCTCATCCCGTCTCGTTTCCTTCGCTTGTCCTGGCCGTCTCCCTTCCCGTCCCTTTGACGTGCCTCCTTCGCCCCTCGCATCCTTTGTGTCTCCTTTCTTCGCTTCTCTCTACTCTCTCGTCGTCTGAATTCCTCCGATCGTTCCCACACTCACCCACGCTGTCCACATGGCCTGATCTCTGGAACCCTCCCCGCCGCCCCGGTCCCGCACACGCCCCTCGCCTGTGCCCGCATCCGTATCATGGGGTTTTCATTCACATCGACGCTCATGTCTACGCTGACACACAGCTTCGCGACACCTTCCTCCACATCGCCGACCACCCCGCCTCGGCCCAACTACACCTCTCCCCCGGTCTGTCACAGGACGCGCCTCCTCCACCGCCCCCCTCGTCGTCCCCCTCGCCTATACCCTCCTCCCCGCCCCCCTCGCTCTCCTCGTTGTCCTCACTCATCTCGCCTCCGACATCCCCGCACGCGGCCAAAGTCCGACCACGCTCTTCCGTCGACTCGTTCGCAATCCTGCGCTCGCTGGACCCCGTGCGGCACGCACTCGCACCCCTAAACGGGCCCACGAATGGATGCGCGGAAAAGAATAAAGAGACGCGCGGACTCAGACATCGGCGAGGGGCGGATCGCTGCGTAGGGGAGGACGGCGAGAAGCCGAAGCAGGAGACGGTCGAGACGCGGCCGACGGTGGACGTCCTGTCGTGGCTCGGGCGCGCGACGCTCGACGTCATCGGCGAAGCAGGTGCGTCGCGGTCCCGTGACCTGGTCCTCTAACATCATCTGTCCTCGTACCGCAGGCTTTGGCTACCGCTTCGCATCGCTGGCCAGCGCGACTAAGCGCCTCGTCGACGCCGACAACCACGCGGTCACCACCGCGGACGGCGACTCGGACGGCGACTCGGAGCTCGCCGCCGCTTTTGGCGTCATCTTCTCGACCGCGCGCCGGTTCAGGGTGATGACCGTGCTGCAAGTGTGGTTCCCGCTGCTGCGGCGATTCGTGAGTCGCGGTCGCCTTTGTCATCCCCTTGCGTCATCGTTGTGTCCTGGGGCGGTTTCTGGACGATCTCTGGCGCGTTTTTGTGGACTCGTGGTCCACTTGGGATAGTTGGTGGTGCCTGTCTGATCTTCCCTGTTCAATGTCGTTCCGCTTCGATGTCGCCATATACTGACTCCGCGTCTTCTCTCTATCTTTGCTTCTTCTTTCGGCGGTGCTCCTATTTTTGCTGCCCGCCATCCCCGGCCCCGCCCTTGCCCCCGATTCCTCGCCCGCACGCCCGCTCTGCGCGATCTATTCTCGTCCACGCGCGCGTGGTTTATTTTGGAATCTACCTTGCCCGCCGATCCCGCGTCGTCGCCGACAGCGCCGGAACAACGAGACGATGCACGAGGCCCACGCGACGATGCGCCGCATCGGTCTCCAGCTCATCCAGGAGCGCCGCGCGTTCGTGGAGGCGGAGATCGCGGCGCTCGCGCCCCCCTCGACCCCCGCGTTGGCAGCGCCGGCGGTGTGGGGCGCCGAGCAGCGGGTTTCGAGCAGCGAGAAGCGAAACGGGATGGGCAGTGACAAGGCGAATGCACACGCGGGCGTCGACGGTGGTGTCGGCAGGAAGACGGCGGATCGGATCGAGGGCGATCGGACGATGCTCGGGCGGGATATCCTGAGCGTGCTGAGTGCGTACAACCCCTCCTCCCGTCTCCATCTCGTGTTCCCGCTCCACCGCTGAACTACGCCGTGCAGTCCGCTCGAACATGGCCTCGACCCCGGCACAGCAGCTGTCCCTCTCAGAGGTCCTCTCGCAGATATCGACGTTCCTCGCCGCAGGGCACGAGACGACCGCCTCCGCGCTCACATGGACGCTCTACGCGCTCGCGCGCGCGCCCGACGAGCAGCACAGGCTCAGGAGCGCGCTGAGAGCGCTCGGCCCGTCCTCTGCGCCGCCGCGCGCCTCGTCGCGCACACAGGCGCCGCTCCCCGACCCCGCCGCAACGTCCGAGTCCGAATCTGACCCGGACCCGGCGCTGCTCGCCGCGATCGAGCGCCTCCCCGCGCTCGACCGCGCTGTGAAAGAGGCGCTGCGCCTGCATGCACCCGTCGGGAGCACGATGCGCACGTACGTCGGCGCGGCGCGCGAGACGGTCGTGCCCGTCGCGCGCGGGGTGCGCGTGCGCGTGCCGCGGGGCGCCATGGCGGCGCTGGGGGCTGGGCTGGCGCGGCAGGTGCGCGCGCGGGTACGGAGGGTTTTGAGGTGGGCGGGGCGGTGGAGAGGGATAGGCGGAGGCGATGAGGAGGATGAGGAGGGGGAGGGGGAGCGAGAGGGATTGGAGGAGGAGTGGACGATCGAGCGCGGGGTGCGGTTGCATCGGGGCGATATCATCACGATACCGATCCAGGCCGTGAACCGGAGCAAGGAGGTGTGGGGCGAGGACGCGAAGGAGTTCCGGTGTGTCGCGTGTTTTCTTAGTTGTTGTTTTTTTTGAGCGCTGACGGGGGTCTTTTTTATTTCATCTTACTGTTGGCGCTGCAATCACGATTGCGCGCGCCAGGCCGGACAGGTGGATAGCGCTGCCCAAGGCGGCGAGCGAGCTCCAGGGCCTGTACGCGCACACGCTCACGTTCCTCGACGGGCACCGCGCGTGCATCGGGTACAAGTTCGCGTTGTCAGAGTGCGTTTTCGCTCCTTGCCCCCTTCCGCGCTGCGTTGGTCTGCGACTTATTATCATTATTCTTTTTTGGGGGGGGGGGTTTGGTTTGTGGCAGAATCAAGGTGTTTCTGTATGTGCTGCTGCGCGACCTCGAGTTCTCGATGGACGAGGACGTCGTGATCGAGAAACGCGTCAAGTGCGTTTTTTTTTCTATGATCCCGCTCGCTTGCGTCTAATTCTCAAACTTATACAACTTGGTTTCTTGCCACTTCATCGTCTGACATCGTCACGCTGCCTTCCGCTGCGCGCGCCCTTCGTCGCACAGCGTTGTCACGCGCCCGTTCGTCCAATCCGCGCCGGGCTCGGGGAACCAGATGCCGCTGCGCATCCGGCGCGTGCGAGAGGACGAGGACTAGGGCGGATTGTACCAAGTATCAACTATCTAATTTGACCGGTCGACCGAGCGAGGTGGGACGACGTGACTATAGATCGGGAGGCTCTCATTGCTACTGCTACTAGAGGCGGAGGGATGGATATGGGCGGGACAGGATGGGATGGGAGGGGGCCTGCGGGCGTGTGTTTATGTGTACTCGTGTGGGAGCTGAAGGCGTCGTCGTGGGAGGGGCTCGCGCGGCGCAGGAGGGGAGGGGCAGATGGACGAGGGAGGGGGGACGGGCTGTAGCTGGTCTATGGGTGTACGAGTAGTAGGACGGGTGACGGGTGCGACTCTCGAGGCGCGCATACACGAGTATACGAGTATACGATGGATTTAGCCCTCCGTGATCTGGTTCTCGGTCCTGGGTTCCTGCGCCGCTCTCGCTGGCTCTCACACTGGTTTGCGAGCGCGCGGGGCGGGTGGTGGTGTGTCCCTAGGCCTGTGCACTAGTATCATACGCGGCCCCTACACAATACAGTGAGATCCGCCCGCGTACAAGAGTCACGATCACGCTTCACTGCCCTCTTTCACAGGGCGACAACCTGCGACAACTCGCATCGAACGGTCCTCCTACCTAGACGATCCCTGGCATCTGGCCCGACGTTTATTTCACCTTTCCTCAAACACCACGCTTTGCTCGAGTGAAGTACACAGGCGCGGACTTGGCCTTCCGCGATGCGTGTGTAGACCCGGTTGAAGAGTAGGAAGTTTTTGGGAGGAATTGGGGCAACTGGCAGTGCGAGGCTCAGGTCATGAGGGAGTCGTTGAGATTTCTTTTCAGGCCACTTCCCCATTCCTACATGCCACCCATGCGCCGCGTATGATTTTTTTTTTTTTAAAAAAATTCCATTTATTGTCGTATCAGGGTAACAGAACCCTATGTTCGACATTTCAAGTACATATAAATCTTCCCGCTCCTTCCTCCATGCCCAACCTCGCCTCCGAGCCGGCTCCGGTCGTGTGAATTTGAGGGTTGATCCTTGCCAGCGAGTTTTGTGTAAAGACTAAGCTCGTTCGAGAATGATGCTCGCCCGCTTGCGCAGGCACGTACGAGTGAGAGACGTGAAACCTTTGAGTTGGCAAAGATCGCTGTGGAGTGGTAAGGGCGGGGGGCTTCGGACCAACTAGGGTGTGGCACGTCGTATGCGGTCGACGATGGACGTTTGGCGTAAGCGAGAGATGGATAGGACGGGTAAGGAAGGCATGGCGCGGTGCAATGCTATGTGCGTCTCGCGGCGCAGCTGCGGTGCTGTGGGCGACCGGCCGGTGCTTCGAGAACGCTGTGGAGGCGTCATTGATTTACCACGCGACAAGGGCAGATACTACAAAGATGGGAATTGGAAGAGCTTGTAAGTTGTGAGAGGCCGGGAGTAGATACCCAGAAAGGTCAGGTCGAGCGGATAGGGGTCAATGGCTGTGAGGTGGTGGGATCTTGACATCCAATGTTCCCAGCTAGCACCGCGTATGATGGTTCAACGTTCAATAACCGCGACGCATTTACAAAAAGCACGCCGATATCCGTCTCCCGCACTCGAGCGGTGCTGCGTGCAGTACCCTACTACAGTGGCTGTTTCATCGCATGGTTTCGCGTGTCTACGTCTGGTCGGATCGCACGGCGTACTGCACAGCGCAGTCGTGCGCCTGACGTGACGTACTATCCGAATCGACGTTGCGAGATCTGTTGCCGGAGAAGCGGCGTGAGCGCGACGCGGGGGTCCCTCAGATCACGTCGATGGCGGGCGATCGGCGATGCGCATGACATGGGGGAGACGGATGAGTCCCAGTCGTTCCCAAGTACAGTAGGGCTGGCACCTTGACCGTCGTGCGATGTATTGACTGTTCATTGCCATGGTCCTCGCAGGTTGCACGGTGAGGTCGATCGATCGAGATACGCAGGCGTGGGCAGGTGTCGCATCAACGTCACTTGGCATCGCCGCCCGATGTCTATGTCAGTGACGAATATGGATCGGCGACACCTGCATGGTCGGTGTAAGCCTTCGAACAGTTGTTTCAGAGGGTTGTGAACGAGGACACAGGCGTGAAGCTGTCGTAGCTGAGCCGCTCGGTCATATGCGGTACGATGAAAGTTGGCAATCGAAGGAATGAAGATGTCCATCGCAGAGGCTGTGGACAGGCGGATTCGCTAGCGATGATGGACGAGAAAGGGTATAGGAGGGCTATTGAAGCAGGAGGCTGGGAGGCTGGGAGGCTAATAGGTGGGTGTCTCGGCTTTTGGTGTACGGCGGGAGAGTCGACTCATGCGTACGTACGAGGGTCTTGCCTTGACGAACTGAATCCTAGTGCTGCGTGACATGGTTACTCGGAGTTCAACTCAGCCTTGGAATGAACAGCAACAGCCATAGGACGTAGAACTTGTCGTATTACAGGGTCTTGCATAATTTTTGAGAGAGTTGCATCAGAGAAAAATCGGGTTCCTGAGCCAAGACTTGCCTAATTGAGCACCCCAGGTCGGGATGATCGGCAAAGCCCTGTCACGCCCTCAGGCCCAGTGAGAATCCCATCGAGGAAAATCTATCGAGATGTATGATAGTGCTTTGATATTCCACATAGATGCTCATCGAAAATTTGGACCGATCCTCGATCCACATGTATCCACATGTAGCTGGATCTATGAGCATTGATTCGGTACTTTGATGAACTATCTAGATATCGAGTGACACATGGCCCCCTCCCTCATTTTATATGTAGATCTATACACATCAAGTCTTATCTAGCCATTCATCACCAGTTTCGAGCACAAGCTATGGCCGGCAAGGGGTATCTATTCATATCTAGCAACATGAGAACTGATGGTATGTATGTAAATGCTTAATCTATCGAAATCAATACAAAAACGTGAGACAATGACAAACCAATTCGGCCCACCTGTGCCGTAGGATCCACAAAGTGACAGTGCTAAATGATGGAAGGGGGAATAACGTGCGAGAAAAGTGAAGCCGGCGCGCAGAACCTTGAATGCGCAAGAAATGTGAGGGCAGCGCGTGGAACAATGCGCTGGCCGCCTACGGTGCGAGTACAACTAGGAAGAAGAAGCTGATAATGTACAAAGTATTCATCAAGAGTCTTATACAATTAGCAGTGTGGAACCAACAGGCCACTCACCATATGTGCCGTTCAAGGGGCCCAACTACTAACATTGATGCTCGCAGTGTGTTTATGAATGCTTGTATGCCTATGGAAAGGGTCATGTCAACTCTCTCGTTGAGTGCTCAATATGAATACAAAGGGCCCATGTACTTACCAATCTGCATTCTGGTGACAAGCCCTTCCAATGCTTCTCAAATGCCGCCTGGGTACCATTAGGTGCTGCCAGTCCCGAGCACAGTTGTTCCTAAGAAGAGAACAATCAGTATACATGATGGCAGGAGCGGAGCCCGGAGCGCACACCGTGCGCATCCAGGAAGAGCAGGGGGAGGGTGACGGTGACGTGGGGGAGCAGGCGTCCGAGACAGATCTGCTCATCCCGATCTGTGCAGCCTCGCCGTCGCTCTCGAGCACCGAGTACCCTGCACCCATTGCGGCGCCACAGATATATGGCGCGATTGTCAAGGAGGTCCCGCTCGGCCCGCGGTGGAATGCACAGATAGTAGCGAGCGCCGCGGATAAGGAGGGGAAAGGGCGGGCCTGGCGGGCATTCTGCGTGGTGTTACAGTGGGAGACGGACGCGGTGGGCACGGGGCAGAAGGGTGCGGCTCGAGGTGGAATACAATTGAGAATCTGCTTACTTTAGAGTGTTTGTAGCTCCCACAACTAATGCCTTTCCTGTACCCTTCCTCCAAGTGCCATGATTGCTTGCGTTCTGATCCTGAGTGCTGCTGTTTGGAGCACTGGTAGGCATGGGGGACACACCAGCAAGAGTCGTCAGCATTGGCATGCTTGTGAGGGTCGGCGTGATTGTGCTAGGCACCGGTGTGGTTGCTGGCGATGATTCACTTGGAGGCGTCGGTACCATTGTTGATGCCTGCATAGTCGCAGGTGTTTGCGGGGTCGGGGGCATTGCTGTGACTGTTGCGGCTGGCGCAGACATGGGTGTCGGTGCCAGTGCAATCATGGGCACTAAAACGATTGCTGGCGTGGACGTGGACGTGGATGTGGATGAAGATGTAGGCATAGGCACAGGTGCAGAAGTTGGTGTAGTCACTAGCATTGATGCAGCAGCGAGTGATGACGTTGGTGGCGCGATGGTGAACACTGACACAGCTACGGTTGTTGTGTCAGTTGAAGGTGTTAGTGTGGTCATCAATGTAGTTGTGGGGATCATCGCACCATTGGCCACATGTGCACTTGCAGTTGGTGTGAGAAGCTTTGTCCTTCAGAGATATAGATCAAAGCGAGCTAATAGAAAGAGGAGTATCTATGCGTATGTATGCCTATCGAGCATAGATTGAAAGGCGTAGGCGACACGAGTGGCTCCCTTACAAATCAAACACGCCGAGTCAAAGTACACCCCCAGGGCTTCATAGGAAATGGCAACCGATCTGTGATCCGAGCGTAGAAACCAGGAGTGATATCAGAATTAAAACCAAGTGAACTCAGACTGAAGCTGACAAACTCCTGCTCAGCATTTAACCCGGCTGAGTTCTGAGATTATGCTGAGGTGGCGGAATCTCAGACTAATCCTGAAAACCAATGTGAGAATTTTGCTGAGATGCACCTGGCCATGATATAATCTTGCTAAATCAGCATGTCCAGACTCCGCGCTTTGTGCCTGCAAGAACTATCACAACCTTCTGTCCACCAAGCATGGCCAAAGGCTTTCGACACCCCACCTGTAAGTGTGCACCTCCCTCTTCAGACAAACGGCACTAATGTGCTTCGGAACAGATTAATGCGCCGGGACTGGTCCCAAAAAAAATCTGTGGACATGCTTGGCCTGCAAAGATGCTCAATGGAAGAACACATATGACACCGCCCATCATGAAAACACCAGCACACACTCCGAACATGTTGCGTTCCTTCAAAAACAAACAGATATGACATCTCCACATCCCTCTCTTATGACGGAACGTGTGATCCGGGTGGCCGCCCCTCTCACAGAAATCTGTGTCGACTTGTCCTGCTCCCTCCAATCCCCTGACCCTGCAGAGCCACTGAATAGACATTGGGTCGACTGTTCTGCACCCCTGGATGAGTCTCTTTACTCTCTCGGGGCAGAATTTAACATGCCGTTCGATCAAAGTGTGATTGCCGGGCTGTCGCATTTGCTCGCGGATAGGCTGCAATTGTTGCATGTTGAGGAGCATTCAAGAGGTGCCGCAGGACCTAGCCGCGGTGTCACGCCCCATGCCGTGGCTGCCTCTCCTGGTACGGGGCCTTCAAGTATATTAAATACAATTATATAGAATAACATTCCTATACACTTTCCTGCTGCAGTATGATGAAGGAATGCTCTCAAGAATGCCAGTATTTCAGTGGTCCGTAAGGGGAGGGCAGTGTGACGAGTGTGACAAAGGGTGACGGTGCCTCGCAGGCGCCGTCAGCGCGTCAGCCCTTGTCTTTTTCCTCAGGCATCTCCTGCCCTATGCGATTTGTCTGCATGTGTCTAGGCTCTGACACCCGATACTAATACCTCTGGACTGCCAATGTGGACTAGTACTTGGCTTGAGCTGAATCTTGGGGCTTGCTGCAGACACAATCTAGAAAATTCTCGGCTGCTGGGATCTGACTGACGGCTCTGGATTGCTCTGCTCGCAGCTTGGTGACTTGGGGTGTTCTGTCTGCATGTCAACCTTGGGCTTTTGCAATATCCACAGGGAGTGTGAAAGGCAGGCTGTACCATCTTACATTTTGTTTCACAGGTGTTGCCATGCATGGGGTTGGGAGTGATTGTGACTCGGGAGGCTGACTAGGTTTTATAGCATGTCGGTGAGTGGTGTTTCTTATCCCTGTGCCCAGCAAAGTCTCTGGACTGATGAACAGTCCACTAGTACTGTTATATAGGTATTACTGATAGGATTGTATGAGAACATCTATCGGTGCTGTCCTTGCACGGTAAGTAAATTTTGCGTGTGTAGTAATTGGTGGTGCAATGCTAATTGTGGAAGATTGGTGGAGACTATGAGTTCTAGGATTCTGTAAGTCAGGAAGGTCGGGGTGGTTGATGATGCCAGCAAGGAGGTCCTCATGTAGTATCACAACAATGTCTGTCGATAGAGAAATATAATTTTATAGGCAATTTTTATCACATGGTTGAATTAAATGATATTAATAAGAGGATATAACCCGATTGGGATTTATCTATGACGAGGGCCTAGATGGGCTGGTTTGATTCTGAGATGGCGAAGCTGAAATGATGCTGATCAATCTCAGAAGAATGCTGAGGTAGTACGATATGGAATGATTTCAGAACCGATGGTTTGTTGTGGTGTCAGCATTTGCCGGGTATCTTGCTGTGGATCTCAAACTCAGCTTTTTCCTGAGTAATCCCCTGGGGGTGTAAATTCTGTTTTTCAACAATCGTGCGTCTTCATATTTTCACCTACATTTCGATAGATTGGACTCGTTTTCTAGCTCTCGATAGTTTCCTCTCGACGAGATTCTCACTGGGCCTCAGGCCTCAGGCCCAGTGAGAATCTGGTCTAAGAAGAGAAAGTCTGAGCTAAGACTACCTATAGTAGTGACAGCTATAGACTACCTTAGATGTGGATAGACAAAAATCTATGCAGATCTATTGTGAGCCAGGTCGACAAATTATTCTCGACAAAAATTTTCTGCCTATGCCATCCTATGTGCCTTACCAATTCACATCTATGATCCTCTAATACCTTCTATAAGAACACTTTACAAGTATATCCTGGCATAGGCCCTCAAATCCTCTCAATTATCATGCTATTCATTTGTATATACTGTGATATGACTAGGTAGTACTATTTATAACAGAACTCTCCTGTCAAAAACATCCCTCCCGGCCCTGTGCTCCCTCCAATTACCAGCAAGAAATGACTCAGCTTACCTATGCTCACTACATCTCATTAGAGAAGTGGTGGACCTCGACGTGCGCCACCAAGACAAGCGCAAGAATGCAGGGGCATGGGGGTGCTATGAGAAACTCAGCGGTGAGAGAGTGCAGCACATCTGATGGCGGCGGACGGCAGCAAGTCAATTCACTCATGGCACGCGAAAAGTGGAGGCAGTCTCCTGCGCAGCTGACGTACCCCGATGAACCTGACAAGGACAGTGCAATGGGACGGCGCGCATATACGCACCTGAGAACTTAGTATTACAGATGGAGAAGCCTACATACAGAACCACGCTCGTGAGCAAGCCATTGACAATGCTGCACCAGAGCTTGACTTCCATGGATACATACACGCACCATTCCACACCTATATGGGCCACTGCGCACAGGCTGCCCAAGCTTGATGGCACCTGAAAGGACGTCACGCAAGAGCACACACAGCGGGACAAAGAGCATGCACGATGTGCAGACATCAGCACGTGAGGGGATATGTGAATGGTCAGTAAATGCGCATATAGTAAGACAAAATGGGCACATACATACTGGACAGCACTGCCAATGAAATGTGGTGACCGACCAGGGTGGACAAGGTAGTGAGTGTAGAAGGGTAAAGAAAGAAGAAGGGAAAGCAATACAAAGAGGAAGAGAGGGTGTGTAGATGATGGTGGGAGGAAGACAGACGAAGGCCACGCTGAAGTGGACAGAGTTCAAAGACTAATATTGCGGGACTTCCCATGCAAGTTGTGAAGATTTTCACCGGACTTAACATAAAATGCATAGGTGAAAATAATCTCATGGGCGGATCCATGGGAAGCTTTCATCTATACTCGCCTAGTGAACTGAGGTCATGATAGCTGGCCCTATGTCGCGCTGATGAGCATGCACCTGCGCTAGGGTCCGAGGGAGGTATTCGGGAAGCTTTAGGGAGATACCGAGCAGTGCTAGACAAGTACCGAAGACGCCGACTATTACCGAACACGGTCGGTCCCTACCCGACCGACGACAAGCCACCGAAGGACGTTCGGCAGCACTTGGGTCAGTTCGCCCACACTTCACGTACTTACCAGGACCACACAGGAGTGTTACGATAAGTGTTTACGAGATCGGAGCCAGTAGTCCGTATCGGCCGATGTCCTCCGTGAGTCGGTCGGTCCTTATAGCTTATCTTCCCAACTTCCACATGGTCGGTCAAACGCGATCTTACACCATTGCTTGGCTACCCTGGTCGTACAATACCTCTTCTTTATTTTTCATTGGTTCTCCAATGCCTTTTCCTGCTACATACGCTCGGGCGACGGATCCCGAACGTTTGGGATTTTGCCATCGCTGATTAACTTTTACCTTGTCACCTTCGGAACCCATATGGACATCTCACCTACCTTCTTATCTTCTCTAATCGCTAAGGCTTGGCGCCCATTCGACATCTACTCTCATTTCTTGTTTAATATTTTACCTAGGGGCTCAGTTTACTATAAAAACCTACATACAACTCTGGAATAAACCAGCTTTCGCACCCCACAGTTCAGAGCTCATTCGCACTCGTCTCAACCATCGAAATCATCTTCGTCGACTTCCGAAAACTTGCCATCCTCGCCGTTCGGCCTCCTTCGCGTTCGTACTCGTCTCTTCGCTCGTACCCCTGTCCTCCCTCATATATTGTCAGAGTCCTGTGTGGCTCTTGAAGCACGTAGTTGTCGGTCGCGACACTACCTTCTCGTTACCGACCGCATCGCCGATACGACCGACCAAATGTTCGGTCGGTGTTCGGCGCAGTCCCGAAACCGTTCGGGTGCTATAATCTCACACTCCCCGATTGCTTCTCAGTACGCCTTCAATTTCTAAAGTCATCACTTACAATTCCTTGTGTATCAGATACTAGCTCCAGCACCCCTGCAATAAAGGTTGTTTTAGTATTGTGCTCAGCACTTAGAGCCACCTCTAGCGTATCAGCGCTATAAATGATATATGTTTTTATGCTATAATAGATACAAATAGGTCTTCTTAGACTGGATTTTCACTGGGCCTCAGGGCTTGGGGCTCCTACTCTGAGCATATCGCACACTCGCCTCTTTACAGTACTTGATCTCACCATGCCTCCACCCCTTTCTCATTCGGTTCGAGAACTCATTATTGACTGGCACTACAATGATCAGCTTACTGTCTCAGAGATTGCACATTGTGCTAGGTGTTCCGAAAGCTCTGTTTATAGAATCCTTCAGTTAGAGCACAAGTTTGGTCTCATCATCAACCCAAATGCATGTACCTGGGGTGCTCACCAAATGCTTGATCAATCAGACAAGGACAGTATCAAGGCTTTCATTGAAAGGAACCCAGCTGCCTACCTCAATGAAATTCAACAACACCTCCTTGACACCAAAAATGTATGGGTCTCTACTTTTACTATTTCGAGGGCTCTTGCTCAGATGGAGATCACAATCAAGCAAATCTCGAAGACAGCAGCAGAGCGTGATGAGTTGGTCAGGGCTATATGGAAAGGGAAGCATAGGAGGATAGCAAAGGAAAATATTGTGTGGTTGGATGAGTCAAGTGTTGATGACTTGACAAATCAGCATCTTCAAGGATGGGCTGAGCTTGGGCGTTGATACACTAGAGGTGGCTCTAAGTGCTGAGCACAACACCAAAACAACCTCTAATGCAGGGGGTGCTGAAGCTAGTATCTAATACACAAGGAATTGTTAGTGATGACTTTAGAAATCAATGGTGCACTAAGAAGCAGCAAGGAGTGTGGGATTATAGCGCCCGAATAGTTTCGGGACTGCGCTGAACACCGACCGAATATTTGGTTGGTCATATCGGGGATTTAGTCGGTAACAAGAAGGTAGTGTTACGACCGACAACTACGTGCTTCAAGAGCCACACTGGATTCTGACAATATACAATGGAGGACGAGGGGTACAAGCGAAGAGACAAGTACGAATGCAAACAAGGCCGAACGACGAGGATGACAAGGTTTCGGAAGTTGACGAATACAATTTCGATGGTTGAGATGAGTGCAAATGAGCTCTGAACTGTGGGGTGCAAAAGCTGGTTTATTCCAGAGTTGTATGTAGGTTTTTATAGTAAACAGAGTTCTTAAGTAAAATATCAAACACAAAATGAGAGTAGATGTCGAATGGACGCCAAGCCCTAGCAATCAGATAAAATAAGAAGGTAGGTGAGATGTCCATATAGGTTCTGAAGGTGATAAGATAAAAGTTAATCAGCAATGGCAAAATCCCAAACGTTCGGGATCCGTTGCCCAAGTGTAGGTAGCAGGAACAGGCATTGGTGAGCCAATGAAAAATAAAGAAGACGTAACATATGACCAGGGTGGCCAAGTAATGGTGCAAGATTGCGTTTAACCTACCATGTGGCAGTTGGGAAGATAAGCGATAAGGACCGACCAACGTACGGAGGACATCGGCCGACATGGAATACTGGCTCCGATCTCGTAAACACCTATTGTAATACTCCTATGCAGTCATGGTAAGTACGTGAAGTGTGGGCAAACTGACCCAAGTGCTGCCAAACGTCATTCGGAGGGTTGCCATCAGTTGGGTGAGGACTGACTGTGTTCGGTGCAAGTCGGCGTCTTCAGTACTCGTCTAGCGATGTTTGGTATCTCCCCAAAGCTTCCCGAATACCTCCCTCGGACCCTGGCACAGGTGCATGCTCATCAATGAGTTACCAAGAGGAGTGTCAGACACCTATCTGATGCTGGATACCAAACAGCATGCAATGCTACAGAGGGACGATGAATCCCCCTCAAGCAAATATATGCCACCAACCACATCCAAACCTGTCTTGTGGAACGAAGTGGCAGACTTACCTGAAATCAACTCTCATGAAGACCACACAATCTACACATGTCACATAAACGCATGGAAAACAGAGCACACAAAAGAACTCCTACAACATATCAAAATTTGCAATGACCTCACCACCGATGAGCATGCCCAAGTAGAAGCGCTAATTATTAAATTTGCAGATTGCTTCACACTATCTATCAGCAAAGTCTCCCCTGTACATAATGCCACGCACCAACTCAACCTTCCAACTGGAACAAAAATCCCGTGGAAAGTGCACCAGCAACCACTGTTCAGTGATAAACAAGACTACTTCTTCTCTCACATCGATCTTATGCTGTAAAGTGGGATCATTGCCCCTATAGCTCCCAAAGATGTCAAGTTCTGTGGCAACACTATCCTTGCACAAAAGGCCCACACAATCAAAGGCCTAACAGAAGACAAACTCAAACACTGAGTCAACAATGAATGTACAACCCATGGATTCCCACTCAAATATGACCTTCCACCTCGCAATCCCAACCCAGCACCAGCTGAACTAGCAACAAAACAAAACAAATGGTGCATCTGCCAAAGCTTCAAAGTGCTTAATAATCTCACAACAGTCCCGCCAATGCCACAAGGCGATATCTAAGCAAAGCAACAAGCACTCGCAAGACATCAGTGGGTCACTGTATTCAACTTTGCATCTGGGTTTTATGCTTGCCCCATCGCAGAGGAGGACCAGCCCTATATATTCTTCTGTGTAGCAGGGCATAGATACTACAAGTACCTCCACATGCCATTTGGCCTTACCAATGCACCATCCTGCTTTGGTGGCATGACTGCCACTGCCCTCGGAGACCTCATTGGAACACTCTGTCAGCTATTTGTTGACGATGGAGGTGTTCTAGCAAATGACTTCACCAAAGGAATGGCCAACCTCCACACCCTCCTACAACAAATCCGCGAAACAGGCCTATCCCTCTCAGTGGCAAAAACCGAGTTTTTCATGACCACAGCAAAGTTTGCTGGTGAAACAATCAGCCCCAATGGCGTGGGCACAGATTCTTCCAAGATATCTGCCCTCGTCAACTGGGAAACCCCTACCACATTAAAAGGTCTGTCAGGATTTGTACATCTAAGCAATTACTACCACTCCGTATGTATAGATTATGGCCACATTGCCTGACCCCTCACAGATCTCCTTTGCAATGCATCCATTCCATTGGGAAAAGGCAAATTCACCTACCAAAAAGCGCTGATACGCTGGTGATGCCTCTGAGTGCGAAACACACCCAAGAAACACCCCTACAAGCGCAGGTAGGCAGGAGCTAGTTCTAGTGTGCAAGGAACTATAAGCTGTGCAACAACCAACAAGGGAGCGTACTAAAAGTGTTCGGAGTGTAGTGAACAAACAACTCCAAAATCGAAGTATTCAGTAGGTCAGTAAGTCGGTAGGTCGGTAAGTCGGTCGGTCGGTCGGTCGGTCGGTCGGTCGGTCGGTAGGTCGGTCGGTCGGTAGGTCGGTCGGTCGGTCGGTCGGTCGGTAGGTCGGTCGGTAGGTCGGTAGGTCGGTCGGTCGGTAGGTCGGTCGGTCGGTCGGTCGGTAGGTCGGTCGGTCGGTCGGTCGGTCGATGTTTGATCGGGATTTGATCGGGATGCAAAGGGAAGGGAATGGGTGCAAGGCCACACTGGACCCTGGCAGAGGATGACAAACTAGATGAGAGGGAGAGAGCAAGACGACGAGGGCTCTGGCGGAGGGCTGTGATCGAACGCAACAACACAAACAAAAGGGCAAAATGCAAACAAGGATTGGAAGGCAATGGCTCAAAGTCTCATGGACACAAGCGCACAAATGGAATCGGAACAAGGGGGGAGCCAAAGCTGATGTATTGCAAAGCCATAGGTGCCCTTTTATAGTAAGTCCGAACAGGTACAAGATAAGGAGATCGGCAGAGGCATAGAGCAATCAGAAATGCGTGCCAAGAGTGATCAAAGGTAAAGAAGATAAGGGAGTGATGTTGCAAACACTATAAGATAAGAAGCAATAACTCTAAAGTCTAAATAAGTGGAGAGATTGCCAAGGTGAGTCCACATGGACCTGGAGATAAGAACCACATGCCACATGGGTAAACCATTTAGAAACTTGGGAGCTCTGAAGATAACAAAGGATAGGTCAACAGAAGGCATAAGGACGATAAGAGATAGAAAGACAGATCCGTTCTGAGTCAACAAAGTGTTCGGCCGCCTCCGATTCGGGACACCGAAGCCGACCGAATGTGCCGACCATGTGAAGTGTACCGAACCGATCGGCGATCGGCCGCGACAGTCTGTGGGGAGCCCCTACTGCTGAGAGTGATGATAGATGGATAGGATGACTGTGAACAGCTCCGAACGACTGTGCGGAGGTCTAAATGCAAAGTCGGCACCTGAAAAATGGCTGAGATCGCCGAACGGATCGGGATCGGTCGGTCCTAAGTATGCCGAACGGTCAAAGAATACTGAAAAGCTGCGAAAAGTGGGGTATTGGTGCCTAGAGCATACCCATGCTCATCATCTCCTCCCAACTGAAATACTGACTGTCCTCAGTCAGGCGGTCGGACCAGAGCAGCACAGCAACGAATATGCAAGGAAATCAAATGGAGGGGTTCGGAGCAAGCAACAGGTCTAAAAGTCAAGTGAAACTCATTGTAGGGTGATTAGAGATGGAGATGCAGGGATGTGGTCGGAGCATGTGCGCAATCAGCAATGCGCCAATGCAATCAGATGTGGATCAAATGCAGTCGGAGAGCCCCTACGGCCAGTGGTGCGCCGAAGCGATCGGAAGTGTGCCAAAGCCGTCAGAGTGCCAATACGATCAGACCAGTGCCTGTGCCATTGAAAGCGTGCAAAATCGGCTGGGGTACAAGTGTGGTTGGAAGTACACAGACATGATCGGTGGTTGGGAAAGGCGTTCGGAGGGCAGAGTCGGTAAAAGGTGGGCTGATGCGATCGGACGTGCATTAAGGATGATTTCGGAGGAAGTGATGAAGGTGGTATAAATGAATGCGAAAAAATTGAGATAACAGGATGATTGGAATCGCTAGACACACTGGGAGGTGATGGTACGTCATCGGAGAGGTGCCCTATAGCCGCTTGCGAAAGTGGAAAGCATTCTGAACGCCTAGAAAAAGGTGCCGAAGATTTCGGGTCAGGGGACAATGAGAGTGGATGGTGTTTGGAAGCTGATGGAGGGAGTATGGTGCATCTCGAACGTTCGGCGGGCTTCCGAACGTCTGTTCGGCCATCGGACATGGGACATGAGAGCTTTCGAAGGCGGCAAAGTTCATCCTCGAGTGCTGCAATGCGATTAGAACAAGCAAATCTACCTGTAAATCCAGGACTGCGCAGGGAGGGAGGGCCGAAATTGGAGATGATGGGCGCCGATCGGCGCGACTGAAAATCGGTTCCAAGTTCTAGGCTGGCCATAGCATTCGATTGGGGATTGCATCGGTACCATTCATCAATCCGGTCCCTGAGAGTGCGTCCTTTGATCCTATGTGGCACAAAACAACCTGAAGACAAGACCACCTTGTTCTCCGAATTCCGAATGCACTTCCCGATGCGGACATACTCCAAAACAGAAGGACACGCAGCAATGAAGTGGCCAGTCAAACCACAGAATGAGCATCGTTGGCAGCGAGCTGGGTGTGCGTGCGGACGTCCGAAGCTGATCGCGGAGCTGAGGGCTTTGCCGAACGATTCGGCGATGCGTGTTAGGGTGGTTCCAAGGTCGCCCGATTGCACTGCGGTCGCGCCGATTTCCATGATTGACTGACACAAGGGAGGTGCGAAAGAGGTGGTGGTGCCATGAAGAACAAATCGTGCGGCATCATAGATATCGTCAAGACAATAGGGGTCATCGGGGAAGTGATCGGGAAGCTTTATCTGTAGTCTCTGCAAGATGCGAACCCAAAGTTTTGTCTGAAATCCCTGTGCAAAGGTACGCCCTTCTTCAACCTCTGAAATCCGATTCTTTTGACGCAGAAAGAGTGCGATCGCTAGAAATCTTCGGTAATAGACGCCCAGATCCCCCAGTGAGCCAATGCCGATCCGGCTATACATTCCGACAAGGCTATGCAAGTCAGCAACTAACCATCTGCGATCATCATCGGCACCAGGATAAAGCTTGTACACAGAGTCACAGAAGTCCTGGTATGTCTTCGCGTGGTCCGAAAAGGTCGGCAGGGACTCCCAGAGGTCGGAGGTGTCAAGATCGGCGAATCGGCAGGCGTGTCTCTTCCGCTCCAAGTCGCTGTTGACTGCCGAACGAACAAAGTGAAAGTCAAGGTCTGCAAAGTATCGGCGAAGAGTGCGTGGTCGGCTGGGGTCGAAAGTGGGTGCGGATCGATCGCCTCGAGCTGGCATGGTCGGGGGGGCCATAGCGATCAAATGCAAAGAACTGAAACCAAAGCTGAAGAGTGGATAAAAATGCGAATGGAGTATAAGTACCGAAAGTGTGAATTGAAGAAAAAGAACAGGATGCGATCGGGATCGGAGCTTCTAAGGTCAAAGGGGGATGGTATTTGATCAATCTATGAAGAAAAGGAAGGAGGGCAAATAGGGAAAGGCAAATGTAGGCAAGATATGTGGCAAGGGACGTCAATGGCTGAAGTAGAGGTTTCAGATGTCAGCAGGCGATTGGAATGTGTACCAGGGTCTCAAAGCAACCTTAGGAATTAGGGGGATGAAATGTGAACACAATGCAATCAGAATCGGAGGTAAAAATCGCCGAAAAATATCGAAAAATCAGAGGTAAAATCGCCGAAAAATATCGAAAGAATCAGGGATAAAATCGCCAACAAAAATCGAAATTATCGAGGGGGGACAAGTGCCAAAGGATAGCAAAAACCACAAGAGATCAAGGGAGCAGCAGGAATCGAGGTTCTGAAGTGAGGTTTCGAAGAGGATGTTAGGGTCGTGCAGAGGTCAAGGTGAGGGTGGGGTTTGATCGGCGGGGTCGCAGCGTGTTCGGAACAGTGTAGTGGTGGTAGGGGGATGTCAGCGAATGGAATGGGATCGGTCAGAGAGTTGGTGATTGCAAAAGGGATGAAGCAGCCTAAGTTCCTTGAGATGAGAACCAACCCCTCGCGGTGGGCTCCAAAATGATACGCTGGTGATGCCTCTGAGTGCGAAACACACCCAAGAAACACCCCTACAAGCGCAGGTAGGCAGGAGCTAGTTCTAGTGTGCAAGGAACTATAAGCTGTGCAACAACCAACAAGGGAGCGTACTAAAAGTGTTCGGAGTGTAGTGAACAAACAACTCCAAAATCGAAGTATTCAGTAGGTCAGTAAGTCGGTAGGTCGGTAAGTCGGTCGGTCGGTCGGTCGGTCGGTCGGTCGGTCGGTAGGTCGGTCGGTCGGTAGGTCGGTCGGTCGGTCGGTCGGTCGGTAGGTCGGTCGGTAGGTCGGTAGGTCGGTCGGTCGGTAGGTCGGTCGGTCGGTCGGTCGGTAGGTCGGTCGGTCGGTCGGTCGGTCGATGTTTGATCGGGATTTGATCGGGATGCAAAGGGAAGGGAATGGGTGCAAGGCCACACTGGACCCTGGCAGAGGATGACAAACTAGATGAGAGGGAGAGAGCAAGACGACGAGGGCTCTGGCGGAGGGCTGTGATCGAACGCAACAACACAAACAAAAGGGCAAAATGCAAACAAGGATTGGAAGGCAATGGCTCAAAGTCTCATGGACACAAGCGCACAAATGGAATCGGAACAAGGGGGGAGCCAAAGCTGATGTATTGCAAAGCCATAGGTGCCCTTTTATAGTAAGTCCGAACAGGTACAAGATAAGGAGATCGGCAGAGGCATAGAGCAATCAGAAATGCGTGCCAAGAGTGATCAAAGGTAAAGAAGATAAGGGAGTGATGTTGCAAACACTATAAGATAAGAAGCAATAACTCTAAAGTCTAAATAAGTGGAGAGATTGCCAAGGTGAGTCCACATGGACCTGGAGATAAGAACCACATGCCACATGGGTAAACCATTTAGAAACTTGGGAGCTCTGAAGATAACAAAGGATAGGTCAACAGAAGGCATAAGGACGATAAGAGATAGAAAGACAGATCCGTTCTGAGTCAACAAAGTGTTCGGCCGCCTCCGATTCGGGACACCGAAGCCGACCGAATGTGCCGACCATGTGAAGTGTACCGAACCGATCGGCGATCGGCCGCGACAGTCTGTGGGGAGCCCCTACTGCTGAGAGTGATGATAGATGGATAGGATGACTGTGAACAGCTCCGAACGACTGTGCGGAGGTCTAAATGCAAAGTCGGCACCTGAAAAATGGCTGAGATCGCCGAACGGATCGGGATCGGTCGGTCCTAAGTATGCCGAACGGTCAAAGAATACTGAAAAGCTGCGAAAAGTGGGGTATTGGTGCCTAGAGCATACCCATGCTCATCAGCGCTACGCAACTACTCGCTAAAAGACCAGTGGACAATTGAACACCAAAAAGCATTTATTGACATTAAGGCAGCCCTCACCTCCGCACCAGTCCTCTGATCCCCTCTTTTTGACAGCCGCGCCTTTATTGTCACAACTGATGGATCCAAACATGGATTTGTGGGAATCCTTTCCCAGAACCACAAAACAACACTCCCTAATGGAAAAACAGTAACTCACCGGCACTCCATTGCATTCGCATCAAAAATAATGTCCTGCACCAAAGAAAGATACAAACCCTTCCTCTCTGAGTTTGCAGCCCTCAAGTTCAGCCTTGACAAATTTTCCGACACCATCTGGGGCTCAGCCATCAAAATTGAGACAGACTGCCAAGCCCTATGGGACTTCCTCTTAGGCGACAACCTGAACATACACCACACATAATGGCATAATGGCATCTTGGCCTACAAAATCCAAACTGTACGGCAATGGCCGGGAGCCAGCAACCCCGCAGATAGCCCTAGCCAAAAGTATGACACAGGATTCCAGCAAGAGGGCAACGGCAGCAACTAGACAGTTGGACAGGACTGGGAGGAATCCTCCGGCCTCATTCATGACCTGTTCCTCACCACAGTTAGCCCAGAACTGAAGCAGCTCCAAGAAAGATTTGTAAATGAACCTATTTTCCGTGAAGTAATTGATGCTTTGCAAAATACAGATCACACAAGCAGCATTCAAATGAGAAGGTGTGCATGCCACCGTGCAATTAGCTACATGATCAAAGATGAGAAACTATGGTGCATAGGCAACGGGCGCTCACCACAAGCACGACCATGCATTGAATGCATACCCTGGTCAGAAGCAATCACACATGCAGCTAGAGTGCATGGCCAACTGCACTTTGGCCGCAACCATGTCAAATTACAGCTACTTGATGTCATATGCAGCCCAAAACTTGACCAGTCAATCATGACCGCACTTGCCAACTACACACAATGCAAAAACTTTGGAGGTATGCACCTCCACTCTCTCCTAGAGCTCATCACCTGCTGTTACGACTGCTCGTCGGTAACCCCAAGAGTAGGAGGTTCTTCCCTAGGTCACTCGTGGAGGATGTGTGGAACGGTGGTCTCGACTGTACGTGTAGCACAGGAGCCAGAAGTGTATTGCGTTATAGCAATGAAGACTGTAGCAGGAAGACTACAGTGAACGAAGGGTACTGTAGGAAGACAGTACCAGAACGAAGATTCCTGTATGTGAAGATACAGGAGAACGAAGAGAATAGACTGAAGATCCTCAGCCTATTCTATGGGCCTTTTATACTACTTTAGGAAGTAGGGCGTGAGAATACCGAATATGTATCTGTAGGTATTCTCTAAGTCGTCTCTCTCAATAACGACTACTCTTGTGCTTCTCCGTTGGTCTCCTTCCGGCCAGGAAAGACTAGGAGGTTCATGCCCTGCGTGTGAGTAATTTATAAGGCGGCGTTCCATGCCCGCTAATACAATAGGCCCGTGATACTCGACCAACGATAAGGTGATCCGTTGGGAGTGGATGACCAAGGTTAATATCTGTACCTTGGTGTACGCCTCAACCTGTGAGGCCGCGTGATATTTGTGATGATCGTATCGGTATAGACCGCCGTGTAGGCCCGATAGAACGTGATCATAACAATACCCCCTTTCTACGTCCTATTCGCCTGGTAGGACAGCGCTGTGCGCTTCATCGCCACTCCATATACGATTTGCTTTCTTGATTCAACGATGGTCTCCGGATGCGACTTCCGAGACATGACTTCGTTTTCTGGGAGGAAGACCGACTTACGTCGTTTGATCCTCTAGGAGTTTTCCATCTCCGTTGAGCTGTTTGTTTGTCGAGTCGTGAGGGTATCCAAGCCTCCGCTCTCTAGGATGTTCTTCCTTCACCCGTGGGATTGATTTTGCCGCGGGTAAACCTCATCGCGGTCTTACTTCCAGCCCGCTTCTGGAATAGTATCAAGAAAGGCGTAGGAATGCGAGTGGTGTGTGGATGAATAGAAACTCTAGCATGTGGGTTCCGATTCGTGTCATCAGGTTCTTCTTCTTCCTTCTCCGAGGGCCAAACCTCAGTGTTTCCAGGATAGTCGTCTATCCTCATGATTTGTTGTTCCTCTCGACGACAGTGGATGGCGCCCATGGACAAGTAGGTTGATCGCTTTACGAAGGCTTAGGCCTACTTCTCCAGGCTACCAGTCATGACGCCCCAAGCAGTATCGCTCCCATACGGTGAGCTCATCTCCGGTGAGGTTGCAGCCAAATCCCAAGCAGTATTGTCCCCATACGGTGGACTCATCTCCGGTGAGGCAGTTTACGGCGTCCAGAGTTTGTTTTTCACAAACGTGGGCCTATGGTGGGGAATACCACGTGTAGTGTTGGGTTCGAGGCAAGGATGTGAAGAGAATTAGACTTGAAGGGTGCAGCGAGGAATAAGGAGGAGTCTGACTCCTTTCCCAAGTCTGCCCGTTCGCTTGCACGAATGGACATCTAGACCACAGCTGATATATTTGTCGGGTTGCGAGATATATCCACGACTGGCAGTTTAAAACGTCATGCGGGACGGTCCGTAGTTTATCGTCGTTTCGGACGATTCCGTAGTTTAACGTCTTTGCGGACGTCCTTCATCATCAACATGGAATATCTGTGGGGAAAGATGTTTCTGCACGCCGGAATTTCCATCGGTGATGTGCATAGGGCCATAGACCAGACTTTACCCGCTCCAGATTCCACTGAGGCATGATGGACGGTTTATACTTTATCAAACCGGATAACTTGTACGTCTCAATTTTAGGAGACCGCTCAGTTTAATGCCGTGAGGTGGGCATCCTCGCAGTTTAATGCCGTGCGATAGGCATCCTCGCAGTTTAACGCCGTGCGATAGGCGGGCTATCGTCTGACTATGTCCCTCGAGTCACGATAGGCTTTTCCTCCGAGGATGAGGGTAGTTTAATGTCATTTCGGACATTGTCGACACATTCTCGTCAAGAATGGTGTCGACCGATGATCCCTATATTGAAAAAGGGACGAGTAGTTTAACGTCATCTCGGACGGTTGGTGACCACGGTCTTGGTCAACAACCACAACTCCTGTTCGGTAAGGAGCACGTAGTTTAATGTCATTGCGGACCGATTGACACCATGGCGGTCAATCCACAACTCCTATACGGTAAGGAGCAAATAGTTTTGTGTCATTGCGGACGATTCACCAGATTGATGAATCACAACTCCCATGCGATCGGGAGCAAGTAGTTTATCGTCATTGCGGACGCATTGGTGTCCAGGGGATTGGACGTCAATGACAACCCCTAGGTTCAGGGGCACTAGTTTAACGTCGTTGCGGACGCGCGGTACCTTGTCAAGATCGCCACGCACGATCCCTATACTTGAAGGGACGGTAGTTTTACATCGTCGCGGATGCCCGTAGTTTATCGTCATTGCGGACGTCGAGTTACCATTGGCCTCGAACGATCCCTATGTGGAAAGGGACAATAGTTTTGCGTCATCGCGGACGTTGTTTCGCCACAAATATTGTGGAAAAGCAATGCTTAGTTTATCGTCATCCCGGACGAGACCTAGTTTTACGTCGTCGCGGACGACTGTGGCGGAATAGACTTTGGATGAGTGGCCCGCTCTTTGTCGTTCTTCCGCTATGTGGGCCAGACGAGAGTCGCGTGATCTAGTCCCTTCCCACTAGATCTTTGACTCGAGGCACGTGTCCTAGTTGCCTCCTGACTAGGTCTGGGAGCGGAATTTCTTGTACTTCGACTCCAGGACTAGACTGAGCGCTCCATGAAGAGATGCTTGCTCTTCCATGTCCCCAGACCCCTCGCTTGGATTTGAACCAAGACGACCCGATATTCTTTTACCGAAGAGCGAGTGAATATCGGAAGCGCTTCGACCTTTTATAGGCAGGGTTCTGTGACGCGAGTCCTTCCGCGCTTCGCCAGAATGCAACCACGCTCCTTTGGTCATTGGTAGTTTAACGTCATCTCGGACGGGGATAGTTTTCCGTCGTTTCAGACGAGGACTAGTTTAACGTCATTGCGGACCCTAGTAGTTTATAGTCATTGCGGACCAAGCCTTTGGTAGTTTTACATCGTTCCGGATGTAGTTTGTGGCCTCGCATCATTAGGAAGACTTGTGAGGTAGAGGCGGCCCGCTCTCTACATCATCTCATGCGCCAGCTGTAGGATCCCCTAATGCGGAAACGATCCTGTAAAACGGGAGATCCAAAGTGGGACGTCCCAAAACACCAGTCAGACCTTGACTGTGAGGGTTCACGATACGAGTTATGCATCATAATTTCTTGACTCGGACTTGCAACCGGTTATGTATGGGCACTTCGCTGTACCAAGGCGAAGGGCCTGCTTGTCGACACCTACGAGTAGAGTATATGTCATGTAGAGGGTTCCCTAATGCGGAAAAAACCCTGTAAAACTGAGGATCCAAATGGGACGCTCGATGCATCTGTCAGATTAACTCCTTGACAGCGAGGATGTGAAAGGATTCCGCCGTAGGTCGTACGTGGAATTATGCCCGCTGTTGTCCTTGATTCGTACCATCATTTGAACCTAGGACTAAAAATGGTCAGGTACTTCCCCTGCCTTCTTGTCTTTTCACAGTTTTAAGACATGCAGGTCCGATAGTTTAGACGTCATTCCGGACGCGGGGTAGTTTAACGTCTCTTTCGGACGAGGTCGTACAGTTTAACGTCTTGAGGGACGATCCTAGTTTTACGTCGTTGCGGACGATTGTAGTTTTACATCGTTTCGGATGTAATTTGTGTCAGGGGAAGGAGTTCCTCAACTTCCTTACCCCCTTTTTTCTTTTTCCTATGCCCTGTTATTAGTCCGTTTAATAATCAAAAGGTCCTTGATAATCCCCGCCGCCTTCGTCAGGTCGGTAGTAGGGGTCCGCCTCATCGTAATTTCCTGGATCGTCTAGAGCATCCCATGCGTCGAGCTCGGATCTAGTCCAAGAGCTATTTCTTCGAGCCTCCGAATCAATGCGGCGAGTTCTGCGGCTACTTCGGTTATCCTCTCTTTCGTTCGTACGAAATCGAGCACTAGGAGGAGGCGATCTAGGCCGGTGTCGAACACTCCGGCCAGCAGTTGTTCCGCGTCCGAGGGTTGCCTGACTTCCCCGACCCCGTCTTCCCTCATTTCTTCGATAGACGGGCGGTTCCTCCTCGTCGGTATTTCCTTGGGATAGGGGAAGACCTCGTATCCGGTGAGAGGGGGGAGTCACGGTATGGCTATGCGCTGTAGGAACCTCTCGTTGTCTCGGTGGAGGGCGCTCCACGACCGTACGCGGAACCCTCCTTGGATTTGGTACAGACGTGGGATGTTCTCCGGGACGTGGTACGTTCCAAGTGACAACTCGGAAGGGGTCGGTTCTGCTTGGCTGGACGCTTCCCAGTTCTCCTCCGAAGAGGAGAGCTGGAAGGAGCTCTCGGTTGACGTATTGGGAGAACTCGTCCGGGTGGATGAGGAGGGCTCGGGGTCGCCCGTCATTGTGGGCGTACCAGGAGGCTGTGTCCGGGTCGGTTTGGAGGGCGAGTGCTCTGATCTGGAGACTGGCACTAGCCAGTCGTCGAGGTACGTCGCTATGTTCATTCCCGGGTTGTCCTGCCGAGAAGTTAGCGAGTCTTTGGAGGGCCATGGCTGTGGCCATTTGTATTACCGCGGAGATGGTGTTCCGCTGGAGGAGCGCGTCCGCGTGTCGCTCCAGTTCTCCGGCGTGAGGATCTGTACGAGGGGTAGGTCCTCCCATGGAGCTGGGAATCGGTCCACTAGTTGGTACTGGCGGAGGTGCAGTTTCTGATAGAACTGGTATTGGTTCAGCTTCTCCATGGCCTGGGAGTTGAGCTGCCGTTCTTGCTCGAAATCCCGAGGGACCTGCAACTCCACTAGGACGCGTGCCTTCACTAGGAGGTGGA